TTCTTCTATCTGAGGTGAGGGATCCCTGTAGTCCAATGGCTGATATTGTGAGCCATTGACTGCTGGTGGTGGTACTTCCTTCTTGTTGGAAATAGGCATGTGATGATTAGTCATCAGCATATGGAAGCAATCTCAACCACAAAGCTAACACACAAGTCTGTGCATGTCAACTCGTTGTGCTGACACAATGAGTATCCTCATTGTGTCCACACGTTGAGGATACACAACGTAAATCCTCGTTGTAACGCCACATTGTGGATACTTGTTGAGTATCCCCATCGAGGATACACACCTGGGCACTTGCCCTCTCCCTTTCCTTCCTTACAATGAGGCGACTCAACGCAACAGGACGCAACTCAAAACCCTCTTCGTGGTGGCAAAACCTGTCACATTCCTTTGACAGAAAGGTATATATAGCAGGCCATTTTGGCCTGATTTCTCTTTCCACCTCATGTACTCCTTTGCCTTTATTCAAGCAACATTGATTCATCTTCACAATAAGACAAGATCAGCACTAGTAACACACCATTACTATTGCCTAGGTACATCAAGTAACCAACCTTGGTGGACCTAGTTGTTACTTCACAACACTTCTGAGGTTCTTCCTTTTGATTTTCCTTGTCCTCAGAGGCATCCTCAGTATTAGGTGACTTGGTACCTCTATACTGTTGGTCTGGAAGATGTCCTTGATGTTGTTGCTGTGTTCCCAGTGGAGTAGTGTTCCCTTGACTAGCTTCCTCTGGCCTCCTGAACACAACATCCCTGCTTGTAAGGGTGACATCTCTTCCTTCTTCTTGTATGACAACAAGGTAGCCTGCTCCAGTGATGTTTGAATGCAGCAGCTTGCCCTTGATTGCTTTCTTGATGGTGAGATCATTCTTGAGTCTACCCTCTTTGGGTACTCTGATCCAGCACTCTGTTCCAAAGGGGTGAAGTTGACCATATCCTGGCTTGTGCTTCCACATGATCTCCTCCAGAGATCTCCCTTGATATTGCTTGCCCATGTTGATGAGGGTGCAAGCATATTGCATGGCATGAAACCACCACTTGTGGTCCATCTTGGCAGCAATGAGCATGGAGGAGCACATCTCCTTGAGTGTCCTGTTTGCTCTTTCTGCTGTGCCATTGAGTTGAGGTGTGTATGGTGTGGTGACCTGGTGAACTATCCCATGTAGTTGCAAGTATGACTTCATGCCTCCCAGATACTCTCCACCACCATCTATCCTCAGACACTGCACTTTCCTGTTGAAAGCCAGTTCTGTGATCTTCTTGAATTTCTTGAAGCATTCAAGGACATCCATGGCTGTCTTGGTCTTCAGACCACCTATGCAGGTCAAGCCTGTCAAGTCATCAATAAAGGTAACATAGTAGATGTTCCCATTGATGTCTGGCCTGAGAGGTCCTGCTATGTCTGAGTGCACTATCTCCAGTGGTTCTTGAGCTGCCACTGAGATGTCACCAAAAGTGAGCCTTGTTGTCTTGGCTATAGCACAGACCTCACACTCTTCCATCTTGAAGGTAGAGGTATCCTTGTCTGTGATGTGCAGCTGTCCTGATGCTGCAAGCTTCTTGATGGTACTGACACCCATGTGTCCCAGTCTATTGTGCCATCCTTGTATGGTGTCCTTGTCCTGGACAGTAAGGTAAAGATCCTCTTGCTCTTTCCTCTTGATCTTCTCATCTACTGACACAACAGCTTGTTGTTGTTCAGATTCAATGTAGAAATCCTTCTTAAGTGGCAGTCTGAATGCCCTCAAGGTGCCCCCTGGACCTGTCTTGTAGACTGGAATATTGATCCCATGTTTGCTGATCATACCACCATGTTGAGTGATATCTACATCCCATCCTTTAGCCAGTAGTGTTCCTTGGCTAAGCAGGTTGGCTGGTGCATCCTCCATGAGGACCACATCATGAAGTGTCAGATGCCCCATGGCACTCTGATCTTGAGGTAACTTCATGGTGACCTTTTCACCATGTTCAGAGACAGTAGCATTTCCAGAGGCTGTCCTGAACCTCTTGGGGAAAGCTAATTTTTCTAGCTGGCTGAACACATCTTTGTTGTTGCAGATGTGAGAGCTGGCTCCAAGATCCACAAGCCATTTTATGCTCTCTTCTTTTACTAGAGCAGCATATTCTTCTTCAGAGATCTCTTGAATAGCTGCACCTGCCATGTTCCTGTGCAGGGCTGCTAGATCATCTGCAGGCTTGTTGTGGTGATTGTTGAACCTGTTATGTGATAGTCCTTTGGGTTTGTGGGTGTATCCATCTCCTATCCTAGCAGCTCTGCAATCCTTGCTAGAGTGGCCTTGTTTGCCACAGTTCCAACAAGATAAGGCTTTCTTGTTGTTTTGGTCCTTGTTATGGTTCTTTTTGTTGACCTAGACCAAAGTTCCTCCTTTGCTGCCCATGACTGGCTTTCCTTACCATCATGGCAGTCTGCAACCTAACCTCATCCTGACGTTTGAAGCCAGCAATGTAAGTGTTGAACATTCCCCTGAGATCCTCAAAGGTGAAAGTAGGTTGCTTTGTGATCTCCTTGATCCTTTGTAGTGACTTCCACTCTGACTTGAGGGATTCATATGTCACAGGTAAAGCCCCGAGGAAATAGGTAGCTTTATCCTCTTCAGACAGCTTGAAGTTGGCTGTCTGGGCTTTCAGCAATAAGGTGCTGAACAGCTCCAAGAACCTGCCTGGATCATCCCCTTCACTCATCCTCTATGTCTGCCTTGTAGTTCTTGTCATCCATCTGGTGAAGCTTGGCTAGCTTATCCCAGATCTCCTTGGAAGTGTTGCATCCTGCAAGTTCCATCCTGATGCCTGAGGAGACGTTGAGTCTCATAAGACCCATGACCTTCTGATCCTTCTCCTTCCAGGTCTTCCATTCCCTGTACTCCTCTAGGTATAGAGAGACAATAGATGAGGGAGGTGCTACCTTTGAGCCATCCATCTCCTCAATCTCCAGAGGCCTGAGAGGTCTTGTCCTGACTTCCTCTGTTAGCACATGCAGTGCTCCATAGACAAGTGCTCCATCCTCAACTGCATTCCTCCATTGGAAGTAGTTGTCCAACCCAGTCAGAATGGGTATCCTACTGGTTGCTGAAGAGCCTGTGTTGGTAGTATCCATTGTTGACAATGATATCCAAGACTTGTCCTATGCTGATGCTTGAGTGTCTGTGTTGCCTCAAGTCTTGTTGCTGCTTGAATACTGATGTCCAAGTCTGATGCTGACTAGTGATCCTCTCTTGATCTAATAGTCCTTAGTCTCTAATGCTGAGAGACTATCCTTGTTACTGACCAGTAATCTAACCTGTCCAACTATGTCCAGTGATATCCTCTTGATGATCCTGATAGTTGAGGTTGTTCCTTTGTGAGCTAAGTCTAAGTGTAGATTAGGCCACAACTACTGGGCTCATAACCTATTGTGAAGTAACAACTAGATCCACCAAGGTTGGTTACTTGATGTACCTAGGCAATAGTAATGGTGTGTTACTAGTGCTGATCTTGTCTTGTTGTGAAGATGAATCAATGTTGCTTGTATAAAACTAAAGTAGTACATGAGAGGGGAAAAGGGGAATGAGGCAAAACTGGCCTCCTATATATACTATTCTGATGGTAGCCTCCATGGCTCCACAACCCCTTGAAACCTGTACATTCTACAGGATTCCTTGTGAACTGTACAATGTACAATGTACAATGTACATTCTACGAAATGAGGCTTTGTGATTGAGATTGCAACTTTGATGATGTCATCACCTGTGATATCATATCATCCCAATCTTCAACAACCAACCTTGGTGGATCTAGTTGTTACTTCACAACAAAGGCGACGCTGTTACGGACCGATCCCAGATACCAGGACCGGGATCGGGATCTCAACCATGATCTTGACCTTGATCATAATCTTGATCTTGACCATGATCTTGATCATGACCTTGACCTTGATCATGATCTTGACCTTGATCATGATCTTGACCTTGACCATGATCTTGACCTTGACCATAATCTTGATCTTGATCGGGATCATTATCGGGAATGCCCAAAACATCAATATATATAGGCAACCAATTTACCCTCATTGTACATTCCCTCCTTTGTAATTTCCATTCTTCTCTTCAAGAAGAATTATCATATGTTACACTCTTGATATACTTGCCACCCACCAACACTACACTATCCACCCACTCTCAGCAACGGTGCTCTCGTCAAGCACTTCACGGTTAGACATAAGGATTAGTCAACCAAGACTTCAAGCTGAGTTCTATCTGCCTTAGCACAATTTCTACTGACGCTTTGGTCCGCATAACAACAGTTCCTGTTACTGTCGGACACCTCCGTAACAGACGCTGCGCGCGCGAGCGCGAGACCTACATCAGCATACAGTTCTCCCCACCTCCTCACACTTGTACATAGTTAGCATGCATCATCATCTCTCTCTCCCCTGACTGCCTCTTTGACGCGCACCATAGGCCGCGCGTCAAGTGATGCCTATAATATCTACCCATACCTCGCCTCATTCCTACATCCCATCAGCTTGCCCATGGACACCTCCCTTATTACGATCAGACATCAACTGTGTCATAACACAACAGGAATAGTGTTTGCAGATCAGCCAAAAGGATCAGGTCGCAACAGGTGAAAGCAGTAACATGCACTAAGCAGTAACACCAGTGAAGCAGCAACCCTAACATCCCAGGTCACCTATCTCATAGGTGAAAGAAGCTAGCGTAAGATGTAAAGATTGATGCTGAGATCATTGACATCTTTGTCTTTCCGTGCCGTAAGCCTCAGCACGGTCTCGCGAGTTTGTAACGTGCTCAAGTAGCACTCGGCCACGTGCGATCAATAGTAACGAGTCACACCACCTCCGAATTGGGTCATTCGACTCTATCCACTTCCTAGCATGAGGATATCCGACCTTAAGGTTTCTCCAACCCATGCAAGCTTGACATGTGTGCTTATATATGATACAGTAATGGGGTTCCCGTAGTATTGTGCAGAAATTATGATCTCACTCCGGCAAACACCTCTGCCATATCCTTCTCACTGGCTGCCTCGATGCCCCTGGCTCGTGCCCGAAGGCGAAGGTTGCGGTCTAGCGTGAGGAACATGACTTTCAGAGCTTTCTTCTTGGCCTCGTCCGATGGTGGCGAAATATTTCCGTGGAGGAGCCGCGATCTGTCAACGAAATTCGCCAGCTGCAAGCCTGCGACTTTGAGAATGTGATCATCCATGGTTGGTAATCGGGTGGCTTGTCCATCTTGCGAATGAGTTGTACCGCCATCAATCATCTCGGACCGGATGAGCAGATTCGAAAGATAATTCCCTTTCGAGGTCTGTATCTTCAGGCTGATGGAGTGACTCTTGACGTTTTGTTCCAAGTAACGAACCGCGGCAGCGGCTGCGGGCCCGAGAGCTGTAGGTTGTCTCGTCAAACCATCAAGCTCCGTTATCACTACCAGCAAAACCGGCAGAACTCTAAACATCAGGCGACCGGAGTATTCTACATTGAGCTCGGAACACATACCTGGTAGCGGTACGACTACTGTCCACCTTGCGCTTTCGATCAATGCGGCGACGAGTTCCAACGAGCTCAATAACACGTTGGTGTCGAGAACCAACACGGTGTAGCCCGATACTGCTGATGCAGAGGTAGGCAAGCTAATGGGTTGCTTGCTAACAGCTCTGTCAGGCCGACTGGGCGAGCGTTGGTGACCCTGTACAAGGGCTTGAAGCTTGCGCCGTCTCTCCCTCAGCTCTAGTAAGAGCGGGTCGTCAGTGCTCGTATCGTCCTCGTCTTCCCCGAGATCAGGGCCCATCGCCACATCATCGGGCCATTCGCCTCTTGCTTCTTCGTCCCGCCGACGTCGACGAGATTCCGCCTGCTCGTGCTCAAGCTCCTCTTGTTTCCATCCAGACAGCTTCTGCGCAAGCGATCCCTCGAGTACGTAGCCATGACCAGACTGCTGATTCAAGTCTAGGCCAGATACGTGTCGCACCAGCGAATTTGCGGTCCAAGCGACCCGTTTCCATCTTCGATGCGTGATGGAACCGGGATAGTCGTGCCCGGTAGATTGTCCGACTTCATCTAGGGCGTGCTCCATCTCATCGGTGCCTAGGGGGTCGTGCTCAGATAACAGGACGTCCATTTCGTTGCTCATTTCGACTGGGGTGTACTGAAGTGGCGGTCCACCGGTTACTTCCCCTGCGGCAGTAATCGCTCGCGCCTTCCAGAACCCTCGCTCGAAGACCCGCCTACCCACCCACTCCATGCCCCGCATACACCAATCCTCAGGCAAAGGGATTCCGCCAGTTAACTTTTGACTAGATTCCGCCTGAATGTCTATAGGCTCAGGGATACTATTCAGAAACGAGACCAATGAGGTCCAGGGCACGCTACGCTCCAAGGTAGCCAAGCCCGTAGACTGCCGCACGATTGTGCAGAGAAAGGTCAATATTGACGTGATATACGGATTCAGCTTGTCGAAAAAGCTCCAGTGTCGAAGGGGATACTTGAAGCAGAACTCCAGCATTCTGAAACTGAGTTCACACGTATACTGAAAGTTCGCAGGACGATCCAACACGGACGGCTCGGCTTTGCGAGGAGGCAGAGAACCCCTAGAGTCCTGACGTGCCTCTCCAAGATCGCCGCAAAGACCTGTACCATCAGGCGCCGAAACAGGATCGCTTGCGCTCGGATCGTCTTCAGCCTTGTTTTGCGAATGTGCAGAGTTTTCCGTTGACAGGATGACCGAAGGCAATTTCTGTATCTTGCGCGACGCGGATTCTTCGGCGAGCGCCTTTTTCAATAGACTCTCATCCGACCCGTACTGCATAAGAGCTGCGATGTTGATATTGGCCATGAGTATCCAATCTGTCTCCTTGATGTGTTTGCGCGTCGACGTATTATCCTCGTCCAGATGCGCATCTTCTTCCAACCGCTCCATGAAGCGCTCGAACATCGTGGGGAAATCGTCCATTTGGATTCTCGTAAAGAGCATGCCGTGCATCAGGACGAACAAGTCGGTCGCGCTTGCATGAGGATCTGAACGCTTTCTTTGAATTGTTAAGTCGAACAATGGCAATATCGATTCCCTTGTTGTCAAGTATGGATGCGATGCAGTTAGACTGACAAAAGAAAATGTGTTTAATTGGGAACGACAGAATTCATAAGCCAATCAAGCCCACCTCTTGCCAAAGTGATAGAGTGCCCTCAACTCTTCGCCGGGAATATCCCGGCACAGCAGTCCGAGGTGATGATGCAGACGACCTTCTCCTGGACGCTCAGTCACGCCCTGCACATACCAGTCGCGAGCGGTGATTCTCCACGTTTCCCTTTCTTCCACATTCCAATTCTCAGCTACCTCGGCCCCGATGCTAGCCCCCGTGTCAACACGGTCAACATTATCATCATCTATCCTGGCAGTGGACGGGTCGAACGGCCTAGTCTTTGTTGATGAGGCACGTTCTGCACGTTCCGCCGCGGCGACATGGGCTGCTATCGCCATTCGATAGCGTGCCAAGTCACCGAGCGCTTCGAGCCATGCAGTCTTGAAGTTGCTGAGGACTTGTTCTTCGAGAAGGTTGGTATAAAATGAGTACGCGTCGTAGATGAAGTCGGTAAGATGATCCAGTGCTTTTGCGGACAGCTTTGCGTCTCGATGCAGCGCCTCCGGACCCCTGCCCAGACCATTCGAAGGAGTAGTGGCATTTCCGGTAGGCGCATTCGCTATCCACGTGTAACGCAGGCGCTCAAGCAAAAGGTGAAATCCAGATTGCCATAATCGTGTAGGGATGTTGTATTTGACTGGAAGACTGTGCAGTGACGCCGGGATGAGCGGATCAAGACAAATAGTCATGAAATCATGGTGAGCATCGGCAAGACGTTTGTGGCGACCGATAAGATCAATCCAGCTTTCGTCTTCGATCTGTTGTTCGACGGGAGTGGCGAGTGTGCCCGAGCGTCCGGTCATGGGTCTTTTTTGATGCAATTCCCGAGAGAATATCTCGGAATCGGTCTGCTCGGTCCGAGCGGTGTCGATCTTGTAGCTCTGCGGGTCATGCGATGGATCCACCCGTACGAGACTTCGAACGCCACCGGCAGGATCGGACGACATTTTCCGGTGAAGATCCGTCAGGTTTTGCTCGAGAGTCTGGATACCCTTGTATGCTTCTCGTAGACGCGGCATGATTCCCGTGTCACTATCGGAGCAAGTCAAGCCGTAAGCATCCGATCAGCAGCGAGCATGATTCATTGTAATCGACAGAGACGACAGGGTCTACCTTTTGCCTCGGCCCCGCTCCCGATCTTTCAAGCTTTCGCTACCTTCACTACTTCGACTACCTCGACTCCTCTCCTCGTCCCGCTTGCGATGATTGCCCACGGTGAGGCTGCCCTTTTCACTGCCCTCTTTACGCTTGCGCCTTTCTCTCGCACGATCTGCAGCGACATCGTCTTGGTCGACCTGTTCTGGGTTGATCTTGTAGAGATTACGGTCAACTGACAGTCCGCCTTCCGGATATTGATCGTGCGAGGAAGCTTCTGCTATTGTCGTGACGCGATCTTCGACGCTCGTTCTTTCATGCAATTGCGAGGTCGATTGGACCTGGACACGACCGGGTCGAGCGGTCTTTTGCGATTGAATCCCGGTGGAACGCTCTATCGAGATTGCATTATAACCTGCATCGGATAATGTGTGGTGGACAGGCGTCACCGCTCTCTGAAATGCTAGGGGATCGTGGAGGCTAGGATTGAAAAGTTTGCGACCCGCACTCGGTCCGGGCACAGGAGGGTCGCCTGGAGCTCCGTCACGGGCCCAGATTGAAGGACGACCTGTCGAATTTGTCTGCTGGTGCGACCTTGCTGCTGAAGACGTGTTTGTATCCAGCAGGTGAACCGGTCCGCGATGCGCCCCCTCACGGGAGGCTTCTCGGCTGGACGAGGGTACATCCCGTGACCTGTTGTGCGTGTCTCGTGACAGGTATCCTCTTTCTTCGTCAGGTCGAGATGGTCGAGATGAGACGTCGTACAGTCGCTTCGTGACGACCTGTTGGTCACTGGTGCCGCCGAATGTTGCACTGTCCTGGGGCAAGCGACGAGGAAGATCCCGAATAAAGTCCTGTGCGTCGTCCTGATCATCATCCTTCGGCAAATGATCCCCGCGAGAGGCCTGAAACCGATTGCGTTCTCGAGAAGACGATTCGGCCGGCGTAGACTCTGACGGCCGTGTCAACCGCACGTCATCACCAGCGAAGCCGTTGTTTCTCGTTTCTATCGTTTCTGTCCTGGTGATCTGTTCGCGGCGATGGAGAGGCTGTTCAATGCTAGTCGTCGCTTTCGACTGGTCTCGTTTGACCTTTGTACCAGCCTGGCGTCTCTGCGCGGCGACGATTCGATTGAGAAAGTCAGCTCCAGAATTCGCCACCCTGGTGGGTCGCGAGGACTTGATGCTCGCTTCTTGCGGATCGCCTTGGGCATCGCGAGATGTCCCGCTCATGATGAGAGTACCCTCGGTATCGCACGAGTATATGCTAAGAAAGACCAGCATTACGAAGTGTTTAGCTGTCTTCTATATGTCGCTGCATGAAGATCGGAGAGACGGACCAGAGAGCGCCTGCGAACTCTTTGGCGTTGCGAAGCGGATTCTGGATATCAAATCGCTTCTCGCATTCCTCTCGAAGCCGGTGGGGATACTGAAACCACTATACTGTAGTTCTTTCGAGCTATACGCCATACAGAACAAGTCGGTTCAAGCTATCAGGCTCTGAAGCTGACAGGGGGTCGAGCCTCGGAGCATTGTAAAGGAAGAGGAGGCACTGTGACTTCTAGGATTCTGATGTTGGCGTTCGTATGTCCGTCCGACTCGCTCGAGACGCGCAATGACCGGAAGCGACCGGAGCACTCTTTGATGTCGAGAAACAAGCTGATATCCTGTTGGGGACGCAGTGTAAGGCGAAGGAGCCAGAGAGATCAGTTGATCTGCTAATGACCCCTTTTTCCTCTGGCGACCGAAAGGGAATGCGGATCTGTTACACAGGTTCCGTCGGTCCTGCTACCAATTTCCTTTTCCACAACGAGTAGAGGCCGGACACGATGTAGTGTCTTAGTAAACTAGAATCAGACAGCAGGTAGCTCCGTACTGGTACTAACACAGCAGCGTATCGCAATGATAGATATCTAAGTGTAGGCAGATGAACAATGATCCTCGCAGCAGCATGTTCAGTTAGTAGTGCTGCGCGGCCGAGAAGTCGCCTAGTCGAGAATTACTTCCGAATATTTGGATCCGTTTCCCCCTCCCCTCTCTATGAACCTCGCGCTTCTGTTAGCTGGGTAGGAGCGTAGGAGACGATGCGGCGGCTCGTTTGCATCCGCATTTTCTCTCTCGCCCCCGCCCTCTCGAAATGACAAGTTGTGACCCTTTTGCTTTGCATCTTCTTGTGCTTCGTTCTGGACCTTCGCTGCTCTCTCTGCCATAGCGTCATCGTCCCTAATACAGGAGACAGACAAACATCTAGACACTAGTCGTCACGCCAGCCAAGGTAGATCCTTCTTCCCTTGCGCCGCCGCTCCTCCTACCCCTCGACCGTTCTTCGCAGACTCCGACGACCGGATCTCGACGACGAACGAAGATCGAAAGACTGACGTCAACCTCGTCACACTTCGATTTCTTTCTCTCCCCCTCCCTCGCTCGCTCTCTCGCCGGCGAAAGATCCACTCGACTCTTCTCTAGAGAGGAACGTTTGCTGGTACGCCCATTCCGATCTATCTACGTCACGTCAAAAGGTCGACTCGACAAACCAAACTGAAATTTCCGTTGCGATCATCTTGGCTCTCATCAGCTACTACGCCAGGTCGGACGACTGCTCAATCTTGGAAGCAGAAATTTCCGACTCTCTCGACTAGTAGCAATCATCGGAAGGCTACCTGCACATAAACAAAAGTCTTGTGTGCCACGAACCAGATTCGTTCGGCGACAGATACGCATCGGTTCACGAACGATCGCTGCAAACCTTCTCGCCTTTCCGCCGCCACCGATTCCCGATTGCCTTTGCATCATCACCTACATCACATTACTGGAATCATCAAAAGCCTGCAGCTCTCATCGCGCTACGCACATCAATAAAATCGATCAATGAGCAAACCCACTTCCACTCCCAGCTCAGCCACCCCTCAAACTGCCAACGCTCTGAAGTCTTCCGCATCTGCTTGGGCACGCGGTCCACCATCAACGTCCGGTACTCCCTCCCAATCTGTCGTCAACTCGACCACCGCATCTCCCAGCGGTACACCTCAGTTGAGCCAAGCATCGCTGCCAGTCAATAATAAGGATGCTTCTAGCAACACCAAGACCATGGCCGGCCCATCGCAGTCTGCTTCGCGGCCTCAACACTCGCGAAAATCGAGTCTGCTCGCCGTAGGCGGTAACTCACCCAGCGGATCGCAAAACGCCTCGTCTGCAAACGACGCCTCGAGCAGTGCGAAACCCTTGAACATCACAAGCCGAAGTAAGTTTGATACCTAAGTGAAGCGATAAGAGAATTGTAGAGCGAGAAATCGTCAACACTGGCTAACACTTTCACCCATTTGGTTCTCGACTCGAATCAGCCAATGCTGCAGGGATCAACTTTGGCTCTGTGAGCAATCCCAACGCGGAGCTTTCATCATCGCCGGCGGCCAACCCTACTACGGGAAAACACCTTGCATCAACTGATGGAGTCAAGAGTTTCGGTACTGTTGAAGCAGCTGAGGCGAACGAAGAGAAGAGCGCTATTCTGGGCCGCAAGCCGGCTCAGGCTGGTGGTTCCAAGTTTGACGTGAATAAATTGTTCCAAATGCCAGCGGTCGCGACCTCATCGGTGAGTAAACCCTCATCGTATGTCTGGATTCCGCGTATTGATCAAACAACTATATCTGCTCCCTTTCCAGCCTGTCGTACAGCAAGCTCGAGGTTACGATGCACAGGGAAGGCCTGTGCAGATGGGAGCACCAGGCACCGGCTCCTCTATGTCAAATGCGTCTTCGGCACCTCCTGCGGGTCTTGCATCCGGTTCTTCAGGAAGGATTCCCAACGGACAGATGTCACCAGCGATGTCCAACCAAAACCCGAGATCACCGACCATAGGCCATCAGCAGCCCACCAGCATGAACAACTTTTCGGGAGGACCTGGACCCGCAACTTTCCGCCCAGGCAACATTCAGACACCTCCAGGCCGAGGGCCTCCCAACCAGATGGTTGGAGGAGCTACACGAGGCCAGCCCTCCCATGCATTCGGTATGCACCCTGGTCAGCAACATGGTGGTCCAGCCTACCCAGGCATGCCATATGGTCCCCAGGGATATTATGCCTACGGGTACTACGGACCTGATTCCGCCTACGGACCTGGTCCCGGTCAATGGCAATCGACGCAGGGATCTACACCTTTGTCCCCTCGAGCTGGCAATTCCGCTCTCAACAACGGGCCTTCAGCAGCGCAGGTACCCTCTTCGAGCTCGAGTTCAACCGCTGGACTACCGATGTCGGGTGCCCCTGCGAACCGACCTGCGCCTAGCCACAACACCAGCAACTTCTCGACTTCGTCGCAAACCTCTGGACCGTCCACACCCGCTCAAAACCACGCTCGCCCGGTTTCCTTCCAGCCCGGTCAGCCTTTCACGCCCGGCCACATGAGCTCGCCTTCTGCCAATCTACACGCTTCCGCGAATGCCTTTGTACCCCGCACCAAGTCGAGTGCGATCAAAATCACCCGAGCAGATGGCACGGCTGTCGACCTGGCCAGTGCAGCAAAAGAGCTGAAAACCCCAACACCGACCGGAACGCCGACGACCTCTACCGCCCCTGTTACGCCTGGAACTCCAGTACCGGCATTCAAGCCGTCGCTGCCCGCAATGCCTGTCGTTGTTCGAATGGAGACAGAAGCACAGAAGGCGAAGCGGCTTTCTGAGCAGGAAGGCGAGAAGCTGCGCAAGGCAACCGAGGCAAAAGAGGAAGCTGAACGACGCGAGCGAGAGATTGCGCGTAAAGAAAAGGAGGAAAAGGAAGCCAAAGAACGCGAAGACGCCGAAGCCGAGAAGCAGAAGGTAATCTAGAAGCAGTTCTAATCGTCGATATGTTGTCATTGACGCAATCCGTTTCATCATTTGCAGCTCGAGGGCGAGCGGCGTGTAGCTCAAGAAAAGGCCGACGCGCTGGCTGCTAAAGAAAAGGCGCAAGAGGAAGAGAAGACAAAGCAACAGGCTGCGCAAGCTGAGAAGCAGCTCGCGGACGAAGCCGAGCAGAAGAAGGCGAGGGAGCAAGAAGATGCTCGTCAAGCCGATGTCGATGCTGCGAAAGATTCTTCGGTTCGAGCCGAGAGCGACAGCGAAATCAAGATTCGCAACACCGCTAGTCTACCTGCCAAGCCTTCCGCCGAAGTGTTGGAGTCGGTCAGGGCGTCTCCTGCTCCTTCTGCACTTGCTCCTCCCTCAGACGGTAGAACCAGCAACGCACCATCGCCTGTCGCTTCGCCCTCGCTTTCTCATGCTACCTTGCCTGCTAAGCCTGCCGCTCTCAGTACCAGCGCTCTTGCACGTAAGGGAGCCCCATCGGCTCTTAGCTTGCCGCCTTCTGAAGACGGATCGAGTTCGGCTCAACAGTCAAACGCATCCGCCCAGGCTTTGCTCACTGCTCGGCCGATCGAGAAGCTGGAAGAGATCCGTTATCCTGAGGGTCTACAATCACCAAACAATGCTCTCAACACTGGTGCGCAGCCCGGAAAATTCAGGTACGATCGCGACTTCTTGCTTCAATTCATGAGTGTATGTCGAGACAAGCCCGAATCTTTGCCGCCCTTGGATCAATTGGGTATGGAGCGAGATCATGGCAGTATGGGTCGTGGTGGCAGTAGTCGAGGAGGTCAGCGTTCGGGTAGCCAGATGGGTAACCCTCGTGGAGCCAATATGGGTATCGGCGGTATCGGCGGTGGTATGGGTTCGTTTGGAGGCAAGCCCCCCGGTGGAATGGGTTCATTCGGTATGGGCACCTTCAATCGGCCTGCTGCCACAAGCGAGGAACGAATGGCTGCCTCGAGGATGGGCAACATGGGCAACGCGTTTGGCTCGGCCCGCAACACGCCCGGTATGGCTCGTACCCCCAGTCAATCCGGTCCCGGTGGGTTGAACATGATGGCTCCAGGAATGGGCAGAGAGAGGAGTCAGGCGGGCAGCGCTCGTGGCAAGAGACGGGGTGAACCGAGAGGCGCACCTACGGCGATGGCATCCGGGCAGTTCGAACCCGACGTCGCTCCCTTGGAGTTGTCCGCGAACCGATGGACCCCTGGCGTGCAGTCGCGAAGACCCGGTGCCGTTGACGAATCTTCCCCTGAATATGTCGAGCGTAAGGTCAAGGGTCTGTTGAACAAGCTCACCAAGGAGAAGTTCAACTCGATCTCGAACCAGATCCTCGAGTGGGGAAACAAGTCAATCTCGGAGAACGACGGTCAAACGCTCCGGCTTGTCATCAAGCTCATCTTCGAAAAGGCAAAGGACGAGCAGTTCTGGTCTAGCATGTACGCTGAGCTCTGTCACAAATTGCTGGAGACCTTGAGTCCGGAGATCAAGGATGAGCAGGTCGTGAGCGCGGACGGTACACCTCTGGCTGGAGGAGTCTTGTTCAGGAAGTATCTGCTGAACCGATGTCAGGAGGACTTTGAGCGAGGATGGAAGAACAAAGAAGACGCTTCGGCTGCTGCCAAGACGAAAGCTTCCGAAGATGAGAAGAACAAGGCGGCCCACGCAGAAGCTGTCGCTGCTGGTAAAGAGGTCGAAGAGTTCAAGTTCTCTGACGAGTACTATGCGGAACAAGCGGCTAAACGTCAGGGACTGGGTCTCGTCAAGTTCGTTGGAGAGCTCTACAAGCTGGATATGCTCTCGCTCAAGATCATGAACGCTTGCATCGTGAAACTCTTGCACAACATCGTCACGCCTGACGAAGAAGATGTCGAATCCCTCTGTCAACTCATATCGACCGTTGGAGAGAAGATTCAAAAGACGAGTCCTAGCGCGGCCGGCACTTTGGGCATCTTTATTTCTCGTATGACCGAGATGAAATCGAGTCCGCATATCTCTTCGCGAATGAAGTTTATGCTCTTGGTGAGTTTGCTGTTCTCCGACGTGATTGATCTGGCACTATCGCTGAACGCTTCACATCTTACAGGAGGTCATCGAGTCTTACGAGAATGGCTGGAAATCACGAGCAGGCCAGGGTCAAAGTGGACCTATGACAATCGATGAAGTCCACCGACAGGTACGTAACCGGCGAGAGACGCGCACCTTTTCGAATTCAATGACACCCAGCTGATGAACGGAACCTCTGCTGTGTCGCAACAGGCTGCGAAGGACCAGGCTGATGCTGCACGTGCGGCGGCCAGTGCTCCGATGAGCCGCGATCAGAGCATGTCTCGAGGCGGCTCGAGGCGAGGTGACCAACGGTCAGGATTCGGCGGCCCTCCTGGCGCTTCTGATGCCTGGCAGTCGGTTGGAAACCGTCCACCTCCAAAGGCTGCCGATATGACCGGGTTCGGAAACATCCGAAGCGGTGCGCCTGGCCCAGGTTCGTTCGGCCCCGCCTCCGTCTTCAACAAGAAGAACTCGAAACCCAAATCCGGTGACGTTACCCCGCCCAACGGTCCTGCCACTACCCATGCCAACCCGTTCAGCGCCCTTGGCATGGACGACGGATCTGGCGACGTCTCTACCGGGGAGGACAGTACTTCGACTGAAGCTGCGCCTCAGCGCAAAAAATTGGTATTGCAGCCTCGTACGGTCTCGAGTAGTAACGTCAACGCCGATTCCGAAGCCGCTGAAGCTACACCAACCGAGCCGGTGCAGAGTGGTCTATCTAAGGATGAAATCGAACGCAAAATCAAGGCTGATCTGGCCGAGTTCTGGGGCGAGAAGGGTACGGTCGGAACCCGAAACACGGACGATGTCGTGGCGTACTTTGAAGGATTGCCAGAAGAGGGTCGGCTCGAGCTCGCAAAGAAGCTCGTCGACGACATCTTCCGGTTGGCGAGTGCAGATGATACCTCGCTGGTAACACAGGCTTTCACCAAGGCTGTTGCCGGAGGGGTCCTTACAGCGGAGACGGTCAAGGCCAGGTCAGTGTAGACGATTTAATGCAGTCGGGCTCTATCGCAATCAACTAATCGCTTTGTTCATGCGTGATATCAGCTTAATGCCTTCGATGGAGCTTCTCGACGACATCGCCATCGATGTCCCTCAAGCGTATGCATTCGCCGCTCAGATCATTGTCGCCCTGAAACTGTCCCAATCAGATGTCGACGAACTGGCGGACGCGATCGAAGTCTTGGGAGAGGTGAACCCTCTTCCAAAGGACAAGTTGAAGACGCAAGTCTCAAAGCTGCAAGGGTGATGACGGGACGAGAGTGAATACCAGGACCTGGTGAGTACATAGAGCCAGGTCATGATTTCAGCGCCGTCGTGGCTGAACCGGATCCGATGTCTTTACAGGAGCTTTGAAGGAGAGTGTATATACGCACATCATATTGCAGAGATCTCATTAGCATCACGAAGAGATTGGCGAGCCGACGGCCGACTCGTCTGACTACATAATACCGGTCGTTACACATCAGCCCTAGGCGATCCGGCACCATCGATTGTTCTCGCCTCTTTTATGCACGTGCAAGCACATTATCTGTTGTTCATGCCATCTTATAGATTTTCCTCGAGACGATCGAGACGAAAAGGTCAACTTAAACCTGCTGACTGTCATTGTTTACCATCGTGCCGTTGCCGTAAGCTGAACCGGGAGGTGATTTAGCCGGCCGGCGATGAGAGAGAGGGAGAGAGAGAGACTTCGTCATCATCGCCCATCGAGTGCTCGGTCAGACGAGCATCAGCCTCTCAGCAGCGCAATAATCTCGACTACTTGCTACTTGCTACTTGGCATGATCTAACATGATCTAGCTTGGGTGGTATGGCCATTGAGAGCGATCTCGGCACCGTCGTACACCGCTTCCTCTAGTACAGCCTTCATCAGGCCAGACTCGTTGAGCCCTCGTCGCTTACCGCCAACTTGGATCCTGGACAGAGATCCACCTCCGGTTCAGAATCGAAACCCTTGTGCAAGCTTGTACGAGGCGAACACTGGTCTCCAAAAAAATCCCGTCTCGTCACTATGGTGCCGGACAGTCGGCCAGTAACCTCGCCTCTGTCCCGTGGAATCATGCCGGAGGAAGCAGACCCGGACGAGCTGCATCTGGACATGGAGAAGAGAACGGGAAGTACGGATGAGGTGCTCAGTTCCATTCCGACGCCCATCGTTCGGCTTCTCGTGATACTGGCCAAACCAATCTATATCCTACGCAAAGCAATCGAAATCCTCAGTTGGAGATCGTCAAGTACGGTGGATAGCTGGCTTGCTATCGGGTGTTGGTGGGCTCTATGCTTTGCAGGAAGGGCGACTTGGAAGTAAGTCACATCAGAGCTGAGACATCAAACCGAGAGCCGACCCTGATGTTCCTTGATATCCTCGTAACTGCAGGCTTTTCCTTCCCGTCGTTATCGCTCTGCCTTTTCTGCCGCCCTCGTATCATCCCGCTATCCTGCTATCGGGAGTTCGTTCGGAATCCACATCATCACATAGCGCGGACAAGCCCGCCTCGTCTGCTACCATCATCGTGACACTCTCGCATCTTCATGCAATCAACGCTATGCTCCCATCAGCCGTTCTCACCGCGGATCAGAGAGCATGGTTCCGCAGTTGGCAAAGCATTGAGCCGCGTCGATTGTTGCGAGGTGGGATCATCACTTGGATGATATGGGTCGTTCTAAATATGATTCTCGGTGGAAGGGCGGTGAGTCATGCTTGAAGTTCTGTTGTACCGAGGCCCACTCTAATTATCCTTTTCAACTATAGACCCTTGCCCTTATCGGTTCCGCAATCCTCCTGGCCTCTTCGCCTGCTATCAGAGCGATGTACGGTTTGTTGTCCCAATCGCTGTTCCTCAGGCGATCGGCAGCCCTGGTCTTCCTCGTCGTCTTTGGGTCTCCGCCGGCGACCCTTCTACCGACTCCCCCGCCGCACTTGGAGATTGATAACGAAGTATCTGTCCGGAGTGTAAGTAACTGGATTCAAGGCAAATGGCGATCTAGCAGGCGCCCTTCCCTTGCATTCCGCCTTCACGCGATCGACGAGTCCGCCTTAGACGATCGGTCCACCTCAGGAGGAGAATTAATCCCGGAAGTACAGGCCGACGACTTGCAGAGCCCAGCTCGGCCTACGTCGGAGCCCTTATATTTCCGATTCGAACTGCAAGAGAACCAAAGGTGGTGGATGGGCCTGGATTGGACTTCAGCCCTGTTGCCCCAGGAACGGCCATCCTGGTGCGACGCATACCTTAACCCATCGACCCCTCCCAGTGGTTTTGGTCTTCCGTCTGATAGTACCATGTATCTGCCGGAGCCAAGGAAAGGCGATCCCGGTGGAAGGACGAAGAGAGTCAGTCGATGGAGATGGCTCGACGAGGACTGGTCTGTTGTCAAGCGCGTAGGAAACGGACAATCGGTACAACCGGTCTCGATCCCTCCGGCCTCAGGACAGCATGCGGGCTCTTCCACACATGCAAGGTCCGCATCGCTATCGCTGTCCGAAGCAGGCCCTGCGGCTTCGGGTACAACCCCCGACGAACCTCGAAAAGGTATCGCCGAACAAGCCTTTGTCAAAGGGCTCGAACGTCTGAAAGCCAGAACCATGGCGGGGTCCAATGCTACAACAGGCGGCTCACCAGCCAAGCGCCCCATATCAGGCGATTATGGCGATCACGGGAGCATCCAGGAGCGGTCATACCCCAATGCAGGTCGCTCGTCGTTCGAGGCGCAGAGGCGCAAATCCTCCGCTGCATCTGATCTAGCCGAAGCTCTGAACGTCAACGCGTCGACTCATGCCACTGCTTCGACCGCGCCACGTATACTCGGCGGGGGTTCAGCCAACAACGCAAGCGGTTCATTGTCGTTACTTACGGATCTCGACATTGCGACGGATATCGAAGGATGGTGTTATGGAGACAACAAGTGGGAGAACATGGGACCACGAGGAGGCATGGGCAGAGTGCGTGGACTTTGTTTGTCACTTGAGAATCGTACCGTTTGAAAGTGCTAATGACATCTCGGCTCCGCAGTATACGAGAAGGCGAAGGTGGCAAAGGCGAGCGGTATGCACAGAGGAAGTCACGTACATTCCTGGTCAAGCGGAAACTGCATCATCCGCAAGCGACGCCGTGAAGCAGGGCTCTCCATCCAGCGACGTATTGAGCAAGAACAAGACCACCTCGATCGGATACACCCTGGAGTTGCCATCGGGAGCGGCTTCTCCAGCAACCGTCCCTGCAACGGTCATGACAGGAACTGCCAAGTCCGAGCAGCCAGAAGCCGGTCTGCGGCGCGATAGCCATTCTAGCGAGAGGGATCACGTACTGCGCCAACGGCTAAAGAACGTCATGGCAAACGTGGGTTCATGACAAAGCCAGCGATTACAAGATGCCTTATTCGCGTATACTGGGCTTGTATGTCTGTCCATCACATGTGCAGCAATAAGATATGTGATCAGCACATTAGCTTGCGTCACGGTCAGGGTTTTGTTCGAGGATGCTCGGGCGAAATGAAGCGCATAATCTGAGGAATGATGTCGACCGGGTACACCTGCGCATCCCTTTGGTTCTCGAGCCTCCCTGTCAAAGCGCACAGCATTATGTCACAGCTGCCCTGCGCCTTTTTAGGCGCACCAAAAGAAGCAGGTCAAACTTAATAATCTCTTGGTAGGCAGATTTGCCTCAGCGAATGCCATGTTCATGGTCCGACAAACAGTTCACAGGCGACCTGGACTACATCTATCTGGAGGGTCCTTGATCTAGATTCTCTATACGTCCTTTTGTTTGAATCATGTACACATGAGATCCTAATTCTTACCCGCGTTGTAATCATACTTTTCATAAAACGTCTTTGCGTCCCGGGTCTGTTTGCCATGAACAAGCGATAGCGTCAGGATGGCCCTGAAGCCCTTTCTTATGTGCGCCTCAGTCGTTTTACTCACATCAGCCCCGCTCTTGGCACCTCTCTCCCTTCCACGCTCCTTGTCTCGCTGTCTGCGGACTTCCCTGTCCTCGCGCAACCACTTGAGCGCAATTCCGAGAAGCTCGCCTCGCTTCTCTTCAGCAGCGACCGAGTCCTCCATGATCGTCGACGACGGGGTATAGGTGACCATCTCGTCGGGAGTACGGCCCAAACGAAGGTGACAGATGTGAGTCGGGAAGGTCTCGATGTGATCGTAGATATGGGTGGCATCTAGGCGAGGAGCGAGGTAATAGATATTCAGCGCTCTGACACTCAAGTAACCGTTTACGACGGCAGCGGAATGAAAGTCAAAGACATGATCGACTCACAGACGATTGTCGCACCCCTCTCTTTGCTCTCTTTGACCAAGAATGCCAAGAGTTCAGCTCGAACGAGAGCGTCCAGGTCGACCGTCACCTCGTCGAGAAGGAGAACGTCCCAGTTGCCCATCAATCCCATACAGAGCTGAACTCGTCGACGCTCTCCGTCCGAGATCTGGTGCATTCGCCTGGACCCAACGATATCCATCGTGAGCGAACCGATTTCCAGGTATAGCGTCGCGATTGGCAAGATCGTAGCTCGACTCACCACTCGAGGTCCACGTCCAACAGGTCGAGCAGGGCATCACGTCGCTCCTTGTGTCGATAACCACCTACGGAATCGAGAAAGTGGGCGACGCCAATGTCGCTCCGAATCACTGGGTTGTTGGCCCACTCGGTACCCAAGTAAACGACGCCCCCGGGAGGGTTCATAAAGACGTCCTGTCCCATGATACGGGCGGTCTTGGTCTTGGTCAACTTTTTCCCCGCGAGGATCCTGAGCAGGGTGGATTTTCCGGCTAAGGAGAGCGACGTCAAGGTACGGTATGGTTTAAGCCAAAGATTTCGATGCCTCGCGAACCGAAGAATATAACTTACAACCGTTGGCTCCGATGAGCAGGCATCGTGCTCCTTGCGGGAGGTCGAGATCGATGTCCTCGAGCGTTTGCTCTCCCGATACGCCCTCCGAGTTGTTGCCTTGGTAGGAGAAGCACAGCTTCCTGACATCGATAGCGGGTTCCTCTGGTGATATGGCCATGGTTGTAGGTGATGAGATTGTTATAGGTGATGAGATGATTGAAGGGGGAGGAAGGGGGGTTTGGGGGGGAAAGCAAGCGAGAAGTGTGGGGAATGTTCGATCTCACTCTTGTACAATCTCGTACTCTCGCTCAACCTCGACTCGATCGAAACCCTCCTCTCTCGATCGCGCGGGTGGCATGTCACTCGTCGGAAGCAATTGTTTCTTCCGGGATCGTCGTCATCATCACCGCCCATCAGCTTCCGCGCAACCACGATCCCTCTATCCCTCTGCTGCCCTCCCTCTCTCGCAATTTCACGAACAGGACTCGAGTACGAGCATCACCCACGCTGGTCTTGGCTGAACGAGACGCATCGGACTGAAGGGCGCACTCTGTAAACTTCTTTAGACTGCAAAACACCGACTCCCATCACCATGTCCAACTTGCTCAAGAGACTAGGGAAGCTACTACCCTTGGGACGGAACAAGCCGGTCGGTTACGATCTCGACGGTAGTTTCTAACCGGTCGCCGAGATATGGTTCCCTGAAACTCACTTCACCACTCTCTCTTTCTCGACTGATATTGACAACTTGCAGGTAACCGTTTCTTTGAATGGCCAAATCCCGCTGGTCAGTCCATGACGTGAAACCTGTTGGTGGACGAGAACGCCTCTGATATCTTGACACACCCTGAAACAGGAGGTCGACCGAGAAGATCTGTAGAATACAAGATCAAAAGAGACATTCCCGACTACCTTGTACAGGAGCGACTTCCTGGTGAGATTCACTGCAAGCACGCCCCGTTTGGAAGTCGATTCGCTTACCTACTTTGCTTGCTCCTCGATCAGTCCAATGGATGTCATGTAAGTAGCAGTCTCGTACGGAACGATAGCGGTGCTCTTCCCAGAGGTTGATTTGGATATTACGTGATGAAACTGAAGGGCTATCGCATACGCGACTGGACCCACCATCTACCGAAGTACGCTGAGTCTGATCCTTCCTCCTTCAACCGTTACGTTGGGCTGATCTTCCCTGCTACATGGATTCAGGAGCTGCAAAAGGATCAGCAGCGTCGTCTCCGTTTGGCGTACAACGTGGCACAGATCGAAGCCCGAGATGCCGAGGAGACGGACCGAAGAAGACTTCTGACTTCACCTACCGAATCGGCAGACTTTGACCCGTCATCCCGTACGTCACCGGGCGCATCGGCTGCGGCCAGTGCATCGACCGTTCCCGTCGATGCACCCGAAGCCTGGAACCGGGGCGACCCCTCCAAGACGTATCCTTACGAATCGCCAGCTTCGAGAGAGTCCAACAACGACCCCTACGCCTATACCCCGCCCAGGCCTCAATCTCAACACACGACGCCTCGCGATACATACGACCCGAATGCACCGATCGACAATGACCTTCGTGCGAAATCTCAGAGGGAGACTGAATTGGCTCGACGTCGCATGGAAGTTTCCAAGTCTCCCCTATCCGGCTTTGTACCGATCGATCCGGGACATTCGGAGCGAGCCGGCAGGGTTGGCAGCGATTCCATCAAGGGGGACGAGCGGCGCGGCGACGTAGACGCTCAGACCGATCCGGGCTCAGTCGTCCCTCGCCCGCGAAGACGCGGTCCTGCTACCTCTGACAACAGAGGCGCACAAGAATCCACCTCGAAGCCGATCGATCCTGATGCTCTGGCGGCGAGAGGACGCGTGGGGAAGAGCGAGGTTCAGGATGTTCAAGCGGGGTCAGATCAGGATATCCGGGAAAAGGCGAAAGAGCTCGAACGCCGGAAAGATGAACAGTAGTAGAATCGAGCATCTATGATGTTTGAGGCGCTGCACAACTTTAAGCCATGATGGTGTCTATATATGCACACAGGACCACCTTCAAAATGTCGGTTGGATCGTCCTACGCTTACACCGCATTATATGGCGCCTAACTAAACCGTCGTGCGATTGGTCGAGATTATCTTTCGACCTTCTTCGCGCCTAGACCTCTCTGCTTTGTTCCCTTCTCCTCAGGATGCATTCTTGCCGCACGCGTTCCTGTTTCAGTGAAAGTCTCGCCTCGCGTCAGGTTCCATCTGACCTGGTCGTCTCTGCCAACTAACCGAACTGCATGGCCCTTTTTTTGAATTCTGATACCGCGCCCATACCCGCCTGTCGAGCGGCACATCGCAAGAGACTCTTGTCTCCCTTGCCTTCCGGAGCTCTCAGATCGCATTTCATCCAGATGGGCAGTTCCGCGACCCATTGCATAAAAGCCATGTCGAGATACGGAAATCGAGTCTCCACACCATGTGAGGAGATGATGCGGTCGTCTCGACCGAGATTACGGGTTGGTATTCGGTCGATATCCATCTGCATCTATATTGGCGGGATGCCGCATCAGCAGTAATAACGCGTGGCAATCAGGAAGAACTAGCTCACTTCATCGATGGCGGCCATCCAGCCTTTGAGATTGAAATCCCTCCTATGTCGCGCATATCCACCTAACAATCTGGTTCGAGACGCGTCAGCGCTATGAAGTTAATGTACTCCGCTCAGGACTCACTCGTCTGCTCCCAAACCACTCAGCAAGACTTTGGCTTCACTAGAGTAGGGGCCATGACCTTGCCAGTGGCCTTGCCGCCGTGCTGCGAAATATAGCGGCATCGCCAGGCTCTGTTTTCGAACACAAGATCGTGTCAGTGTAGCCGTACCTGTATATGACCTCGAGAGGCGCGTACCAGGTCCATCTCTATAGAGTCCACGATGAAACGCTGTTAGTCCTAGGCCAAGATCAACGCCTAAGCTGTTAGACATTCTGCGGCTAACCTGTATCTGATGGATGCATGAGCTCTAGGATGCGCTCTCGATGAGCTTGTGATTCCTGCCAAGAGTTTTCGTCAATAAGTAATCGGTACAGCAGTCATTATCCTGTCCCAACAGCGCTGCTCACCTGGTAATCAATATTTATTTCGATGAACCGCCAATTCCGATCTGGGTGTAACTTGCGGAGCATGTCGACGCTTTGCTTTCCCGTCAAGCGGTCCGGGACGTCGTAGATATCGCCCGTGATCTCTGCTGAAGCATCTTTCGGAACCTCTGTTGTACTCTTGCTTCGCCTGGCCGATTGACGCTGAAGCAGATCCTCGGCTGCGGCAATGGAACGGGGATTTTCGAAAGCTACATTTAGCAAGTCGATAGGCTCGTCTTGTGGGAGCTCTCTGTACGGTTCGCGAGGTTAGTGCCTCCCGCCTCAGCCACCAGTCCATCTTGGAACGTACAGAGAAGCCAGATGGGACAAAAAGGTGCAATCGAGGCCACCGGAGAACAAGATGGCAAGCCGGCTTGAGCTTTAGTATGACGGCATGGGATCAGCGACGCTCCAAATTCTTAATATAGCTTGAATCTTCCGCTGACCTTGAAGTTGCTGCAGGAGGGATGTTTTCTACCCTGAGCCGTACGCTCTCGCGTAGTCCAGCGACAAATTGATGCAAAACCCCCGCTGGCGGGCAAGGATCGGGTCCGTCGGAAATATCGGTCTCGGAGAAGGCCCGTGACATGCGAGGTATGGCTCCCTGTGGCAAATATCGATATCATTCAGCTCTAAACAAGTCTTGACCGTGATATGCGTTCTGACGTACAAAAGCGGATGTCGTCGGTCGCCCGAGAAGCCTTAATGCCTTTGTATAATCGAGCTATTGCTTAAGGAGCTAGATTTAAGCTTGCCAGCGCGAGCAACAACAATGCTGGCCAAGAACTCACTCCACCTGACTCGTTCAAGCCGACTTTATCCACCTCCATCTGCCAGAATCCGGAACAATCGATTTCCTGAAAGGCGCCATTGGCTGTGGCTTCGTTTTCGACTTTCGAGCTGACGCTAGTGATCGTAAGCATCCCTGTGTCTGCTTCGGTATTGATCAAGAGTGATCGGCGACCGAGTCTATCCCGCCCAAAGGTGATGGTTCTGGTGTCCTCCTGGCGTAAGCAAGCCATCGCTATGATCAGTCGTGGCTGTTAATGAGTAGTCGCGACAAGGTTCAACTCACTCTGTAGTGTAGAAAGGCGAACCTAGCAATGAAGTGGTATAAGTCAGTATCATCTCAATCCCTGTGACCTACAGACTCACGGCCCCTCGACTCTTCCCAAGACATCCGTTATAGCCTGCCCGTCGCAGACCTGCTCCCAGATCTTGCTTGTATCGTTCTCATGCTTTGCTACCTCCAGGCCGCGGAATACTTGGCCGTTCCAGCAAAAGATCTGGCCATCACCCCGAAGCGGTTGAGATACTATGTTGTCACCTCTCAGAGCTAGTACGGAGGACGTAAATTCCAGCTCGAGCTCCAATCCTGATCCTGGAATGGCTAGGTCGACGCAGATGGATTGAAGGGCGTCGGGTCCACGTTTCGCTACTTCCAGACGAGAAGCCGCCCGGTCGTTAGCCAGTGGACGTCTCTTGTGTCTGAGGGTGAACAGAATGCCACACATGAGAATATACAGAGATCGACGTCAGAGGAGGATGGATCGAGCAGGGGTCGTCTTTTCATGCTACATTAACCTGCATGGAATCGCTCCTCGACATCTACTCGGTGTAAATCAGGTTCCGGAAGAAGAAGAAGGTTCCGGTGTTGTCACCTTCGCTAACGCATATGCGATCTTTCGACAGGAAACGAAACTTTTCGAAAAGCAACAAACGGGAGGGGGCGACGCGCAACTAGCGATCGCAAACGTCACGCTGGGGGCGTATAAAGAGTGAAAACGTCGAGAATGTCATTGCTCTCTCCTCTTCCCGCCCGCTTTTTCCCCTTTTTTCTTTCATGTCATGGTCCCTCCTTATAGAGTCGCTTGCTCGCCAAGAATTTTGACCCAACGGCGATTGCAGGTGCTCGGAAGGATCTATACCAAAGTTCGGGGAGCAACACAACCGTGTTCCTCCTCTCGCTCTCCCTTTACACACCCGTCGACCTTTTCGGAGGCAGGCGGCTTTGGTTCTCGTCGGGTCTTTCGGCCCAAGTCTAAGCGAACCAGAGGTCGAAGATGAACGTCACACTCCTGATCGGACGAACTCCGACTTGTACCCTTTGTAGACCCCTTTTATGGCATGGCAATATCTCACATAAATGCGGAATACATCTCGACTTCTCTTGACCCAAGGATCACTTCTGCTCAGACCCATTTGGAAAATATCAGTCCGGCCGGCATGGGAAGCATACTATTGCAAGGGTTCCACCCAGAACCCAGCCTTTCCAGCAGGATGTCGCACGACTGAAAAGAGGGCTGCGAAATGGTCGTACACTCGCTTCGACTCCAACGGCATAATTCCATAAATCGCGCGCGATGCTATTACATGCCCAAGCATCGAAATCAATCCTGTTATATATCTCACGTTGACTACTCGAGTTGAACGATAGCCACGTTACATCCTTGATATTCCGCCTTTCCTGTCGAGCGAAGGATCGCTCTACTTGTCTTCGACATATTCCTTGGCGGCGACATCGTCCGCAAAGGGGTCGCTGCGACGAGCTTCGACGTCGTCGTTGGACAGGTGCTGATGATGAGCATGGCTAGTGAAAGAACCAGGGCCGTCAAAGACTTCTGCGATCTGTTCGAGCGTGAGACCTTTGGCTTCGACCATGACTATCATGAGGAATGGCGGTTCAGCTTTCGAACGAGACAGCCTCCAGGACAGATGGGGTGAAGACTGACACTTGTAGGCTAGTCCCCATTGAATGACGACAAGAGGAATGTAGACGGCAACGTATTTGTAGCCTGATGCAAAGGTTGGTGCCGCGTAAGTGAAAGTTGTTTGCCAGCGTGATGACTGTGCACTCACCGATCTTGCCGAGAGCGATCGAGTCAACCCAGGTGGTGTAAGCTCCGCAAAGTTGATTGATCTGGTTCCATAACAAGAGACCCTTGCTTCGCATGGTGAAAGTTTGGACCTCGGCAGGGTACGACCAGAGCACCGGGTCTAGATAAAGACAGCACAACATGTCAGCAGATGCTCGGAATCACGCCGTTTCTGTTCGGGACTGACTGGAAAAGTTGAAGAATCCGAGGTAAAGCCAGACCATGACGACGCTATCAAACATGAACGATGTTGGGTCGCCTTTTCAATCGTCAATCCACATCAAGATGCTTACGTTGCGACACTCGCGGCCCGATTCTCCGGGTTGTTTTGGGAGACTCCCCTGTTGACGTAATAAGGTCAGCTTTCGAGTTGATACTTCGACCTGTACCCATCCTCGACTCACAAAGCTGCACAAACCCCAGCGAGACACACCAAAAGTAGCGGCCAGATCCCCAATAGGAAAGGCCTCCTGCCGACCTTTTTGCCAAGAAGCACCGCGGCGATCTGGCAGAACCACGTGAACATGCTCAGACCCGCGTTGATTCCGGTTTGGGTTGACGCGCCCGTGATACCAGCGAGGTCGAAAATGACCGTGTCTGTGAAACGTCGGGCTCTTGTGAGCGCTGTCGGCGAGATAGCTATTCAATGCTGTACTTACAGTAGTAATAGAAGATGGAGGCTGTGGACAACGGCATCTTGATCAGTACAAGCCGCACTCCTTGTGCAGTATTCGCTTGCGACTCACAACCAGACAAGGAGACCATGAAACTCATGAGCGCGGCAAGACCCAGACGATGCTGGTTCCCTCGGCTCGACAACAATGTCTTCCAGCTAGTACCTCTGGCGATTTTCTCCATCTTGATGGCTTCCTTGATCTCCTCGAATTCGAACAATACGAGTTCATCATCCGGGTTGCCATTGCCGTGGTACTTAACGAGGAAGGCCATCGCTTCCTCCTCGCGACCGACCGACATCAAGAAACGCGGGGTTTCGGGCATGAATTGGACGGCGACGAGGATCTAGGTGGCGGGCGGCAAGGTTCAGCGACGGCAAGGAGCATCTTAGCAGAGATCAGTGTGGCTCACGTAGAGAGCCATGGGGACCTGCATCAGGTAAGGAATCCTCCAGCCCCATGATGAAGCGATGTAACTGGTCCCAAAGACGGTAAAGTTGGCGATCACGGACCCGAGGATCCAGTACGAGTTCCACGAATGGGCAATAGTAACCCGGTTCCTCGGGTGGGTAATCTCCTGGACGACAGCGAGAGACGTCAAGAGGAACGAGGCGAGACCTGGTGGGACGATAGGGTTAGTCACTTTCACATGATCAATAGCCTTGGAGAAAGAACCGAAACATACCGAGACCGATGATGGCCCTTCCGGTGACAAACACTGCAGGCGAAGCGTAAGCCTATCGCCGCGGAACGATGTCAAATACCGAATATTCCTTACAGGCATAACCATCGACACCAGGAATACCAGCGCAGCAACCGATGACCGATCCAATCAACAATGTGTAAGAGTAGACTATTTCTCCACCGCATACAAATTAGTATCAGCGCCGGTCGCAAGACGCGCGATCACGCATGGAGGAACTCTTTGTGTCGAATCATCGACTCACATCGAATGCCCCACTTTCGGCCGTACTTTTCGTCGATCCAGGTGATGATAGGTCCGACGACGAACCCAGACATGTTCCCACAGGCATTTAGCAATCCGATCTTGGTACGGTTAGGATTACCGAGATCGGCGTTCCAGGAGTCCATAGCTTGAAGACCAGAGATGATGGTGCCGTCATCTAGGTGACAGAAATTGAATTGAAAATGTCAGCAGAAACACAGTGACGGCGCACGATTCGGCGTAGCTGGCTACTCACACCCGTTGAGTACCATGCCGACAAAGATGACGCTCAAGAAAAAGTTGAGCTGGAGATTTCCCTTGTTTTGGTGCCATTTGAGACCGTCCCAAGCGTTGGGACTGGAGCAGATACAAAAAGCCGGAAGGCGTCAGGTTAGTCTCGGAACTGTGCTTCGTACGGTAGCAATCGCCTTTCTTGAGGGCTCTCAAGAAGGCGGCCACAGAGATGTTCAATAACGGTATCTTCGACGACCACTCACATGAGGTGCCAATCGTTCATTCTATCCTCGACCGGAATAGAAAAACAGAGAGGCGAAAAGCAACCAACAACAAACCACAATCAGTATCCTCGAACGAGGAACTTCCTCCCTCCCGATCCCCCCGTCAGGTCCGCCTCGACGCCCAGCATATCGACAGAACGAGTGCTGGACGACGTGGCTCCCCGTTGGAAGGATCGTTCGGTCGAGAAGATCAAGGGTAGAAGGAAGGGAAAACAGCTTAGCAAAGCTCGACGTCGCAGCCACTACGCTGTTCCGCTCATTAACGGTATAATCTCAGCACGAGACGACGACGCTTCGACCCGCCCAAGATCCTGCACACGAAGCACAGGAAACTGGGTCGGGAGGAGAGGTCTCGTTCGGCACCCGTGTTGCTAGCTGTTCGGAGTGTGGTTCGCCCTCCCAATCGCTCGAAAGGGGTCACCACATCCTCCTTCGCAAGTGCCCAGAGAGGTGTATGATCGTTTTTTGCTCCTCTTCCCGCTCGGGACCTTGTTGAAAAGTCGCCAAAAATGAGATAGATGATTGGAGCTCGAGGGGAAGTCGGGGCTTTGAAACGACCAGGTGGCTCGCCGTCGGTACACTATTTCTATGCAATTTCCGGGTTCGTTTCGATGAGAAGGTGGCCGTCGTCGAATGGGACGGGCGTGTGAAGTGAGGGCGACATTGTCGAGGTTTGCGTCGTGCGGTGCTGTTTTGCCCTTCCCGAGTTGACGTTTCGGGTGAGAGGCACTGACCTGTTCGAGATTGTCGATGAGGTGATGATGTAAGAGGCTGCTTTTTTTTTTACAGCCTTGGAGATAGATTATGAGGAGCGTTGCAAGAGCAATAGTATATGAGTGCGGGTGGGTATCAAGCCTTGGCTCTATATAGCGATGGGGAGTTGGGGTTTTTCGTGGCTGGGAGAGGGAGAGAGAGAGGACGGAGTGATTGTGGGAGCATGTTCGGTCAAATGCGCCCGCGATCCGCGATTTCGATTTCATTTCCGTCGAATATGAGGGGGAACACCGCGGATAGACAACCCACTTTCATCCCCTTTTTTACTGCCTCCCCTTCCTTATCGACTTCCGTCGTCGACGGGACGGAATCTCGTAGAGATGGTGGATCTTCCGAATCTAGCGAAAACGAATCGAGAAAGACCAAGACGAAGGATCCGCTCCGGCGCTCCCGTGTGGTATGGTTATTTGCAAATCCGATCTCGTCTTGATGACATGTTACAACTTGTTGCGCAACCGAACGCCCCGGTCACACTGTCGATTCATATACTGTAGCATGTAGGCCGATGTTCCAGTATATCCGTGCGTTATGACCTCGTCAAGGTAGGAGACCCGGACTCGCTGACATCGCTCGCATTCGCCTCCTCCTCCCCACCACACCCACAGTCATACGTCCCTTCGAGCGCATTGCAATCGAATTCTTCCTTGCCCAATCGCGCATTGACCAGGTTGTGAACCGAGCACAACCAGACCGAAGCCGCTTTTCTCGAACTCGTCTGCCAGGGGCGTTTAGAGCCGCGAAACGAAGAAGGTTCATAAGCTTGTGTCAAAGCAAACTTTAGGCTTCTTCACATTAATTCACCTGAGGAGGATATTCCTTCAACAGCGTCTGAAACTCTTGAGCGCACTCGCCGCACGGGTACAAGCGGGCGAATAGGTGCATGTAGCTCTTGAGCGCATCTCGTTCGTCCTGCGTCGGACTCTGTTGAAAGGCGGATTGAAAGGCCTAGTGAGCCCCCCAACGACGATTCGCATATCGACGATGCTTACCTCGGGGAATCTCAGGGTCATCGTGTGTAGTACCTTCCAGGCTGCTCGGCCCAGTTCCGCTCTGAGGCACATAGCGGATAAAGTATTATGAGGTTTGTTATACAGTAGATATTTGAGAATACGCTTCAAGGTGCTCACTTTGCCGTTGCATTGCCCAGTTTAGACATGATCACCCCACCCGTTTCGAGCTTGTGTAGATCGGGCTTGTGTGCGTGGGCACCATGTACTTGAGAGCTTGTGCCGGGTATCGTGGTCTCGTACCCGTAACGCTCGTCCTCCATGTTATCTGCATCGACGACCCTTTGTCGCTCGCCTCCTTCCTGCCCTTCCCACGTCGACGGTCTGCTGCTCCTCATCGCCCCATAATCCGGCTCGAGCCCACCCTTGTCCCAATGCTCATCTCTGGACAATATGTCCTCTTCTATCGTGTGCACATCGTTGTCAGTGCCGGCGCTGGACGATGTCTGTTGAAAGGAAGTATGAAGCGGATAGAGGACGTAGAGGGTCGAGACGATGATGATGGCCGAGATGATGAGAAAGGTGCGGAGGAACCGTGGGATCATGGTGAGTGGCGATGAGGCGGGTACCGCACAGAGGGATAGATCGACTCTGTGTAGGCCTGGAATGTCCTGCACCTCGAGCGAGGTGACGAGGGTCTGATCTGATCAAGAGGCTTCAATCATGGATCACAGATCAAGGCGATGACCGAGGTTGACTTTTGTCAGAGAGACAGTAGTTGTCATAACGCATAATCACTATGACTCGAGGATGCTCTCGGCGGGACCCCTCGGGGGATTACAAGGGAAGAGAGGGGAGGGGAGGGGAGGGGAGGAGGGAAATCGTCCGCCGCGTCACTCCAGCGAGAGCCCAGCCTTCGGGAACCGATTCGAACCGAATCCAAGTCATCCCATCGACCACTGCTACCACCACTACTTCTCTACTTTTCCTAACTACATCACTTCCTTTCCCCCAAGTCTCCATCGTCCGTTGCTGCTTCTTGCATCACACAGACACACTTCGAATATACCCTTCACCACGACGACCATGTTGACCCGATCGACCGTCACCACCACCACCAGGCTCAGCGCCGTCGCGACTCGGTCCGTTCGGGCCGCTAGCTTTTGGAGCCAGGTCCCGCAGGGGTGAGCAACAGAATCATCGTCGACCCCGAATAAGTGAATATGAGCTGATTCGAGGTCTTGATCTGTTCGCCAGACCTGCCGACCCTATTCTTGGTAAGTCTCGATCGCGATATCACCCTTTCCCGATCGCAGCTTTCTTCCGGGCTATCGACCCGAATCCTGAACGCTTGCTATGGCTCTCGTGACGTTTATGTCTACTGACAATCGGATACTCTCGTACCATCTCGTTGCTCATTTCCAGGTGTGAGCGAGGCTTTCAAGGCCGACAAGAGCTCCAAAAAGATCAACCTCGGAGTCGGTGCCTACGTGAGTATAGTCATTTGTGTTGTGCTTCCGGACCGGAACCCGAATCGCTTACCACCTCGCACGGCATCACTTTCCATAGCGAGATGGCAACGGCAAGCCTTACGTCCTCCCCTCGGTCCTCGAGGCTGAGAAGCGTCTCTTCGAAGGATCCTTGGACAAGGAGTACCTCCCCATCACCGGGTTGGGAGACTTTACCAAGCTGAGCGCCGAGTTGGCTTACGGCAAGGACAGCAAGCCCATCAAGGAAGGAAGGGTTGCCGTCGCCCAGTCCATCTCGGGAACCGGTGCCCTCCGAATCGGAACCGCTTTCCTCGTAAGTCTGGCGTTGCAAGCTCGTCCGAGGACTTCTTTTGAGTCGAATCGTCTTGTTTCCAGGCCCGATTCTACCCCCACGCCAAGGCCATCTACCTTCCTTCCCCGTCATGGGGTAACCACACTCCGATCGCCAAGGACTCGGGTTTGGAGGTCAAGCAGTACACCTACTTTGACAAGAAGACCGTCGGGCTCAACTTTGAGGGCATGAAGAAGGACATCCAGGTGGGCAAGCTCATCGTTATTGCTGACAAACAGGTTGAGCATTCGGCTGATCGAAGTGTGGATGTGCGGCTGCCAACTTGCAGAACGCTCCTAACAACTCGATCATCCTCTTGCACGCGTAAGTCCAGCATCCCGCAGTTGCTGTCCGCGAGCCGTTATTGACCTCGGATCGCTGGATAACAGTTGCGCGCACAACCCTACCGGTATTGACCCTACTCACGAGCAATGGAAGGAGCTCAGCAACATCTTCAAGGAGAAGGGTCACTTCCCTTTCTTTGACATGGTGAGAGACCACCAGAAGAACTGTTGAGACGACAGAGGCTGACATTGCGACTCGTATTTCCCGCTTCCTCAGGCCTACCAAGGTTTCGCCTCGGGAGACATCGACTACGACGCCTTTGCCCTCCGACACTTCGTCTCCGAGGGTCACCAGCCCATCTTGACCCAGTCGTTCGCCAAGAACATGGGTCTCTACGGAGAGCGAGCCGGTGCCTTTAGCATCGTCTGCAACTCGGCCGAGGAGAAGGCCGTCAGTAGAAGCGCTATATTTCGACCTATTGTTTGGAGTGGAACTGACGCGCAGTACTACGCTCTTTCCCTTCTACAGAAGGTCGACTCGCAGATCAAGATCTTGATCAGGCCCCTTTACTCGAACCCTCCCGTCCAGTAAGTCGGTAACGCTCGTTTGCGATGTATCGGTGAGGGTAGTGACTTATTCCGTATCGTCCACTACAGCGGCGCTCGATTGGTCTCTGCCATCTTGGGTGACGAGCAGTTGCGAGCACAGTGGTTGACCGAGGTCAAGGGTATGGCCGACAGGATCATTGACATGAGGCATGGTCTCCAGAGCAGTGAGTGCAAACGACAACCCTGCGACATAAGCCTTGGTCACTAAACTTGCCCGCTCCCTAGTGCTCGAGGACATGAACACCCCCGGAAGTTGGAAGCACATCTCCAATCAGATCGGAATGTTCAGTTTCACCGGTCTCAAGGCCGAGGCCGTCGACGCCCTCGCCGCTAAGGCTTCGATCTACATGTGAGCGTGCTGCCAACTGTGTCGCTGGCATCATGGCAACCGTATTGAACGTTTCGTTCCTGAACACAGGACCCGTGACGGACGAATCTCGATGGCCGGTCTCAACAAGAACAACCTCGAGTACTTTGCCGAGAACGTCTCCAAGGCCGTCAAGGGAGAGTTGGGCGACTCGACCCACGGCGCTCCTACCAAGCCTCCCAAGGGATCCGCTCCCGAGCCCGCCCAGGGCGCCAACTAGGCCGTGTACACAAAGGTTGTCGGGAGACGGGATAGAATAGCATTTACAAAAGGTATAGCAAGATGGGTTTTGTAGGAAGGCAAGAATTTACGTACCATCATAGGAGATAGATCGATATTTCATGGCCCTTAGGATTGGTAGACTGTCGCGGAGGGGCGAGAGGTCGTGTAGAGTGCTCTGCATGACAAAAGTCGGGCGAACGGCTCCTCTATCGCACGCAGTCCAACTGTGACTTCTCGTGTTGACAGCTCGCTTTCCGGGCAAGAACCCAAGTCCGGCATTATAATCTGATCACATCCAGCATGGTCCGGAACCCGTAACCCCTGCGTTGCGATGAGAATGATCGGAACAAGCAGACAATGATGATCTGAGCAAAAGGATGAGCTGAGGGCAGGAGCGTTACAGAACCCGCGGACACGGTAGTATGATTCTGGTGGTATCTATGAGCAAGTTGATCGACAATGCTGGTTGGGTACCTTTCTGAACAACAGGTTGGTCAAAGTTTGCTAAGCGGGGAACGTTTCGCGCTTAGTACTGTAGATTTCCAATAGCTCTGCGTCGAGTGGAATCATCCTGTTATTCTACCAACCTGATGAAAACTTTCGCGACGGCGCGGTATTAGCGTATCGACAAAGCCCAGTCGTAGAGGTAATCCGTTCAGCAGTTTTGGTCAGACAGACAAGGGAGATCAAGCGGCGTGCCACTCTGCATCACTAGTAGCACGATAACGACGACATAATTATCTCGCTTGTATCAAGTAAGTCGGAAAAAGACAGCTGGCAGTCGCCCAAGTGTCATCGGCCAGGATCATGGTCGGATCGCTGGGTTATCGCCTCGTCGAATTGTGGGCAGGTCGCACGAGCCACATCTTGGCGCTGAAGTACCTAAACCTGTCTTGGAGTATGGTTTCCAGCGATGCAGCTTGTATACTAAAGACAAGGCGGGTAGATACGGCTGTACGCGCTGTACGCGATATTTAAGTTGGTCAGCCTGCTCTGACATATCTAAAACAAGCTGAAACATGCTCCGCGCGCGTGAGTTCCAGGCGAACCGATCCACAACAACGACAGCGACAATAACCATGACAACACTAATGACGATCAGTACGGGTGGCACGTGCTACATCTATTGAGGCGAGATCCACGCCGAGCGTTCAACCTGATTTGTAAAGATCACCTAATCTTAGCGCTCATACCGATTGATACTGTGGTGAAAGGTGTACCTACCCTCGTTGAGCTGCTTGTGTGACTGCCATCGTCAAACCCCAGCCCATCGATTGGGCGAAGGAATTCATGATGCTTGGTAAATTGCTGGTGGCCTCGGTCGGGTAGATCGGGACAAACCTGACAGGCGATTACGTGCAAACTGCTTGCTTCAAGGTTTATCGTGCCAAAAATGCGTGAGATTAGCAAAAATATAGCCCATTGTGGGGATCGAACCCACGACCTGCCGATTAAGAGTCGGCTGCTCTACCAACGGAGCTCAACGGGCTATTCTGCCTTAGATGTTTGACCGACACCTTGATAAAATATAATTGCTAAAAATGGGACTGCTGATCATTGATTTAATCAACTCCGCAAGCCGAACGCTCATGGCTCAACCTGCAATCTGACTCTTCACAACCGCTCTTTCTGTTACGATATACTCGTTTTACAGTATTACAGCTGGCAAAATCATACATCGTAGCCATGAATACACGTGCATCAGTCGTACGATTGACTCAGTGATCCATAGGCTGGTGCAGTTTCGTTGCTGACGTCTTACCGTTCCCTACTTACAACAGGTCTACGGATGGGGAGTTCTCATTGCCGGAGCTGCCATCGCCTATGGTATGGCGAAACCTTCGATCGATGAGCGACGTCGAATTGCTACCGAGAATGGCCAAAGGCCTCTGGAGATCAAGACCTGTGCGTAACATCTTCATTCAGCCTGTGGTCGCCCTTATGGTACTCAAAGACAGCACCGCAACGCAGGGCAACAACGAGTAGCCGAATCCGAACGAGCGGTGATGGATAATTTGGCGACCCCTGATCCACAAGCGAAGGCAGCAGCTCAAATCGGAGCAATCGGAAACCCAGGCGAAAGCGGGACATCAGGGCTCGGGGCGGGACTGGAACACGCCGGACGGGGTGTCGGTGTGGGCGACGGACAAGGCAAGAAGTGATCGTATCAGGAATACTCTGATGACTCGTACGACAACCGAATCGTCGTCTTACTTCAATGCTGGATGGAAAGAGTCGTGTAGTTGGAATGAGTGGGCGGAAGTTACCAGGATCATCATTTCTACGGGGCATACGATGCTCGATGCTCGACCTTCACTGTATCTGATGTACGTCTGACGACCGGTCATTAATGACATATGTTACGATGGTATACTCCCTAAAAGTTCTCCTTTCCGTAAAAGAACCGGCATCCTTCAGGCGTCGTATGGGTATTACACATCAAATGAAGCTGCTTGGAGAGTACGGGCGGGCCACAGAAGCTGGGATCATCACAACAAGGCGGGTCAGGTATCGTCAAGCCGGGTGAAGACGCCTTGGCTCACAATACTCCGCAGTCCGTATCTGGATGCTTGCTCGCTATGCTCTCGAACACTCGGTCCCACTGCGAAAATTGACGGGGTCAGTCAGTGCGACAACTCAGCATGTCTTGCCAAAAAGACACTCACATTCGGCCTGCCAAAGTGGGTTGGTGACCGTAGCGAAGTGATGGCGTCCTTGTCTGCTCCAACGTCTTGAAGCTGCAAAGCCGACATGACTATGTCAGCGTACCGTTCTCGAGACCCTGCTCGCAATCTTGATACGCACGAGAATGTTGTTCATCTGATCTTCGGTGATTTTGGCGGTAAGGTAGATATGTATCTCTATGCGCTGCTCCGTATCCTCGGCCTCGATCGCCTCCAGCAAACTGTGAAACCATTCGGCCGAACCAAAGTCCCGAATGACCCAGACAAAGTAGACCTTGCTCAAGCGAGTCTTTTCCCCTCGTCCAAAGTCGTTCATGCGGTACCAGATGGACTTGAGGATAGAGGCGAAGGGTGTCACTCCAATACCAGCTGGAGACAACATAGACCATTCAGTACGCTCACAAAGGTATCTGATCGACACCCAACTTCACTGACCTCCTACCAGCAAGACGGTTTCAAACTTGTTGAAATCCTCTGAAGCACTTCCGAACGGTCCATCGATCATGACACGGGGTAGATATCGATTGAGTGGGGTCTGCACCGCGACAGCATCCTTGCTCTTGCCCAAATCGATCGCCTTGTCCTTTGACTTTCCCTTGTAGCCGCCACCTTTCTTTTGGAAATCGCATCCAAGCACTTTAGCGAACGCTGTCGTCCAGTCCCCTTCGACACGGATATGACACGAGAGATAGTCTTCCTCTGGCGCTCTGCAAGAGAGAGGTGTGAGCAGTTCTGGATGCATCTCACTGTTGAGAGATAGGCACTGACGAAGTCAAGGTGAACGGATCTGTTCCAGCGGACAGGGTTTAGTTTCATGCAAATCGGAAAATTCGGCCAGAAAACGTACGGTACTGCCAGTAGCTGATTTCGGGGCAGTTGATGAATATATATTGTCCTGCCCTGACAGTCGCATGTTCTTTCCGGATCTGAACCTCCATCACATTTGACGGATGCTGAACCACTTTGCTGATGGTAGTCTTGTGATTGGCCCGGACCTCTCGGAGTATGCGCTCGGCAATGAAGAGTAGTCCTCCAGGTAGCCAGTATTTCTGCATGAGTAGACGTTGTCAGTGAAGAAGCGAGCCAGTAATAGCCCTCCTGATGCCTACCCAGAATACCGCATACATGGAAGCCTTGCAGTGCTCGGTGCGATCCGGTTTGATCATGCCTGTACGCAGATGAAGAAATCTGAGCCGAGGTAAAGCTGAGACTGGCGCTGTAACACTCACAATACATTCCGTGCAATTGCCAGCACAGGAAGAAAAGCACAAATAGCTGAACAGGTCAAGAATATCCCTGTCAGCTAGTTTTATCGGTTCCGTTCTCGCCACAACCCACATGATGCGTGTACCAGAATCTTTCAAAGTTGGCTCGTTTCCGCTTCTCCATCGCGAACCAGACCATCAACCAGAGGCAGGCGGTCATGATCCACCCAGTAAGGCTAAAAGTCGATGAAAGGGTTTGATTGTGAGCTCGTCAGTTCTATCCCCGCAGCGCATGACCCGGGACTCACCCCGGTCCAGTCCAAAAGTTATACTTGAAAAACCCTCCTACGCCTCTGTCGGCACGAATAAACCAAATTAGCACTTGGTAGAGCGCGCAGGCAGTTTCCAGCCTACTCACGTTCCCTGAGCCTTTGCCAGCTTGTAAAAGTTGGCTTGATGCGATATCTGTTGACGATCCGAGCAGGTCGCCTGCTAAGCCTTTTATCCTTCAAACCCATTCGAACCTGTGCTTACGGTATGTACTGATCCGTTGAATAATCCAGGTATATTCAGCATCTCACTAGGTCGAGATGAAAACATGCCAGGCTAGCTTACCGGTTGACCATGCCCAGATGGAATACCCGATCTGCTTGTGGAACGAGATGTTCTTGTCGAACCTAAGCGAGCGAGACATATTTTATCTTCCATTAGCCTGATCCTTTCCGCTCGGTCGAGTAAGTTGTATGACTTACGGGATGACCTCGCCCAACGGTGTCCTCCTCAACAGGCTGATAAAGTTCCGGCAGATGGGTAATAAGATGAAAGCCAGGTCCACATCTAATACCATGGCCGCCGAACGAGAACAGACTGGATACAGCGTGTGCATCGCATATTTAGCTCGAGAGCTCGCGGTATAGAACAGTCCGGCTCGACGTACCGTAGCTGGCTCCGAATACCGCTCGGGCAGCACTCAGGTTGTCTTTGAGTGCATAGTGGAGCAAAGCAAAGGCAAAGAGCAGAACCTGAATCAAAATCCAGACTCCATAGAAAATCGATCTAGACCCTGTCGTTTGCGATGACGAGACGATCGTGGTCAGAAGATGTCGGATCTCGGAATGGATGATTCGTAGGACTAACCATCATTGACCATCCAGATCCGTAACCGTCTGAGATTTTGCCCGATCCAACCGGTCTCCCGAGTCACCTCCGACTCCCCATCTCCCAACCTCAACTTGGTCGGCGTACTTGACCATTGCATCAATCCCTGCAACCTTCCCCTCTCAGAAGCATTCCTCGAGAAATGCCCTGGTACAGCTCTGGATGTCCCCGTTCCGGTCGCACCATCGTCTCCGTGGAAAAACGACTGTCTGAATCCTCCTGCTCCTCCGCCTCCAAAGGGGTTGTATATGCTAAACCGACTGTTCCGAGCCTGAGGTGCGCCGATGATGCTGTGGTACCACGATTTCCGTGCATTGGGATTGGATTCCGAGAATCTCGGTCGAGGTCTCGGTAGAGGGACTTGGTGCGATGTTTCCTCGGTCAGCCCGAAAGCTGATGGCGGAGGATACGTATTGGTAATAGGAGACGGTCCCAAGTGTTCTTCCTGGTTCCCGTATGTGAAGACGTCAGATTTCGGGGAACTGGTAAATTTCGGCGAGCTCGGTCCGGCTCTGGGACCGGGTGCTCCGTTGTAATGAAGTTCGTGAGTAAATGCGTGGTCGTGTCGAAGTCGTGGCGAGCGTGCAGGGTATGGGTCAGAGAAAGGATCGTCTGTGATATCCTTTGAACCTGTATGTCGGTGTCTAGGTGTACCTCCTCCTACCATGCTGCTCCGCAGCGGTGAGAGTGGCATGATAACGAATGATTCTTGCGACTGAGCACTTTGAGGCTCTGGTTCGCGGTCCTGTCTGTGTCCTACTCTGTAGAGAGACGATCGAACGGTATTGAGAAGGACCATGATTAGACAAAGGGGTGTGCGTGGTATTGAATCGGCGATGAGACTTGCCTCAAGAATGATGATGAGGTCTGCTCAGCAGAATCGGTTCGATGTCCGTTTCGTTATATAGTCGTTAGAAAAGCAGAGCGAGGGTGAGAGAGAGACTGATGTATCGGTTGCCGGTCGACGACAGTTTGATGGTCGTCGATCGCATCGGTCGTCGTCGTTTCAAGAGGAACAAGAGATCAAGAGACCGAGAGGAATATCGCGAGCAGCGAGAGCAGCAGAGACTCGGGCAAAGGATCGGAACCAAACCTTTTACTTCCGATGCAGTGCAGCAGCTCCGCACACCGAGCCTCGGCGATGCCGTAATCGAAATGGAATGGTACAAGTTACACGCGACGTTTCAGCTCGACCCCACGACGACGGTGATGCCAAGGACGACCAGCACGATCCCGATCAACATCCTTTGGTCGCAAACGACCGCGGGCCGGGCCTCTCCGATCCAGCTCATCACGCCCCCTCCACCATCGTCGCCTCGATCGCTCCAAGGCTCGCCAAAGGTGGGGGTGCCGTTGTTGTTTTGACCCGTACCCGGCGGACTGTACACTCGGAGGTCGTTGATGGCAAAGTATGCCTCTTTGAAACTGAAGATCGTTCGATATTTGTCAGTCCATAATCTTGCTTCATGATCTACGCATAATTGGACAGAGGGGGTTTCGGCTTACTTTGCCGCCGTCATGACCGTCTCTGCACACGTCCCAGGACACCCCGAACCCGACCAAGCGCCCGGTGATCCTGCCCAGTCTCCGCAGAACTGTGTGTAAATCGAATCAGCTATCCGACTCGCTGTATGAAATCAGAATACTCACAGTGATGTCTGTGGAACAATAAGCCATGCCGACATTTTGCCTCGATTGGCCATCAATTTCACAATCGGGAACGCGAAAGACATAGCTTACCAAAGATCATCTGCATCTCGGTGAAATGACCTGTTATGCCGTTTCCGTTCAGTCCGCTCCATCAGCCCTCCGCTTATCGCAATACCAATCCCGAGATACTTGCGAAAAGGATCACATCCGCTCGCAGCGAAATGCGCATCAGGTAACCTCCAGCTGTCCGGCTCGGGCGTCCGACTCCGATCCCATACGTCCTCAGGCGTATCCCACCGTTTGAAGATCCCTGAACACTGATCGCGTCAGTACCAGTACGAGATAACAGGTAGTGATACTTGTTCTTACATATGCTAATCCCTCCATCCATCCAAGCCGTGACATATACCCCTCCTCCATCGTCGTTGAATCCCTTACCCGTTGTCCGATCTGCGGCCGAAGCGATACCGCAGCCATCATTCTTGCCTGGAGCGGAATGGCAATCCGTGCCCTGGAGCCAGGAATATTAGCTGAACCACTTTTCATCAAGTCTTCGCGTCGGCTTACCAATGTCTGGCCAGAGAACACTCCTGGGCTAGTCAGCTTACAGCCTGTCAACGCCAATTTGACATTTTCTCAGTATTTGTATCAATCGGTGTATTGCCTAACAGACTTCGTACCCTCCCCAGTGTGCAGAGTCATCTGATTCCTCTCCGCTCCATTCACCCCTTCTACGATATCTACCTCCCCGCCATTTGGCCAGTTCGGACCGCAGTACCAGTAAGCTGGCCAGATAGAACAGCCTGTAGGAATATGGTCCAGGTCGAGGATCGTCAGAGATGGAAGGGAGAGGAGACGTTTCGAGTGTATTCGAACGGATGGGCGAGGTTGGTTCAGGCCTAGGTCTGTCCACTACAGAAAGAATTCGGTGTCATCGAGGTGATCTGTAGAAGCTAGATTCATCGCGACTCGACCTACACTATCGGCTCGCATGATCACCTTTCGATAGATATGAGGAGGTCATGATTCAGCTCAAATAATCGTCTCAAAGCCCGTTACTGCTTACTCGACCCTCTCCATCCGTATATATCAGCCCCTTATCTCGACACTGATCGACCGTCTGGTAATCCACGATCCCGTTTGTCGGGTCTCGATCTGACCAGAAGTCCCAGTCGCTGAGACGCAACAGCGGTATTGTCAGCTATGTGCAGGAGAAGCCGTTGTGGAGGTGTTGGTGCTTACTCGAAGAAGCTAGGACCTTGATAAGACTGCTGTAAGACCCACTCTGGATCTCCTAAGTTTCGGCCTTGTGGTCTGGCATTAATCGTGATCCCGGTCGGCAAGAGGAGGACGTATAGCAGAGGTGGTATGGACAGGATTCTGGGTCGCATCGTCGTGTACTGACGGGTTGCTCTGGAAGATATTTCTGTAGGTCCTGAACTCCAGTATATCAGGCTCTTGTTCTATCGAATGAGGGCGTCCGAGATCTGAAGGCATAGGCAGTCGTGGTTTTCGGAGACTGCAGCGGTTATATATGGGGCGTTCGCTTCCATCTCGGCCGAATTCCCACTCGAACCTTCTCCGATCTGTCTTGCGGGTATACTCAGCTCCATGTCGAGTCTCTATCGGAGTTGTAAACTTTTCCTGGGGAACGTCGATCGATTCAAAGGAAGGGTCAAGCTCGACGTCTTTGTTCTCACCCATCGCGGGATGATGCCGGGCATCTGCCGAGACAGCGGAAGCGAAAGCGTTTTCTGACGCGCCAAGGCTTTGCGCTTTTGTAATAAGGTGAAACGCGAAATCGGGTATCATCATCCGTCGATTTATCGGACAAGGCAAGGACGTAAGGACGAGCTGCTCTCAGCGATCATTTGGCAAGCATCAAACAATTCAGTGGATGCAATAAAGACTTGTAACAGGGGCTGCTGAACATTCCTCAACGGCTATAGTGACACTACATGGCCATCGTATAGATCGTTACATTCTGACGCCTTCAGCTGGATCCCCTTCTCTCCGAAGTGAAGTGTTTCCTGTGCTTGTTCACGCCGGGATCATTGGGGTCCATGGGTCGTTCTTCCTGGTGGTTCAGCTTGTTCTCCGCCTCCTGCCACCTGTTCTTCAAAGTATCCTGGACCACGACTCCATCCTTCTCATCCGCCTTCATGGCATTCTGGGCCTTGCGAAGAGAGGCGTGCAGAGACATGGCTTTGGCTGCGGTGTACAAGCTGTCCTGTATGCTTCTCAGGCTTTCGTTGAAGTCTTTCAAAGTCGCATCTGAGTAGTCGTCGAACCGGGAGGAGAAGGAGGAACCCTGAGTGTTGCTGGATTGAGTATCGGGCATGGTGATGTCGGAAGCTGGAAATGTTAGTGCAGTGACGAGCGAGCTTGCTATACCAGTACAACGATTTTAGGGAGAACAGGGACGATTTTCTCGAACAGCCCCTGGACTTTATACGAATCGGCCATCGATGTTCATGGTTGTCCTAAGCAAGTGTCGGACTCTAGAACTACCCTATCTTATGGGTTCGAACGTTCGTGACCTGATAAGCCTGTCCCTTGCGCTCGCTCGCAGCGCAGTCAGACTTGAGCATATGATCTAAGCCCTGAAGCTTCCTTTCCTTCATTCGTAATCTATCGGCTCAATGTAGCCGCACCTGGTCGAATCTGCTTGATTTATGATATTATTAGCTTCAGCTTATCAGCGACCATGCCGAATAACGTGGCCGAGAGAACGTTTGCCAAGGTGTCAAGAGCAGTAGAGTCCTCGTCAAAGGAAGGACCGCATAATGGCATATCAGTACCGTCTTGTTGATTAAGAGAAAGTAGAACAACGCACGTGTGATATGACATCTTTCATGACCCTTGTGACATGTCTGGATGGGGCAGAGCCGGTTAGGGGATGCCATGAGCACCATAATATTGCTGCTCGTCCAAGTTGATCTATGTCACAAGGGGAACCTGTTATTATCAGTTCCTCTTGATCAGTTCCTCTTGACCCTGAGGGATCCCCGCTTGCAGGTACTTTGCCGAGTCTTCCCATACTGCTCAGATCAGATTTCTTCTCAGTCTGGGCGTTGCCCATCGCCGCTGCAGGCACCAGAAGACCTCAAGCCTTGCGATCGCCCCCTTGTACCAACTACTAGCCAACACAATATCATTTAGGATGAGTCTTACCATGCTTGTCTTTCCGGACCTCGGTTGATCAACGAGAGGGGTGGACTGTGCGTCGTTCATCTCGCGTTTGGTATGAAGTAGTTCCCGGCATGCTGTCCTACAACTCAGAGTCAGGTAACAAATCCTTACGGCTTCCCTCGAGCCTGAGCTGCCCCCAGCAACCCTCTTGCCATTTTCGTCAGCGTACATGGTCCCAAGCAATATCCATCCCTATCCACTCTCACAAAGGAAGATCAGAAATGGTTTGCAAATCTGGTGCAGCATACTGTGTGGATCTTGCTGTCCAAAGACGAAAAAGCGGAGTGTTGGCTCACCCATACTCATTACCAGTGGAAGGAAAAGGGAGATGGAAGAGACATTGACACATAGACGGCGGATCGCCTCGGACCACTGTTCATAACACCGTCACCGCAACGGGATTGAGACTCGACGGTGGCTGTGACTGGGGAGTTGCTGGATTTCAAGGTGGTTGTTGGAGATGGAAGAGGATATGCAATGGAAAAGGACGGAACGGGGTAGGTGATGGTTCGATGCTGAGACTCTACCGACTCACGGCCGAACAGGATAGGCTCAGCGATCAAGAAGCAACGGACCCGCCATGAGGTGCAATGTTGACGTGGAGGGGACACCACTACTTAGTGTCAGGCCAGGGGTCACAAGATCGTCATGTCCTTGCCCATTCCACCTTGGCCCGCTCCACCCCCTTTTCAAGCGTCGCGTTCACGAACGTTTCCGACTTCCGTCAGCACGACACAGATCCTATATCAACCTGAACACCAAAAAAGCATGTCATTGCAAAGAACTGAACGTTATACACGGGTGGGTAAAATGCAACATGGTGCGCTGTCTAGGTTATAATCTGCAGAGCCAAGAATTCCGAGTCAGAACGATTAAGACTGAGCTGAGATACCATAGCGACATACCCGATCGCTTTTGAGATGCCGAAACCCAAGGTGACGATAACCGCAGTGGCCAGAATCGAGGCAGGAATACCGTTCTTGAGGAAGTCGCTGGCGGCGATATATCTCTGCCCGAGCTTGTTCTCCTGTGCGATACTGGTGTCGCAGACGGAGTAAGCGGAATAGCCGAACATTGCGCCGCAAACCGGAACTCACGCTGTAATGTTGGGGAAACCGCTCTGAGGGAGACCCATTCCAGCGGAGCAGATCAAGGTACACAACATGATCAAGAGCCTCGGATGAGGATCGGCCAACCCCTCGCCGACCTTCTCGGCAATAGGCACAAGCAGGACCGCAGCGATCGTATGTGAGATGCTGTGAGAAGCTGAAGTTGAGCGTCGGCTGCGCAGTAATATAGCAACCCGAACTCACAAGGTTGCAACGACCAGACTGATGCAAGCAAAGACGAGGACTACGCTGAACAGGCCCATCCCCTCGACAGCCTTTTCCAATACCTTGTTGAGATCATCCAGCAGACCGGATGATAGTACCGCTCGACCGAGTGCGGATCCGGACATGGCGATGAAAACGATCGACCACTGGAAGGAATGGAAATCTTGCTGCAATATATGAATCAAGTCGACTGTATGAGCTATCAAGGCGATTCTGATGCTTGGCCACTCGCACCTCACCTTTGACAGGACGCCCGTGCCGAAAAAGGCGATGATTGGGATGATGGCGATCACTCCCATGTCGCCGACCCAGGCTTCAAACTTCTTCTCGATGCACCAAAGTATGATTGTGATGGCAGTGACGAAGAGCACATACCAATGCGTCCAGGTAAGGGGATCGGTGTTCTTCCTCATCCGGGGGATAGATAGATCCCTCTCCCATCGGTAGCCGATATGCAGATACGACCATATGGCTACCACAGACACGGTGGCGACCGGGAGCGAAACAGCGAACCATTGCAGCCACGACAAGGGAGGGTCCATAGCTGCTAGACCGATCAGGTTCTGCGGCGATGAGATGGGAGAGGCTTGCCCTCCGATATTCGAAGCCAGGGCGATCGCGATCTATACGTAAAGGACGGCTCAGGAAAAGCAGCGAGATCCGCCACATAGAGAGGTACTCACAATCAGACATCGAGAGAAGGCCGATTTGGGAGGTAGCTCATCCGTGATGGGCTGTATTTGTGCGATCCCAGACGCTCAGCAACTATAGGGAGGCACCCGGTTGGGGACGACTCACCTTGATGAGCGCGTAACACAGAGTGGGCGCAGCTACGTTGCTGATCCACATGCTCGCAAATGTCGCAATGCACATCAAGGTCAACAACACTACGCTTGGCTTTGACCCTGCAGCGTTCAAGACCCTAGAAGCGGTCATGACATCAAGTCGAGTCTTCGATAGTACCGCCGCGATAGTGAAACCTCCGAGCAAAAGACCGATCGTAGGCGAGAACATGACCGAAAAGATGTACTTGCTCGCCTCGCTTGCTAGCATCCGCTCGTCCTTGCCGTCAGTGGTTCGCAGCACCCCGAGCGCGACCGTCAAGAATGGCACGAAGAAACTGGTTACGAACAAGGGGATAGCCTGGTGACGGGTGATTTCGGTTCAGTTGAACGGGTGCGCAGCCTCGGGTCGTCCACTACTCACCTCCGTAGCCCATAACAGTGTACAGAAAACCAACATAGCCAAGCAATTGCTTTCCTCTTGCCTGTCAAAGGGATTGACCTTGACGATCACAACCAAGACGATCGCGGCAACCACGCAGATAATGCCGTTCCAGCTTAGCCAGGTGGGCACGTGCAGGCTACCCAGCGGCGTCCGAACAAGACTGTGGGTCTTTTCCGAGGAAGAATGACCTTCGGTGACGACCTTGAGCTGATTATCGTTCTGGCGACGTTCGGAAACCATCTTGGACCAGATGGTTTCCCTGTCAACGACGATCTGCGGAATCAGATTCGATGACACGTTAGCGTTGGTGAAGGAAATACAAGACGATAAGAGGACAAAGTCGAGTATTTGCTGACCTTTTCCCGGAGCTGTGCTCGCAGTTGCTGCTTGGCGAGCTCTAGATCTCCACCAGCGGCGACTCGCGCGTACAGGTACAAGATCTTTTCCATGGTCTCTTCGAGGTGTTCCTTGGTCTCGGTCTGCCACGGGTACGAAGTCATAACCGTCGACTCGATGTAACGCTTCTTGAGCTGTGAAGAGATCGATCTGTCAGCTGAGCAGATCGGCAAGTCAGAGCAGGGAACATGGGATGAGATTTACTTTTGATCCGGTGTTCTTGTCGTACCTGTCGTTATTTCGTCATGTATCAGGATCTTTGGTCCGAATAGTCTAGACGACAAACCTTCGACCATCGACTTACTTTTTCAGGATTTTCTCGAACGCCGTCAGGTTCAACTCGACATAGCCCTTCAGGGCATATCCATCCAACCACATCCTGGCGATCCTCTTCTTAAAACCGATCCTCAAGACCTTTCCATAATCCGAACTAGCGGTCCAGATGTAATCCACTCCCTCGCCGTCCTCACCGGACAATCTCGGTCCACCGGTACTGTGGACAGCAGCCGAGGTGGAAAAGATGCTATCGGACAGGGGTGTCGGGTCGATCATGGGGATCAACCCGAGGTTGCCTCGATTGCGGGACATGCTGGCGGCAGGACCTAGCCCGCCAGAGGAAGCAGACGAAGCTGACATTCGACGGTTCTCGTCGCTCGTACGTCTGCCGAGATCAGACGAGGTGGTACGGTTGAGTCGGGATCTCCGGGCGTTTGAACGTGATCGCGCTCGGGTCTCCTGTTGCACCTGAGGAGTGAGGGAAGCTTCGAGAAGATCGGCTTCGTCTCGCTGAGGATCGGTCGAGAGGAATCGGTTCGAAAACGAAGCGAGGTTCTTTTGCATGAACGACTTGTTGGCGCGTTGAGGAGATTGCGGGGTATAGGAAGATCGACGACCGTTGGGGAGTCCTTCTTCCAGACCTGCACCATCTTGACTGCTCCGGAACCCCGAATTGCCAAGGTTCTCCTCCCGGTCGCTAAGCCCTTCTTCGTCCTCGTCTTCCTCTTCGATGATATCGTCAAACTCGCGTTCTTCCAGCACCCGGACTTCCCCCAAGATGGTCTTGAAGGTGTTCTGCAGCTCATCCTCGGTTTCTTTATAGAATTCGATGACCTTGTTCCGCTCCCGATCCAGAGCTGATGTGAACTCCTCCTCGCTTGCCCCTTGCGGCCTCTCAGCGGTCAGTAGCGGGGAGGCCTCTGGGTCATCCTGTCGATTGGCACGGTAAGACGGCTCGAAAGGCTCGGCCGGGAACATCTTCTTGAGGCCGTCATAGCTGATCAACAATAGCAGGAGATCTCCCTGATTCAGCGAAATCGGACCAGGAAACCAGAAAGCTGCTAAGAGGCTCACTCGACATATTTGTCAAACCATTCTATATTCGAATTCAGCTCCAAAAGGGTACTGCACGGAAAGTCAAACGATGTCGATACAGTAAGAATGCCTTCATGTCAGTACCAGTGTTCAATCACACAGCTTTGGGCCAGTATGAGAGATAGAAGGTGGATCACCACGACATACCCAAACTTCATCCTGCCGTCTCTTCTTTTCCAAGCGACGTTCCTCTGTGCCGACTGCTGTGATGGGCCGTGATTGAGTGGTAAGAGGGGGATATGATCACCTCCTCGACCTTCTTGCTCTTGATGTATTATGAAGCGGTCACTAGCACGACCGAAAAGAGGTCGACTCTGTTCGCTGATGTTGTCGGTACTACTATCGACGTCGTCCACGTGAGAGATAGCGGGTCGAGGTCGTGCAAACTTGTCGAGGAACGGCAGGCGTTGGAGGTTCGATAGGAGGTCCAGGATGATGGCGAGCGGAGATAAAAGCGGCCACAGTCAGCGACACCCGATCGGAGCGTTGTGCACTGAGCTGTCTTGTCGAGTCGACAGGTGAATGAACGTTGTTGCTTGAATCTTCACGAGAGCTTACCGCTCATTCCCCCCCCCTTGTCAGAAATGCCAAGCTCGACGATTCGAGTTGATCACGCGTGCGAGAAATCGGTGTCGATGCCCCTAGCCGTACAGCCAGACAGGACACTTCAATCGGTCGCAACCCTGTCCACGAGCCTCGTTAATCATGTCTTATGGGTACAGTGATATGCCTCTGTGCTGTGATATCATACACGTGTCGTCTATCGCTCGTGACAGTCTTACCACCCTCAAGTAGGTCGAGCCCAATTCGAATCCTCAAACCCTTGATCCCCAAACCTCCTCTGACCTGGATAAGGTTGCTCTATCAAGACAATTGCCCCAGGGGGAATGAATACTGTCAGGGCCTGAACGTAGTGTGCTGCTGTTGAACTCAGGACTGTAGGAACTCACCCTTATCCGCGTCAGGTCCGAGCTCGTCGTCGTTCTCCATATCGTCCTCGTCCTCATCATCGTCGCCTTCCCCATCTTCCTGATCGTACCACCTGTAGGATGAAGTTTCCAGTACGATGACATACTATAAGCGTCCCCTCCGATGTTTATCACATACCGACAGCACTCACCGATCTTCCCGCTCGTTCATCCCATGAGGTCCAAACGGATTCTTCCCCGGTCCAACCCCACTGCCCGGTCGATCATCTCCCGTTCGACCTCCCGGCATGGAAGCTGACGTCCGTGTAGACTCGGACGTGGACATGTCCTTCATCAGACGTTCGAGCTGAGACTGCTTGTCTGCCTCTTTCTTTGCTGCCTATCAATGCGACGGAGGGGATGTAGATGAATAGTCAGTTTAGTGTGGAGAAGGTGAGAAGGTGATGAGAGGTGATCTTGCCTTTTCCTTGGCTTGTTTTTCCAGCTCGGGGCGATAGTCCCTGCGTCGATATGACCAACAGCTTAGATCAGCATTCCGACAGCCTGCCATGCTAGTCCCCTCACTCACCGATCATACTCCTCCCTAGCCTGCTCGACCTTTTCGAAGAACTCTCCAATCCCCTGCCCTGTCATCGCGCTCACCCCGACCGTTCTGAGCCCCTCATAGAATTCGTCCAAGACCAGACACATCGAGTTCATCAACGAGTTCATGTAATTAGCTTCCCCGTCGCCGCCCTCGGTGGAAGCTTGCAGGGATTTCTGGAAGAGTTGCCAATCGTTCATCCAGTCGACTGCGAACTGATGAGGTTGAACGTCGGTCTTATTGAAGACGAGGATGAAGGGCAGACGGGTTTTGTACAAGATCCTGTCGAGTGCGGCGTCAGCTTGCAATTCGATTTCGACGAGATTCCTCTATGCATCGTGCCGGGTCTACTCACGAACAAGCGTACAACATGTTGCTCATGAACGTACTCGGCGACGTCGTCCTCGGCGTATCGATCACGTACGCCACACATGTCGGCATGGAACTGGCGATGGATTCGGTGATGATCGATCCCGAAGCAGACCAGGTGAAGATCTCGATCTGGCCTGGAGTGTCTAGGAGGATATGACTAGAAGGAGCGAGAAGAAAATGCGAGTGGTATCAAAGAGGAGAAGGTCAGATTGTAACGGAAATGAGAGCCCCCGAGTGAGAGGAAGGGACAAGGCGCAGCGGGTCACTCACTCGACGCTCTCGCTACGCTTTTCTACGAAACCCAAGACCTGGTCGAACTTGGTAGTAAACAAATTGAGCGCCGTCAAGATCCCTCCATTCGGTCCGAGATTGTACCTATCCAGCCGGTCAATGACGAGGAAACAGAAAGAGGGTTTCAGGAAAAGTAGGGAGACAGATAGATAGAGGTTCCGTATTAGTCATACAGAATCAAGACCCTCTCGACTCTCATACTGACTGTTTCATGACTTCCCGGTAGTCGACCGTATCCCGAATATCAATGTTCGCTTCGTAAGGCATATGAGTCACGGCAGGATCCAGGTTGAGGATGTACGGAGGGGTATTCTTGGAGTGGAGATACGAGTTGAGACGTTGCATCAGGGTCGTCTTGCCCTGCATATCCAGCGCAGATCAGGTTCAAAATCAGTAAAATACAGAAGCAAGAGCAGAAAGTTGTTGAGCGAGTATAGAAAAGCTTACAGATCCTGCCATTCCGATAACGACGATACAAATGGGCTGTTTCTTCTTGGTCTCGCCATCGTGAGCTGCGTTCGAGGTCGAGCTGGATGAGGCGGTAGGTTTGGGTTCGGAAGGTCCCGACGCCGGTTCTTCCGCTGGAGGTACGCTTGATGGGACGGTAGAATCAGACATTCCGAACGAGTGCTAAATCTTCTGTGCTGTCCGAAGTAGAAGACGATATGATTGTTGCAAGGGAGGTTCATAAGTTTGTTGAAATTACAAGACGGATGGACATGACCGAGGTGGAATTTCAAGGGAGCAAGCGCCCTCGTCGCCTTGAAATCTAGATTACGTAATCAAAATGATCGCTCTCAAAAGACTGCTTCTCTGTTGCTGTTGTCACAAGCAAGTCCCCTTTCATCAATTCAAGATATACCAGAAAAGCCCAAACATCATGTAACTGTGCTTGGTAGAGCATACGATCCTCTTGCTCCATCCTCAGAACGACGACGATCAAAGTCCACGATGGTACCCCACCTACCAACCTACACCCGCACCAACGCATCTACTCCGACCCCCTCCGGATCACATACGGCCACCTCGACAACCCCTCCTCCGGATGCTCAGCAAGCAGGCCACCAAGTCAAGGTCTTGAGACTGAGAGGTGGGCCGGTCAGTAGGAGAAGGGTCGTCTGGGATGAAGATGTTGTTGACAATGAACATATGGGGAAGAAGAGCAGTAAGAGTGAGTACTGGTCTTCTTAGCCATTTCTTCACGAATTACACGTCGCAACCACAAAAAGTGACTGATGTGGTTCTTCTCACATATGGCTGCGTCCTCTAGTCTGCTGTATCTATCATAAACCGAGGAAATTCGACGAATCGTCCTCGGAATCATCCGGCTCGAGTTCCAGCTCAGGCTCCGACGATGAAGGAGGCCGACCTGTGGGACGAGGGAATGGCGACCTGCCGAGCCCACGGAGGAGGAAGAAGGAGGAGAGTGGAAGCGAGACTGATAGCGAGAGTGAGGAGGATGGACCGAGGAGGACTTTGGGTGGGAAGGGAAAGGGGAAAGAGAAGGGGAAAGGACGGGCGCATGTGCATGGCAACGGGTGTGACCACGAACACGACCACGGTCATAAATCCTCCGCCCAGGCCTCCTCTTCTGCTACTCCCACTCTCGTACAAGCACAACCGGCCGATGGTATCAACGAAGAGGAGGACGATACCGACCCAACCGAGGTGGACGTCGCCTGGACCCGAAAGATCAGGGAAAAACAGACATCGCACGTCCGAAGGGTCATGCAAGGGGAAGACACCGATAACGACTCCACCTCTTCCGCTTCTTCCACTTCTGGGCGAGATGCGGGCAGAGGGGAGAAGGTGGAGAGGAAGAAGAGGCGAAAGCCGAAGCCTTTGGTGAAGGCTAAACCTAATCGGTACGAGGTCGGGGTGGAATGAAGGGGTATGATCGGATCGAGTGATAAATGCTCGACAAGAGCAGGATGGAGGTGAAGGAGAGGTAGGGTAGAGATAGACGTCTTTTGTAGCATCCCTGGTGTTTGTATCGAGTATGACCGGAATTGTCCTCGAGCTGCATATCCTTCAGAAGGCAAGAGTTTCGATGACGTAAGCGTGGGTCGAGCGTTCAACGGGGTCGAGCGGCATGATGGGTCGACATTCAGATACGATCATCATCGATTCATCGACTTGCCACGATAATATACTCTCCCTCCACTCGACAACATACTTAGTCAAGGGAATTCCGTAGCCTGCCGATCTACTTGTCAGACAATCGATCCCCAGATCGCCTCGCACCGACTTGCAAGCGAAATCGATAGCAAACAACAATGGCTTCCGACAAGGCTCAACTGATGGAAATGGGCTTCGAGGCCGATAGGATCGCTTGTAAGTCGGACGTCTCGGTCTTATTCAGTTGATGTAGGAGAGTCTTGGAACCGATGGTGTTGTGGCTTGGGGATCTCTAGGGGCATTAAAGGCGACAAAGAACGCCGGACTTCAGGTGAGCTTCATTTATTAGCAACGATATGAAGCGATCTATAGCTGACATTCCTCGTCTGTGCCTGCTTGCACCCGCCTGCAGCCCGCTCTCGACCACATCGTTGCCAACATGGACAACCCTGTTCCTGCTGGGGATGAAGCAACCGCTGCATCCGGGTCAGCAGGCAAGCCCATGGATATCGATGACGACGAGGACGAAGACGATCAAGAGGCTTTACAAGCTCACATCAAGAAGATGGGCGGTGATCCTTCAAAGGCAGACGATGTCGAGGCAAAGAGCGTCAAGTGTACCGATGTGAGCCTCATCCGGTTGCCTAGATGCTCAGTAGGCTCGGAAGCAAGGCTTACGAAGCTGATTCGGTCTGGGCTTGCTGGCATCGATAGTGTGGCAAGATCTTCAAAAACACCTCCTTGGTCTCGTTCCATGCAGAGAAATCGGGTCACTCCAACTTTGAAGAGTCGACTGAGGAGGTTTGTCGATAGTTAACCCTGCAGTACCGTTATTGGTGTCGCTAAAATATTTACGCCAACACATCGCAGTACGTACCTTTGACCGAGGAGGAACGCAAGGCCAAGTTGGAGGACTTGAGGAAAAAGTTGGTAGAGAAGCGAGCTCGACAGGCGGAGGAGGACACTAAGGCCAACAAGGCCAACGAGGTTCGTCATCAGTAGTCCCTCTGAGAAATCGACGTTCTCTCCCGGAAACTAAGCTTTGATCGCCTTGCTATAGATCCTGCGACGGAAAGCTGGGCAGGATGCAGGCAAGATCAAAGAAGACCTGAAGATCAAAGCGATGGAGAAGGAGGCGGCTCAGGCCAAGAAGGGTGGGTCATAAAGTGAGGAAGTCTTCGTTGATTTATTACTGACGATGGCGGATGGCATTGTGCTCGACCAGACAAGGAGTTAGAGGCAAAGGCTAGAGCTGCCGTCAAGCTTCAGATTGAGGTGGGTCCTCTCCGTTTCCATGTCAGACCCCTTAATTAATGAAGCTGATCGTATAAATTCTCGAATATCCTCGTGAACAGGCTGACAAGAAGGCTCGAGCTGAAAAGGCTGCCAAGGAAAAGGCATTGAGGGCTGGAGAACAGCCTCCACAAGCTGCGGCTAGCTCTGGACCTGCGATCGGAGGAGCTGCTAGCATCGCTGCCGCAGCCGGTAGCGGGTTGAAGGGCAAGGACTACCCTGATACTCGGTTGCAGGTGGGTCAGGACATCGAGGAGGTGGAACTGTTCGAAAGCTGATTTTACGTCTCTCGATCTCGGTGCTGACCTGCAAACAGATCAGGTTGTCGACTGGAGGCGCTCCTCTGACCAAGACTTTGCCTTCAGATAGCCGTAAGTTGAACATCTCCTTGCCGAATATGCAGCTATCTCGATGCTGATTTAGACCGTATCTTGATACACAGCCTTATCTGCGGTAGCGGAGTTTATTGCTTCGGAGAACCTCTCTTTCAACGCAGACTCGGTCAAGTTGTCTATGACCTTCCCAAGGCAAGCCCTTGCTTCTCGGCCCATCGAGGCCCGTTAATGTCGTAACCTGAGCTAACATGTCTAATCAATGTGCGCTTTGCAGAAAAACCTTCGGACCCGGCGATATGAACAAGTCTTTGCGTGATAACGGCTTGACACCGAGTGCTGTGAGTGCCACTACCTGAAGTAAGCGGGTTCATACCGAATTGACAGAGTGATTATGCAGGTTCTGATGGCCTCGCCGTGAGACGTCTCGTGGCGAATGAAACAAGATTATACGAGAATACTTCGATGATAGTACAAAACGATGATGTTCACCACTCGGAGCTCGCTCTTCAGAGACGTTCCGCATCCACAATCTTTCTCGGTTGGATTTTCTCAGCAACGCGCAGACAGTGAGCAGTCAATTTAGACCTCAGTCCACAGCAAAAGTACCTCGATCACGATCGATTGTCAGTGGCAATTTCGTTGAAGTATGACCCTTTATCGCTGTGTACCGGTAATCCCTCATAAATTTATCGTCAAGATTAGGGTCTATATGAGCCGAAGATCAACCCCAACAACCCCAGACAAGCAAAACAATTCTGCACAGTCATGCTTGTACTCCCCAGTGCAACTCCCTTGCGAACACCCTGATCAAGAACGAGAGCCGTACGTCCTCCAATATAGCCATAAGTATCCCTGCACCATGAGGTGGCTTTGTCGCCGTAATAACAATGACCTCCTTGCCTCCTCCTTGCTCCCATCACAATGAACCTCCCTATGTGCGCCGCTTTTATTGGGGGATGAAACAAACAGTAAGAGCTGTGATAGAAATGGACATAGCAAGCAGTTGACATTTTCTGAAGGAGACGAACGAGTTGATGGTTTGTACAACTTACTAGCATTATCGGTGTTCCTGGAGGCCAGGGAGTATTGGATCTGGCTTTGTAAACCCACACCATGCTGAACTGCATATCACCACAGTTCAAACCACAACGACTTGTGTGAGAACAGCAGGTTGTCGAGATCGCTTGCTGACGTGACAAGAGCTGGGGGACGACCTGCTGACTATCAAGATGAAAGAAGTGGGACAGACGGAAGCTTATGTATTAAAGCTGAAGCCATGGTACCGCGATCTGTAACAAGCGCCGCCGACTTCGTGCTCCATATCGGCTCAATCGTCACATCGTGTTCATTGATCCGGGACGGGAGGTTACAAACCGCTAACAAAACATCCGGACTAGTATTACTATAAAGTGACGAGACGATCGAGAGATAATAATAGGACGGGTACCGCGAGAGAGCGAGAACGAGAACGAGGCAGGGAGGGAGATGGTAAAGTCCATGGAAGATACAAAACGTAGCTGACCGGAACAAGCATATCGAGAACGAGACGGGTGGCACTACATGAGAAAGGGAAGGAGGGGGTATCGATTTTGTCGGAAAGAACCGGGGCGCGACTATTCGTCAGATGGATTGGCGACCTGCGGATAACCAAGGGTTCGCAAATCAGCCTTTGCGCGCGACATGACCACGGTGAAGCCATTTGTAACTCACCTTGAGCGGACCGCCACGGCTGTTGTAAGCATCGCGCGTATGATCGCCTACGCTTCCCTCGCTATCCTGCCTGCTCAGCATGTAGTTCGACCTCTGACCACCCGCAGCGAGCGGCACGTCCGAGTATGGCCCCTGCTCATAGTTGCCATGCCCAGGCTGATCGTAACTGAATCCCTGATCGCTCCTCGACGCCTTGTCGTAGTCGTAATCGTTGGGGTCGAGGTAATATGCTCCGCCCTGAGCGTTGGGTGCGTTGTTATCGGCATATGGGTCGTCGTTGTGGTATTGGTGAGAACCGACGGCGGCAGCCCCGATTCCACCAGCAGCGGCAGCGGCGTAAGGGTCGTATCCACCATGACGTTCCTGGTCGTATCCACCGGGCCCGTTGTCACTAGCGTAGAATCCCCCGTACTGGGTCATGGCAGGTCCACTCGAACTGTTGAACGAGGTGTTTCCGCCGGCACCATCCTCGTCGTCCTCGAACGGCGTACGCATAGCGGCCGCATTGGCAGCAGCAGCGGCGGCAGCAACGTCCCTGCGATCGTTGATCATCTACCATCAGTCACATGTTCGAAGCCTGAGAAAGAAGCAGGTCAAGCACCCACCTGTCCAACCTCTGCCTCCTCCTTCGCCTCATGAACAAGAACCCGAAGCCCAACAGAATGGCCGCTCCCGCGATTCCAACAACGACGAACACACCAACGACCGCTCCGGTATTGTTGAAGAACGCGCTGGTGCCCCCGCCGGAATTGCCACTGCCATCGTTCAAGCTTCCGCTCGGGTTCCTGACAATCTGAGTGACGGTATAGAAGACTCCGTTGGCGTCGGATTGCACGACAGCCGAGGTGATGGTAGCCGGCGCGGTGGTGATGAGCTCGCCTCGGCTGTTGGTAGTCGTCACAAGGATAGCGTCCGTGACTTCGGTCGTTACGATACCCGAGGTGACGCCAGCAGGCAAAGTGAGGGTGCTAAAGGCGAGAAGTTGTCCGAGATCAGCCAAGATCTGGACATGATAAGGCGAACCGACGTTAACTCACCTAGTCCTACTGGTAGGAGCGCTCGTGACCTGACTGGCAGGTACGGTGACGACCTGGGTGCTCCTCGAAGATCCGCTCGATCCCACCTCGGTAACAACCACTGTCGACTGAGAAACCGGGACCGTGGTGACCTGTTCTTGGGTTGAGGGACCGCTATTCATTCCAAGTCAGAAAGGCGGTCGGATTGGGTTCAGTTACGGGTCTATGCACAGGCGCATACGCGACGCTGAACTCACACAGTGGTTCCTGGGGCAGTGGTTCCAGGTACGGTGACGACAACCGTACTCTGAGAAGTACTCTGTACGACCGTCGTCTCGGGTTGCTGCTGCGTAGTCTGTTGTTGTTCAGTGGTCGTCACCGGCGGCTGGGACGTCTGCTGAGCCGTTGTCGTCCTCGGGGGATTCGACGTTGTCGGTGGGGTTGTTACCGGTGCTTGCGATGTGGTAGGTGGTGCTTGAGAGGTGGTGGGAGGTGCTTGAGAGGTAGTAGGCTGTTGGGAGGTGGAAGGCTCCTGGGTGGTCTCGGGTGCAGCCGAGGTGGCCGGGGCTGTGGGCTCAGCCGAGGTAGGAGCTTGTGAGGTAGCGGGAGCTGCATCGGAGGAACGGAATGTCAGTATAAGTTCGTGGCAATCTGGCGGGACGGTCAAAGCAAGCCGGTCTGTATGCGTCTGGTGTCTGCCTGTGTGTCTGTGTATATGTCTCTGCTCCTCTCCAACCCGATCCAGAGCATCCGCTCCTGAACGTGTCCAAGGAGGATCAAAGGAGGGCCCTTGCTTTTTCGACAAGAACCGCCCGTTTCGCCCTGATCACTCCCTCGTCCTCGTGGCATGCTACCTCCCAGTCGTTCAGCCTTTCTCGGCTCGAAGACGCAAATGAGGTGACCCCGGGTTGCTATCGACCTCCCATATCCAAATAACAGCGGCCGCAGGCATTACGGCTACTCTTTGCCGTGCCGCATCGCCAGATCTGAATCTCAACTCCGTCTTGACCTCGTTTCGGGTGATGACGGACATCGGGTTGCGGTCCACCAGGCAAGGGTGTAGCGAGGCCAAGGGCGGCGAGAAGACTTGAGGTAGACGTTCGACAAAAGACGTCCACTCCGACTAGATCATTTTGTCCAGGGCCAAAGGAGTTCGTCTCGCCCGTCTCGACATGATTGCCTGTCTCTCGGTCCTTTCCCGCCCCTTTTGTGTCCGGGTTCAGATCTGGAATCCACGTCCAAACCCCAGCCCGATCAAGACGACCCTGCCAGACATCTTCATGCTCCAAGAAAACGTCCCGGAACCCGTATTTGTCCTGCCTGATAGGATACGGCTGGTCGATCTCTTTCCCATTCCGCATCACCAAATCGCCGCCCTTCCTTTCCCGTCCTTTGCTTTGCGTTGTTCGCGACCCGTCCAAATCACAAGAAGAGAGGCTATGGCGAATACCCACAACTCATCCTTGATCACTCGTCTTGAAGCTGGTGTGAATGTCTTGATGTCGTAGGAATGGTCGAGTCAAAGGGCAAGTTTGCTTTGATGTGATGTTATGTTCGGAATCGATTTTGATGGGGGAAGGTGTAGTTGTTATCGCGTCCGAAAAGGGCTATATGATTCCGATTTCTCCCGCGTTTCGGCTCGCCGTATAGATCGATTCGAACGACTAATTCCAAGGCTGAGAAAGAGAGTGTATTGTCGAAAAGGAGGGGATGTCCAGATTGCGATGGCGAGGTCCGAGTCGTGTGAGGTGATTGATGATTGATGGTCGAGGTCGTTCTGGGTCCCCACGCTTCTTTTGTTTGGATTTGCTGAGACGAGGGACCTCGCGCGCGCTAAAGAGAACGCGCTTTTTCTTGACACCCAACCGGAACGCATATGCCAGGACCAGAACCGCACAGATACACCCAGCAGAACCGCAAAGACACAGGCTCGAAGACACATAGACACCACACAAAGGCAGCGGAACGCCCAGAAGGAAAAGAGAAAGAAGAAAGATCGAGAAAGAAAGGCGGCCGGAAGCTCACCTTGACTAGTAGTCTCGGGCGCAGCTGATGTCTCTGCAGCCTGAGATGTCGTCTCCGGAGCAGCAGCGGATGTAGGTGTACCTGCAGCAGCAGAAGTAGATGCTGCATCTCCGTCATCACCAGCGGCCCCTGTGGTGGCTTGTCGTCGGAAGAGGTGGGCGTCGGCGGGTGACATGATGAAGTGGAAACTGTCGTTCGAGTCCTGATGGAAGATGTGCCGATTTTGCTTTATTGGCGTAGAGTGTTGGAGGTCTTGTCGTAGTATCACAAGGCGTACCCTTCAGACGGATATCGAAATCAACTGCGCAAAGACGAATGATTTTTTCCGATCGTTCCGTAGTCTTGACCAGCAGTAGGCAAAGTTCCTATTCCCGATCTCCTATCTGAAACTCCTGTCGCACGTCTTTTATATCCTATTCACCCGATGTGAAGGTGATTCTTCTTTTGATTCCCGGACGAACACTATGAAAGTCCGCTTGTTTGCTTGCTCTAGACCGGGTGAGATACAGGATAGCCTGTCTCAACAACGTCGATATCGAGCTCGATGATTTATGCCGGATCCGATTTTGGACGATAGACCGTAATCCGACCCGTAAGTGATGGGTTCAAGGCGTACAACTCCGCTAGAATCTTCGAGCTTGACGATCCTCACGACGTTTCTCAGGAGATCGAATGCGTCCTGCAGCTATTCAATTCCGTATTGCAAAGATCCTACCCCGGATGATCCGACGTTCGACGTTTCTTGCTCCAGCTCCTTCGTCGAGAGGACGAGGAAGTCGAGGTGGATGAGCTAAGGGTTAGGGACAGGGGTAGGGGTAATCCAGGGGAAGTCCGAGAGGGGAGGTTCCTTTGTCTGTTCGTAGTTTGAAACCCCAGTTCCAAGCCGAGGATCAATCCGAGATCATGGGTTGGCAGACATTTTCCGAGATGAAGGTTGTGGTCGAGACGAGATGGGGTGAGGTGTATGGAATGGTATTGCATGGAATGGGATGGGGTCCAACAGGTCCAGACCAGGGCGAGTCCAATGAGATCATTCGGGATGACGTGACGAGCGAGAGATGGGGCAGTCCAGATCGTCAGCACGAGACACAGCTCTCTTCGAGTAGACGAGAGACTTGCCTGAGCTCCTGGGGATGGTGAGGTCAGGTCCTGCAGGTATAGCTGTCCGAGGGTTCGAGGCAGTTCGTCCTGGTACTTAATTGCTATCTCTTGGCGCTCTTTTCGGGTGAGCCTCGCAGGGAGTCTGATGTTCCAGCGAGAGTTCGAAGCGTGCGTTACCACAATATTTCGAGGGCTAGGTTGCCTGAGATTGTCAACAACAGCAGACGAGAACCGAGACGATTGATGTTGTCGAGTGTCCCAAGTTCGTGAGGTGGCTGGTCTCGACAAAAGAGCAGGTCGGTCGGGGTCCAAGCGAGATCTTCCCAATTTCTCGGTTCGAGGGAGGCTGTGGCGGTGCAAGGGCGGGGCGGAGCAGAGCGACAAGGATAGCGCGGGAACTCGGTGTAATTATCACGTAACGTCACGATAAGCGGGAAAGACACGTGGGCTGATGACGCGAGGCGTCGTCATCGATCAGCGATAAGCCACGCCGAGGGGGGTTCACGTTTCAGATGGGATGGTCGATCAGGGGACCAGCGATTTAGGGATCAGGGTCTGATGGGGCAGGCGGCACCACGATGATATCTGCGAGGAACAAAGACTAAATCGAGGATTTCAGGTCTATCCCACGGTCTATTGTCAGGTCCGTTCGGATGATACCCTTTACTATTGTGGCGCATCGTCTTTCGCTGATATCGTGATGGGCACCCCAAACGCTAGATCGACTTGACGTCTGCGAATGGCTGAAGTTCCCTAACCCTTCGTTGGGACTGCCTCTGCTACCGTTCGCTGGATTGCCAACCATGTGCCCCGGCAGGGAACAAATCTGCCAGAACTCTGCTGCTTCACCGCCTCTGCCAGCCAGGAGTACAGAACCAGATTTGAAACGAGTTTTGTGCCAGACGATATAGCCTTTTTCGCAAATAGCCCACTGTTATCACTGCTGATCATCTGCATGTGCTCAGGATTGCAGAAATCAAGCGGATGGAGAAAATGCCAAACGCCTTGCAGTCAACTCCAACGCTTGACTAGTGGTCACCTTTCTTCATCCGTACTTTACAAGAAGGCTGGCACATCACTGCTTGAGAAGGCAGCACCTTGATTCAAATGATTACCAGTGCATCACGGGCGAAGCTCGCTCGTTTGAGACAGACCTGAACAACGTTTGAATCCTCGTTGCGGATTGGCTTGCAGACTATCTTTTGGTGTAATGTGAGAGGCCTCCAGAGCGCAAAGCATAAAGTCCTTGATGTCTCAGTTTTCTAGCGTCAAGGATGCGCAGCGCATCTTTAAAAGTCGCACCAAGTCCACCCCTGGTCCGTTCTGTGATTTTGTACACAAGTGGGACAAGGTTGATGATGTCTTGGTGATACACCAAACGGTTACCATCTCGAGATATTACCAAATTGTTGGCATCCACACTAGCATTGGCTATGGGATAACTCTTCCGGTCCATGCGGCAAGTGAAGGCCTTTTGTTCAGATTGATTTGGTCTTGAACACCTTTGTAGATGCTTCCTGGGGACTGGTACTGTGAAATGAGGTTCGCGCATAGATACAACACTTTGTAAGCCATCTGCTAGACCCTGCGCATTCCGTTCAAGCGCAGACGTACCTGTAGACGGTTGAGGGTACCCGCCGCCAATCCTTGTAAGACACTTCTGTCCTCTTAGCAAATCTCATTCCCGATGCGAAACCCTCCCCTTCATTATGGAGGACTCGATGGACAAGGTCAGAGAGGTGGAAGCCTTTATGGACATGAAAAATTCGGTACAGCAATATCCGTGGGCTACGAGCGCTGCCTTGTGGTTGCTGAGACACCAGAACGACGTCAAGGAAACCTTACTAGGGGTCTGTGCGCAGAAGCACGACACAAACTACATCGACTGGAAGACTATACCTTTCCCTGCCAGGCGGAATCCGCTAGGGAAGTCGGACTTCACTGTCGGCAAGAGTCGGTTCTACGCTCCAACCAATGAAACGGTCTGTGTCGAATCATCCGAAGGTCTCATGAAGGCCTTGCGATTGGAAATATACTTGCGAACATTAACGATTACAACCCTATTGCTGTTTGTTTGCCGATCTCGTACAACAGGAGGGAAACTCAAACACGACGACATATCTCCTCGACTCAGTAAGGCACCATGCCCGCCGCCTTCAACCCCCTCTCGCTCAAGACGGGCTTTCCGAAGGGGAACGTCTTGTTATCCGGAGAATCGCTCTTGTCCTTCCAGATCCCGGTGATGGGATCGTGGCTGGTCACGTAACCCTTCTTGAACGCCTCCTGCTTCAGTGCCAGCTGGGAGGAGGAGATCCCGTTGGCGGGCTTGTAACAGGTGTAGACGGCCATCCTGGGTCGTCCTTGTTCGGGAGCGGCTCCCCAGTGACAAGTTCGAGAGTCCCAGAAGACGACGTCTCCCGGTCCGAGGTTTGGGTGGACGATGGTCGCTCCGTGAGCTTTGAGCCAGTCGACGTGTTCGTCGGTGTACTTGAAGTGATCCCTACCGAGGCATTTCTACAAGTGGTCCCGAGGGGGAGAATAGTGTCTATGTTGATCAGCAAAACTGCGATAGCCCGGCGAGAGTAGGCGAGAGTATGCTTACGTCTTCCAACCCGAACGCCTTGATCAGCTCGGGGAACAACTTGGACGACCCCTTCATCACCCAGAGCCCGCCGTCCTTTTCGTTGTTGGGCAACTAGACGTCACGTCCGAACGAAAAGAACCCACAATTAGTCTCGCATACCTAGATCGAGAACGGTAACAGTCAGTCAGATGGCTTACCAAGTTCATCAACGACTGAACACAAAACACCTCGGGCCTCTTGGGCGACCTACGAGCAGGTACGAATATCATTATCAGCCTCTCGACGAAGAACGAACGAATTCCCCGTTTAAAGACCGACGGAATCTAAAGCCGGGACCCACTGATCGGTATGAGGCCAAGGCGCGTTCTCGTCCTCGACTTCTTCTTTAGGAAGGGGCACTCCGAGGTAGGCGCCGTCGAAGGAGACTGTTTTCATGTAGAGATGTCGTTCCGATCGGGATGGCGGGGATAATGGAAGGCAGTAGAACACAAGACGGGAGAGGCAAGAGCGAGGTATTAGCTCCGCACTAGATACTCGAGCTGATGCCCTCGCTCGAATTGAACTCACCTAACAACTCGTCCGTCCCCCAGATCTCCTCGAAGAGCTTGATATAAGCCGGTTCGGTCTTCAAGTCCCAGACGAACTGGGCGTGGGCGATCGAGTAGAGGGAGTATAGGCCGCCCCTGCAGTGCGAGTACATCGAGTACATCGAATCAAAAGAAGGTCATCGGTAAGAAGCTACTCAAGTTGACGACAAGAGATGAGACCAAAAGCGACGGAGGTGCGTGACGACTCACTTTCCATGTTTAGGCAAGTTCCCCACCCTCCACGTTTGTTCGTCGTCCCTCTTGTACCCCATCCCGAACCCTTCCAACCACGCATGCGCCCCGTCCACATACTTCTGGGCCTTTTCCTCGCTGACGACGTTCTTGGCGACGACGAACCCGTCTTCCAAGAGTTGTTTGACCAAGGGAGAGTCCGGGTTGAGTTTCGGGGCTGGGGCGTTGGCTTCGATGATCCCGGAGCTGTAGGCGGGTTGGATGGGGTGGGCTTGGAACGGGTCCGAGGGGGCGGATTGGGTTGCGAGCATTGTTGTTGATCAGGTCTTGCGCCGAGTATGAGTTGGTAGGGATGTGGATAGGTGGTGAGGATGACGATGTGGTAATGAGGTCGACAGGATTGGTCCAAGCGACTCTTGCATGTCCTGTTTATATAACATTCCCGAGCTCTTGGACGTCGCATCGGTGAGCACTTCGGCGTTGAAGCAGGCAACCCCCATTTCTTCGGTCAAACCCACATCCACTTGCTAGCATGTCTAGCACGTCTACTCCATCCCTCCGGTCCACGAAGCACGATGAGAATGAAGGGTCACATGCGACTCATCTGCACCCTCGGACCCTCTCGGACCGGCGTTCACTACCACTTGTCGTTGTTTCATCACCGAAGCGACGGCGGCGATGGACGGACGTACGCCGAGGTTACCCCATATCGGTTCCGAGAGGAGAAAGCTGGAAGGCTGATGAAGCGCTGATTACCTAATCACCATCACCATCTGCGCTTGAGGGTGTTAAAGTGGATGAGGGAATCCGTCGCCAAAGGTAGCCTTGATGGGGGTTGATTTATCGATCGGTGAATTCGGAGGTAATTTCAGGTAAATTGGCGCTATCATAATAACTAGAACAGCGATTTATGACGTGTCTTATTATTTATTAATTGTTTACGTTCGTCTGTTGATGAAGTCGTCTAAGTCGATCAGTCGATTTCGACATGTTATCGACGTTATTACTATACTACCGTTCTATCATCTGTCTTACTACTAGTACCACCTAAACGTCGTCTACGCCATCATGTACCAGCAATCAAGAACCCCCTACAATCGTCAGCAATACTACAGCCGACCTACAGGTCAGTCGACCTCGACGTCGACTGAAATCCACGACTCTTTCGCTACACTCCCTTTCGATCAATACCAGCCTTACAACCCCCCAAATATCCTTCAGCAACCCTTCTCAAGACCACTAGACCTTCCCTTAGACTTTGTCGATGTGCCAGATCAATCGACTGATGAGGTAGTCTATTTGGGCCGCGATACCATCATCCAAGAGATCGACGACCGATCCTCAGTGCAAATTCCTTCATTTTCGTCGGGCCAAGGGGGATACAACAACCCCTTCGATACACAGCCTCTGGCATCAAGTTCGCAGTTACTAGAGCCCTCTGCAAAGAAAGGTGCATCCCGAAAGGTCATTGTTGCCGCCAAACAGGCCCGTAAAGGCAACAAGGGTCGATCTCTTCGACACGACGAAGGAATCGACCCTTCGACCGCTCTAGAGGCCTCGCAGTCTATCGTACAGTCTCACCTGAGGGCTAAGGGTACAAAGAAGGTCTATCAAGGCTACATGAAGAGGTGTAGAACATGGCTGGACCTCTTTAACAAAACACGACAACCTGGCGACCCAAATCTCGAAGGAGCGCTAGACGTCTTGAGCGAACGTTCTGCCCGATGTGTTCACCTGTTCATCGCTCACGGGGTCTCAGGCAAGAATGGTACGAAGCCACACAGCAAAGACACATGCGATGGCATCAAGGCCGCGTTGCGAGCATACTTTCAAGAGACGTTCGGTAATCAGTGCTACGTGAGTGAAAGATCTTGCATTTTCATGGAGTTCCGTGCTGACATCGTCAATTGCAACGACGCTTCCTCAGGGCGAATTCTGGCACCAGCGAGAGAACGGAACGTGGCATGGGAACCCTGTGTACGCTGGTGAAGTCAGGGATCTGATGAAATCGATCAAGAACCGGGATGGTCGAGCGGGAGTTAGCGAGCAGGTTCGTCCGCCGAAATCCTTCCCTCTTTCACCCTACAGATACTGATACACAGATTCATGTTCGTACAGTCTCTCCCGCTCTTACTACCCGATCTGCTCGTGCTTGTCAACTGGGTAGAGGCTCAGCTCAAGGTCGAGACTGATGCTAAAGCTCGAACTGAGTGGTTATTTGCCCTCGCGTACATGTGTACTACATGGTACCTGTGGTGTCGAATGGACGAGGTACTCAGCCTACAATACCAGCACGTGTCAGACAATGCTACCGACCCTGGATATCCAGGTCAAATACTCAAGACGATCACTCTGACGTTCCGAAAGACGAATCAGGCTGATGCGAGGAAGGGTGAGTGAAAGAGCAAGCGTTTTCATTGAGCAGCATGACAGCTCCGTACTGATGTATACCTCGCCTTGTATTCTTTCGGTATGCCTGTGTTCTTGTGGGACCGTGCTTATAGGTCGTATCTATCAGGTTCATGACCCCACCAATCCCGACGAGCGCCCTGTTGCCGTTTGGCACCACCTCCAAAACTGGGTGAAACACGTTCGAGCCTTCACCCACGTCGACGCCAAGCCCCACTTCTTTCTGTTTCCTGTTATCGACAAGTTCGGAGGGGTTGATATAGAGAAGAGGATGTCTGCAGCGACGTGGCAGTCCATGTTCGATAGAATCGTCCACGATTCAGGCCTTGGTGATAAGTATTCGAATGGAAACTTCACCGGTCACTGTATGCGACGAGGAGGGGCTCAGTGGCGATTTGGAGAAGACCCAGCCGTCAAATGGGCTCTACAGGCTTCAATATGGTGGGGAGGGTGGGCTGAAGGCGAGGCTGTAAGTATCTTTCAAGCTGTAAGGTGAAGTCGAAGCTCGGGTGAACATGCTAACATTTTCACCGGACATCCGATCGTTGTTGTCTATCTTGGCTTCTTGTCTAGGTCGGTACGATTGGACGCTATCTCTTGGAGGAACGTAATCAGCACGAGGCCTCGTACTCAGACCAGATGAATCCTGAGCGTAATCACGCTCGTCGAAGCATTCAGTCGTCCTCGACGGATTTGCAAATCGCCAAGACCGGTGATATAGCACAGCTCCGGGAGGAGATGAATCGACTTGCACGGGTCGTAGGACGTGAGATGGATGGCCTGCGAACAACATTGCGAGATCAGGAGCTAGACAGACCTGTAGAATCGATTCCGATGGTAAGTTCTCTGCTTTCGGTGATTAGGCAACTTATTTCACTGAAGCGAGATCTTAACTGCTTTTCGACCTTAGGCGGGGATCCTGGGCCAAGTTGCTGATGCTGTCGTTGCCAGCCTCCTAGCCAAGGGTCTAGTGGGTCCTGCGACGATCTCTGCAGGTCCTGTGGTGCCAGCACAGGCGTCGACATCGAGCTCGAGTCGTCCGTTTGAATCGTCCGAACGTCGTGTCGAAAACATGCTAGCACCCGCTGCATCGCATGTGAACGCTCAGGGTGCAACTACTACGCCTTTCACCGAGCTACGACTCCGTCGTAGCGGTGAAATCGTGGGAAATCGACCTCCGAAGATACCGAAGACGTCGACGGTGAAAGAAGCAGTAAAACAGTGGTTTCAAGCTGGTGGCCACGAATATCACTACTACGCCTTGCAGGACTGGCCGAAGCAGTGGTATTCAGGTGCCAAGGGTGGTGACATAGTCCATAAGTCGATTCAGGTCATCTACGGCCAGCGAAGTCGATTGGGGATGGCGTACTCCATGCTCAATGAAGGAGCGACGGATTTCACCGAAGAGGGCTGGGTAAGATTCGAGACGAAATATCCGGAGAAGAAGATGACGGACGTCCTCGAAGCAATCAGGAACGATCTTGCTGCATCGGGGAAGATCACTAATCGCCCAAATCGCAAGCAGAACACCGATAAGTAGTCGAACACACGCACTACGGCTACGTCCTCGGCTTTTGCCTTTTTTTCCCATATTTCTACTGTTCTTCGTGTTTTTTGGGTTCGATCGTCTTTATACCACCGAAATACCTTTGTCTTTCACTCTGTATAGCTATATAACATGCACCGAGGCTGTATGTTTGATCTAGATCGATTTGATCGAGTTTGGGTGATTTTGAGAAAAAACCCTCGAAATCGACAAAAACGAGCAAAACGGTCGATGAACAATAAGGGATTTTCACCAAAATGATCGCCGTTTTTGCCTAGCATAGTCGAACGATTTCACCCAAGAACCTTCATCTACATCAACCACCTCGATATCGTTCTAAGTCTTAATATCAATACTAAATACTTCAAAACACCTCGTATCATTGCTCTAGACCTCCCTTACGCCTTACACGTTTCACCTCTGCCCAAACTAGTCTTTTTACTCCCGTTTCAAGCCATGTCGGACGCCCAAGGTTCTCAAAACGCCGTACGTCGAAACGTGACCTTCTTTCACCCGAATAAACGACTTACAAGCCTATAAACTGCTCATAGACCGCCTCATCCTCCTCTAGGCCCAAGCCTAAGCAGTGGGGAGGTGCAGAGGCTGCTGCTGCTCGGCATAGCAAGAGGTTGGCCGCTCAAGAAGAGGCTCGCGAGGCTCGCGAGAAGGCTGATCGCGAGAAGGCTGAGAACGCGGAGGCGGAGGCTGACCGCTGGGAGGAGCAGCAGAAGAAGAAGAGAGCTCGGGAGGACACAGACTCGGGCTCTGGTGACTCGGAGGACGAGTATGTCGAGGAGGGTGCGAAGAAGAAGAGGTCGAAGAGGGGGAAGAAGGCGTGAGTGAAATGTTGAGCTTTTGCACTGAGAAGCCTAACTCAGATCCTTTCGACCTCTTTACTCCTTCAATAATACGATAGCCCTACCCCTCTTCAAACTGTGGACGACGAGACCGATGGGGATGAGCTCGACGACGAGCAGGAGACCGAGGCTGCTGCTTCGGACCCCAATTTCGCTGGAGACAAGCAGCGAGCCGTGTTGGGGGAATATCTCCCTCAATTTTGGAAATACCAGGCCGCCAGGAAGTACTGGACTCCCCAGCGAGTCTACGAGTACTGGATGGAGGCCAGGGAGATCGTTCGAGAGAAGAAGAAGGTGCCGGAGGGAGAGGAGGTGAAGGCGTCGGCTCATATTGAGGTGAGTAGTCTTGGTGAAATCTTTCCCTCTTTCACCGGAACGAACCGACATCTGATCGTGATCATTTCATGTCTTCTATTCGCTAGTCTGCTATGCATATCTACTTCGCCCCAAAGGGTAAGGTATGGACGGGTCGCAAACGTTGCACCTGCTGCCAGAACCTCCCCCTGAAGGCGAAGAGGAGGATCTCGAAGGATGTTCCCGGTATCATCCTGAAATGCAAGCAGATTTCACCGACGGGGAGGTGCGCTCAGTGCGCTATCGGGGGGAATAAGTGCTCGCTGCAGTCGGATGGTGACGAGTTGGTGAGGGTCAAGAAGGGTCTAGATGAGGAGCTGCCGTATGAGGAGACCGAGGCGCTAGCGGTGGCCCTCGAGACCTACTCGAAAAAGAAGGCGAGTCCGAAGGGGAACGTTTTCGTCGATAAAAATAGGATGAAGGACTTCGCCGAGCTAGCTAGATTTCTAGCTGATCACGTCGCAGAGCTCAAGGATGATCTGCAAGGGTTACCGGTGCGATACGACGAAGTCGACGAGATCGAGGTGCTCGACGTCGATGGTGATATCGTGGACTTCTCGTAGCTGTGTATCCTTGTATTCTATGTTCTTATACGGTAATATGCAGGTCTTTATAATGAAATACGTGCTTCTTACACCTAGTCTAATAACATACTGTAAGCTCAAAACGTTCACGTTGTTCAGTAAGAACTTACGTCGATTCGAACATAACTTTGACTGAAAATGCACATAATTGCACCCACAACGTATGTCTAAGTATGTCACTTGAATATGTTCTAGCCATCTTATTCAAACGCTTCCAACTCAGAGTATGTTATATAAGGAGTATCAAAGATAGTGTATACAAGATTCGAGGAAGCTAGCACTGATGTAAGTCCTTCGTTTCACAAATTTGTTTCAAATCGAGCTCAGAATTGCTAGTCGAAACGAGGTCGTTTTGCGCTTAGAATTACGTGGAAATCATGACTAATTTCATCTGGGGCGGCGCCCTATGGGCGCGGGAGTATCCTAAGCGAGATAAAGTGATTTACAAACGAGATAAATCAAGATAAATTCGGCAAAAATAAAGACCTCGCAAAGTTGCCTGTTTGGGTGCAATTTACTTATTTTTCACTTTACGGAAATTCGATTTTTGCTACCGAAATCGACGATTGCCCGGGGCCTACAGCGTGTCGATTTATCGAGATAAATCCTTACGCATAAGTGGAGGTTTTGACGCGACGCGATCCTGTTGTGGGCAACCATTTTGGCTGACGACATGCAAAGGTTGATGACGATTTGACGTCGATAAAACGTTGTAATACAGCTTATACACTTATTAACACTTATCGCCTTGGGACTTGAGATTGTACGCCTCTTCGAACCACACCATCCTTGAATAAACTCCTCAAGTGAGCAAGTGACATACCCGCCAGACGGATAGAGAAACACGAACAGCATATTCACGAAACGATGACTGACCGAATCGTAAGCAGCCCTTCTTATCCACCTCTGCATTCCTTCTCAACGCCTGCCTGGACCTGACTGGAATGTGCTCCTCTTCCCATTCTGGCTCTCACGACCCGTAGATCAGGCTCCAAGTTCAAGCCCAGAACTATCCTTGTGAGTCCACCCGCCTAGTGCTTGGATTTCTTGTCCACTTTCGCCTCTGTCGAGACTTGCGCTGATAGCAAGACACTATCCTCTTATACCATTATCACCACCTGGAACACGACACACCATCTCTAACGAATCATAACCAACCGACCGCACAAAACGACTAAATGCCATTATGACAACACCACAGGGGGTAAAGTCGGCTCCGACTCGATCATCTCGGAGTTTGGACCTGAAGCTGGAGGTCCTGGTTGGTCGTTCGGGGAAGAGACGCCTTATGCCGAGGTGAGCACCGGACCTGCACACAAAACGATCACAATCCATATTTCAATCTTCATTTCGAAAAAGAGACTGATCTGTTTTGTTCCCGACTCGCCAGCTCTGGATCTCCTCGACCCACCCCAACGCACCCGCCAAGATCTACCCGCTCCCTTCTTCCACTTCGCTCATCCAACAGACCTTGCAGACGATTTCTCCGGCTTATTTCGGCAAGACCCTGTCTAGCTACCTAGGGGAGAACCCTGGGTTGTTGGGTAAGGCTGGGGAAGGGTTTGGAGCGCCGGTAGAGGCTGGGAAGGGGGAGAGGTTTTTGCCGTTCTTGATGAAGGTCTTGACTTGTAAACAAGGTGAGGAGGAGCAGCGCTCAAGCGAGCGAGGGGCGATGATGAAGGGCTTTTGAGACCTCGTGCTGATCCTGATGACTGTTGTTTGTGGCCGATGTAGCCCTGCCCCTGCAGATCCACCCGGACAAGGAGTTGTCGAGAAGGCTTCACAGGAAGAACCCCAAACAATTTGCGTGAGTCGTCGATGCCGATCGTCCTCTTACCTGCGGTTCCACGCTCAGTAGCTGACTTCTCCGCGGCGGGATGGCGTACAATTCGTTACATATAGGGACTTCAATCATAAACCCGAGATCGCGGTCGCTCTTACCCCTTTCCTCGGGTTCGCAGGGTTCCAACCCATCATCACGATCAAATCCCTCCTCACCTCGATCCCCGAACTGGACGCCCTTCTCCGTCCATTCGAGTCTTATCAGACCTTTATCTCGGCTACGCCCAAGGCGACTTCGGCAGATCTCAAGGAACTCGTGCGGAGCGTCTTGAGGATGGATCCCAAGTCGGATGCTTCCGGGTTACTGAAGACCGTCAAGGACGCCCTCGCCGCGGGGACCGGGATGGCCGCCCCGGAAAAGGAGGCGAGGGACGGTAACGACGTTGACGCGGCCATCGAAGGATTACTGAGCCGGTTCGAGAGGGAAGGGGTCGAGGCGTTTGGAAAGGCCGAGCTCGGGGACGAGGAGAAGAAGAGGCTGGTCAAGGCGTTGAAGAAGATGCAAGAGTTCTACAAAGGGGATCCGGGAAGCATCGTCGCTGCGTGAGTTGCAGTGGTTCCGTTCAAACGGGCAAGAGAGGAGGCTCACATGAGGTGGTATTGCGCGTGTTGATAGGTTCATGATGAACCTCATCGAGTTGCGGCCCGGTGAAGGGATCTACGTCGGAGCCGATGGGGTCCACGCCTGGTTGGACGGCCGTAAGCGCGCCCCGGATCTCGCACTTCGAAAGTCGATCTCGCGCTGACTTTTTGGATATTCGCGTACGACAGAGATCATCGAGCTCATGGCGACCAGCGACAACGTTCTCAACCTCGGCTTCGTCCCTGCGGCGGAAAAGGACTCGGTCGACCTGTTCATCGACGCTGTGACGTGCGAGCCCAAGTCGGGGGAAGAGTACAAGTTGAGCAAGCAAGAGTGGAAGTTGAGCTCGGGCGCTGGGGCGACGATCTACAAGGTACGTCCTAGCTCGCTGCAGAACGGGGTTTCGTCGAGCGGGGCAGGGGCTGATTGACGTGTATGGTAACGATGTGATGCTAGGTCCCGACCGAGGAATTCTCGCTTTACCACGTCGACGGTAACGCTCAGAAATCGACGATCATCAAACCCCTCAACGGACCTACTGTCTGCATCGTGACCGCCGTCAACACCACGGCTGGCAAGATCATCCAGACAAGGACGGTTGAAGACAGTTCGGCTCGGGCCGAGGTCGACGATATCAAGCGTGGACAGGTCTACCTGATCGGAGCGGGGACCGAGGTCGAGTTCGCGCCCGGGGTCGAGGTCTGGGCGAGCTTTTGGGACGATCAGGAGCAGGAGCAATCGGGTACCGCGTGAGTAGGCATGGAAGACTGTATCGAAACGAGCTTGGATCGGAGGCGTCCGGGAGGATTTGCGGCCGGTGACGATCGCAAACGACAACCACGGCGGGGCAGGAAAGAATAGTGTAGCGATAACACAGAGATACTACAAACTGTATCATGCAAGGTCTATGAAAGCGATTAACGCGTTTCGACCGACAGCGAGCGAGGACTCGCCCGCCTGTTGATGATCCGGCCGTTTTCCACTATCGACTTGGACGTTCTTGGAGCTGATTTGTTGCGGTCTTCCCTACTCTACGGCGTCGTCTTCTATCGACTGTGCAGCGGCGCGTCGAGCATCGCCTCGAGCGCGCCTAGCAAGACTTTCGAATCGCCTTACCTCGCGGCACTTTCCGCCAACACCCGCCACGAGGAGTATCAGTACCTGGACCTGATCCGACATATCATTCAAAACGGCCAACATCGTCCCGATCGCACAGGTACAGGAACTGTCGCCATGTTCGCACCCCCTTCGTTTAGGTTCTCGCTCGCCAACAACACTTTGCCGCTCCTGACGACAAAGCGGGTCTTCACGCGAGGCGTCATCGAAGAGCTTCTTTGGTTTGTCGCCGGTCATACGGATGGCAAGATTTTGAGCGACAAGGGTGTCAATATCTGGGAAGGAAATGGGTCGAGGGAATACCTCGATCGGATCGGGCTCACGCATAGGCGGGTGGGGGATCTGGGTCCAGTGTACGGATTCCAATGGAGGCATTTCGGCGCGACGTACAAGACGTGCGAGGACGATTATACCGGTCAGGGTGTGGATCAGCTGGCTCAGGTCATCGACAAGATCAAGAACAACCCGACCGATAGGAGGATCATTATGAGCGCTTGGAATCCGGCAGGTCAGTGTAGTCTCGAGGAGCACCGTTTGGTGACAGGAGTGCTGATGTTACCTCTTTTGCCCTCCTTAGACCTCTCACAGATGGCCTTGCCACCATGCCACATGTTTTGCCAATTTTTCGTCACCCTCCCCGAGACGCCCGGCGCGAAGCCCAAGCTGTCTTGCTTGATGTACCAACGATCATGTGACCTCGGCCTCGGCGTTCCCTTCAACATCGCATCCTACTCGCTCCTCACCCACATGATCGCCCTGGTGACCGATACGGAACCGCACGAGTTCATCCTCCAGATGGGTGACGCGCACGTCTACAAGGACCACGTAGAGCCGCTCAAGACACAGCTCGAGAGAGAACCTCGCGAATTCCCGAAGCTGAACATCAAGCGGACAAAGGAGGAGATTGGCGGGATCGATGGTTTCAGAACGGAGGACTTTGAGGTGGTTGGGTACAAGCCGATGGGCAAGATTGAGATGAAGATGTCGGCATAGATGCCAGTGGCGGGTAATGAAAGCTCTAGGGAACCTGGTTGTACGTTAACTGTATTCATTCGTTGAGCATTGTGGCATGATCAAATGGAAAACAACAAGACTCTCCCTCAACACGATTCGGGTGATTGAAGGCGAGATCCTGCAGCGCAACAAGATATAAAACCTCCCTCTCCGCGTTGAATGTTGCGGGCCGCACTTCGAACTGAGAGTAGTATGGCGACATTGCATAGACAGTCATCATGAGAAGCTTCGAGATCGGTGCAAATCATTGATCAGGCTGGTCGCTATCTATTGAGCAATTCTGCAAGGCGAATTTCATACACTCTGGATCAAGCTTGACAGCTTCGGCTAGAGTTACAGGCTGCGGCGGAAACCCGGGAACCTGATTATTTTCGCTAAGCTGACGATCCAGTGTATGAGCTTCGTATAAATACCTTTATAGACTCGTCGATGCTGTGCATGAAGGCCTGGTTGTAGATCTCCTCTTTGTCAAGAGGGTCCCCGTCTTCGTCCAGTAACGTCACTGCAAGGTTTCACGCCTGGATACCTTGGTAGTAGTGGTCTTCGAGTGTAAAAGGTCCCTTGCTTGTAACCGGCAAGATGCTTTGCGACCTATGTAACGACTTGTACTTGCAGTTATGGTGAGGTGACTCGTTTCCCTGCTTCTGCTGCATACATAATCTGATCTTTAATATATCACAACAGGATCTAGTCACGCTATTCACTTCCAACAAAATATCACAAGAATATCCCTGTGACTTCTTCATCCAAATCTGCTTTTGATGTCAATAAGAGCTGCACTGGATACATTGTTGGCATCACCAAAGTCTACCGGAAAACAGACTTCAGAGGTAATTCAATCTCTCGAGAACACTATGACTCTTTCTTGGCTTTGGGCAAGGTGGACAAGGTCAAACAATCAATGGCAAACTCGTTGACTCCCAATGTCTGTGTGCCTGTTTCTATGAGCCGGTGAGTCCTATCTTCTGCGAGTGATTTGAAGGGGCGCAGACCGGGACTTTCGTCCCTATGTCATCTGGCAAATTTATCCAGTACGAAGAGGGCATCTCTGAACCTCATCCTGCTCTTTGCACCAACCGTTACAACGGGGATTTGGATTGTCAGCTCGCCGGCGCGATCGACAGCGTTGTAGCTCCGGTGAGTGGCATTGCAACATTACTGCCCATTGTAATGGAACCTGATCAAGCGCAAAGGCATCGCAGCTCGCAGCACGCACACATTTACATCGCCCATGTTGAGAAGGAATGTACTCCACGCGAAAGTCCGAAAGACGTCCAATCTGGTCTTGCAACCTGTCGATCTCGGCGGTATCCTTCTGGTGTGACCTCCAGAGCGCGAAGTTCAAAGTCCTCAAAGATAACATTCTATGTTCCGGTTTCCCAGTGTCAAGGTTGTGCAGCGCATCATCATCAGCTGATACCAAAGACCAACAGTATGATACACAGGTTCTTCTTCGAGCTGGGAGGCAGGCTCGACGAGCCATATGTGCTGTTGCCGATCCGAACCACTCTTAGAGCCCTCAGCAAGCGCTTGCAGTCTGAATGTTTCGATGGGGACAAGATTGAAACACAGTAGCGCAGTCAGACGTCACCTTGGGGTCGGTATGATATACTACGGCGGCGCAACCTTTCATCAAATCGACATCAAGCCAGGTATTCTGTGAGAATTGGTAGATGCTATCGGCCTATAGCCTCTAGCCATAGCCCACAGACTAGATGGAAGTGTTTCCCCAAGGTCAGGGGGCGCGGGATCACGCTCGCGCTCGGTCATCGTCAACTCACCCGAAGAGCACCATCAGGGTACAAGGGTACAAGGGGGATGTGGTTAGAGAGAGGTTGCTACCTCCTCCCTCCTCTCGTTCTGTACCTTCAAACAGCTCTAAAGACAGCTCTAAAGAGGCTGCGTCACTGAAATAGACGACCTCAAGTGCCCAGATCTCGAGGCCTACCCTTCCCAGAACGGCAGGATCGAAACCCTTGACCGAAAATCAGAACCGGGACCGGGACCGAGCTCTCAAGTCGATCCAGATAGGACAAGACGTTTCAGCTCCAGCACTCCCTAGATTCCAGATTTGAACATAGCTCCCAACACCTCTCTTGAAGAGCCTGATGAACAAGCTCTAGACTGACGGGGACTCCATCCACAAAACTCTCCCGCTCTTGGAAGTTGAGACTTCGTCTGACCATCGCAGTGAACTATGTCCGGTAAGCTCACCCACCATGGTCAGGCTCTGACCTTGGTCCTCCCCGCCATTCATCTCACGTCTAGCGTGAAGAAGCTGAACCTCATCTGTTCTACGTTGTTTCGTAATGCCCGGGATTCCTCTTGCGGTGTTTGCTTTCGACATCGATCTTGGTTGGACTGGCTGGATGAATTGTAGGATTCCAGAACGCCGGGATTACCAAGGGTAAGCTGGTTAAACCTGTCCACACTATCGTCCGGGTTCATCTTGCGGGAAGGCTGAGAGCTCTGTCTTCATCTTTCTTGCAATCCTTCTTGTGCTCGTCTATGGCTGTGGTTGGTGCGATACTGCGAATCTCATCTGGCTCCGATCTCAAATGGATATACAAAAACATAATTCCCCCCTTGAAACGACAACACTCCGACCACCCATCATATTTTGCTCATCCGCAGGCCTGATCCTCTTGACCGGAGTCTCCTCCCTGACGATCGCCCTCGCCGCTCTCAAGCCGTATGCGCACCTCCAGCTCGTTCCTCATCTGACCAAGCACAGGCAGGTGAGTCTTTCGTCAACAAGTCTGCCTCTCTGTGGCTATGTGCCGATCGCCAATAGACTGAGGTGCATTGCTTTGCGTTTCCTTTCTCGCCCTTATCGTGATTGCCATCTCTTGAACGGGAAACCAGATCTGGAGATTATGGACTTATCAAGCGGCGTATACAAATTCGCCTGAAGTGTTGATGGCCGTCATGACGATGTATCATATGGGCGTCCCGGTGGAGAGGTCAGTACAGAAGTCAGCATCGATTAACGGGAAGTCAACATAGCTAATTGTTGAGCTACATCATGTTGCATGTGTTGCGATGATATGATCGAATATAGGATGTTTGGGAGCCGAAAATATGCGGTGAGTCGTGGTGTACAGTCTCTTCCCTGCCATTGTCTGTTCGCTTGGCTGATGATGTCGCCCAAATCCGATACGTCGACAGTCATTCATCTTTCTCGTCTCAACCATCTCGACCGCACTCTCTCTCCTCGGGATGATCCTCCTTCAACCCGTCGTGGGGTTCAACTACGTCCCTGCGGGATCGTTTGCTATCGTTGGGGCCATGTGAGTGAGGTGTCTACCGACTACTTGGTATTAGTCCGGCAACCGAGACTAATTGTTCCGGCATATTTCAGCGCATACCAATACTGGAGACTCGTGTACGTTGACACAGACTTCATGCCCCAGACGGAGTCGATTAGCTGACAAGTTTTGTTTGCTTCAACCAGCCCAACGATCTACAGGTTCCAGATCTTTGGGGTTGAATGCTCGAGCAAAACGTTCATCTCCTTATTTCCCGCTTTTGTAAGCTATGGCTCAGTGTTCACTTCCCGCTTTCTCACGTTGACATCGATTCTCTTGCGAGCAGCTCCTCTACCTTCAATTTCCCTCCACCATCTTCCCTTTTGTCATCGGCATCTTCTCGTCCATGTTTTACAGCTCGGACCTGACCCTCCCGCTCCCATATTTACGATCACAACCGCTATCCTCGTTCCGTCTCCCTCGGCCCATCTACCTGCTCCTGCAAAGGCTCCTCTTCCCGCTTGTTGGCGAGTCGGCCGCACCGAGACGAGCGGATCGAATTGTCCCGGATGAGATGACAGCGGGGATGAGGGCTCAGCAAGCGGCAGCGAGGGAGGCGAGAGCCAACGCGACGGCTTTGGGAGAGTTACTTGCCCTCAGGACGGCGGCATTGACGACGGCCACAGCAGCGGCGGCAGCAGCAGCGACGGAAGCCGGACAAGAGGGAGCCAGGCAACGACGGACGGCAGGAGCGGTACCAACGTACAACCTCGAGGGTATCCAGGACGGGGTCATCGAGCCTGCTACAACGTCGGAGGCGGTACCGGCACCACCTGCGACGCCCTCTCGTGCGTCCCGACTGGGTTTCGGTGGGTTGTTGAACTCGGTGACAGGTATACGTCCGACAAGTCCAGGGTCGAGGGAAGACCCCGCAGAGGAGGCGCAACCGAACGCCCCGACAGAAGAGAATATACAAGAGTAAGTCCCACATCGTTCTATGAGCTCTTACGGTGGTTGACACGATTCCACACCTTTCGAACAGTATTCTCAACATGTTCCCCAATTTGTCGAGACAACGAGTGGTAGAGGTCCTACAGAGAAGGTTCGTGATAATGACACTTGACCTCTAGGAACAGGGCTGATCGATACGCTGCATATCGTCTAGCAATCATAACACCGCACTGGCCGTAGAGATGTTACTGGACGAAAGTCACTAAGGGAACGCCATTATTGGCTTATGTCGCGTACTATGGCATGCATCATGTTTTTCTGCTGGAAACTTTGCTGTGCGACTGTGGTGTAATGGCTTCGTGTTGTTGGATACATGTTGCGCGGTGCACAGACTGACGTCTCCGCTTCCTCTCCTTCATCGTTAAGTCCTCTCGCCTAGGCAACTCCCAAGACCTTCAACAAGACCTTGCCGACCCTGACACCGTCGTGCTCCTTCCTTGTTTGCTTCCTCGCTTGTTCAGCAAATTCAGTGGTGAACGTCCCATCCGATTCGTATCCCGATATGAACGGCTCGATGATCCTTAATTCAACCCAGATCTGTTAATAAGGGACAGGAGCGAAAAAGCTTCGAAATCTGCCACTTACCCTTCATGCCATTCAGGATGACCTTGGAAGGCTATGATGTGAACCCGGGCCCATGGCTCGGCTGGCAACGTGGACTGGTGGGAGTGCGTAAAAGCGGGTGTCTCTTTCCCCTCCTCGTAAAAACTGACTATGCCCTGTATAGGGCAGATCTCAGAAGATCCGAGGAGCTCGAAGTTGGGCGGCAGCTTGGATACAATATCGCTGTGTATTTGTCTGTTCATGTGGAGGATTGAGTGAGTGACATAGTGCGTGTCCGAGCTCAAAGGGTGACGTACTGCATCGTCTAGAAAGGGCGCGGTGTAGAAGTCGAAGTGAGTGGGATAGTGCAGGTAGGGGTATGTGGAGTGACATACGACATGATCAGGCAGTCCAGAGACGTCCTCAAGCGAGGTAGCGTCTTCACCCCAGACAATCTTCCTCCCGATGTCCGTCAGATTAACTTTGGTACTCCCGACCTCCCTAAAAGGCAGCGGCGAGCGACCACGTCAGCTCGAGGAGAAAGACAGGGGCGTGTCAAGGAGAAGAAGATGTGGGACTGACCATCCTTTCGGGTTAGGCTGCACGGTAACAGCAGGTCAGCGGTAAATCTTTGGAACCGTTGAAAGCTAGACCCACCTCTATTTTCGATGGTCCAAAGGCACGGGCTAGTACTTGAAGGCCGAAACAAATGCCAATCATGCGAATGCGGGGGAAGTCGTCCTGTGAAACAAGACCAGCCAGGTGAAAGAAGGTTAGTCTTCACGCAACGTGCCAGCAGAAGTCCAGACGAGACGGCGAGCCACTCACATGAATCTTTATCAGGAAGCCGGCCAATTTCAAGATCCAGACTAGGCAGCAGTGAATTTGACACGTAGACGAAATATGACATTAGTGGTTGCCGAGTCGCGCGGTGAGACTGAGAGTGAACCTACTTGCGTCTTCATGTGCATCATCCTCAAATGACCCGGAGATGATGATTGCATCGATGTCTACAGGACGGACAACCATACTTCAGTTTCGTTCGAAAGAACGAGTTTGGTCTGTAGAGTGAACGCCACTGTCTGAGACCGATCTCACCCTTCAACTCGTCGTCCGTCGGATACTCGCGCTTGTCGAGCACATCGTACGACTTGGTCTCTAACTTCAGGTGTTCAGGTAATAGCGGTTCAAATAGATTGTGAATGACGTCTGTCATTTTCGATGACCGTATGAGAGAGGGGGTCCCATCAGTTATAGCACCATTGACTAAATGACCGAGGAAAGAGTCCTTACCTTGGTATTCTCCGTGCTTCTCTATAGACTCCTTCTCCAGGGAATCACATTTGAAGAATGCAAGATTCAATATACCACTTGGTTTGCCGTCCGGTGTAGATGCCATGGTTGTGCGAGTCAATAATGGATTGCGGTCAAGATGTGGTGGTCGTTGGTGAGAAACTGGAGCGCTGATACGGTTGCACGAGAGTAAGAGAGTGGGTCTATATAGTGTGTGTTCGATTTGCACAAAGGGAGGGTGGGGGGGGAGTCCTAATTCCCACAATCGAGAACCATCATGACGTTGCGTTGGGATTCCTGCACAACGAGTGTCGGTATGTGAATGTCTTGGCATGTCCGTTGAGTCACGTGATTGTCGATCGTGCATGCTGACGTCATCCAAGTTAGCCGCCCAATGTCGCAGGCGATGAAACATGAAGCTCTATGTGAGGAAGCTGGCGAACTCTATTGGAGCCTTTGCCTATTGATACGCCATATCTCGCTCGGAAAGTACTCGACAGTGACTCCTTCGGCTGAGATGGATCAACATCCATTATGGATCGAACGGCGAGCTGAGCTACAGCGGACGGAGTCTCTCAATGCGGGTTCAGACCATTGTCATCGGACGACCGACCTCTGAGAACCTTCTTGGACAGGAAGTATCACGAGCAGAAAATTCAATGTTTAAATGTGTGGGGTCATTCCCGTTGCAAAAAGAGATAAACGCAAGGATCGACCCTGGATGTTGTACCTGTGAACATCTAACCTTCATGATGGAGTTGTTTCCGGTCGAACGTTCGGCAGATCCGTAAATGCCTCTCCATTGGGCTGTAAGCTCACAAGTCAATATCATCATGGCGTTCTCGGTTATGAAGATCAAAACGGGTGCACCGCAGCCAGACGTAGAACGCTACATTTCACTTCCTCGACAGTAAGCGGTACCAGTCACAACTCCCCGATCATGTCACGACCGACTCGGAGAATCCGGCTCCTCCGAGGTCCAGGTACCAGTTATGGAGGACAAATGCCCAAACCCACGCCCAGGCCACCTTCATCTGATCCAGTGCCCAGTCCAAATTTTTCGAAGGCGAGGACGATTCCGGGGGAAACCATTGTGCATGGCGTAAGACAAGGTTCTCGTTGTCGGACGGATGGGTCGACATCACTTCCTCGACTAGTCGCTTGATGCTGGCGCGCATATCGTCGAGGACGTCGGAGGTGGGAAGGTCGGAGGTGGGAAGGTCGGAAGTGGGAAGGGACATTGTATGTGTAGATGTGTAAGGTATGCGGGTTGATTGTAATTTTGTAAAATGTATGCACACTTTTTAGGAGCATACGATGATGTGGCCCCGATCATCTGTAGAAGCCACAGGTCAGTCGTCGCCTCTGGGCGTCCGAACTGGGGAGGAAGAGACCCTGAGCAGTGGACTCTCAGATTGCTAAGACTTGCGCATCCACCTGTCCAGCAGGGAGAATAGGAATCTTGGGAAGATCATACCGCCTGGCGACATGACTATCCTCCTTTCCTTAGTCCGCACCGTTCATGTCATGCACACCCATTTCGGTCGTCTACATCGTTTGCATCGTTTGCAACGTTTTCGTCATTGGCTTGGCAGCCTCTGGGTGAACCCGACGTTCTTGTCCATTCAGTGCGCTCACGTAATACACGTCTCAGCAAACAAGGCATTTGTCTTCCTCCTTGATTCCATTGAAGGCGGGACGGATCACAACACATCAGATCGAATTAGGTACGCTTACGTGAGCGATGCGTCGTGAACAAGGCTTATGCCTTTGGATTCGCTGTATGCATCTTGTGACGCCGCACAGTGTCGGTACGTTAGGGTACTCGCGTGCTCGGTTGTTCGAGTGGAGGGCCTGGCGTGGGGGACTTGTGAACGATAGGAGAGTGCATGACCAGCGCAGCAACAAGGTTGTTTGACGCCAGTGGGGTTTGGCATCAGTTATCAGGATATGGCGAGGCCAATCGCCCACAGGTCGCTCGTCCGGTAAAAACCCAGTACATTCGAAGACACCTTGCGTCGACTTGGTTTGAGCGTACCTCCCACCCTTTCGGCTTTCGTTTGGGTCTCGACAAAGGTTCTGAGTGCTGTGGAAATTCATGTTTCAAATCCTCTACCGTTGATAACAAGCGTTTCGGATTCGGCAAAGCGGCCGTGAATCTTTGCCATGTCGTACTGCCAGGACGGTTAAGCGACCGGAATATTCTCGTACCTTTCGACCTCATGTTTGGTGAGATTAGCTGCGGCTGACCGACTAGAAATGCAAGCTGTGTCACATCCCAAGTCTGATTGCTAACTCGACGGTTTCACCGGATCGATTAGCAAGATCCGAGACTCGTAGGCGACGTTTCGAGTGACGCGAATTAGCTTCCGCTTCTCTCGCTTCACGCGACCGACGTCATTTCGAGTCAGAAGGGTGGGTGTCGTCGTTTCGTTATCAGCAGCAATCAGTCCATCAATTGGACACTTAGTGGATTAGTCACTACCTATAGCTACATAGCCTGATCTCATCATATTCTTGCAATACCGAAACTCGTCGAACTATGTCGTTCACCTCCCCAGACGCCCTCCCCTCGGCGCCCAACCCGGCCATGGCTTCCGCAGACGTTTCGATGTTCACCAACATGGACCCGGAGACTAGGGACGATTCGGAGGATCCTTGGAGGTTCGAAGTAAGTCGGGAAGAGGTGTTTCGTATCGGTTTACCTGTTCCTCTCCTGGGAGTCTGAGAGCATCTCGGGGAAACGCTTTGAGAAGTGTCTGAGCGAAGCCTGAGTTCTGTCTCGTCCATATTGCATCTCATCTTGCCCGATGCACGATTTTATCTGCTTTCTTTCGCTAACCCCACTTCCCAATTCACAATCCCCTTCTCGATATAACCATCTTCTCAGTCATTAACAGGCTCGTTCCTCTTCAACGAACCCACCGCCGAACTATCTTCCCCCCTCACGGTTCACGGATTCGGGAGCAAGTTTGGGTTACTGGACGATGGAGAGGAGGCTTGGGAGGGGGTCAAGAGGAGGGTCAGCGGTGAGTCTAGAGGTATCGAAGCCTGGATTCCGAGTTTCGGATCGAGATTTGGGTCCTTTGAAACATCGATTTTTTGAGACGATGACGCTGATCGTCGCTATCATACGCTCTCGGATCACTAGAGCTACAAGCCTCAGCCCCGCCTAACGTCAAGTACAAGCTCTTGTTCTGCGGTAAGTGTCGACGACGACCTACTTTCTCAATTTCTACCGGTCTTCAACGCTCCGCTCGTCTCGAGTATTGGATTTGGGGCTTCTTACGGCGACGAGCTGATTTAAGGATGCTTTCTTTTTCTGCTATCGCGCGATACTGGGTTGTCGCTCGATCTCTTTATCTGAATCGAACGAAACCGTTACCTATGATACTCGTGGATCGTCTGAACCGCTTGACGCATTCGATGGGGGACTACTTCAGGCCGACATGCTCAGGGATGGCATAACGTCGCTAGCGAGAAATACCCCCAGGCGGTAAGTAGATCCGCTAGTCTTCTCTAGTCTGTGCCTCTTCTGGTATCGCTGCGTCCTGAGCTGATCAATTTGCGCCCATTGAACTCGCGTTTCGACGTAGTTGTGGGACGGTGATTACGCCAAACGAACGACTGACGGAGAGATCGTCTGGGGTCCGGATGCCGAGTTGACGCCGTTGGGCCAGCAACAAGCGATTGTGAGTCGCTCTTTCTCCTTTCCATCTCCCTCTGCGAATTCCTTGTTCCCGTCCCAGACCAATTCGGTTGTAAGGACATTCATTGACGATCCAATTCGATACCCCACGGAGTAGACCCTTCACGAAGCTTGGAAATCCAACCTCGCCGCTGGATGCCCCAAGCCGGAGAAATGGCTGTGTTCCCCCTTTACCCGGACGGCGGATACGATGAGGTTGAGCTTTGGAGAGGTGTTGAAGGGTGAAAAGCCCGTTTTCGTAGAGGTGCGTGTCATGGTTTTGTACAGGCCAGAACCAGTGAAGAAGATGTCGGCGTGACGGAGAGCTGACGGATCACCGTGAACGATATTACAGGGCCTAAGAGAGATCTTTGGAGAACAGACGTGTGATCAGAGGAGATCCAAGGTGAGCAGACGCGAGTTTGAATTGTCTTTCGAACGACGATCTGCGGATCCTACCCCAGGTCGCTGACGCAGATCCCTTCCTGTGAGTACAGTCCTACTTGGCCGAACGATTCCCCGACTACGAGTTCGAAGCCGGGTTCGCGGAGGAAGATCCGCTTTGGAAACCCGGTGAGTGCGGATCCGATGCAGGCGCGGTTTCGTAGTGGCACGAGCTATAGTAGCCTCGATCGCTCCGAAGGAGTTGTCTAGCGCAGCGAGATGGACGGAGTCAATCCCAAAATGCACTTGCGAACGTATCAGCTGATCGCGGTGACTGTTTACAGATGAGCGCGAGCTTGAGGTCAATCGACGGGTTCGGGTCAGGGAACAATTGTACCGCATCTTCGACGAGTGCGACGAGACGTGTGAGTTGCGACTACACCTTCGGGGTAACGTCACATCCGATTTTCGACGAGCTAACTTGAGTTCGATTGCACTTGTTCATATATGGTCGGTCTCATTGCATCATATTACTATTTCGGCACTACGCTATAGACATCTCGATCACCTCGCACGCTTGTTCGACCTTGTCCCTGTGTGCCGTCTTGAGGCATCGGATTTTCAAGCTGGGGACGTCGGGCATGATCCCGATCATCGTCAAGGCGACCCGTAATACCGGCGCGGCTGCTTGATCCTAGGAGACATTCGAGGGTCACAGGATTGCCAGCGCCATTACAGTACAGAGAGAAAAATCATTTCAGCAGGATACCTGTAGATGCGACGTGTGTGTAGATGAGTGTTATTTTTGGGTGCATCTCAGAAGGCAATATGGCATGGCATGGGTTCTGGCCTTTTTTTTTGGGTTCTGGTCCGTGAAACCGAGGACATGTGAGAGAGGTTGGTCATGCGAAGGCTTTGGACATGTGAATACCAAATGAAGGCCGGGACCATGTGGTCCGGTTAGACGAAGCGGGGGACAAACCGCACTTCCAGATCCCCCACGGACAGGCGTTCGAGGATGCCGTGGAGGTCCATCGGGGATCGTACGATGACCAATTCTTCTCACACTCTCCTAGCAAGGCGATGCGCAGTGCTTGCGAGTTGGGGTCGCCGCACACAGAAAAAAAGGTCACCAAGACGAGGTCGGTTGTCAGCGTCGATCCGGGGACCATTGAGAGTGAGTTTGTGATCCCGCAGGGGCCGTAGGGGAGACTCCGGTCTCTCGACGAAAAATACCTTGGGCCACCGTCGGGATCCCCGGGTTCACATGGGCGGGATGTGAAGTGGACTGACCCCGAATTCATCTCGATGCAAGCCAGCTTCGCGATGCAGGGATGTGATTGGTCAAGTTGCCGGTAAACTCTGGTTCGTTAGCGAGACCCTCTCTGCGTGCCCCGTCATTTTCTTTGTTGCTCTAAGCGAGATCAGCTGTTCTGTGTCTGTGCGCGAGGCGCCCCTTGTTCTTCCCCGATCGAGACATGTGATGGAAGTGCCGCGAATCACGGGGCAGTACAGTTTCGAGCCGCGTGTGACAGCGACAAAGGGAGTAACCACGCGGGGACCTTGTCCCTGTCGTTCCCGCCTGCGAGTCAGACACATTCACCGGGTGGAGGCTATTCGATGCTGGGCGGCGCAGCCTCGGGATCGCCAGGTCGTCATCGCTTACGCGGACCACAGACCGCAGCAAGAAGAGAGACAAGGGGCACGAAACGGGGCAGGCGTGGGGCATTGGGGGCACGAGGAGGATTTGGTATTACTCTCGCTTGCATGCGCTCGCGGCGGGACAGAAAGGGGAACTGTCCCCGCGGGTCACCTGGACAGATCCAAAGGGAAGCCAAAGGGACCACCGAAAGTGGGAAGCCCGGGGAGGCAAAACAGCCATCGCAAGGCGAAAAGAGCAGGATCGCAAACAAATCAGACGACCAGCTAGCCAAAGGCCCAAAACATATATAAGCAGCCTCGTCCTGGTCGTCCTCGTGATCAGATCGTCGTCTCTTTGCTCTATTCTGTCAAGCTTCTTCGCCCATCCTCCTTCCCTCGGCGCACTACTCTAACCAACAACCACCAACAACCACCTAGTCCTTCCCCCTCTCATCTCAACTACTCTCCCTCGTCATGTCTTCCATCGACGGGACCACGGCCGTCGTCGAGGCGCCGGTTACCTTGAAGGCCTACCTCATGTGCGCCTTTGCCTCGTTTGGAGGTATCTTCTTCGGTTATGACTCTGGTTACATCAACGGTGAGTCGCCTGTCGCGCGCGTCTATCGATTATACCGCATCGAATCGCATCGCTGACATCGTTCCCGGTACTGTTGATGCGCGCCCTTTGTAGGAGTCTTGTCTTCCCGAGTCTTCATCGATGCTATCGAGGGTGTCGGCGCCGAAAAGATCAGCGCTTCCAAGACCTCGCTCATCGTCTCGATCTTGTCTGCCGGTACCTTCTTTGGTGCCCTCATCGCTGGTGACGCTGCCGACATGATCGGACGAAGGCCCACCATCATCTCGGGTTGCCTCATCTACCTCGTCGGAGTCGTCATCCAAATGTTCGCTGCCGAAGGTCTCGCCGCCATCGTCGTCGGTCGTATCGTCGCCGGTCTCGGTGTCGGTTTCGTCTCTGCCATCATCATTCTCTACATGTCGGAAATTCGCCCCCGAAAGATTCGAGGTGCTTTGGTCTCCGGGTGAGCCGCGCTTGGCTGTTGTGTCTATTGCTCGTTCGAGGCTAACCCGCACCTCTCTCTTAGATACCAATTCGCGATCACCATCGGTATCATGTTGGCCGCCATCGTCGTCAACTTTACCAAGGACCGATCGGACGACGGCGCTTACCGAATCCCCATCGGAATCCAATTCGCCTGGGGTTCCATCCTCGGATTCGGTCTCTTCTGCCTCCCCGAGTCTCCTCGATACTTTGTCAAGAAGCAGAACATTCCCCGAGCCCGAAACACCTTGGCTCGTCTCCGTGGTCAGGATGAGAACTCTGCTCTGGTCGAGGCCGAGCTCGCCGAGATTGTCGCCAACGCCGAGTACGAGAGGTCGATGATGCCCTCGACCACCTGGTTCGGAACCTGGGCCGCCTGTTTCCGAGGATCCGTCTTTGATCCCTCGTCCAACTTGCGAAAGACCATCCTCGGAACCTCGCTCCAGATGATGCAACAGTGGACCGGTGTCAACTTTATCTTCTACTACTCTACTCCCTTCCTCCAGTCGACCGGTGCCATCGACGACCCATTCATTATCTCGATGGTCTTTACCATTGTCAACGTGTGCTCCACCCCGATCTCGTTCTACACCGTCGAGAAGTTTGGTCGACGAAAGCTCTTGATCATCGGTGCCGGTGCCATGATGATCTGCCAGTTCCTCGTCGCCATCATCGGAGTCACCGTCGGTTTCAACAAGCTCGTCCAGACCGGTGTCGACGCCAACGGTGACCCCATCATGGTCGCCCGAAACATCTCTGCCGTCAACGCCCAGGTCGCCTTTATCGCCATCTTCATCTTCTTCTTTGCCAGCACTTGGGGTCCCGGTGCCTGGGTCTTGATCGGAGAGATCTTCCCCTTGCCCATCCGATCCCGAGGTGTCGCCCTTTCCACCGCCTCCAACTGGCTCTGGAACACCATCATCGCCGTCATCACCCCTTACATGGTCGACGCCGACAGGGGTAACCTCCGATCGTCCGTCTTCTTCGTTTGGGGAGGTCTCTGCGCTTGCGCCTTTGTCTACTCGTACTTCATGGTCCCGGAGACCAAGGGTCTTACTTTGTGAGCATAGCAAGGAGCTCTCGTGCATAGCTAAAGCATTTACTGACTGTTTGCTCGCTTGTCCGCCCTTTCTTTCGCGCGACTTGTCATTTTCGTCGATCAGGGAGCAAGGTTCGTACCTTTATTATATCCTAAAATCTGTCTACAACAATCTAACTTGTTCTCTTCCACATGCGCAGTTGACCAGATGCTTAGTGTAAGCCGTTTTTTAGTCTTTCCAGCTCAATGAGAAGCTCCTGACTGACCTTGACACGATTTTTCAGGAAACCACTCCTCGAACCTCCTCCAAGTGGAAGCCCCACGCGACCTTCGCCCAGCAGCACGACATCTCGGACAAGGTCGAGTCCGAGAAGCGAGAGCTTGCCGCCGAGCACCAGCACGTCGACCGATAAACGTCTCATGTCTGGGTCAGACAGACGTTTACGGGTACGGTACCGTGTTCTATATGCGTTACTATAATCATCTCAGGGATTTACGCAGGCGGTGTGGGTGGTCTTGTACACAGCGCTTTGTATAATCGACATTGCCAATCTACACATATTTTATCGATTGCACCAAACGGTTTCCGCCTTGAATTGTCTACTCAACAATGCTCGCTTCTCGCTTCTCGTTTCATATTATTACTCGTTTCAACCAAGATCCAGAACGATTCGAGGTGTTGACCGCGGATCCCCCACATTTCTGCTTCCGCAGTGCCGAGGTTACGCGTTTACGTAAGCTGTACCCCGAAGCTAGCTGCTTCTTGTTCCCTCATCATTCGATCACTCGCTACCTCGCATTATATGCATTACACAAATTCACAAAGTCGACAAGGGTGTCCAGAACTCCAGGAACATTACCGCATGCCCTCAAGACAACTTCAAGTCTATCGACTGTATTCGTATCCATTCGACGGATCGAAAAACCAGCATCATCATCCTGCCCACACGAAGCGATCGAGAAGATTTCCTATCCTAGGTGACTGATCGCCGTACGGATATCCCTGCTGTGTCCGAGAGGTTCAGCTCGAAAAGCAGGTCAGTAGGTCGAGGGTAAGAGCTTAGATCGTGAAGGATATCAAGTTGATCAGTCGATTGCAGATCCTTTGGATCCTTTGAGCAGGACCGATACTCGTTCTGTCCGCTGCGAGAACATCCTCCACTTGAAAGGCCTGAGAACCTTTCCGACCATCGAGTGTAGCGGGAAACGTGGCCTTCAGCTCCGTAAGCACTCCTGTCGTCAGTGTTCTGCCTGATTGACGGGATATTCCCCGCTTACGACACATGTCGTTTTCCGCTCTCCTATATCGGTTCTGCAGCCATCCGTTCCCACCATCAGCCCATCATCAACAGATGCTGAAAGCTGCAACTTGAAGAGCGGAACGATCTCGGTAGATATTATCGAGGAGAAGAAGAAAGAACGTTGAATCCGGGCCGACTGCTTCCCTGTCATCCAGTGAGTTCGACTCGTTGTGCGTATCAAATTGTATCAGCCTAACCAGGCACGCTCCTGCGCCAGAAGAATAACAAAATTACAATGCCACCCAAGGCCAAGAAGAAGGGCAAGTCGAAACCCGTCATCGAACCCGTTTACGCACCTATCTTTGCCGACATTGACGATGTAGAAGGGAGTGAGTTCGAAAGGATGACTCGTACCGACTGCCGATTGTTAATGGCTCCGCCCGTGGCGACTTGGAACAGCACCGTATACTCTGCCCCCAGCTAATCAGTCGGAACAACTACTGCCGAATGAGATCATGAGCCACATCTACTCTTTCGCTAGCAAGGGGACCCTGGGGAGATGCATGGAAACAAGCCAAGTGCACTTCGAATTAGCCGTCAAGCGTCTATACAGGAAGATCAAGTCGTACGACATGATCTATGAACCGGGACCACAGGGTGGTGGATGGAGATCCCTCAGCAACCCGTTGTTCCAGATGCAAACCAAATTTCGAGGGTGTCCCGGTGCTGCTATCCGTCGGGATTCCTATCGGCGAGCAGTCCGTTCCCTAATGTTCAACAGGGATGAGGATTTCGGCTTTGCTGGTCAGCCTGCCTTCGATCTTTTACGGGAGCGATTTCCGGCCCTCTCAAAATTAGAGTGGACCGAAGGCTTGAATGACTACTCTGTCCGAACGGAAGATCAAGGGTCATGGTCGAATCTCCGACTCATTCTTTCCGGGCCAGATGAGTTTTCGTACAACAATGGTCCTTCCGTCGTAGGGAGACTGACTGCCACTTTGGGAATCCCGCTGTCGAGATTGGACTATAACGATCCTATCCAGGGCTATGAGGCACTGGACGACTTCATCTTCAAATTGGCGAAGCATTGCCAAGAATTACGGATTTTATCGATATCCCCGGACGAAAAAACGGGAGAACCTCCTATCGAGTGGTACCGAGACCTTTTCCCAAAAACACTGGAGGAACTAGATCTTCCAGACGCGTTGCCGTACAACGTCGAGGCCGTGCTTTCCTGGGATCTACCTCACCTGCGAGAATTGACCTTCGAGCTGAGACCTAGTTCTATGGAGGACCTCGACTGGCTGGAGCCGAAAGCAACTCGCATACCGAACTGCACCAGTCTGCAAAGCGTTCGCTTCGATGGCTTCGCTGAATATGACTTCGATTTCGATGAACCTCCTGAGGCCATCGATCCATGCGATATGGCCTTATGGCTTTCCAGGACGTTGCCTTCGCAATGTAGACTCGCCGTGAGCAGGACCGCCATCCCGAACGGGGAAGAAGGTTGGTCGCGCCAAGTAGAAGAACGGTATCTCGAACAGCGTCAGCTCGAGCGGGAGGAATCTCGAAGTACAGCTCGATAGTCTGTCTCGAGCGGAGATGTTGACGAGATGTGGGCTTTAGATGAACAGTAGATTCTGGATAAGACTGGCCAGCGTATGTAGTATCAGTGGAATATGCTTTGGGGCTTTGGCTCTGCGACGTTGTGTCTGTGTATACACGTGTTTCACTTTGGAGCAAAATACTTCCGAATGAACGAACTACAATATGCTTCCGAGATCTTATTAGGGTCCTTTCAGCTGGCGATGCATGATCACTCGATATTCATCTACCTTCATACCTGACCGTTCCGACCCGTTCGGCTTGAATCTCCCCTACCTAGTCATACCGCAATACTTACTTCTGGCTTGCTGGTCTGATCGTAAGTTTCCCGCCATCGAAGATCCCCGTGGTCATCTTGACCGTCTCGGTCGCTGATCACGGAACATCAATCTCTTATCGACAACAGCACAGAGACCGGTCTTCAAACGCACGCACCACCTGTATATCCCAAACTCTGGCGAAAAGCATCGAAGAAACCTAGAGTGTGAGCAAAGCTCCTTCATCTTTCTTTCGATCCTGGCTGACCTGTGGTTCCGCTTGCAGCTTTCACCTGACGATCCCCCCATCACATTCGGGAAAGAAAAAATCCGCCTTTAGCACCGAACTGCATCCTTTAAACTGCAATATCGATCTAGAACCGCGCCTGTAAGTAGTACAGGGGCTCTGAGACATAGTTTGTCTGGTCCTACAAGTGTGAGCACTGTATTCTGCTCACGGCGGCCAGGAAGCGATCTCGCTCTGACGCCGTCCTCATGCTCTTGTAGAGGGGTCCTTTGGATTGGTATCAAGCGGCGTCACAACCAATCGAACATCCTTCAAGGCAAGTTCAAGCTAGATCAAACTAGACCTGAAGGAACAACGTATACCGATTCGAGGTAGGTCGATAAATCATGTTATTATGGTGCTAGAGACTTATACCTTCCTTTGGCTGCCCACAGCACGATTGCAAGCATGATTGGCAACAGCAAATCTCCAGCCGGCGCGGCCAAACCGACCGGGAACTTACAGAGTCCTATCAGCCCTACTATTTGTGAGCACTGTCTTCCTGGATCTTCACTCGCTCATCCTGATCTGATGTATTTCGCTGCAGCATCTATCAACACGATATCCGATCCCAAGATCATGCCGAACTTACCCCTCGAAATCATCGACAACATTTTCTTCTTTTGCACTCGGGGAACGCTTTTCAACTGCCTCACTCTAAGCCAGGACTACATTGGTCTCGTGATCATGCAGCTCTATCGATCGGTTCCGACACAGTACTATCGCAACGTTGCAATGGATGGGCAGCACGTACGAAAGGCTTGCAAACCCGCTGTATTCGAAGCCCCGCCCAATCCATCTTTGAAACAGGTCCTCCGTCTCGCACACTATCGCTACGCTGTGCGAGATGTTGATGATGTAGGCTACACCCTCTGCAGTCCCGATCGTTTGCCAAATTTCGCCAAAATAGTTGCGGATTATCCTCGAATTCGAGGCCTAAAATGGAAGCATCTGGACAATGAGTGCACCTACTCTCTTGAACGGAATAGCGAAAATGCATGGACCAATCTTCAACTGGAAGTTTATCATCCCGCAGCATTGTTAGGCAGAGCTAAAGGCCAACTGAAACGGTTGATGACGAAGATCGGAACGGGCGTCTCTTCCCTCAAGTTGTACGACTGGGGCGACGACAGGGAAGATGAATATTATGATCTTTTCTGGGACATGGATATGGATATGGACATCACTGAGACATATCTCGCTTTCGTCAATACGATGGGACCGCACATCAATCAGCTACAGACTCTTGACATCTCACGAACACCCTACGGGGAGTATTCGGATGACATCGAGCCTGTGGCCAAGACTCTCCCGCCGTCGCTTGTCAACCTTACCCTCATGCGAAGGGATACGGTCGAAATCGAGCGATTCCTCAAGTGTACTTTGCCAAACTTGGCGAAGTTCACCTTCAGCTTGGATTTCCCTGATAACTGGGCCTACACATCGAGATCCGGCGCATCACACGAAGTCAAAGCTTCTCCCAACTTGAGACAGGCGGTCATGCTTGTCGTAGATGCCCACGACTGGGAATACGAACCGGCTCCACCTAGCGCCATGGACACGGCGTCTTGGCTCGCCGATATCCTTCCTTTCAGTTGCGATCTTAGTGTCAAGCTCGATTCGGAAGCGATGTGCTGCGGTAGATCCTCCCCTCACCCGTGGCTCAATCGATGGATGGCCGACATTGAGAAAATCTATCGCTTCCACAGGACGACCATGGGGAAAGAGCGGCTGAACGAAGTCCGGAAGGAATGAGCGGAATCTTACATCGCTCAAGCAGGAAGAAGGAGATGCGATACCATACGCAATTATGAACAGTCAAGGACTAGAAGAGACTGCTAGATAGACAAGGGATGACCAGTTGACGGCTGCTTTTCTACGCGTGAAGACTGAACGATCCCCGATCCCCTGACGATATATATCTACGATACTCAATACTATCCGGCCAGTGCCCCCCCTGTACTCAGAATCTCCGTTGCCTCTTCCCTTACGAGTCAACATACATGATCATGTCTACGCCAGAACGGTAGGAGACAGCCATAAACCGTATTTTCGGCGCCGGTGAGGACACGCTACAACATACTTACGGAGATATCGAGAACGCCACTCGAGCGCGTCATCCCTTGGAACGCAGTGTCGAGATGCCTTCTATCCCAAGTCCAGATACGGCCAGCTCTCTCTCATCTATACAGTGACATCTCTTGGCTCCGAGCCCTGTCGCAGGCCGGGCTTAAACTCGCTGATCGATGCGCCAGGCAGTTCAAGGTCGGACCCTGTAAAGAGCATGGACGTATGTATGAATGGCATTGGCTGTTCAGCTTCTAGGTTTCGCCTGCTTCGTTCCGTCAAGACTGAAGGAAGGTGACGGTATAGGAAAGCTCCGATCCTCTCAGCCAAGCGCTTAATTCCCACCGTCGTACCTGGAACCGGGCATTGATCATTGGCAGAGACAACCTCCCCTTTGTCTTTATCGGTTTGAGCCAATGCCGGCTGACAGGAAGTACTCGCCCCATACTAAGGAGCCCCGTCACAGTGTGTATGATGAGCGATCATTCCGGCAGCTGCATATTGCATGGAGTTTCTTTGCGCTACCTGAATCGGCTGACTAGAATGGATGGGTGAGATACTTGCAAACATAGTGCTTCGCGATGTAGAATTCATAAAGTCATTGCAAAACAGATCAACGTCGTCGCAAAGATCACAACTTTTCAAGTTACCCGTCAAGACGACCTTTTTCTACTCTTCCTTTGGCGATCTCTTAAAAGGTCCTCTTCGATGACAGTAGTATGGGTTCACGGGCTGGAGATCTCTGTTCGAAGCCCATCCGATTCAGTGCGATGAAACACGTTTGCGCGACGGTACCCATTTCACTTCTGATGCCGAGGGCCGGCCTCGTTGACCTGTTCGCTTTTCGCCGAACCTCTGCCAAAAAGTTGTCGAACTCCACATACTGACCCTAACCCTATCAACTCGACCGTCTTCATTCATCGCTCGACATAGAACTTGTTGAACAACTTTCAAATAGTTCAAGCATGGTCCGATTCAAGGTTCGCTGCTAGCCGACGTGTTGCAGCTCTAGGTCGACCTGACTTCGATCACATTGTCCTCCCGCAGAACCGATGGCTCCTGGTCGAATTCTTCCAACCTGACCAGCATTGTCCTCCATCAAGCTCCAAGCTACAAGAACCCAGAGATCTACCTGTCTTCGAGCTCACAAGAGGACCGGATGGACAGGTTCCCACAACCGAAGAGGATGATGAGGAAGATGAAGACAGCCCGAGTTACCCTACAAGCTCGACCATCCCGTTCTTGGCTCCGAATCAGCCCATCTTCCTGACACCTGCCGCACAACGATTAGCAGCTACAAACAACTCGACAGGAAAGGGCAAAGAAGTGGCCATGGGGATGACACCGGGGAAGATGATACCGGAGAAGCAGATATATCATGCTCTAAAGAGAAGCATAGTGGATGTATTCGGGGATGCTGGATGGGGAAAAGTAGGGAACAGCCTGTCAGGTATGGCGATGCTCCTGGTGCCAGACTTCACGTACATGCGAATACCTTGCTGACACTTCATTGCTCTTTTATCGACGTACATCGCCGTGACCCTACCTACCCTGTTCCTCACGATACTCTTCAACAACCTACAAATTCGAACAGTTCGGTACTTCTCGCAAACAACCTCCCTATGCATCCTCCGAGTGGCCAGAGATCACTTCCGAATAGCATGGGGAGGATTATCGTTCATCAACGAGTTGGAGGGAATCAGGGTCGTACCGAGGGTGATCGGGTGTTCTGGTGAGTAGTTGAGGCCGAGACTGGATGGTCCGGCGGCAGATGAAAGTGGCCGGTCGATTGAAATTTGATGTGCTGGGCTGATATTCTTGTCTCTCCGCGACCTCTCAAAATTGACATATAGGTACCCTGAAGAAACTCTACCTACGGGCGGAATCCTATACAACCCTCTTGATCGCCAACTACCTCGCCCATACCCTCTCCTTCATCCCAGAACCGACATCCAGTGTCGAAACGGCCGGATCAAGCACTAGGGAAGCCAAAGTCAGGCAGGGGGAGACGGAAGCGTGGAGGGAGAGGAGGGGGGAGGTCATCAAGGCGTTGAAGGCCGTCGACGAGAGCTGAGGGGTCTTGTGAATGCTAAGATTCTACCTCCACGCATAATTCACATGGGAAACACGCAGTGAGAAATCTAAGGCGTTTGAAATGTCGTGCTGTCTTTCCTCTGCCCTCGACCCGTGATCGATGCCGCAGTGTCCGAATATCCTACTGACATGGCCGATACGAGAAGTCTAGCCGAGACTGGTAGCTGAGCAGAAGCCAAAGCTATGTTGTGATTGTCAGGCTAAGAGCCGATGGTTGCTCTGGGCCTCGTTAGAGGATCGTGGGTCGGCGTCCGCGTTGGCATCTCAGACGAAATTCTCTGTGCAGTATTCGCTAAACAACAAGCCCATGCGATGATGCAAATACAACAAGATTCTATACGACACACATAGTCTACTCGCTATCGCTATCTGATCTCGTCTCCCCGAATGGATCACGTGAGACCTGCTTCACCGCCGATTCCGCTTCTCCATGTCCCGGCTGATCGTGATACGCATCCCCCATCTTCCTTCCGAGCACCTTCTCGATACTCTGTCCCAGATCTGACGGTGGCACTCCAAGGACGGGGTCAAGAAACCAGGACTGTCCATTGGATGAGCGACAAGTCAGCTATCATAACATTGCTTCGTGGGGACGATCGCACTTCCTCTTCCCGGTGTCATAACGCGAAGGCCAGACGCTCACCTTGGAGATGTAATTCCTAATACCATCCGGCAATATCACGACGACGTTCTTCCCTTCCGTCTGTGCCAACTCTTTACCAGCGCGGGTCTGAGTGAGGAATTTGAACAGTCCAGCGAGGGCTGAACCGGAAGATCCGCCGATGAGGAGTGATTCTGTGCGCCTGTGATTCGATATTCCTGGGTCAGCGGAAGACGAAACAAGGGATAACGAGAACATTTCTGCATTCACATGACAGTCCTGACCATCTCGTACGCCTCCTCGTCCGTTGTCTTGATCCACTTATCGATACACCTCGACGAAGGGTCTAGGACTTCTGGGAAAAAGTCGTACCTATTCCCGCGCCACGGGACATTCACCATCCCAGGCATAGCAAGATACAGAAGGAAACTCGTCAGCATTCGATTGAGAGAATTTGCCACTTGGATCTGATTTATGATCGAAATTCATGCGACTCACCCAATACCTTCGATAACATACTGCCCGACCTCCCCGCCACCCAAGATGCTTCCAAGGGGATCTACCCCGACGACAATTCCTTGCCCCCTCCCGAGCTTGTTCATCAAGCCGTCTTCCCCCTCGTCCGCTTTCAGCGAGCTTTCGTGGCGTCCGTTCAAAGTCCCGTTGATCGCTTGATCGACTGAAGGTTTCACGTCTTGAGCGCCCAGGGAGCGCTCGACAACCTCTCCCTCGCCCTCCGACCCACTCCCACTCCCTCTCTCGCTGTCCATGAGCAAGTCTTTCTCCTTATCAAACTCGCTGACGACCTTCCTAACCTCCCTCTCGGCTTCTTCTTCTGACAATGGCCATCGACCCCGTTCGGAATCCCGGAGAGCACGGGAGAGACCGGTGATGGTCCCTCCGGTTCCTGCGCCGGCTATGAGGGCGTGGATCTTTTGAGGATGGATCGCTTGCTTTTCGATGGGACATGGTGACGGTGAGAGTAACCATGGCGATGTAAAGTGATCGAAAAAGTCGAACATGAAAGGGAAGGGAGAAGTTCAATATACAATTCGATAAAGAACAAGATCGAGAACGAAGGAAAAAGACGCTAAGGAATAGAACGGGGCTCACTTGGATCTCCCCGAACGTGCTATAGTAATGAGCCAACGGGTTCTGGATGTTGTTATATTGATCGAGGATGATCCCGCCTGGGATCTCTTTGGCCAGTCTCTTTGCGATCTCTAAAGGTTCGAAGAAATTTTTATGTTGTATCACCGATGAGTTGAGTCAGCAAAGCGGAAGGAAAGGAAAGGCCACAGAAAGAAGACAGCGGGAAGTGGTCGAAGGGGTATACTGACGTATATGACTCGTCTCATCGTCCCAACCGGCCTCAGTCGGGGTCCTAACAACCTCCGCACCCAGACTCCTCAAGACCGCCTCTTTCTCCTTGGACATCTTCGCTGGCAAGGTGATTATACACCGATACCCCTTCAGACCGGCCAGGAGCGCCAGGCCTATCCCGGTGTTTCCCGAGGTAGGTTCGATGATGACTGAGTACCCTGGGATCAGCAGGCCAGAGCGTTCGGCGTGGGTGATCATACGGAGGGCTATGCGGTCTTTGATGGACCCGCCGGCCGAGAAGAATTCGACTTTGGCCACTGCGGTATTGTCGATATGGCGTCCAATCGAACGTCAGAATCGATATAGAAGGTAGGGAGAGACAGGATATACGATTGTACTGACGAATATTGCATTTGATGCCCCAAGTCTGTGCCAGTCGACGCAAGTTGATCAACGGGGTGTGGCCTACGGCATCGGCAGCGGAATCGAGCACGCCCGACCAGTGATGTTTGCTGTCCATCGTATGTATATTGCTCTCGTGACTGGCTTGGTCCTGAATTGGATTCCCAGGTGATAGATTTGATGGTCTGCATGGTCCTACATATGGTCTGTCCAGTCCACGACATCGCCCCCCCTTTGTATAGTCGCAGCCTCTCATCAGCTGATCTCGCTCGGGTTTCACGGGGAAGGGCGCTTCGGCCAGATCCGATGATGATGATGATGATGACGCCATCAATATCACGTGATTGCCCCGAAACGCTTCGGACCGTCCGACAGGGTATGGCCTGATGATCCATATGATGCTCGTTTGAGCATGTTTTGCTGCATCGCATGGTACCATACATGTCCGTGATGAGACAGCTATTATTTGCCCTACAATACATGTCTAAGTCTACACACGAAATCGACTCCCAAGCCCCGCTTCCTCTCCTGCCCTCACACGTAATTCTCACGACGGCCCGACTCTGCACTCCTGTAGATAGCGTCGATCATCTCGTGTCTCACCAAGGCGTCCTCGAACGTGGTCACCGTATGACCCTCGTCCAAACCGACCCCAGCGAACGCGTCCCAGGCCTTGCCGATCGCGTACGTGGCATCCGAAGCTCGGGCAAGGGGGACGAGTTTCAGCTCGGGTTCGGCGGTGGTGGCCATCTTGAGCGTGGGAGGGGCGATCTGGACGTGGCCCATTGGACCTTCGAGGACGAGGGAACCCTCGGTACCCGTGATCTCCCAGTAGAAACCTTTGCCGGTAAGAGAGTTGCCGGGGGCGTAGGTGATGTCGGCGACACCACCGCTATCGATCAACCGGGCGTTCACCGTGATGTAGTCGTGAGCCGTTTTATGACTGATCCTGGTCGGTTTCCCGTCATCGTCCACGACCTGAAGTTAGGGACGGTGGTTGACGAGGATGGACGATATGTCTTTGAGTTCTCCGAGGACCCAGCAGAGCGCATCGACGGCGTGACCGAATGGGATCGTCAACAGGTTCGCGCCGTTGTCGATGTCTGACAAGTAAGCGACGTCCTCTTTGATGGAAGGGATGGAAGGGGTGAAGATTCCTCCCTGGCACAGTGTTCAACGTGATGCAAAGCGGAGCAAGAGGTCGTGCGAGCGGGGAGTGTCAGCAAAGTGGCACGGTCGAGAGTCCAGTGGCTGGAGCTTGGGACTCACGTGCCCAAACATATTGGTACCCATCACCTCCCCGATCTGGCCGGACCTGACAATCTCCTTCGCTTTGAGGATAGCGGGATCTTGACGAGCCTGCAACCCGATGGCGGTCTTGACTCCCTTGGACTTGGCGAGCTGGACGATCTCCCTCGCCTCTTGCAAGTTTCTTGCCAGCGGCCATTCGCAAAAGACGTCCTTGCCAGCGTCGATAGCGGGAAGGAGGAGACTCTTGTGCATGGGGACTTTGACGCTGATGGCGACGATGTCGATTTCAGGGTCGGAAGCGGTCTCTGATGGATCTCCATAAGGGACGACCCCGTCCAGCGAATAGGTCTGGGCTGCCTCAAGAGCCGACGACTTTGAGCTGTTTTGTAGAGCATGGATCTTGAACAGCGAGGATTCCTTGAAGTAAGGTAGATGCGCTTGGGATGCCCATGAACTGGAAATTCAAGGAGACCGGTATGAACAATACCAAGCGACGGCAGCAACACGTCGTCCATAATCAAATGCACAGCGCAATAGCGGAGTGAGTCCTTGAATCTCACCGACAGAGCGGCTCGAGATTCTCACCCCTTGGCGGAGAGCCCGACGAGGGCGACGTTCTTCTTGCGGCTGGTGGTCATGTTGTTGATAGTCGATCCCCGATTCGTTTTGCGTCTACGTCAATGTATATGTACGGTCGTAAGTTCCGAAGTCTCTGTTTTTCAAAGATATCTATCGTACATGCAAGCTTCCTTGCAAAGACGAAATCCCCACTCAAGAGCTCATAAGTAGTAAACTGTTGCATGTAGCAAGTAGCAAGTAGATGTTCCGGGGGCCGGATGGATCGCTCAGCATCGACGACGAAGCATCGGTCGTTCCCGACGCTTATGGTGACGTAATATCATCATCACGTGATCGTCATCGTCGGCCCAGGCGCAGGCTGGTAGTGGAAGTGGATAGGAAATGGAAGATCGATAGAGGCAGTGAAACAATTCTTCTAGCTTCTGGCGATGGATATCGTCAGATGCCAGTGATAGCATTGACGACGCTGATGGATATTATAGATCCAGTCCCTGTGCGACTAGTGGGGTAAAGACACTGGACGCCTACAGATCTCATTACGCAGTATGGTTAACATCGCTGGAAAGAAAGACCCAGGGTCGAATTGAGAACGAGAACGGTGATACTTGTTTCACGAGCTCGAGAGCATCTATGTTCCGGCGCTTACCTGCGATACCGACACCCGCTGGACTCCTAGAATTGTCGTAGCGAAACCGTTCTCTTTGCAAGGGGGAGCGCCTTGATCTTGTTGTATCAAAGAGTACGCCTTCCAGTTGCCCGTCAACGGGGAAATGATTCCTACAGAAAGGAGGTCCGTCTCGAAGCTGACCAACCTTTTGCTTTGCGTCGACTTGAGTCGAGGTCGGCCGCATACACCCGTATGCGATCACCTATACCAGATATATGACGAACCAAGAAGCGGTGAATTGTCGGAGGTTCGATGTCCTTGAATAGTTTCAGTACTAGCGCATCGAATTGGACTATCGTATGGGGATGAAGCAGCAGTGACAGCGTTTTAAGGGCCAGGCCAGACGATCGAGTGTTTCGTCCCGTTATTACCATCGCACGATTGATCCCGATGGTGAGGCGCTAACTTTGATCTGGCTGACCGGAGAATTGTCCGTGTTCCAAAGATGGAAATCGGTATACTGTACGAAGTCTTCTCAAGGTGGATAATTCATCAAAAGTTTCTCCGCGAAATTCCCAGTTGTAGCGTATATAAGTGAAACCGTTGCGCAGCCCAAACGTGGGTCACACAAGACGAAGGTTCATTGTCCAGCAACTCGCCGCCACCCAAATCCATAACCTACTGTAACAACGATCTAACATGCTTGTCTCGAAGCTCTTCATCTCGCTTGCCCTCAGCATGGGTCTCATCCCGGCTACCGAAGCCCGACTGAAATACGTCGGTATCAACGTCTCTTCCGGAGAGTTTGGTGTCTACTCGCCTGGAAACCCTGGGTTCGGGTTGCCCGGCAGGTTCCCCGACGACTATCAGTTCATCAACAAGAGCGCCATCGACGTCCAGATCTCACAGGGGATCAACCTGTTTAGGTTGAGTTTCTTGGTGGAGAGGATGTGTCCCCCGAGTTATGGCCTGGGGCCCAAGTTCAACGAGACCGTGAGTGTCGGAAGACATGTTAACAGCTTCCTCAATCTGAAAGCGCTGATTTGTTTGAGCGAACCCGATAGCATTGGCAACTCTACAACGAAGCCCTTCAATACATCACCGACAAGGGTGCCTATGTCATGACCGATGTGAGTCCCTTGACCCCTGTCCCTTCAGATGGCCGGAACTGAGCGTTCGCATCCTGGTAGCCCCACAACTATATGCGATACGGCGATCCCTCTGCCCAACCGATGAGCGGACCGATCATTGGTGATACTTCCGACCCTAAGGCGGCGACGACCGAGCAATTCGGAGCGTTCTGGGGTGAGATGGCTAGGCGTTTGCAAGGCAACCCGAGGGATATAAGCCAATTTCCCGTTGTTCTCCCGGTATGTTCCGACTTGAAGCTCATCTCGACCCGTACATTCCGGCATTTCATCCTCTTCTAGCTACGGCCTGATGAACGAACCTCACGACATGCCCACCTCTCTCGTCCTTCTAAACGATCAAGCGGCTATCACCTCGATCCGTAAGACCGGGGCTACCCAACTCATCGCCGCCCCGGGGAACAGCTACACGGGGGGACACTCCTGGCTCCAATCGTCTCAAAACGACGAACCCTCCGCCAACTACCTCAACAAGCTCCGAGACCCGATTAATAATACCGCCATCGACATCCACGAGTACCTGGATTACAATTTCTCCGGAGGGAATGTGGAGTGCGTCAATACGTTTGATAGTACGATGGGACCGTTGACAGAGTGGTTGAGGGATAACGGGTTGAAGGCGATCGTCAGCGAGTTTGGAGGGAGTAATACCACGGTCTGTGCGGAGATGTTGAAGGGGGCGGTGGATTATGTGGCGGGGCATGACGAGTACATCGGGTTGGCCGCTTGGGCTTCGGGGCCGAAGGTCAGTCCTTCACGATCAGATGCGTACGATCCCCTGCCGGGTTGCTGACCGGCCAGCTTACCCGCTCCGCGTCGGTTTGTCAGTGGAACATCTACTCGCCCTGCTGCAACAACTATACCAACAACTTTGGGTCCCTCGAACCGGGGTCCAAGGCTTCCGACGGGGGTCCTTCTTACTACGACACGATCTGGTTGCCGACCATCTTGCCTGCCTATGAAAAGTATTACTCGCAGGTCGTCAGGGAAGGGGTATCCAGCATCGAACTCAGCAACGGGAAGAGCGGAGAGAACAAGGGCAAGGGTAACGGTAATGGCAATATCAAGGGGAACGATAACGGCAAAGGCAAGGGCAAGGGCAAAAACGGGCAGTGAAACGTGTAGCCGACACGTCTTTCCATGTATCCCTCATACGTTTCCTACTGGATTTCCACTCTGAAGAGTGTATACAAGCGCCTGAAATCATCGTTTTCGTATATGTATCTTATGTGTGACGTCGTGCGATCCGACCTGGTCACTAAGCGCAACAAGTGAAACAGACCAAAAGACGACCCGAACGTCAGATCCACCATTCGGGTGAGACGACGAATACGGTTTGGACTCGCTTCGAGGGCGTTCGGCCTTCGGGGACTTGGCACATCACGTGGTCGGTCATCGCTGCCTAGCTGCTGCAGGTCCATGTCAAGCCACTCTGCCGTAATATCTCGCGTATCAGCGTTTTCGGGTTTACGGCCCGGATCTCTCCGCTGTGCTGCTCGCTATCTGATAAACAACCCTTCCCTGGCTTCGGCCTGGTGGAAAATCGAGGGGGGGGGATGCAACATGCGAGCATGCGGCTCCTAGACTCCGGTTCACGCCGTGGCATGACACGATCCATCGTTCCGAGAAGCCAAGTGCTTGGTAAGATGGGTGTGACCTCGGGCGAAACACCGTACTAGACTTTCAGGAGCATCACCGAGGTTCAGCGGATCGATATATAAGACGAACTTGTCTGCTGGCCGCTGGTCATCCCGTTTTTCGACCCTCTTCTCTGATCAACGATCACAATTCAATACCAACGTCACCTTGAAGGTCGATACCAATCTTCCGTATACCCTAGACGTACCGTCCTGCAAATCACAACATCAATAACACATACGCAAGTTACCAACTCGACGCCATGCCCGTCCCTGCCCCGCTCAAGACGGTCCTCGTCCTGGGATCTGCCTACGCTGGAAACCGTTCCGTCGAAGTCCTCGCCAAGTCACTGCCCTTGAATTGGAGGATCGTCGTTATCGACCGGAGTACACATTTCTGCCGTGAGTCGCCGTCATCATATTCTTCTCAGGTCGAATGCGATTGATCTAACGGCATCACGACGATCCCAAATATACCGTGATACTATACTTGTAGACATCTACGCCTTCCCCCGAGTGTCCATCCTCCCAGGGCACGAACAAAAGGTCTTTATCCCGTTTACGACCATGTTCACTCGAGGGCTTGACGAAGCCCAAAAGGCGCATGTGGGGCGACATCAGTTGATCCACGGGACCGTCACCGGGTTGGGGGAGAGGGAGGTCAGGTATACGCCTTTCGTCCCCAAGAAGATCCTGCTGAACGGCGTCAATACGAAGGAAGAGAAGAAAGAGGATGAGGCTCCCGAGGAACTACATGAAGGGCCGGAAGAGACCCTCTCGTTCGATTATTGTATCTACGCACTCGGTGCTAAATACCCCTCACCTATCAACGTCTGGACGCACCAATCTACCATATTCTCACACGAACCCGCTAGCTTGCAGAACCTTATCGCTACCCGTACAGAGGCTGGGGAGGCTCATGAGATCAACAAGACGCCGGTTGGGGATAAGGGAGGGAGGGGGGTTGTGGAGACGACGGAATGTACGGGGACGAAGAAGGAGGGGGTTAGTTGGATGAGGGCGGCGCAGAGGAGGATCGAGGAGGTGGAGAGGATTTTGGTCGTTGGAGGTGGTGCTTTGGGTGTCCGTAAGTAGTAGCGTTTACTGCGGTCGATCTCTCAGCACACCTCAACCGGCTTACATCGTCGTGTCTTGCCCCGTGGTCATGATCCTTCGCTTCCGGTAGAGATGGCCACGGATATCATCGCCACCCACGGTCAGACCAAGAAAGTCACCCTCCTCCACTCACGTCCGAACCTCCTCAATCGGTTCGACATCGCCCTGCATGAAGCCGCTATGAAGCGGATGGAAGAGTTTGGGATCGAGGTCATCTTGGGCTCGAGGGTCGATGGGTCGTTTATCAACAAGACTGAAGGTGGGAAGGTTAGGACGACGGATGGGAGGGAGGTCGAGGCGGATCTGATCGTAAGCGACGGGTCAGGCGCAAGGAAGTTCAGCCTGGAAATTTTCTCACTGACCCCGATGTAACCTCTCGGAATCTTGCCACAGCTCTGGTGTACAGGTCAATCCCCCAACACGTCCTACATCCAAAAGACCTACCCCTCGGCGATCAACCCTACCAACAGCCTCGCCTACGTCAACCGGTACCTGCAACTCTCCACCCTCAAGCCCGAAGCCGTTCGACCGGATCCGAAGGTGGATGGACCGAACGAGCTGAAGAATGAGGATTTCGAGGTGTTGAACGAGAGGGTGTTCGTGACGGGAGACTGCGCCGACGCTTTCGGGTACGTTACGTCCGGCCTTGCATATCCTCGGTTTGCTCAACTTTACTAATTCTCACTACTATGATATGACCTTGTTGACGTCGATAGCGCACTCAACGCGGGCCACACGGCGTACTGGCAGGCCGACATGGCCGCGGAAAACGTCCTCTCCCTCATCAAGGCCGAAGAAAACGTCTCATTAGCTTCACAAACCCCGGTCGAGTTGAAGGATTACAAACCTCCAGCTTATGGGATCAAGGTTTCTCTCGGTCGAGTGAGTAATGACACTCCACCCGCTTTTGCCTTAACGCGGGATTCGCTTGTGTGTCAAAAGTTATGTATGCTGACATGCGAATATCATGATGGGTTCGCAGGACCTCTCGATTTATCAGCGGGATGGCAAGTTTGGCATCGGGGATCCTATTTACAACCAAGACGATCTCGGTACGGGCATCATGTGGAGCAGTAAAGAGCTCAGCGAGGACGATTATTTCGCCTAGATTGAAGCGCGCCTCGGTGCAGGATCGATGTCGATGGAATCGGAAGACTCATCGATGGGACGGGAATCCGGAAGCCTTTTAGAGTCGTACTGAGTACGCCAGATCATCGTCAAGGTCGAAATGTATATTAGAATGTACAATTCAAATGAAATACTTTGTGTCTTGAATCTCATGTACGACGGAAATGGGATACATTGTATTGTGAATCTTGTACCTCTACCGGAAGGTAGATTAATGATTCGTGGCAGGCATGTGCTCATCCGCTCCATTGCTTGCGAGCGTCCGTCAGGGGTACATACTGACCTCCCGATCCAATCCAAAACCAAAATCTTCCGTCGCGTCAGCCTCTTTCTTTCCCCGCTTACTTCACCCTCCCGTTTCCCCTTTTAACAAGCCTCTAGACTCACCCTGACATCCATAACATCCTGCACCCGTACTTCTCCCTCCGCATCCTTGGTGACGACCTTGATCACCTGTTTACCCCCTGCCGGGCCGACGGGTATGAACATCCTCCCCGGGCTATCTAGTTGTGCTAATAGTGCGGGAGGGATGGTAGGCGAGGCGGCTCCTACGTGGATGGCCTTGTACGGAGCTGTTTCGGTGCATCGTAGCCAAAGGGGGATGAAGGGTATGTGACGGCGATGGTAATGGCGATAGTAAGCGCAAACGGAAAGGGAATGAATCAGGTTGGGACGATACCGAAAGGGTCGAGAAGAGGACGAAACTGACCGAGAGGCGCATACCCTTCCCTCCCATCGCCCAACACTATCTTCACCCCCGTCTCTCCCGAGACCTTCCCTCCATCTGCATCCCCCGATTTCGTTTTCGTTTTCGTTTTCGCTCCCATCTCTTGTTGTTCTGCTGAAGATACAGATACGCCATCGGTAGCTAGGTTGTTCTTGCTCATCTCGACAAGCCCTGGGAGGTGGTCGATCCCGATGATCAGACCTGTTGGTCCGACGAGCCTGTGCATGACCGCCGTCACTACATTTTTTAGTGCACCGCAAATCGATATAGTACGATACGATTATCGATGTCAGCCATCGAGGTTGTGCCATAAGCTTTGTTCAGCTCTCATCTGGAGAAGATGGAGGGGAAAGAAGAACTTACGATACCCGCTCCCACAACCTACATCTAGAACCCTCGTACCTTCCCCTAAATAATCTTCGAGCGAGTTGAGTGCGTAGGCGTGCATGTGCGGGGCGGAGATGGTAGCTCCGAATCCAATCGGTCTTATTCACCGAAGCAGAATATCGATTTTGGCGGGCGGTGGGTTCAGTATGAGATGGGACGTATGAAAAAAGGTCGAGAAGATGAGATAAGATGTGAAGGAGTAAGAGAGAGCACGAGAAGCTCACTGTGGGGAATCTTCGTAGGCGGTAGGTTTGTCCGGTACGTAATATCTTCTGTCGGTCGCTTTCATCGCCTGTATGTTGAACAGTTCGATATCATCGTCAACCTACCGTGCTCAGGATAAAATACCAGATAGAGGTCTCGTGCCTCGGCTATCCGGCCTGGTCGAGCGATACCGGATGTGACTAGGTTGTCGATAAGCTGCGTGAGCGAGACGATAGGAAGAGGTGTGACGTTAGCGGAGGATATCGGGAAGGCGATGCAAAGGGCAGCCATGAAAGAATGGTCATACCTCTGCGTTTGTTTTACCCGTGCAATGCCAGGCCATGATCGATCGCAGTGTTCGAAACAAAGGCATGTCCTTCTTGATAGTCCGATGGACGATGGTAGAATAGGACGATGAATCGCTTAATGATCAGCATATAGCATCATCGTCCCTCGGTCATCGGGCAAGTCCGAAGACGAAGGCGGTCACGTGATTACATGTCTTCCCCTAAGCAACTTCTGTGTACCGCGGACATTCTAATGTTTATTGCCATTCCCCCTCGGGCTACTTGCTGATCGTTTGTTGTTGATGTTGTCGACCTCTCTTTTGATCGATTGATCACCATATCCCAACCATTCAGATATCTTCCAGCTATCGCAATTTGCAATTTGACATCGCTACCAAACATCGGTACATAACATTTACAAAGGTCAACAAGATGACGTCCATATTCGCTATGCAAGTACATTCCTCTCGATAGACTCGGCCGGGAACGATAGCTGATCAGAATCGACATCTTGCTGCTTTTACCTTGAATCGCGGGCGCCCTTTCACAACATCGTCGTCTCCGATCATGCAATGGATAATATCGCCTTGTCGTGCTGGATCAAATCATTGCTTGGACTGGCTTTGGCGAAATGTTCAACGGGGAAAACGAAATCTGCGTCGGATCTATCGAATCGATTTGATCAAACCAAACGAACAGGAGCCGAAGTCAGTCCTTCCTCTTTTATGCTGTTCCTATCACCCTAAACAAAGACCGCTGACCAGTCACATTATCCTACTTTGGTTTACATGTCCGATCTCGTCAACGAACTCGAAATGATTGCCTGTTCTTTTGCAATCAACCCACCATCGAAACCCAAACAAACTTCCCTCTCACCTCAATCCTCCTACCTCACCCTCTCCTGGAAACCTTTACGATCCCCAACCAAAAACGATCATACAACAGCCTTCAAACCCCGCCCGACCCCTTCCTCCGCCTCCTTAACCCAGGGTACCAAACAATACCAACTGAGGAAATACGCCGAACAGACCCTAGGGAGTGGGAATTTGAGGAATGCGGTGGTACTTCCTGAGGGGGAAGAGGTTTGCGAGTGGGTGGCTGTGCATGGTAAGTCCCGTTCATTCTTGGGCTGGAGAAATTGCATGTAGGGGTTTTGAGAGCGAAAGGAGGGTCTGGGGGTTTGTGGGGTTGCAGCCAAGGCTGATCAAATCGCCTTCCTTCCTTCTTGCCTTCGACGGACTTCGTGGGCATCTCTTTCGACAGTCGTCGACTTTTTCAACCACCTGAACATGCTTTACGGGACCGTCACCGAGTTTTGTAATCCCACACGGGTGAGTCCCTTTGAACCAGACTGAGCCCGGGGTGTTTCCTTCCTTTGCGGCTGGTCGGGCTCTTGTCTTTGCTGGATGTGACTCGCTGACTCGGATATCAATGTTTGATGGAATTCGATTCGATGGGTGCGTTATATAGTGTCCGATGATGAACGCCGGGACCAAGTACGAGTTTTTGTGGGAAGACGGGGTTACCTAGTGAGTCTCATCCTGCTCCCAGATTTTATCAGCGATTAATTCCAGGTCTGAACGGATTTTCTCTCATCGTCCCCGCAGTAAGAAACCTACGGCGCTCTCGGCCCCGCTGTATGTCGAGGCGTTGATGAGCTGGGTTCAGAACCAGTTGGACGATGAGAAGTTGTTTCCTCAGAAGATCGGTGAGTTGCAGCATCCCTTTCACACCCATCCCAACGACTACACTACGCTTCCACCTTCACTACTGAACCTCTGCCGACGCTTCCTGGCTGACACGTTGAACTGCTCGTGATGTTGTACCCTCACCAGGCGTCCCGTTCCCGAAAAACTTCCTCTCGACGTGCAAGACGATCCTGAGGAGGTTGTTCCGGGTGTACGCTCACATCTATTACGAGCATTTCGATCAGATCTGCGCGCTCGGGATCGAGGGTGAGTTTTTTTCGCGAAGTCGAAGTCTGGATATCGTGTTTGGCCGGGTTCGAAGGCTGATGCTCGCTCTGAACGTTCGGGAATAGCGCATTTGAACACGAATTACCGACACTTTTATCTGTTTGTCACCGAGGTGAGTTGCCGGACGATCTCGATTCCTGGCGTCTCCACTGACGTAACGGATCCCTGGTAATTCTCGATAGTTCAACCTGGTAGAGAAGAGGGACATGATCCCGTTGGCCGAGTTTAACGATACCATCGCCGGAGAGTACAAGTAGGACCTCCAGAGCCATGGATGGGACTTTTTTTTCGACATCTCTCCCCTGCCTCTCGCCATCACACGGCTCCCTCTTGTTCTGTCTGTCTTGACGACCGCGACGTTCTTCTTTCGTGTATCTTGATTGTTCTGCGTGTATGACGACCCACCTCGACGATGCTTGCTGGCCCGTGTATATGATCACGTTTACACCCTGATGTCGATTGGCTTGATCGATCGAGGGTTGATTTTTCTTGGCTCTTGTACGGGGTGCCCGATGGTCGCACATGGTAATTGAGGATCTCCGGGGGACATACTGTATTCGTTCACCGGTTTCACAACTGCGTGAAACGGGTGGTGAGATTCGATTCCGATTAAGGTATGATGTCATCTTTCGGAAGCAACTTCACGTTAGTCATAACCGGGGAAAGGGGAAGAGCCTGCAAGCTGACGACGACGACGACGACGATGTTGGCCTTCCCGAGTAGTGCTGCTGCAAAGGTTACATCGATGGTATCGATAGTCCTCCGTCCTATACCTCGACAACGCCTACACATTCGCGCTTTTACTACTAGTCGGACGTTTTTCCGTTCATCTATTCCTTTTGCACGCAAAGCGATAGCTCGACCGTCGCAACCGAGACCTTTCGCATCTAGGCCTTTGTCTTCTCCTCGAAACAACCCATACCAACGATTCAACGTCAGCTCTTTTGACAAGAAATATCTGAGCGACATGTCTGCAAATGATAACCAGAAGGATTCGAAGGCTCAGAGGGAGATCAAGGAGAAATGTTTCATCGTCGGTAAGTTGCTGGTTTCCGTTTTTCCCGCTTGCGATGTTTGGATGCGATGCAAGGGTGTCCCAAATCGAATTTGGCATCAGTATCAGGAGCATAAGGCTGATGTTCAACGTGAGGCCTTTCATTTCGTGGTTCTTGATGATGCTTTATCGAGACAGTCTTTGGAGCTTCGGGAGATCTCGCTAAGAAGATGGTCAGTGCGCTCTCTACCCCCTGAGTTCGCCAACTACTATGATCATCCCCTCGACAACCTCGCTCTCCCCCTGCCAATGTTCGTTCGACCATACTGACCCGAATATATCCTTTCCTATCTACTTGGGGTGACCCAACAAACAGACCTTCCCCTCGCTCTTCCAACTCTTCAAACTCGACCTCCTTCCCAGCAAGACCAAGATCATCGGGTACGCCCGGTCCGACATGGACAATGATAAGTTCATGGAACAGGTCGCTGGTGGTCTCGAGGGGGAGGACGAGAAGAAGGTCGAAGAGTTTAAAAAGTTGGCCAAGTATGTCAGGGGGGCTTATGATGAGGACGAGGCATTCCAGGTGAGTTTGACGTGGATCGAAGGGTCCAGGTGGGCGGATTGCTTATGTTCATCGAGTTATTACTTACTGGCAGAATTTGGAGAATGAGTTGCAGACGATTGCGGGCGACGAGTTTGATGGAGAATCGCACAGGCTGTACTATGTGAGTCTGCATGACTCGATCTCGGATTGGCAGATCTATTCTCTGACCTTGACGGTAAAATCACCCCACAGCTCGCCGTCCCCCCCTCGCAATTCACCTCCCTCGCTCAGATGCTCGCCAAGAACAACAAGCCGAACTCTGATAACAAGGCCAACACCAAGACGCTCTCCTCCAGGCTGGTCATTGAGAAACCGTTTGGCAAAGACTCGGAGTCTTGTCAGAAGATGATGAAGGATATCGCCGAAGCTGGGTGGGAGCAGAAGGAGATTTACCGAGTGGATCATTTCGCTGCGATCGAGACGGTGAGTCGGTTAGAGATCCCGCACGGGCGCTGGCATGATCATTTTCGAGGGTCTGGTTGCTGACGATACCTTCTTGATGTCTGAAACAATGCTGTTGTCAGATTAAACAACTCCCCTACCTGATCTTTGCTCAACCGAGCCCGTTCTCGCCTCACAGCCTACTGAACAAGAACCACGTTCAGGCGGTCATGATCGAGCTCAAAGAGTCGTTCGGGTGTGAGGGACGAGGAGGTTACTTTGACGAGTTTGGGATTGTGAGGGACGTCCTGCAGAACCGTGAGTCACGGGGTTTCAGCTGCGGTCAAGGGATGATAAGCGGGAGGTAGGAGGCTGATCGTGGAGGTCTGTGAGCAGATTTCATGCAGGTCATGACTATGCTGGCGATGGACCGACCTGATTCGCTCGATGGCGACGAGTTGCGTGACGAAAAGGTCAGTCCGGTTCTCGCTCCATACATCAATGTGGGTATGTAAGACGGCAATTTCGCTGAATCTCGCATCTTACTCGTTATAGGTCAAGGTTCTCAAATCGATCGCCGCCGTCGACCCCAAGGACGAGTCCTCCTACATCCTCGGTCAATACACCAAATCCAAGGACGGCAAGAAGCCTGGGTACACCGAGGACGAGTCTGTGGAGAACAAGGAGAGCAAGACGGCTACCTTTGCCGAGATGGTCCTGAAGATCGACAATGAGCGATGGCAAGGAGTCCCCTGGATCTTGAAGAGCGCCAAGGCGATCGAAGAGGATATCATGCGCGTCATCGTGCACCTGAAACCGCACGAGGACAGCGGGTTTACGCCCCTGTATGAGGGGACGAAACCTTCGGCCCTGGTCTTTGAGCTGTTCGAGACCAAGAAGGTGTATTTCAGTATCAATTCCAGGAAACCGGGTTTCGTGGGAGGACCGACGAGGAGCAAGGTCGTACTCGATTGGGATTCGGAAGAAGCGCAGAAGGAGGGGAAGAGTTTGGATCCGTACGCCGTTGTCATCGGCGAGGCTATCAGGGGACGAGAAGAGAACTGTAAGTTTGATCTTGAGGAAGGTTGGGTTTCGTGAGGTATTCAGAGACGATGACTGATCGAGGCTTTGGGTTTGACTATGATCAGTCGTCAGGGAAGACGAGCTCTACGAAGCTTGGAGGATCTTTACTCCGTGAGCACCCACTTTCTTTTCCCTAGCTATCATGTCGTTCTTCAAGCTGTAAACTAATCCCCTCGGTACTGCCCCGAATCACAATTCAGGTTCCTCAAACACATCGAGTCCGAAGCCGGTCCCAAGCCCGAACCTTACGAGTATGGTTCAGAAGGACCCGAGGGGTTCAAGAAGTTTGAGGAAAAGTTGGGGTACCAGGCCGGGTTGCAGTGAGCGGAGGGAACGTCGATGTGGGTCGCCGAGAAGAGTCCTACGGAGATGGAGAATGGCCGAGAAATGCGTAGGGTGGATATGGTGAAACGTGAAACAAGTAAAGGAAGCAAATTTGCCTTGTCAAACGGAAAGTTCGAGTCAATGAAAGTGATATTTGTAAGAAAAGAGGAGATGGAGGTATATTCAGTGCGGGATTGAGAGGTCTATGGCCTCCCAGCCCGTAGTAGTAGCCCCTTCCTTTCCCCCCGCCTCATCCCGCCGCGTCCTTCCAAAGTCCCGCCGAATTTTCTCGTAGGATTGTTTAGGGATAGAGGTTCCTTGAGATAGGGCGCCTGGCAGAGGTGTCATGGGGTAGGTGACCGGTGGAACGATGAGCAGCATAGCCAAGTGTTCCAGTTGGTCTCGGATGACCTGGTGATTCTGATGCAATTTTCCGTTGACGATCTAACCACCCTGGTCGATCCGGCTACAAAGGCGAATGTGCTTCCATTCCCCGTCAATCTTGCACTTGTCAATTCCGGCGTGGGGGACCATCGACTCCCCGAACGCTGAGGTAAAGGGACTGGCATCCCGGCGCAGAAATCATACCCCAATGCCCGATGTAGTATATGACGTGCTGGAGGGTCTTTTGGAGCAGCCGTGTGAAAGTCGGTGTCGAGCGCAGCTTCTAATAGATGAGCGAGATCGATTTCCACGATAATTTCCCTTGCCTTGAAGTGCAGATCGAGGGTAGGCTTACACCTCTGAGGCTTCCTCCCGTTTTTTGACCGGATCTATGGGCTATGGGCTGATGTTGCTGGCAAGTGGCCATCATCCTTATTAATTATTGATGTCGAACGCATGTCCCTTTTCTTCTTGCGAGGTCTAGGCTTCTCAACGATCAATATCATCCTGCTCATCGTCATCCATATCATATCATGGGCATATTCCTCTTTACACCCTTTGATTGTGACTTTTGAGCTTGGACTCGCCGTCGACCATTCGATGGATGAACCGTCCTCGATCGATTGAAGATCTCTTTTGTTACAAAATCGTCACTCTTCCTCGCTTCAGGACGATAGCATATGCTTGTCATTGTAATCGCTGCTAGTACATCTACTGGATATCAGAGTCAACGTCATCAATACAGCGTTCGCCATGTCATCCCCGTTAGACCGTGACGAAAACCCATCATCCTCGGCCTCGTCATCGTCAACATCGCCTCCACCCACATCATCGGCCACGCCCATCTCAGCCCTCTTCCCGCCCATCATCGCCAACAACAACTCCTCTACCCACCTCGTCGATGACAACGAATCCAACCCCGTCATACGGCCTTATACGACGCAGAGATGTTTCACGTTCTGTTCGCAATCTTCCTTGAGGAGGGATACGGGGTGGGACCCGGTCTGCAGGGCGGTGTGTTGGAAGGTCGATAGGAGCGACGACGCGAGCAAGCAGAGAACGCCGGGTTACCTTGATCGACAACGAGCAGAGCGGGCCGGGGTGGCTTCCTCGTCGTCTTCGGCGATCTCTTCTGGAGAACCGTCAACACTAGCATCGACGTCGATCATGGCCGAATTCGCCCAGTCCGTCTCACACTGGATAGGACAACGCTCCATCACCGCCTTCAAGGGCACGCTGGACGAGATGGTAGAGATGCAAAAAGAAGGACAACGTTACGATCCCGCCTGGGACCAAGAAGGAAGCTTGAAGGCTAGGTACTTTGATTCGATAGGACGGACGCCGAGTTATTATTATGATCAGGATAGCGGGAGGGGGAAAGCGCAGAGGCGGTGGGAGGAGATGTCGGATCTGGAGTATGATCTTAGAGAAGGGTATGCGAGGGAGTATGCTGCGGAAGTTGCTGCTGCTCAGCAGGCACAGCTGGACCAATCTACGAATACCAATTCCAACCCCAATGCCGACCTCGATCATTATTACGAAACCGCCCCCGCCCCGGTAAGGCCGACAACGCTAGCCGAGCGACAATTCATGAGACTCGTCAAAGAAGAACAAGCACACTTGGAACGACACCAGAGGCAACGCCAACAAGCCCGATCTCCCTCGGAAAGAGACAGGGACGTCACCAAATTCGATTATCACTCTGAACCGCTCCCTTCGGGTGGGACGCATATCACCCTCCCCCTCTCCACAGTGGTCATCGCGCCATGGTACGCCCTCGCGAGGCGGACAGAGTTCATATTCTCCCCCGTCTACCGGCTGGGGAAGATGTACACGGACTCGTTCCGCTCGACCGAGACTGGCCATTTCACCCTGGATAGGTTGTTGACCTCGGACACTGCCCAGGGAAGAGGGTTGAGCAAGATGTACGACCAGGTCGTCAGTGGGAAGGTTTGGACGTTTGGAGGCAAGGTGGCTGAGAAGTGTGGGGATGTTTGGGGAGGGTGGTTGGGTCTCGGGCAGGGAGAGGGGGAGGGGAGGGGGAAGGAGGATGGGGGGACGGGGTCTTCTTCTTCCGGGGGAGGGGCGGGTGGGGGCCGGAAGGCCGACTAGGCATCAGGGAAGAGATGAGGAGGCTGCATCTCGTCTTATCCATTTACTACCAGCAATGAACCAGACCATGCAGGTACTTTGTAATGTTCCACACGTCATACCTCACACAAATACTAGCATCTCAACTCGCGCCGCGCTACAGTATACTATACTAGTCCTAGTATATCCGGCAAACCCCACTACTCTCAGCCGTCCCTCCCGTCCTCCACCAAATAGGGTTATACCTCCCCACCGTATACGGGTCGATCACTTGGGCGTACCAGGGGCTATCGAGCAGCCCGGAAGCTTTGCAAGCAAAGTTCTCGAGATACTTTTCGTCGGCACGACCTTCGGAAGAGCGGGTTGCGTTTAGCCTGCGATTGGAGAGTGTTGAAGATCGGGCGTTAGGGAAAGAGGTTCGTTTCAAAAAAGAAAGAGGAGGGGAACGAACCCTCTTTGATCAGCGTCACATGAGACCCTGAAGACCTCTGCTCGGGAATACCCGTCCTTGTTTCCTTTCTCGCCGGGCCGTGCGATCCCGCTGTTCGTAACCGCGTTGATCAGCGAACTCAGACTCCCGTATAGATCGTGGTCGTCTACTAGTAATTCGTCTACTAGTAATTCGGAAAGGACCATATCAACTCACTCGAACGTGACAACCACGGAATTAGCAGGATATTCTTCAGGTAGCAACTTCCAGCCCTCGTCCTCTTCTTTAGGTTCGGGGTATTTGAGGTCCCCCTTGATAGGTTGACTCTTGTCCTCGAGATCTTCGTGACAACTCGGCGCACAGGCGTACTGCAAATAATTGTCGTACATAGCGTTGCTCGATACCTTGGTCATGCTAGGGTGAGGGACCATGACGCAGATCACCACACAGGTCCCGGAGATTTGAGGGGCGAGTCGGTAATCATCGTTCGACGCTTGGAGGGCGGAAAGGTCGAGGAATTGGACGTTGTCGGGGTTCTTAGGGTCGTCGCTGGTGATGAGAGGGTCTTTGTAGCCTTTAATCGAGTCAGGGAAGGCTTCGGGATAGGTATTGAGAGAAGGGGCAGCTAGGATGGTGATTGTGACAAGAGGGATGAGGGCGAGCAGGATCGGGAATGCGAACATCTTCGTCGAATTGTTGGACTGGTGGAAGAGGAATGGGACCGCAAGGAAGGTCCGCATCCGACTGTCGATCCGGCCGAAGTGACACGGATAGTAGGAGCTATATATCCTGATGCGCTTCGTGTAATCTGAAACCGGTCCACCTTTGATAGTAGGGGCGAACCTGGCTTCGACCTCAAACGCACCCATTTCGATTGCTTTTGATGAAACGCGCTCGCGCCCGCGTGTCACGTGATCCTGATCCTCGACCCTCGACCTCTCCCATAAAGTTGGATCGACCGATACTTGAACACTGACATCGCACATCCGGTCACATCTTCACACCTCAGCGGTACGATCACTACTACTAGTCATGAACGCCACTCCGCTAGCACTCCTTCGAACGACCGTCCGAGCCCGTGAACCGCTCGCCGCCTCCCTCATCCGGCAGGCTCGATACCGTTCGTTCGGAACCACCTCGTCTGCAAGGGAAGAACAATCGACCTCGACAGCGACTCCGAGGAACGCCATCAAGGATGCCGAGAGGGCGTTGTCGAGAGCTCAAAAGCTCTCGAAGATGTCGGGGATGTCGGGAATCAGGCAGGAACAGCCTCTACAAGGTATATCACGGTTTCCAGTCACTTGCGGGCGTTCCAGGAGAGCTGACGATTGACTACGATACTCTGATGGGGATTCGCAGATATTGTCGTCCTGCCGCCATTGAAAAAGATCGGTTTCAATGCCGTCAGCGAGAGGCGGAAATACGTGACTAAACGAATAAGACGAGGGTTCTACACCGCACAATCGTCAGTCTACTCTCACAAATCCTAATTCCAAATCCTGTTCGGCACTGACTATCCTCTTGCTTCATCGCTCATCCCACTTCTATCTCTTTCTCGATACAATACGGAATAGCATCTCCAAGATCGTCTCCTCAGACATCTACTCCATGAAGACCTACGACCACCCTTACAAGAGGTTCTGGGGCCAGATCGCCGGGTTCTTTTACCCGCAAAAGGCGGCTTCGGGGTTGTTGAGCCATTTCAGCAAAGTTTGGGAGGGGTGGAGTCGGGCGATCGCTAGGTCAGTTCTCGGATCCGACCAGTGCGAGCACAAGTCCCAAGCCGATAAGGATCCAATATAATCCACCTTGTTCTTTTGATGATCTACGTAGCGGGGATATGGAAAAGCTCAAAGAATACTCCAAGGGTTCCGCACTCGAATACGCCAAGAGCCGAGCATCGGCCGCTTCTTCTTCTACTTCTCACGGAGGACCCAAGATCGAATGGGCGGTGAACAAGTACCTCTCTGCCCCTAGGATCGTACACGCGAGGAATTGGGTCATCGACCCGAAGACTCAGGCAGAGGTCGCTCAGGTCATTGTCAGGTTCGAAACAGAGCAGGTGAGCCGACGTCTATGAGTGTGCATAATGCAGAACCATCGATCGGCTCATACTCGGAAACATCGTCCCGTAGACCTTGACGATCCATCAGCGAAATAAACCGTCTAGTACCCGGAGCTCGCGGATATCCGAATGTTGGGTGTTTGAGCGATACCTGATGGACCCCATGTCCAAGTGGCAGATCAGGGACAAGGTCACGCCGTTCACGGGCGGAGAGATTCCCGAGACGTTGATCTAATCGGTCTGAAGAAGCATGCCTTTTGTAGCTATAATCATGCATCGCTCGTCACGTTATACAACCCTCCACGGACAGACCGAAACGCCAGACCGCCGATACTCATGCTCGTTGTCGCTTGCTCGCACCCTCGCCTCGATCGTCTTCGGCGTTCTTCCTTTTCGTCCCCGTCGATGGTCCCGGAACCTGAGCCGCCCCGCCTTCCACATCGGCACCGGCGGCAGCGGCTTGCTTTTGCCTCTCCTTCTTTCCCTTTCGTTTCTTGGCGGGACCAGCAGACGAACCTTGTCCGCCCTTGTTCTGACCCCATCCTTGATCCCGAGATCGACCGCCCGTAGCCTCTTCGTCCTCGGGCACTTCTCCCCACTTTCGCTTCGCCAGCTTGGCCTTGAGCTCCTTCAGTCGATCTCGCATCCCTCGACCGGCAGCGCCGACCCCGGAACCGTGTCGATACGGCGCGTAATGCTTCATGCCCAAGAACTGGTTGAGCTCTGCGTCGGTCGCCAACAGGATCTCAGCCGGTGTCAGACCATAGTCTTGCGGGGCGGCCTTCTGATATTTGAATCGGGTAGGGAGATCGCCGATCTGTTCGAGGCACGGGTCTTTGTCAGCCACGAAGGACCAATACAATTCGAGCACGTCCGGCTCACCATGTCTTCGTAATCAAGCTTCTTGTACTCTTCCAAAGCCTGCTTGACCTTCTCCTTTTGCTGAGCGACTGTCAACCCCTGCTCCTCCTCCACCTCGACATCCTCGACCCGTTCCTTTCCCTTGCCCTTGTCCTTTTTCTTGTTCTTCTTTTCCTTGCGTTGTTTACGCTTGGACGTGGCGTCGTCGATGGAGATAAAGTCGGCGTCCTATCACGATGATTGGGGTCAGTATTCACGCAGTCAAACACGCCAGTCGACCGATGCTCACCATGTTCAAAGGCGGTTCCTCGGCCTCCATGTCGACGTCCTCTTCGGCATCGCCTCCGGGTGCATACGCCTGATCGAACTCGGGGTACTCTTCCCCTTCACCAGCGTAATCCATCTCGCCGCCCCCCTCCTCGTCCTCATCATCCTCGGCATAGGCGGTATCGATGTCATCCCCCCACGTCGGCTTCTCGTCCTGCAATCCGCTCGAAGCCCGTATCAGTCATATGTATTTCACATACCAGACCTGCATGGTCTACGACTCACATCATCCAACCCGGCCGCCAAGACCTTGTCCATCGCCCGATCGAACACCTCTTCATCCCAATCGCCCTCCATCTCTTCTTCCAACATTCCAAACGCCTTGTCCCCCAACTCTTTTCTCAGAGCTTCCATCCGCTTTTCGATCTCTCTTCGCTTCTTCCCCTTTTCCTGCTTGGTCTGCTCGGCCCGCTGAGCGGCTTGTTCGGCTTTCCGTTCGGCTTTGAGTTGTCGAGCCGTCTTCCGTGTCTCGTCCGTCCGTCGAGCTGTCGTTGTCAGATTTCTCGCGTGGGTGGTGATGTTGGCCGCGCCCCTATACTCGTCGTCAAAACCGTCATCCCAGGACCACAACGAGTAATCGTCAGCTTGAAACTCGGACCTTGCCTGCTTTTGACTGTAAACGATCGACTCACGGCTCTTCAAACCTGAAATTATAAGTGTTCTCAAACTCTTCCGCCTTTTCATCGAAATCGCTATCATCCTCCAGAGTTCCCCATGGATTCGCGTTCGGACCTTCCTCTGCGGCATCGTCCCGTCGAGCTCGAGCTTGCTTCTTGGGCTTGAATTCGCCGGCGTGGGAAGTGGTGCCCGCTTCGTCTGAAGGGTCGATCCAGCCTCGGTTCAGGATGTAGCTGTCGGAGTCAAGGCATGATGATTGCAAATATCAGTACGAGGGACATCTTTTCTGCCGATTTTGCGAATCGGAACCTGGAGCTTCAAAGGGGAAACGAGGCAGGGAAGCGGGACTTACTTCATCAAGAACTCTTCATCATCATCCTTCGTCCTCACCCTCTTCCCATCCCCTCCCTTTCCTTCCTTTCCCTCGGCATCTTCCACATCCACATCCGCATCACCGGCATCCTCCTCCCCATCCACAGCCTTGATAGCCCGCTTCCCTTGGTTTTGACCTTGACCTTGCATCCTCTCCGGGAACCCGCCCATCCCCAAGATCTCCCGAACGCCCTCTTCACCCCCAGCTTGGGCCAAGAGAAAGTCCCGGTATTTTTTCGCTTCGGCATCGTCCACCTGCAGAGTCGTTTTGGTCACCAAGAAATCGTCTTCATCCTCATCCTCATCCTCATCTTCTCCCTCTCCTTTGCCTTTGCCTTTAGGGACTCCACCCCCAGAGGCGGAGGGAATGGCAGTATGGAAAGCCCTAGTCACTTCTTCCCGTAACTGTCTCTCTTCCTGAACGTGGGTCAGGGGGATGAGCGTGTCCGGTAAGACTTCGGGCTGGCCGGAATCGAAGTTGGAGTGGGAAGAGGCTAGGAGGGCGGCGCGTTGGTGGTCTTGCAAGGTGAATTTCTGCGGGATTTCGAGAGTTGGGTTTTGTACGGTAATACGGTTTGGGGTTGTGATTTCGAGAACACAGGAGGTAACGGTAGGTTTTCAAGGATAGTTCGGGGATTGGATTTCATATGAAGGCGAGCAAAGGAAAGAATGTGTGAATCAGATTCGATCATTCATACCGAGTCGAATGATAGGGGGAGACTCACCTTGGTAGCTGCTTGAGCTCGAGGGTGGTTCAACTTGAGGGTTTCGGCTTGAATGCTCGTATCCTTCAAAGCCTCTGCATCGTATACAGTTGAAGCAGTCATTATGAGCCATTAATTCGTCGCATAGGATCGAGATCGAAAACCCGACCTCAACCAACACCCAAATCACCCAACCCAAACTCACCTTCGATGACCTTTTCCCCCTCATAAACCCCCTTGCCGCTCCTGATCAACCTCAAGGTCCTCAAGATCGCAGCGTCCATAGCCGGGGTCAACTCTTCCCCGTACTCGTCCTCTTCCTCGTCGCTCTCGTCAGAGACCTCATTATCGTTGTCCAGGTCGGATTCGAGCTCTTCGAGCTCGGCTTGACGTTGAGCTGCTCGACGGGATTCTACGGCGGTCAGGGCGGCGGCGACCGCTGGGTTTGCGGATGACATGGCGGGATGTTTCGATGGTAGAGATTCTACTTTGTGTTCTATGTAAAGCTCCCAGCAGATGTCAATGATGTACTTGTATACACACAAAAAAGTCGAAACAAGGTCGAAAGGTCGAGGTGAGTGATGGCCACACCTTCGGTTGAAATCTCGACAGATCACGTGACAAGAGCAACGAGAGACTCGGTGTGGATGGGCTTCAAGGTGCACTTTTTGACAAGCAACAGCTCGTCAACATCAACCTATAGCGACATGAGATGGGTACCTACCGGTAGCTGAGTGTTAGATCTACATGTACATATAACAATCTTGTGATGACTACGATTGTACGATTGACAATGATGAATCGCGCGATTTGTTGATTTTTTGGTTTCGACGGCCTCGATCCCCGGATGAAACCTCGAGCTCCCAAAGGTTCAAACAGTTCAAAGACTTCTCCTTGTTCTACCTCGACAGACCCCAGACATACTACACAATCTAATCTATCCCACTACATCCTCAATCACTCTAGCCGCAGCTAAAATTAGACTCGCCCAGCAGGAGAAAGCGTAAAGGACAACCCGCAGGATGAAGGTCGTCGCCCTGCTCTCCGGGGGTAAAGATTCGTGCTTCAACATGATGCACTGTATAGCCAACGGACACGACATCGTCGCCCTGGCTACATTGGTACCCGAAGAGGGAAAAGGTCGGTCCTCGTATCTTCTCTAGAGGAAAATCCATTATCCAGGTGTCCCTGGTATGAGTCATTGTTGTACTCACGAAGCTGACCGAGATATGGCTATGGCCCTTCGTTCTACTCCGACGTACCACCGAACAGACGAGATCGACTCGTACATGTATCAAAGCGTAGGAACTACCCTTATCCCGCTCTTAGCCGAGTCCATGAGGCTACCACTGTACACGCAGGTGATCAGGGGGAAACCTTTGCGGGTCGGGGGGACTTATGGGAGTCGGACGACACCGGGGGGTTTTGGTGGTGGTAAAGGGCGGGAAGAGGAACAACAGGAGGAGGAGAAGGAGAAGGAGGGTGGAGAGGGAGATGAGACGGAAGATCTGGAGGTCTTGTTGAGGACCGTCAAGGTGAGTCTCACAGCCAAGCTTTCTTGCTCGTCTCAGAGGTCGAGACCAAGTCAGCTCTCATGGTAAATATCGCGACCGCTAATGTATTTTACTTCGTTTCCTGTGTCGACAACCATCCCGCATCTGGCTCCGTCAAATCCAATTATGGACCTTCCCGCCCCCGACTCTATGAATACAGTCCCACCACCCAGAGATCGCCGGCCTCTCCTCCGGAGCCATCCTCTCCACCTACCAACGCTCCCGAATAGAACACATCACCTCCCGTCCACACATCTCCCTCACCCCGCTCTCCTTTCTATGGCAACAACCCGAACGCCCCTTAGTCCTCTCCATGCTCTCTTCGGGGCTCGAACCCGTCTTGGTCAAGGTGGCAGGGATGGGCCTGGAGGTTGAGGATGTAGGGAGAAAGTTGGGGGAGGAGAGGGTGAAAGGGAAGTTAAGGAGATTGGAGAGGGATTGGGGCTGTCATTTTGCAGGAGAAGGAGGGGAGTATGAGACGGTCTGTACGGATGGGCCGTTGTTCTACGATCGGGTCGTCTTGTGAGTCTGGAGAGTGGGACAGGAGTCTTCTGGATCGTTCTTCCTATCCAGGAGCGATCGCGTCGAACAGAAAAGCTGATCGTCGTTGCCCTCGTCTCTTGTCATTACTATGTTCCGTCTTTTGTGGGCCCCCGCCAGCGACGAGACGGAGACGATCATAACCGACCCTTCCCCCGTCGCCCACCTCCGGGTGATCAAGGCGCACCTAGAACCTAAAGTCGGGCACGTCGTACCGAATCAGGAAGAGATGAGGCGATTGCTCGGTCTAGATTCGGAGACTGCGACGACTCAGCGGAATAATTTGGAGGGAGAAGACCGAGAAGAGGACGTAGAGAATGAAGGGGAAGTTGGGGTCGAAGAGGAAACGTTGTTACACGCCAACGTGTTGGATTGGGAATCGAGGCAGATCCTTCGTGCTGTCCGGGAACGTCAATCGGAAACCTCTTCCGATCCTTTCGCAACGCCGGCGCTTGAGGGAGATCTGCAGCGATTACAATTTGATGAGAAGCAGATGTCTTCAAACGATGTGGTCGAGCTGAACCGACGGGGAAGGTGGTTCGGAGCGGTCGTCGAACTCACTCAACAGGAGGGGGAAGAGGTTGGGGTGTTGATGCGGAGACATTTCGATGCACTTCGAGGTGAGCTACGTGCCTAGTCCCTTTTGAAATCGATGCAGCCGCCCATAATCTTTCTAATGCTAACGCCTGTTCGACACGCCACAGACGCCCTGCGGAAGGACTCGCTCGACTTTCCTTTGATCCAGCATATCAACCTCTACCTGGCCCGGATGTCCGATTTCCCCCTAGTCAACGCCGAGTATATCAAGTACTTTGGCTCGGAACCTCCTACTCGAGCCTGTGTCGGCGTCCACCTCGATGCTCGGGCAGGGCAGGTATGTCGGCTCGAAGCTGTTGGGTGGGACGATAAGCGGGAAGAGAGGACACGGAGGTCCGGGTTGCACGTGCAAGGGTTGAGTTATTGGGCGCCGGCGAATATAGGGCCGTACAGCCAGGGTGTCGTTGTGAGTCCGTCGTGTGACCAAATATTGCAACGGAAAGGCGGCACAGATGGACTGAATGATCCGATACACAGTCCAACAATCGGTTGACGATCGCCGGACAGATCCCACTACTTCCCCGCACGCTCACGTTTGCGACCCCGCGCGACGTCCTTTTTGACGCAGTGCTCGCCCTGCAACATGTTCGTCGAATCATCGAGGTCATGGGCGATTCGAGCAAAGGTGGCGCCGGCTCGATAGGCCGAGGTTGGATCGAAGGCGTGGTCGGATGGTATGTAGGGGATGAGGAGGTCGAGCGCGCCATGCGCGCGGTCTGGGACGAATTTGCCGAGCGAGTAAGTATGTAGAGTGAAGTAAACTCCTTGACACCTGCCGACTCCCGTCTTGTTCAGCACGCTTGTCGTAAAACTCCGGTGCTCTTCGTAGCTGCTCGGGAGCTACCCAAAGGAGCTTCAGTCGAGTGGCAAGTCACGCGGCACACCGGCGACTCGAGTTGGCCGGTCATTCCTCGGATGCGAGGCAACAAGATGAGCGGCGACGAGAGTAGCGACGATGATGATGATGGTGATGATGATACTGCCAGGGTGCAAGTCGCGTATACAAGAGGTAGGCAAGGTAGTGTGCCCTTGGACCTTGACCCGATATTGATGGTCGCTCTCCCGTGCAATAGACGCCGCTAGACAGAGTAGCGAATCTTACTACGGCGATGCTTTCTTTTCGATACACACTTTCCAAGGTCAGTTGTGCCTGCCAAAGATTATGCAAGATCGGTCGTAACGTATCTCATCAATGCGCAGACCCAGACGAGGTGATAAAGGCCGCATCAGGGTTCAAGCTCAAGGAGGATATGAAAGCATCTTTCTCGACGAGGCTGTTTTACCTTCATCGACTAGGTTCGAAAGGTACGATCGTCGCGTCTAGCTTCCACCCACGGTCGTCTAAGCTAACGAGATGCCTGCTTGCAGCGAGCGAAGTGGCAGCAGCTCTAACAGCTTCAAGCGGAGTTCGTGTCAGTCTCGTACCAGTGGCCCGGATAACGAATCATGCTGGTCAACCGTGCAACATAGCGTTGGTAATGACGGGGAGTTCACATTGAGACATCTTCCTCTCCGTCCACGATATATAATGATACAACGGGTTGCCTCGAGCGCCCAATCCCACTGCTTGACCTCGACGATCACCGTTTACGCTCAGCCTTCCACTTCATGACCTTGCCGTGATGTACGACCCGGCCATCAGCGTCATCGTCGTCCCCGTTATCATCCCGCTTGCCTTCCCTGGCCATCCGCCCCTTTCTCAGACTCGGCAGGACGATCCGCTCGGCATCCTTCTTCTTGATCACCCCTCCCTTGCCCATCATCTGTTTTTGCAATTCGATCTGGGTCAAGACCGATCGAAGCTGCGTTAGACGCTTGAGACGTTGTTGCAGCTCGAGCAGGAGTAGGTGGCGGTGTTGCTGCGAGTTGGAATAGGGAACGTTAGCGAAACATCCTCATCAACAAGAAGATGAGGCAAACGGACTCACGTTGGCCTCTCTCCGTAGATCCTTTTCCACCCGTTTCTGCTCGGCCCGCTTGACGTCCACTTCTATCTCTCCCATCTCATTCACATCATCATCATCGTCCTCATCCTCATCGGATTCTATCGCACTAGGTTCCTCTGCTCTTGATTTCGATTTCGATTGTGGTTGCGGTGCTCGTCGATTCGTCGTCACCCAACCGAGGTCGACCTCCTCTACCGATTCTGACCTTGATGATTCGGTTTGAGTGGGTTTTGATGCTCGAGCGGTAGGTTCCCATTCTAGCACTATCATTGAAGGAGTGAAAGGCGTGTTGAAGAGGTGAGCGAACATTACAAACAGCATGAATGGATACGAGGCACAGCAAAGCACTCACGCTCGTCCTTGTCGTCGGTAAAAACCGTATGCCCCCGCCCAACCTGTCCCGTCTCCTTCCCTTTACCCTTGACGTTGACCTTCTTGCTCCGAGCGACCAGTCCAGCTTCTTCTAGGGTCTCCATGTCGACATCTTCCAACTCGTCGGCGTCTTCGTCTGCGGATCCTTCGTCCATGTCGGACCAGCTATCCGGGTCGGAGTTGCTAGCGGAGGGAAGGGAGGGGAAGAGGGAGGTGAGGACTTGGAGTTGGGTCTTGAGAGCGGTGATTTTCTGTAAAAGAGGGGAGTGGAGATGAATCGTCAGTCCGGGACTGGCATGCCTCGTACTTTGACGAGCTGTATCGCAACTCACGCTCTCATCCTTGGCAATCGCCAACCTCACATAACCCGCATCCTGGCTTTTCAACAGCTTGACCTCATCCACCCCTAACGTATTACTAGAACTCCTTTCCTGCACATGCACACCCCCCTGCGTCTTGGCCTTGATCATCCCCCAGTAAAACTCATCCTTGTTCCTAAAAGCTGCTTTTTCACGGAGACGTTTGAGACGTTCTTTCTTGGACTTGTAGTCCCGAGCACGGAGGACGTAGTCTTTCTTCTTTTCAAGGAGACCGAGTTTGGCTCGAGCGAGAGGTTGAGCTCGTTCTTTGTGGTTGCGGCGATGCACCGAGTCTGAAGCAGGCAGGAAGATCGAGGTTAGGATGGGCGTGAAAGTGATGTCTGACAGCATTGACATTTGACTTACTCCTGATTGATGAGCCTGCCATGGTCGATATGGAACGTCCTGTATTACAGTGTGATGTTGTTCCAAGGAAATCTGTTTCAACGAGATAGATGTTATCGTTTTACCTCTTCTACCAAATTATCTTGAACTTTGGTCGTTCAGATCAACCAAACCCTTCCCCTTCCCTCCACTTTTGTTATCAAAAAAGAAACAGCCCCCGACTCGGTCACAAACTAGACGCGAAGAGGGGGATGACGTGTATATCATATCTATTTTATGCGAGCGTCCCTATCGCTCTACAACTCTGCCAGCTTGCGCTTCAGAAATTCGACCAACTCTGCCCGCTGGACCGTCTCTCCCTCGGTAGTCCCTCCCTCTTTTCCGAGCTGACGTCGGACCTTGGCGGTCCCCGTCTCCACCTCGCTGGGCCCGAGGATGACCGTAAACGGCGTTTGATCCCGGTCACAAGCGTCGAGCTGGGCGTTCGGCTTGGGCTTGTTCTTGTACATGAACTCGGCCTGATACATGTTGAGATACAAGGTTAGCGTTTGTGCAGCAGGAACACTGGTCTCAAACTGCAGAGGACCGGTGAGCTCACCTTGATTCCCCCATCCCACAAGTCCTTGGCCAAAGCCATCCGCTCCTTCAACAGACCGTTCCCTCCCATACTGACGATATACACCTCGGTCTCTTTACCCCTCGCTTCCCTTTCTTCCCTCTCCTTGCGTTTCTGGAGGAGGATACTGTACACCCTCTCTACGCCGACCGAGATGCCCACGCAGGGGACCTTGCCCGCTCCCTTCTTCCCCCCAGCAGCCTCGCTGAACATGCCGACGAGCTCGTCATATCGACCTCCAGCGGCGATGGAACCGACCCCGACGGTGGATTCGTCAACCTCGTCCTCTTCCCCGGCTTTCTTAGGTTTCGACGGTGCAGGTGCCGATGATGAGGCTTCGGCAGGAACGGCGGGTTGGGTCTTGAAACCGGGAGGAGCCGAGGACTGGTGGATCGCCTCGTAGATGATTCCAGTGTAGTAATCGAGACCTCGAGCGAGACTCATGTCAAATGACATCTGAACGAACCGGGGGAAAACATATCACATCAGTACGGACCCGTGTGCTGCGGGAGCTGCATAGGCTCACCTTGTCGAGCACGCCCATGACATCCAGGTACCCAAAGAGGAGCTCCATATCCGCCAGGCCTTCCTTGGCCGACTTGACCGCCGTCAACTTGTCGTCCGATTTGAGTTTCTCGAGGACTTCCCAACCTTTTCCTGTTATAGCGTAGAACGGCACGATTGGTCACACACATGAGTTTCTCGCTCGTGGTCTGACAGTTGATTACGATTCCGATCACAATTGCAGCACAGGACACTCACCTTTCAGTCCGACGTACTCTCCGATCTTGTCAGCGATCACCCCATCCAGACCCTTGTCTATCGTCATCTCCTTCCTGACCTCGGTCCAGGGAGCCTTGTCGAGCTTGTCCACGGCCGAAGAGATCGCTCGGGTCTTGTCAGCGGGGACTCCGGCTAGCTCGAAGATCCCGTCGAGGATCTTTCGGTGGTTCAGCTGAAAGGCGAGCAGGGTCGTGATGGGTAGTTTTTTGAATTAGCGAGAGCAGGGAGTTGATGAGGGGAGAAAAAAGGTGGCTCACCTTGATAGTGAATTCTCCGATATCCAGCGCAGTCAAAGCTTCACAGGCAATGTAAAGCACCTCGGCATCGGGAACCATGGCGTCGTATGCTCCGGCGATGTCGAAATCCTAATCCAGACATCATAAAGGCCGTTTCAGCTGAGTCTTGATATGACGGGATGTACGAGAAATCGGAATCGCACCGGCAACTCACACATTGGTAGAACTCTCTCATACGACCTTTGCTCATCACGGGTTGATCTCTTCGGTACACCTTGCCGATATGGTACCTCTTCATTGAAGGTTGAGCGTTCATGGCCAAGTACCTAGCGAACGGAACCTATGTCATCAAGCGAGTTATCGGAGATGTGATGGCCTCAGTGTCTGTACCTGCGAAAAGAGTTGAACGATAGAAGATCTTCGGACTTACGGTAAGGTCGTACCTCAACGAACAGAGCTCTCCACCTTGATCCTGCAGATCGTAGATCAACTTGGAATCCTCGCCGTACCTGTTCCAGACCAGCGCGTTATCGACATCAGCATCTTTGCCCATGTACCAAGATGACAGCACGCTAGCTAAAGTCCCCTTCGACGACTGACTTTCCGGCCAAGATGTCCTTCAGCTCGAAGACGGGGGTATCGATCGTGCTCGCTCCGTGCTTGAGGAAAATGTTCTCGAGCGTGTTGAAGATCTGTTTTCGGAGCAGGGTGGCAGAAGGGCCGTGGTCGAGCGTTCCCTGATATTACGAGGAGCATATTCGGTTTCAATCAGGTTCACTGCTTTGACGTTGTAGTCGTAGCTATTGAAGCCTGAGCTAGATCTGAAGCTCACCTTGGGGGTCTTGAGCTGGATCTTTCCCTTGCCGGAATCCTTCTTCCCCGTAGACTGCCCGACCTTCTTCTTGAGGTCCAACATCTCCTTCAACTCGACATCGCATGGTTTACCATCCGTTTTCAATTGCTTGATGGCCTCGGCGAGCTCGGTGATCCTAGCTCTCTCGGCTTCGAACCCGGTAGACATTTTGTTCTTGTATTCAGCTCTGGTCGAATAGGCGGGGTACAGGTGAGGCTGGAAGCGAGGGATGGATGTGTTGATTCTCGATGTGATCCTACGTGTGAATCCCGAGAATAGCATGCAGTGGGAAGGTTATGTATGTGACTAGGCAACTACGAGGACTGATGACAATCGCACCGAGTCAAGCGGGTATACATTGTTGGTAAAGTCAACAATCGACCAGGTCCGTGACTTCGTCATAACTCGCGGGTTGTGCGAAGCGAACCAATCGGAAGCGCATCGCCAAGCGCAAGCCCTCCCTATCGAACAAGAGCAGTCAAACACTTCTTTAGATCGATACTCAGATTCACACCTACCAAGCTCGCCATCTCACATTACCCAAGGCATGCCAGAGCGTCGGGTAGCTGTAACATCGCGCTTCAAGTCTTGTAAGACGTGTCATGTTTTTGTGGATGCGAATGCAATGCTTCTGTTATCGTACATCGACACCATGCGCGATGTCTCCATCTATCTGCTTTTGTTGTCTTCTTCAGCTCAATCACCTCATATCGACTCGGTCTTGAAAGTCTTGGCGACTTTGGCCGAGACGCCTCGAACTCCTAGACCCATCGCCATGATGAGCGTGAGCTCGATGACGAGCAGCGTCGTACCGGCCAACATGAAGCGTGGTGCAAACACTTTCCACACCATCAGGTGCCGTCTCAGCCAGGCGGCAAAGAACGCGCTCGTAAACGTGATCGAGGTGTATTGCAGGATGAATGCAAGCATCGCTTGCAGAGTATCCGCGATGACGGGATTGCGGCCTCGAGGGGTTGGTGAGACGTTCCAGAGGGCGAGAAGAGGGATCGATAGGGCGAGGAGGATGTACCCGCCATACGTGTTGAGGGCGACGAGTAACGGTGAAACCGGGTAGACGACCGAATAGACTCCGATGAAAGCGGCCTTCCATTGAATGTTGGTGAAACTGGCTTGATGGCCCGTCGCAAAGAACAGTACGTGTCCCAACAGGGCGAATCCGGCGGTCTCCCTGAACTTTGGTGGCTGGTTTTGCGAGCTCATCAGGGTCGCCTCGTCGAATTGTTCTGGTGACCCGCTAGCGCTAAATGCGGCCGACATTGCGTGTGCGTCCCGCATAGCGTCCAAGGCCTCGAGGTGGCAGATCATGGCCAGCAAACCTAGCGCCATGACCACCTGACCTGTAGGAAGGCTGACGAGGAAGAGCACGGCGAAACCGAGCATCATGAAGAGCAAGTAGCTGGAACCGAAAGCGTTGGCGAAGCCATAGACGACGACCTGCGGGGTATTGCTTGCCTGTCCATCGACACCTTCGGCTTCCTTGATGAGAGAGGCGGCTTGTTCTTCCCGCTTGACCTCGATACACAGGGGCATACCGGTCCATACCGCTCCGCTCGCTCCCAAAATCAAACCAAATGCGGCTCGAGCGATCCAGACCTTCAAGATCTTGACCAGAGGCAACCTATCTTGATTCATGCCATCCCAGTGCTCCGCGTACTCCAAGATCCAATAGAGGGCGGCTAGAGCCAGCTCGACTTGGACGCCCAAGAGGAACAACGGGGCAGGGCCCGAGTTGGACTTGGACTCGTTCAGGACCAGTCCGATGATCTTGGGTAGGTACCATCCGAGCGGCAAGATCGCAGCGAGAACGACGGCGGGCGCCATGGGTGATGTCGCTCCAGCGTAAAAAGTCAAATGACATGATCCACCCTGTTCTTCTCGGCAGACCGTGCTGATCGAGATCAACCGAACCAAGACCGCCGCGGCGAAAGAGAACCCTAGGATCCGTAGTCGCAGCCGGTGCGTCGGGGCGGTCAAAGCCTTGATCACGGGCAAGAGCAAGATTGACGTCAACATGAAGGAGGACATGCGGTCTTCCCAGATGATGAACGAGTTGGCGGCAAAGGCGATCGAATAGAGGAACAAGAATCCAGAAGCGACCATCTGCATCAACTTGGGACGCAAGAGGAAGTTGGCTGTGGTCTTGCCCATCGCAGGAAGACCGGTCGCTAACACGGTAGCCAGACTTCCAAACACTCCCGCCGACCAAGCCCAGCCTAGTGCTTCGCTCGGCACTCGAGTCCATACACCTCTTCCTGTCCCGACAACACTGCCGAAGAAACCTCCGACCTTGATCGAGATGACTAGGACTTCGCGGACGTAGACGTCCCAGCCTTCTCGGGTGTTCCTGATGCCCACATACAGCGACCAGAGCGCAGGAATGCTCATCCCAAAGAGCGCCAAGCCGAGGGCCATCGAACGCATAGAGAATTGCGCCCAGAGCCCTCGAAGTGTCTTCAAGCTCAACTTGATGTAATCCTTTTCAGCCTCGATCGTCCTCGCCCTCGCCTCCCGCATATCATCCAGAAGGTCCTGGTCTCCATATCCTACTTCGGGTTTGCGCGAGAGGAGCTCTTCCACGTCCATGCGAGCGGTGATGACATTTTCCCAAGCTTCGTCTAAGAGGTGTTGATACGCCTTCAGGGTGGAGCCGGGGTAACTTTCGAGGTAGATGGCTATCTGGTCGGCGTTCGCGTGAGCAGCCGAGTACAGGGCTTCGAGAGAAGCGTCGGCAAGGAAAAAGTCGGGGATGACGCTTCCGAGGTTGTTATACGGGATAGGGGTGCCTAATAGTAGACTTAAAGTAGGGACGAGGTCGATCTGATTGGCTTTTCTTGTCCGGGGGAATCGCTCGTCGTTCATGAGGTATCCGTATTTCTGATCGGCATCTTCGACATCCTCAATGACGGTCGTCCGAAGAGGCTTGCTCTTCGAGTAAAACCATCCTCCGGCGCTGGTCTCGGCATTTCCATCACCCCCGTGATCGCCCTTCGAATCCATCCCATGATCACCGAGCACGACAAGCAGAGTATCATCATCCATCCGCTCGACGGTGTCCTTCAGAAACTCGTTCATCTGCTGCAATTTGCGGGACATGACGCTGGACGAGGGTCCAACTCGGTGTCCGACGTGGTCAACACCGAGGAAATGCAGTATAAGCACATCCCACTCGTTGGCGGTAGTCTTGTTCTCATTGGCGAGGATGGGGAAAAAGTTGGCTATCACCCCTTCGTCCACGGTATGCAGGTCTTCGACGTTGAAACTATCAAATCCGTGTACGAGTTCGCGTTTCCAGTACTTTTCCGTTACCGACTGGTTGCTTTCGGCTTCTGGTGAGAGCGGGTACAATCCGAGCCAAGTATCGTCCCCTAGAACGCCGACTTGTTTACCCGAGGCTTTCCATTGCGAGATCAAGTTGTCCTCCAAGATCTCGGTGCTGGCGAAATTTGATCCGGCGTCGATGAAAGTAGGAAGACTCCCCGTCGTCAACCCCTTTAACCGTTGCATAGTCGTGGTAGGAGGATCGGAGTATAACTCGAAGAGCATCGAATGCATAGGATCCGTCGAGCTGAGTTCTGCCGGTAGGCTCAGCTGATTGTGATAGTGTTCATCATAGACTTCCGAGTTCGCAGGTACTGCATGGATAAAGTCCGATCTCAGAGCGTCGATGATGACAATGATAGCCTTGTCGTGGGTAGCCGGCAAGGGTGGAAGAACCCCATCGGCATCGTGGGACGGACTTCGTTGAAGAGATGTGACGCGGGTCAAGAGGAAACCACGAGCAAAGTGGTATAACGCCGTGAGATGGACGAGGAAGATGTAAGCCAGCAACAACAGGGCAAGGGATGATCTTGATAAGGTTTGTAAGACGGAATTTGAGGTCTTTCTTGTTGACGGGAGAGGTCGTATGCCCTGAGGCTGTTCGTTCCATAAGCGATACTGCGTGTGAGCGGTGAGCTGGAAGAGGCTCTCGGGCGCGCTCGCTGCTTACCATTCTAGCGGCAGTCGAGTCTGCCATACCCCTCAATCGGCCAGTTGAGCTTGTAGATCTTGAGACCTTGCTATGAGGCTGGACTGTTCAGCTGTAGCAATGCTGTTGCCAGCTTGCCAGACAGGAAATGTTCGACCTCTTGCTTGCACTTGATGACCGGTCAGGTCACTGACGGCAGCCGAATTGGCACGTGACCAGAGTCTTCGGGGGTCGATTAGGTAATCAAGATCTCAAGATCAACCTCGTGGCTTGATGAAACAGGGACGCGAAGGCAGCGCTTCCTGTCTAGCGGTGCATGTATCACATTAGTGCAGAGCTTTCGCTCAAATTTCAGCCGGGCACTTGAGAAATCAGCACGGGTGCATCAGCAACAGAGAATTCTTGAGCTGGAAGGCCGGTGTCGGTTTTGGGCTAAAGCCGGGATCGATCGTGCGTCGGTCTTTGGAAACAGCAGCACCAGCAGTACCACCAACAACGACAATGGGTCCAACAGGACCAGCTGGTCGTCATGGTTCGGCTTCCCAACCCCGTATGTGCTATTGAGACCCAACCGCGGGCGGTGTCTTATGTTTTATCGATCCACGATTCGACTACAGCGGCAGCAGAAGCAGATTCGCTCTAGCCTTATAACTTTACTCTACAACCGCTCCCGCGTTTCCATCAATGAACATGGTTTGCACACTCCTCTTGAGCTATTGAGACGCCTTGAAGTTGGTAGCATTCCTCCTCCTCGCTTGCCGATCTGATCGCGCGACACAAGGCGATACAGCAGCGCATTCGTCACAACCAGACCAGACGGATATCATGTCCACACAAGAACAATTTTCCTTATCTTGACATGGTCGCAACATTCTTTCCTGACATGTCTCCTCCTCTAGGCCAGGACTATGATACCTGGTTCGAGATAGCTTCTGGCGACTTGCCCCAAGGATTTGCCTTCGAGACCATCTGAGGAGTGATCAAGATTTAATTCTACTATACATCATATGCGATGACGTTGCCGATATTACTGGCGGACAAGGTCGAGTTGGACGATGCTGAGTTGGAAGGCCAGACCTTGACATCAGTCACACCAATACTTTGGAAACGTAGAGAGTGATCGATCCTCAAAAGACTATATGGGCTGCGATATTAGGCGGCGGTATCCCTTATTGGGCGGCGGTATTTCTCTACATCAAGTTTGCAGATAGAAAAGGTTGGCCTTTGACCATGATAGATATATCGACAGAAAAGAGATGGATGGGTCCGAGACAATAATGGCCTTTACAACTGTAAGACCATGTTCAAAGACACAGGGGTACAGTCTAGGGTCGACCGCCTATTGGCACGCTGCATGCTAAGACAGCCATATTGTAGCCCAAATCCGCCTCCATAGAAAGGCCTTATCATATGGGAGGGGTTCAGCACGAGATGGAGCTTACACCTTTGATATACTATGGCGGCCAGAACGGCACAAGCACATGAAGTTTGGTGTCTTGCTTGGATGATCAAACTTACTCCTCAATGATCTTGGCACTGTGCTTTGAGAAGTTAGTGATATACCCACTCATCACCGTCATCTGTACCTTGATAGTCTCTATGCCTTGAAGACAGTCAAATCCTTGCTGTAGAGTAATCGCGGCTAACCGACAGCTCCTGGATGCCGATCGATACCTACACCGCTAGAAACCTGCCGATTCAGCTGGAACAGTTGCCGGAAAGGGTCAAGGTCCATCTGTGCCTTCATGTCGTGATACGGATCAAGATATCTGTCCCGTAAGATTGCCTGCTTCGAATGGATGATGGTTTCATCTGCCCCCGCCGGCCCTAGCAATAACACTGACAACAGCAACGGTGGGCGCTGTCAGCTGGACCGAAGCAATGGCTGCACAAGAGCTTTGTTACCGTCTTGGGTAGCGATATGTGAAGGAAACAAGGCGCGACCTCGCTGTTCTCCCCGGTAGCTACATTCGCAAGAGACAGACATTACTGTCCCTGGTCTCGTCATAGCGCCAAATCGGTCGCTCGACCGATCTTTAGTCCGTCCGCGCTGTCTTTCAAGTCAGTCATCAAGCAGTGTAATTGAAGTTGATCTCAGGCCTGCCAACTGTTTTTTCCTGGCAAACGCAAATATACCCGCGATCCGTCTGAAAAAGAAAGAGTAAATCTCAGCCCAGGCGGTATCGTGTCAGGCCTGATATCAGAGGCGGCTCTGAAAATCAAGCGAGAATCGAGAATCTCTGTTTATCGCTGTAAATACATATGACAGGGTAACATCAAGAACCCAGAGGTAATCTGAACAAGACCGAACATTATAGCTTCATGCACAAACAATAGAGAAACACGACCAACCAGCTCAGGCCTTGGACCAAAGCCTCTTTTGGTAACTGATTCTGACCCAGACGACGAGCAGGAACGATACCGTCGTCGTCGCTCCGACAAGATACATGGCGGGTCGGTAAGGTTTCGCTCCTTGGTCGGACCCACCAAAGGCGTCTAGGAGGATACCAGCAGTGATGGGACCCAAAAAGTACTGGGAGGTATTCGCAAGCAGACCATACGTGATCAGGGCTTCTTCAAGTATGAAGTTGGAGCGCGAGACTTACCCCGAAAGATGTTGCCAGCTCGATATAACCGATCCCTTGATTGATCTTGTGCGTGCCCACAATCTGAGCGACGATGCTCGATTGCAAGCTGAAATACCCGCCCGAACCCAATCCGCACCAGAAGGCGAACCCGATGATCCCGCTCGAATTGGTAGCATACGGCCAGACGAACAAGTTCGACAAGAGGATCGAAAGTAGTGCAAGGGCCCATGACGTCAGGTTCTATAATTCAAGAAAGGTGGGTTTTACCCTTCAGCCGACGAGATTCGCGTAATCTACTTTCGCGAATGACAGACTCACGCCGGTCAGAAAGTCCGCTATTATCCCAAATCCTAGTCGACCGATGCCGGATGCGATGTTGTACAAGGCCGAATACAAGGCTCCTTGCGATGCAGACAAGCCCACCGACACCGCATATTGCGGTACGTACTATAACGTGCAGACGAATCTTCAGGCTTGAGCTGTGCTCGGTTTTCGAAACTGCCCCTATCCCAGCTAATCGACTCACGAATGGAGGAATGAAGAACGGGTAGGAGACGATAAAGCACGCCGCTAAGACGCGCAAGAACATCGATTGTCGAAGGATACTGCGTTCCTTGATTCCGGTTGCTGAAGGACCGGGTTTAGGTGCGCGGTAACCTGGACGTAACATCCAAGCGGCGGGCTACGAAGTCGAGTACGGATCAGAATAGCTGCAAGACCTTCAAAGTGATCCGAGGGCTTACCAAACAGAACACCAGCGTGGACAGACCTAGAAGAGCGATTGAGTTCAGTAAGGGAACCGAGTTATTATACCGTAGACACTAACCCATGATCCGATAGGTCCAAGGCAGACCGACTTTCTCAATCAACCGCTCGATAATCTATCCAACCCGTAGAGTAGCGTCAGCCTTTTGTTGTAGGCCAGTCCCAATCCCTTCCTACTGGGATAAGAGGGCAAGCATCACTTACGATTGACCAGACGGCTCCGCCTACTCCTCCTCCGGCGGAGGTGATCCCAGTAGCCAGACCCCGTTTACGGAGGAAATATTGGCTGGGAAGCGGATAAGAAGTCTACAGTAATTATCGCACGAGCGAGATGGAATGTAGGAAATTGTCGTTTTCAGTTTCCAGGTTTAACGGCGGAACAGTCGTCATAGACTTGTTGCTGCACTGACCATAAAGAGAGTCCCCGATGCCAAACCGAACATGATCCCTTGGAGGAAGATCAAACCTCCCAGGTTCTTGGTCGTCCAGCTCGATAAGATCAAGGACGCGCCGGATGTGCAGACGCCGACTAGACCGACGTTTCTCACCCCGTAACGTCCGATCAGCCATGAAGCCTAATCCGCATTCAGAATATGTGTATGGTTAGGACTGTGGAAGTTTTTCCCTCGTTTAGCTAGCACAGTGCAGCGTGTCGCTTGACTTACGGGAATGCAGAATCCAGCGAAGAGAAAGACCTCGAGACCTCCGACGATACTCAATAGCCTCGAGCTAGCTAAGCCATCGCTAAGGAGTGACGACTGGATGACTCCCCAAGAGTAGAGGATACCCATGAAGTGAAAACATATGATAAAAGTACCTGCGAGACGACAAGTTTGGCTCACGTCATCAGCAAGACGCACACTTCGGCGGATAGGGGTAGAAAGTCCACTTACATAGAACGATCGTCCAGCCGAACCCTCCTTCTGCATACTGTGCCTGTTCGTCATTTTCCGCAGTGTCTTGAGGAATCGGATCTTCTGCCGCTGCTGGAGCGTAGTGTTCCAGGTCTTTTTGAGTTGTAAGTTCTCGGACGAGAGGAGCATCGGTTGCGAGAATTTCCATCTCGTGGGTCTGTGAGCGGGGTTCTGCGGAGGACAACATGGTCCTGGGTATCTGAATGAAAGAGATCGGTGAGGTCGGAGAGTTATGAGGTAGACACTAGGGACGAGCCGGTCATCTTTTCGAGGAAAACAAGGGATGTTGCAGAGCATGTCGACAGATAGATCGAACATGTCGCAATAATCTCGAGCTTATACGAGCGAGGTATTTGACTCGCAAGATCGGCCATCGGCGAAATTGGTGGGACACCACTAGCGCGGAAATGTTTAGCCGCCACCATCGAAGAATCATCCACCCTGAGGTATAATGTAGATCGGCGTCCTTGCGACACGGCGAACAAAGCTGCACTATAGCACGAAAACGGGAACGAGACCGATGATGATGACATGCAGGGTAACCCTTCTAAGGCTGTGTTTACCAACGGGCGAACCGTTTTGGGCGATTTCCGTTTTACCATGCAGCGCTAGTAAAATGGCTGGCGAACGTGGTAAATAGAAAACTGCCAAAAAACGTCGTGTTTACTCGCGTCTCGAATTCAGTTTTTGTTTAGACGTGAGACTTCTCGCAAGCCGACGTTGGCCACATCGACCTACTTCGACGTCGACGATGTCGACATGAACAAACACGTTTCAAGCGACCTATTATCTTATTTAGATATTAAAACATCGTCTTCGTTAGCATATATGAGACAGACTCGCCCCTACCTATCGTTCAATCCTACTTTCGACGTCATAGCTGTTCGCAATCGATATCAATTCGTCAAAACGTGTCGACCTTAAGCACTTCTTAAACATCAACACCTCTACCTCTATAAAACCCCCCCAAATCGCCAACGATATGCCTGAGCAACCTCTTGTCGACTCTATCTTACTCGCCACGATCACTGCAACTGTTGCGAACACTATAGCGGCTGAAAACGACGATCAACCAGGTCCTCGCGACGAAGATATTGCAATCGTTACCGATCGCGACGCAGGCTTACGCAGAGTCGAATCTTGGGAACGGGGACACCCAGACGTCTGTAAGGACGCCACAGGGATGGAGGTAAACTTATTCCAACGTCTCTGCCGAGAACTAAGCTCTCAGGGTCTCGTTACCTCGTCAAGACACGTCAAGGTGAAACTTAAGGTCGGATTGACACTATGGATGTTACGACATGGCTCGAAGCAGCGAGAACTGCGAGAGATCTTCCAGCTTAGCCTCAGAACCACCTCGTAGTACGTGGGAACGTTCTCCGTTCGTCAAGCCCACCATACCGACGTCTGTTCCGATACAACGACACGAACAGCACGATTCACGAGGTCCTCGACGCCCTATTCGATCCTGCGTTCTATGATCGATATATCGTACAACCGACGTCGGAGACTCTCGACAAGACTCACGAAGCATACACCAACAAGTCCTACACCCCTCTGACCGATAGATGTCTAGGTGCTATCGACGGAACCCATATAAACGTAGTACCTCCCGAAAACGACGCCCCTCGATTTCGCTCTCGTAAAGGCGCCCTCTCGACCAACGTTCTCGGCTGTTGCGACTTCGCAGGTCGTTTCACCTACATTCTAGCGGGGTGGGAAGGTTCTGCCACCGATACTAGAGTATACTACGACGCCCGCAACCGACAGTTAGCGATCGAGCCGGGATATTACTACCTCGCCGACGCAGGATACCCCGGTCGATCTGAGCTCGTTATTCCGTATCGAGCGACACGTTACCACCTAAACGAGTGGTCTAGATCGGGTCTAAGGTACGTCCTACGTCTCCGCAGCGTCGGTGGTAGCGGTAGACGTATACTGACGACGTGTAAGCGTAGGCCGGCCGATAAGAACGAGCTCTTCAACCGTCGACATTCGTCGCTACGTAACGTCATAGAACGAGCCTTCGGCGTCGTAAAAAAACGATTTCCGGTATGTTTCATCGTTCGGAACGTAGTACATCATCGAGAACCCCCGCTAAGTTCGTCACCTCGACGTTCCGACCACAGGTACTCGTCAACGGAACGTTCTACCCCCTCCCCACGCAGATTCAGATCATCTACGTCTGCTTCGCCATACACAACTACATCTGCAGCCACGGAGGTGATTACCTGACGAGGGACGAACTAGACGGCGACCTAGACGTCTACGAAGACTGGGCGGAAGGTGATCCGGCGAATCGATCGGAAAACTGGCCGGCGGCACGGTCGATGGCGAAGGAATCGTTGTGGTCGAATAGACGTCGGGATAACATGGCGACGGTGATGTGGGAGGAGTACCAGGTGGTGTTAGAACAGCGTCGAGGTAGTACGGTAGCGAGAAGGTAGTTAAACGTCTGAACATGAACTTACGATCGATGTAGTCGTTTCGACCCCTCCTCCGTTCGCCTCCCGTTCGTCCGTTTTCACGCTAGGCCTCTCCCTCTCTTTTCCTTCTGTAAGGTGTCGTTTACATGCATTTCCAGGAACTCGTCGGGAAGCGCTAGGATGTAGGACGACTGTTCGGGATGTCCGATAAGATACTGAAGATAGAGGTACGTTTCGGATTTCGACAGTTTCATCTGTTCCGCCATTTGACGGCCTTTCTGCATCATCTGTTCCGCAATTCGGGGCTGAGCCGTCTCTAGTATATCCCCTAGCCGCTTATTCAGAGCCGAGAGGCTGTCGTCACCGTCGTTGTCGTCTTTACGAGGTCGTTTGACGTGCTTGCGAGGTGTCGAACGCGACGAGCGAGACGATCGAGTTCTAGAGATGAATACGAGTGAGCCAACGGTGGTATTTTATCTGAAACGGCATACTTACGCCTGGCTAGTATCAGGCAGACTCTCGTCTTCTTCTCCGTCGTCGTCCTCGTCCGTTGTGACGTCGAGAGGTCGTTTACGATTTGGGGTCGACTTTGACGATTTTGGCGTCGATCGAGGTCCTCGTTCGGCGTGGGGGTCTAGAACGTCTTGACCGGTAGCTGTTTTACCGTTTACAATCTCTGAAACGTCACCGAAGAGGTCCCAGGACACTCCTCTCATCTTCAGTTGATACTGGCGTTCGCTAGACGGCTGTTCAGTCGATTTGAAGCAGTCGATTCGATTTACGAAGATAAAGGTAGGTCGTTCGAATATCCGTATCGTGGTCAGCGTCAAGTCTCACCTCTAGCTAAAGGACATCAAGGTCGATGTCGATATCGATATTCAAAACGACTACATACCGGTGCTGCCGCTACTCGACGCCACGTGTCGTCGTCTGCAGTAACACAGTTGTTAACAGGATCCCAGCCTGCCCCAGACATCTTGAGCAGGCTGTCAATTGGCCGGTGAAACTGGGTCTTGAGCTAGACGACGTCAAAGTTAGCCAAAACGAAGAACACGACCTATAAATCGAAGAACGACGCAGCCGACTCGTACCACTTGCCAACGGTCCTGGACCTTCGCTGCGGTCTTGTAACCTCCCTTGGTGATCACCTGGTTCAACTGCGTAGCAGCCTCGGCGTATACAGTCTGTTTGAAACTGTTATCGGATCCCCTCCCCTCGCGACTCGCTTTCAGTAAAACGTCGACGACGATACGGTCGTCGGCTGGCGACCAACTACAGCTCTGAGGCTTCACCTCTCCATCAGCCTGATCACCTGCATTCGTACCTCTCCTCCTTCCCTTCCCCTTGGTCTGTATCGGCTCGCTATTCACCGAGAACGTCAACGTCGACGACGACTGGACCTCTACCGAATCCGGAACGCGTTTGACGGTGGTGGGTTCTTGCGATCGATTGGGCGTACGAGAGGTGTACCGGGGAGGTACTCTGAACCCCTGTGAGTCAACGTATACTACGTCTGCGTCGTATTGCGAAGGTGGAGCTATCGAAGAACCGATAAAGACGTCCTGCGTCAAATCGATCGAAGACGTCGGAAACGACGCTGCGGAGGGTGACGGCGAGGGTCGAACATCACTGTACAACCTCGGCTGGGCAACATCAGGGCGTGGGAAGGAGGGGAAGTGGCCCTGGTGATGTTGAGCGTTGAATTGGTGGCCGTTTGGGTTCATATTGACGATTCGGACGATGTTATACGATTTTTACTGATATTTACAATTTTATGTGAAGTCAGCGATACCCACCTTCCCAGCCAATTCACTACCAACACCGGGGACCTCCGACTACGTTCTGTACGAGCCGACGTAGACGTAATACCGAAAACGCACCTCGAGAGGTCGGTTTTGACTCTCCGTTTTTGACACGTTTCTCAAGCCACAGGAACGTCTAGTAAATTACTACCGAACATTAGGGCCTACAAAACGGTTACGTACGCGACCTAGAACTACCACTTCGAGCGAAAAAACGGTGAAAAAACGGTCTCCGTGAGTTAGTAAACGCAGCCTAACGGAACGGTACAGGAGTCCTCGCGCTAAGCGCCAGCTCGAAAAGAACCAGTCTCCTCGATATTCCGCATGGCTGTTCGGAGGTCCGCAGTAAAGTGGGTATGGTCGAGCTGTATCGATACGGGTTCATGAGCTCCATACGACGGCAACTGTACATAAAGCATCTAAAAATCTCAGTGCTTACTAAATCTAAGAGGCCAACCCTCTCAAACGCCTTGATCTGCTTTGAACGAAGATGTACAAAGTACAGCTCGACGCCGCGGTCCTTGTACGACTTGACGAGCTCGAGTACGATTTGGAGTGCGCTACCAGAATCCAAATGTCAAAACGAGTCAGCTGATCGGCCTTGCATTTCTACAAGAGCTACACAGATGATGGAAGACTTACGAGGAGTCGATATCTTCAACGTCGTTCATGTGAAACACTATCGCATGCGCGTGGTCCCGTTTCGGCGCTTCAGAAGGATGAACGAGGTCCGCGCCGTAAAGTTCCAGCTACACAACACATGAGAGGAAGCGAGAATGAGCCTCAGGGCCTTGAAGTAGCGCTGTGAATATGTTCGACTTACACGTCGCAGCCTCTCTTTGAGCTGACCCGTATTGGCAAAGTTCAGATTCTCACGAATCCGGATCACCAGCTATAACCCCTATTAGTACATGTGGCTGTAGTTGTGCATCCCTAACGACTCACCACGCCAGGTAGATCTTCCTCGATAGCATCCGGGTTCTCGTCTACCGGGATCCATTCGTCCGTCTCCCTTACTCGACCGATGATCTTGATCCGAGGTTTAGTCGACTTTTGGATGACGAGGATGAGAGAAAAGGCTACGCTGGCTACCAATCCGACCTAAGGAGATGCGAATCAGCAAAGCCGCTTGCAAAGCCGAAGCAAAGCTGAGGCTTACCTCCACACTGAACAACAGGGTCAGGAGGAACGTCATTGCCGCTTGCAGTGCATCTGTCTTTGCGCGAGATCGCCAGTAGAACGAGATCTCGTGAGGAACCTGTAAATAAGAAGGGTCAGCCACATTATCGCCGCCACCTCATCTATCAGAGATGTGACTGACCTCTGCGAGGATAGAGTAGACGACCTGCTTAACAACGTCAGCGTGATTCATGAAACCGTCGCCGGCAAATCGACTCTTACCACTACGACAATGCTCGCCAAGACCGCCTGGGAAAGAGCATATGAGTAACGATCGACAGCGACTTATCCTAGCAGAAGTCGAAGCTTACCTTGGGTAGGTAGTGGAAGTATTGAAGGAGGAACAACGTCATAATCGCGAAGATCGAGGTGATGATGGATGACATCTGAGACCTCCCGCCGATATTGGTGTTGAGTCTGATGCGCGGAATACACGTATCAGCCGAGCGACCTTGCTTGAGGCTCTATGTTCGGTTTCACATACCGACTCCTGGTGATGGATCCGAACGCAGGTACGCATCCCGTCCCCGTACAAAAGCTCACAGCGAAATTCGATGCACCTGTAGTTGCAAGATCGATGAGTAACCTCGCCTAGGACAGAAGTTTTGAGGCTCCGCAGTCAGCTGGCGTACCTAATGCTACTAACTCCCGGTTGGCAGAGATCGGGTACCCAAACTTGGCGGAATTCTCCTTGGCCGCCATGACGGAATCGACGTAACCACTGCAAGGGTTAATCGCGTCGGTTCAATCTGTTTGTGATATGACTCCTGGTCCTTCGACTCACATGACCGCAATGACTGCAGCAGTTGGGAACTGGACCGCGCCAGGTTCGACCACTCATTAGCGATTTGATTGGACGCATGTACCAAGAGCATCGCGACTCACAGTCTCGTGTGCGTACTTCCAGAGTTTAGGCTGGAAAGGCAGACCGAACGGCAAACCTGAACCCGCCTCCAGCTTGCCAAGCACCGTGATCCCCTTGAGGTCGAGCTTGTAGACATCCGTGACGACTGTGCGCAGCGCCAAACATGATAAGAACCATAGGGATGGGATCAATCATCTCGGTCACATCCCGCCTCGGATCGCGAAAGGCTTGACTCACTTGTCGAGACGACGACCAGGATGAAAATTTCCGGAATATATTTCAGCGCGGGGACTTTTGCCCTCAAATGTTGCTTGAACAGCCGGGCGCCAATCAACCACGTCAGCGAGACCAAGCTGAGTCCCGCTGTCCAGAGGTTGGTCTCGCCGATATAACTACAGATGAGGATGAGCTTTTCAAAGGGCGTGATCGTGTTGCCGTGGACGTATTGCGCCAAGCCTAGCATCGGTACCATCTGTTCGATGAAGATGATGATACCCTGAGCGAATGGTCGTGATCAGCACCTGTACCTCCAAAAGGTGTCACTTCGGACTCGATCAGCTTACGATGGCAGTGATGAAACCCCTCAGAAGAGCCCTGGATAGGACGACATCCAAGAATCCCATCCTAAAAATCCCGAGAAAAAAGGTGATCATGCCGACCTAACAACCCGAATACGCAGCAGTCAGTACACCGACACTTTCATCCGATCACGCCTTTCCTCGGGCATCCATATTAGATAACCTGGACTTACCTGCATGGCAGTGATCCCAGCAATGGCCATGGCGACCCCTTCAGGGTTCTTGGGCGCATGATGCGGATCGGCCGTCAGCGCGTCGGTGACCAGTTGGCCTACCAAGAGGGATAGGGCGGCTTCTGGTCCGACGGAGAGTTGACTGATTGTTCGCCCACCAGAATGAGGTTGTAGGGTGTGCAGCACGATATGGTGTACACAGGAGGGCAGAATGATCAGAATATGATGGGTTTTTGCGGATATCATGAGCCAGACTACTGACCGACATGTCCCCAAGAGAGCATATACGATTCCCGGGATGGCGACCGAGTAGATCCCAGCGACCGGATTGAGCTTGGCCAGCCCGCTTGCATAGGACATTGCCTACGAGGACAGTCCATCGGATCCGATCAGCATAACCTTCCAGTAGGATATTTCCTAGCTCGTACCCGGACTCACTTGTGGGATAATCAAGCACGCTACCTACGAACCATATACCGTGTGAGAGAGCAGATTCAAACCCGGGATAAGCGTTATGTCCAAGAAGCTGGATGGGGAGTTTTGGCTCACACTCATCCCCGCGGTAAAATCTCCTCCGAACGTGGACCATTCGTATTCTGGTAACCACGATGTGACCTACGAAATTTCAAGACGAAAGAATTCGGAATCGGGATGTCGATGAATATGGGTATGCAGGAGAACATGGTGCAGGCAAAATAATGGGGGGTTCGTCAGCTTGCTTTCGAGGGAAACCGTAATCATTTCATGGGAACGAGGACGAGATCGAGAATGAGAATGAGGATAGGAAGATATAGAATTGGCTTACAGGCACGTAATACTTCGTCCGCTGTTTGACCCGTGCCGGTAAGGATTTTCGTTTAGTCGGAGCTACCACTGTGATCGTGATCGTGTTCGTGTTCGGTAGGGGTATGGTTCGTCATTTCCAACGGGTTAGGAGTTAACAAGAAGAAGAAGAAGAACGTGAGGTTTAGCGTTAAGCGTGAAATCAAATCCCATACTGAGGTTAAATCATGAAAACGTAGCAGCAGAAAAGGAAGGGAAAGAAAAGGAAACTAGAGGCTTACCGAACGAATCCCCCATAGGTGAAGCTCTTCCGGATTCCATATCCGAGAACGGACTATCCTTGGATTTTCCCCTCGGATCTCTACTATCATTAGGGTCCGCAGCGAGCTGAATATGACTCCCGTTCTTCCCTCCTTCGTCCGTCCGCCCGCTCTCCGAGATTGTCCGGTTATCTCCATTGTCGTTCTCTTGATTGTCGAGAGTGAACTGTTCCCTATCGAGCTGTTGCACCAAGGTTCCCCATCCTGGTATACGTTTAGACGCAGAGATGGACCCTAGGAGGGGGGAAGTCTCGCTGTGACGGTTTTCCGGCCGTCTTGCTCGGGGGCCGTTGGTCGTCAGTGGTGTTCTTGCTGATGAAGCCGATGTCGTGATGGTGGATACGGCTTGGTTCGAAGGGACGCTGTGTTGCGTTTGTTTGTCAGGGAGCGGGAGAGTCATGGTACTCGTAGTGAGCGGCTGTTGTTGCTGTTCGAGAGGAATTCTGGATGGGGTATCTGAATTGTTCAGGGTCGGTACATGGTCTTGAAGATGAGCCGGATTGTCGTTATCGTCAAGTCTAAGGGGATACTGGATCTTGGAAGGGAGTGAAGGATGGTTGACCCTACTCTGATGTTGGTTTCACGCATTTCCAACCCCCCCTTGATCGATAGCACTGCCCCCCCCTGATCGGCTAGAACCGATCGTTCGAGAGTAAGCGGACATCAGACTGTTTTATATATAACCGTGCATGCATGCAATATACGATGTCCGCGTCTCCCTTGACCTCCACCTCGCGCTCGGGTCCGCGGTCATCCTCGGCGTGTGCTGGGCCGAGGCTCGCGAACAAAGTCTGGGGTACGGTAACAGCAGAGTAGTAGCTTGCACCTTGATAGTTCGGAGCACTTGGAGCAAACACAACCTGAAAACATCGCAAGGCTACTACAAGCTACACGCTGCCATATTCATACGAAACTAGGACGACTTGGGGAAACATCCAGGCTCGGTACAGTTCTGGACCCGATCCGTGAGTTCAGACACGATGGGACCCTCGCTGCTCATCGTTGGCTGACCAAATCATCACACCCTCGTCTCCAGGTAACGACACACGCTTCCTCTATCTTTTCGAATCTCGGAATACTGTATAGGACAAGGCAAAGCCCAAAACGTCGATAATCCGACGAGAACAGGATACGACCACACGATGACCATCATCGATACCAACAAAGACCTCTCCGCCCTCTTCTCCAAACAAGTCAAGCTCACCCCGGATGCCATCGCGCTCGAGGATGAATCCCATACCTACACCTACTCGGAATTAGACCTCCAAGTCGATGTTCTGGCGAAAAGACTCCGTTCATACGGAGTCGGCAGGGACGTACTCGTCGGCGTCCTCCTCCCTAGGAGTGCGGACTATGTGATCGCCTGCCTCGCATCGCTGCGGGCCGGAGGAGCTTTCCTCGTCCTCGAACTCGCTTACCCGCCCAACCTTTTGGCGGACGTGATCGAGGATGCCAATCCGGCTGTGGTGATCACCTATCGAGCGGAAGTGGGCAAGATCAAGGAAGAAACGCCCGTGATCGTATTGGACGAGGAGTTCCAGGCGGTACAGATGAACGGGCATGCCAAAGAACCGGCGGTTCTGCCCGAAGAGGATGATCTGGAGAGGCTCTGTTTCGTGGCTTATTCGAGTGGGACGACGGGGAAACCGAAGGGGATCGGGAATCCTCATCGGGCGCCCGTACTCTCGTATGACCTGAGGTTCGGGGTGTCGGATCAGAAACCGGGGGATAGGGTGGCTTGTAACGTGTTCTTCGTTTGGGAGATCCTCAGACCGCTATTAAGAGGAGCTACGGTCGTGGCCATCCCGGACGAGGCGTCTTACGACCCGGTCTCCCTGGTAGAGGTCTTGCAAGCGAAAAAGATCACGGAGACGTTGATGACCCCGACCCTGTTGGCGACCGTCTTGCACCGTCATCCGGATATAGGAGAAAAGTTACCGGACTTGCGGATCTTGTGGCTCAACGGGGAGGTGGTCACCACCGACCTCGCTAGACAAGCTATCAAGGCCCTACCCAACGCGCGGTTGTTGAACTGTTACAGCGCTTGCGAGACGCACGAGATCGCCTGTGGGGATATCGGGGAGATGGTACAGCACCTGGACGAGGTCGCGCTCTATTGTCCCGTTGGGCCGCCTCTGGACCGGGAACATACGTACATCCTGGACGAGATGGGTCAAAAGGTGGAAAGTGGGATGAGCGGCGAGTTATTTATCGGTGGACCGATGCTCGCTAGGGGGTATCTGAACCGACCGGAACAGACGGCAAAGACCTTTGTCAGGGACGAGTTTGACGCCGAAGAAGGCGCGTTGATGTACAGGACAGGGGATCTGGCTAGGTTGTTGCCTTCGGGCTTGCTGGAGATTACCGGACGGGTCGGGTCGATGATCAAGTTGAGAGGGTATTCGGTCGTTCCCGTCAAGGTCGAGACGGCCATCATGAAACACCTCGCCGTCTCTCAATGTGCGGTCGTCGCACATGGAGAAGGTCTGGATCGACAGCTCGTAGCTTACATCTCTAGGGACAAACACGACGAGGCGGGGAGACCTTTCCCGGACATCTTGGATTCCGGACACAGCCCCGCAGCGAGAAAGTTGCTCTCAGAGGTCTTGGCGCAGTACATGATCCCAACCTTGTGGATGGAGCTGGATGATTTGCCTTTACACGAGGTGTCGGGAAAGATCAACTTGAAAGCTTTGCCTTCCCCCGGGTCGTTGTCACAGACCCCTGGGTTGGGTGGGGCGAGTGGGGCGAGGACGCCTCAGGATCCGATCAGCGTAGACGACGTCGCCGAGATCTGGGCGGATACGTTGCGTATGCCCCGAAACGCCATCTCGCCGGAAAACAACTTTTTCGACCTCGGTGGGCATAGTCTTTCGCTCGCCGTGCTCGCTTCCAAGTTGTCGAAAGCGTTCGGGTTCCGTGTACCCGTCGTACGTCTGGCGGACCCTCCCACGCTGGCTGGACACGTCGAGAGCGTCAGGGCGGTCAGGGATGGACATTCGGCAGCCATCGAGGCGGACCTGCCTGCCATCTTGCGGGCGGATTCGACGCTCGACAAGGACATTCAACCGACGGGCAAGGCGCCTTGTCCGTTGAGGAAAGCCAACACCGTGTTGTTGACGGGTGCGACTGGGTTCTTGGGTGCTTTCCTGCTCAACGACCTGTTGGAGAGTACGTCGGCCAGGATCATCTGTCTCGTCCGGTTCAACAACCCTACAGGAAGCGATTCTGCTGCGGGTATCGCGAGGGTGCGAAAGCATCTCCTCGACCTGGGCTTGTGGCGCGATTCAATCATGGAGCGTATCGAGATCTTGCCTGGGAACTTGGCGAGGGAACGTCTGGGGCTTTCTCCCGAACTGTTCAAGGAGACTGCTTCACGTATCCAAGTCATCGTGCATGCCGGTGCTACCGTGAATTTGGTATACCCGTACGCTAGTCTGCGAGGTGCTAATATCGATGGAACGAGAGAGATTTTGCGACTGGCTTCGATGAGCGGAGCCACCTTGCAGTACGTCTCTACCAACGGCGTGCTCCCGCCAGCCAAGAACGGTTGGCCCGAATGCGCCAGGCTCGACGTGGATTCCGTCCCAGACAAGCTGTTGGACGGGTATGGACAGACGAAATGGGTCGCCGAGCAGCTGGTGCACGAAGCTGGACGTCGAGGAATCCCCGTCAAGATCCACCGAGCGGGTACGATCAGCGGTCATAGCTTGACGGGAGCGACCAACGCTTGGGACTTGGTCTCGGCGCTGATCGTCGAGTCTATTCATCTTGGGTACGCACCGGACGTCGAGGGATGGCGGGCAGAGATGACGCCCGTCGATTTCGTCAGCAAGGCCATTATCCATCTCGCCAACCAGACCCAGGCCAAACAGTCCGTCTTCCACCTCGGGGATCCTCACCCGGTCGATATGAAGTCGGTGTTCAAGGACCTGGAAACGTTGGGTTACCCTACGAAACCTCTTGGGTGGGACGACTGGGTCAAGCTGTGGACGGAGAAACGATCGACGACCGGTGGTGAGGGGGCGTTCACGGCGGACATCTTGAGAAGCGGTATGCCCAGCGTCGAGTTCCTCAAGGGGATCATCGTCCTCGACAACGAAGAGACACGACCTTTCCGTGAGGTCGTCGAGCGACCCATGGTCGACTCGGTCCTGCTCGAGACTTATACGCGACACTGGTTCGCTCGAGGTTGGTTGCCTCATCCTCCATCGAGTTCGCACTCGTTGGGCGGGATCGCTCATGCTCCTCGACGAGGTCCTCTGAGTGGGAAAGTGGCCGTGATCACCGGCGCTTCGTCCGGGATCGGAGAGGCCGTGGCGGTGGCCCTCGCTCGGGAAGGGTGTCATATCGCACTCGCCGCTCGGCGGTTCGACGCGCTCGAGGCTGTGAAACGAAGGTTGACGATGAGGGAAGGCAAGGTCATCATCCGCAAGACCGACGTGACGGATCGTCAACAGGTCAAGGACCTCATGAAGGCTGCCAACGAGGAATTGGGACCCGTCGATATCCTCGTCTCGGTCGCCGGGGTCATGTACTTTACCATGATGGCCAACTGCCACGACGAGGAATGGGAACGGACCGTAGACGTCAATTGCAAGGGACTCTTGCACTGCCTCTCCTCCACGGTGCCCGGGATGGTCTCCCGCGGATCGGGCCATATCGTGGCCATCTCCTCGGACGCCGGAAGAAAAGTCTTCCCCGGCCTGGGCGTCTACTCGGCCAGCAAATTCTTTGTCGAGGCGACTCTCCAAGCTCTCCGACTAGAGACCGCGGGGACGGGGTTGAGGGTGACCTCGATCCAGCCGGGGAACACTGCTACGGACCTCTTGGGCATGTCTACGGATAAGGAAGCTATCAAAAAGTATGGAGAACCGACGGGAGCGCAGATCTTGGACCCGGAGGATGTGGCGAATTCGATCGTGCACGCGTTAAAACAGCCGGCGCATGTGGCTATCAACGAGGTGCTCATCGAGCCTAGGGATGAGCCGATTTGAAGCGGGAGGGATGTGTTTTGAGATGATGCATATATACACGGACACTTGAGGTTGGTTAGATAGGATAGGTTGTTTCGGGATACTAGGGGGTTAGCATGTTGTGGCTTTTCGAAGGTGATAGATGACGACAAGCATATAGATACGATTCTCTTACCACGCCGGGTCTCACAGAAGGTTTGGGTTGATTTGAAGCAGGACGACTGGTCTAATATTATTGCATGTCTCTGGATCTCTGGTGAGATAAAAGAGGTACAGTAGCAGAGTGGTGTTTCATCGTTTCGAGAGTGATGACGCTGTCGCTTTCTCACGCGTCGTCGCGTCTAGCACAGCTATAAGCAGCGCTGCAGCTCATAGCACTTGTAGTACTCTAGTCCCTGTAGCTATTCATCATCCGCTCTCTCTCTCATGGCGACGCAAGCTGTCGAGTTGGAAACGTGAGATCCCCGCTTGAGAAAAGGTGGGTGACCTTTTGAACTAGAACCGGAGCTCGAACAGAAGCGGATTTAGAACGAGTGAAAATTTGAACAGTTCGCCACCGAAAAGTCACATACCTTTGATGGTCAATACCCGACACGCCGAACGATTAGAACAAGAACGGCTAGCGGTCCTTCGTCTACTGCCAGGAGCGGACGACTTTGACTCAGACAGCGAATTATCAGACCCTCCCGACACCCCAGATACGCCAGATCTCACCCCAAGGATGTTCGCAGAACTCCCAAAGTTTGATGGGAACGACGCGAAAGCGAAAAGCTTTCTCAACGACTTCGAAATCGCAATGCTAGACAGAAACATCATCGATGACGACGTGAAGAAGGCGAGATACTTCGTCCGCTGCATGACCCCGGATACGAGATCCGAACAGTGGGTGGAGCAGTGCGATCAAGCGACGAAAGGGTCCTTTGAAGCCCTCGAGACATCCTTTAAGGCGACATTCTGCGACAAAAACGCCAGCGACATCGTACAAATGGCCGCCTTACAACAGATGATGAAGACCAGGTTACGAGATCAAGATGTAGGGAAGACGGATGCGATGGGGGTGCCGATGCACGTGAAGTATTGCGAGGAGATGGCGAGATTGGGTAGAAGCGTGCCGAACACTACGGCGGATTCGACTAAGGTAGCCACCATCCTTACCAATGTAGGAGGGGGATTAGCCAAGGTCATCCGAGACGTAGGCCAAAACGACACGTTCGAACACTGCCTGAAAGCGATCAAGGAACTCACCGACTGGCAGATCAAAGAGATTCAACACTGGGCCATCGTCGAGCAATGGTCTTCGAGGCCGCCAAAGACAGCCTTGCCAATCTCCCCGGCACTCTCGGTGGAAGCCCTACCGGCCTCAAGGTCGAACTCATTCTCCAACCCAACCCAAAGGACCCCCCGAAACGAGGCGGGAGGTAGCAACGATCGAGACAACCGGTACGTCGCGATCACACCAGCTCATCAAGCGAAGATCGACGAATGGGAATCGCGATGGGGAGTAGGAAGCGAGGTGACGGCGGACTGCGGGTTCCCTTTGACGCCGGGAACCGACCCCACCGGTTCACGAGAGTGCTACAAGTGCGGGACGAAGAAGCCTAGCGTTTACCTAGCCCGCGACTGCCCCAACCTTTGGGTCAACCAGAGGGAACAGAACTACAGGTACAAGGTCTCCGAAAGACGACGGATCCCGGGTAATCAGCAATACCAGGCGAGACAATCACAATACCAGAATTTTGGAGCAGGATACCGAGGGTCGGGAGCGAACCAAGAGCCTTTGGGCCAACCAGTCCCGGTACACGCCATTACGATCGACGACGACTCTGAAGAAGAGGACGGCCTGGGTTGGATGGATCTGCAGGGAGCGGGAAATGCCCGCGGACTGGGTTTCTGAGGGAACACCCGGTCCGTGAAGATCAAAGACCCCTCGAACCAGTAGAGATCTTCGCGGCAGAACCAGAGGGACAGGAGGAGGAGGCGGAAAGAGAGGAGGAGAGCGAAAGGGAGGAAGAGGAGGAAGAACAACCGGAGGCAGCGGGAGAAAATAGGGTTCGGTTTGCGCTCCCACGAGTGGGAAGAAACATACACAACGCGAACGATCCCGAAGCGAGACCGACAAGAGCAAATGAGGAAGTGATCGATATCTATCCGGAAGGTAAAGAAAGGGTTCCGCCGATCGCGGTTCCTCATACATTGGAGAAAAACGGATACAGGTTCTCAGCGAGCAGAAGAGGGTATCTCGACAGTATGGCCCTAGTTTCGGCAATGGACCTTTCGTTCTACGGGAAGCACCAAGCCGGGCTCGGAGCAATCGAACCCTCTTCGCTCGTCCTACGAATGGCGGACGGATCCAAACGAAAATCAAGCGGGAAGGTCCGCCTGGCGTTCATACTCAGCTACCCGGGTGGACAGATCAAGGCTCCCTTTACGTTAGAAATCGTAGAGGCAAACGAGTCATGGGACGTATTGATAGGCCTACCGCTGATCACGCAGCTCAAAGGTCAGTTAGACTTCGGAGAGCGAGTATTGACAGTAATCGGAAGAGGCACACCGAGACGCTTTCCCGCATACGAGCCGATTCGTCAGGATACCTGGATGGAAGAAGGGTTAGCTCTATACACCTTGGAAGACGCCAACGAACAGGGAGAGATCCCGGACGACTACTCGAAAGGTATTCTGACGGCGGCCGAAAGAGCAGAAGAGGTCCTGAAGAAGGTCATCATTGGGAAGCATTTGACACCGGAACAGCGAATCGACGTCGAGCAATTCGTCAAAGAGAACCATCAAGCCTGGGCATTGAGCCTTAGCGAACTCGAAGCGGCTGACGTAGAGCCGGCGAGGATCCAGATCGACAAGACGGTAAAACTGCCCCTGGAACCGACTCAAAGGATGTCAAGGAACGAAGCTCTAGCAGCGTCGGCCTACGTGGACGTCCTATTGGAAGCGAACCTCATTCGGCCTATCGATCCTTGGGACGTAAAGTGCGTCTCGAATATCATAATGGTACCGAAGAAGGTCGAACAGCCGAGTCCAAAGGTGGTCGAAGACCGCGTACAAGAAGCGTTGCAAAACGGGAGCGAGGGTCAACTACCAATGAACGGACCGGCGTGGTCATACCGAGGAGGCATCGGGGTCAAGAGTATCCTCAAGCCCGTCATCAAGGAGCCGGTTCACGATGCGAACACAGACTTGACGAAGTTGTACCGCATGGTCTTCAACTACAAACCCCTCAATCGCGCTGCGACATGTGCGGCATATATGCCAGGTAACATGCAAGAGCTGATAGCGAAAACGAGCGGGAAAACGTTCGTCTCAGTCGTCGACCAACTCGGTGCGTTCTACTCGTTCCCGCTTCACCCGGATTCACAGCCGTGGACAGCTTTCTTCGTACCCTCGAGGGGACACTTCTGTCACTTACGGATGGCCCAGGGTTTGGCTGGTTCGCCGGCGACCATGCAAACGGGTGCGGCAAACGCGTACAAGGGCATTCTCGGACTTACGGCGGAAATCTGGATGGACGACTTATTTACGAGTAGCAACAAGTTCGAGGATCACCTAGCCAATTTACGAGAACTAGCGAAACGAGCTATAGCTAGTAAATTACGCTGGTCGCCCGGAAAGACCCAACTGTTCATGGAAGAAGCGAGGATCGGAGGACAAATCGTCGACAAGGACGGGGTGCGGCCAGACCCAGCCCGAGTTATCGCCATAGTCGACCTGCCTCCGCCAAAGACGGCGCTACAAGCGTTGTCCTTCGTCAACAAGGCCGCACATTTCAGGCGAAACATAGACAAGTTCTCGGCGATCGCGGCCCCGCTGACGGACTTGACAAGAGGGAAGATATTCAGCGGCGATGGTAAAGGCAAAGGATCCATCAAGAGAGCCCTAGAGATCACGAACATCGAACATCTCTGGGGGGAGAAAGAGGCCAAAGCTTTCGAAAACGTCAAACAAGCGCTGAAAGACATGGTCATGACCGTTTGCCCGATCTACAACGGCTCCATGCCGTTCCATATCGCTGTAGACGCATGCGCGGAAGGCTTCGGAGGACACCTTTACCAATACCAGGATCCGACGACAGAGATACCATCAACGATCGAGTTCGCCTCTCGACGCACGAACGCTCGGGAGCAAAACAGCCACTCGTTCATGCTTGAGCTCAAATGCGTCAAGTGGGCTCTCGAAAGGTTTAGGCCAATGGTACACGGTCAGAAAGTAGTACTTCATACTGACTGTCAAGCGGTAAAAGACTTACTGAACAACGATCGGCCTACGTTCCAACAAGCCTCATGGAAAGAATCACTTCTGAACTGCGGAATGGACATACAATTCGTTCATAAAGCAGGCAAGGAGAACAAGGTCGCCGATTACCTCAGTCGAAACGCGATCGGCGACGCCGAAGTAGAGGACCCCGATGGAACATACAAAGGCGTGATCAACGACATCTTCTGGGTAGACGCAGAGTCTCCAGAAGAAGAAGCTCTCAGGAACAGATTCAAAGGCGACGAACTTTATCCGGTCGTATGCTTCTTGACGAAGTTGATCAACAGCGATGCGGACATGGTAGTCAAGAAGGCTGACCTGTTTTGGGTCAAAGCCGGCCGCTTGCTCACGAGGAACAAGGCCCTCGGCCACGAGATGGAAGTCATTCCTGCGAAGGAAGGGCTACAAGCCGCAAAGTACGGGCACGAGGAGTGCGGCCATTTCGGGAAAGAAATCACCACGAGGCATATCCAGAGAAGTACTACGTGGCTAACAATCCGAAAGGATGTCGTAGCGGCCCTGGAATCGTGCGAGGTTTGTCGAAAATTCGGCCCGAGGTTGAAGAATAGCCTCATGCGAGAGACACTTCGCTACGCGCCGTTCCAGCTGGTAGCCATGGACTACCTGTTCCTGCCAAGGACGGCGAAGGGATTTAAGATCGCGCTGATCGCCGTCGACAGCTGCTCGAAATTCATATTCGGGTGGTGCTTCGATCGAGATCCGTCATCGGATACGTGTCTATTCGCCCTCAAAGACATGCAAGACAAATGGATGCTCCCGAAAGAGCTGGTAGTCGACAACCAATTCATGACCAAGAAGATCGTCGATTCGGTCAAGAACTTCATGACGTTGACACCGGCGGCCCCTTACGCGCATGTGCCTCTAGCGGAAAACGCGAACCACCTGATTTTGGATCGCTTGCGCAGGGTATGCAGGGTCGACATCAACCTCGGGAGCGCCTTACTACCGGACGACATGGCTTACGAAATTTGGCCGGAGCGATTGCAGTCGGCTATCAACGCTCTCAACAACCGTCGGCTGGATTCGCTCGGGGGCTACTCACCACGCGAACTCATGTTCGGTCAAGTCGACGATCGCAGGGTAGTGCCTTCGGAGCTAGGGTCCTTCGCTCAATCGGCGGATAACTTACGGAGAGAAGCCATGTCAGCGAGAGACCACGACGTATTACGGCGCCAACAACCGGAAAACCGCCAAGTGAAACCGTTTTACGTCGGCCAACTTGTGCAGGTATACGACCCGAGGAAGGACGACACACACGAATCCGTACGCAAACTGAAGACCAAATGGTCCGGACCGTACAGGATTACGGAGATCAGTCGCTCCAGCGCCGTGATCACGACCCCCGACGGCGATCCTGCCGGTCGCGCTGGGTTCGATCGCTTACGACCGTGGAGGGGAGCGGTAGAGATGTACAGGCGAGAGGAGGAAGCGATGAGGTAAAGAGTTGAGCATACGAAAAGAGCAAGTTACTGCACACAAAAGAAAAAACGAAAAAAAGAGTTCCAGCATTTACGAAACATCACGAAACGTCACCGAACGTAATACGAAAAGAGCAAGCTACAGCACACAAGACGATACGTCGCACTTCACATAATAAAACACAAAACAAACATAAAAAAGAAAACAATTGGGCGCACCATTCGGAATCGTACGCAACGCCGGCGGCAAACATAGTAGCATAGATCGTTCGAGAGAAAAGGGGGGGGCGGAAGGAGCGAAAGGAGAGGATGAGCATGTCGCTTTCTCACGCGTCGTCGCGTCTAGCACAGCTATAAGCAGCGCTGCAGCTCATAGCACTTGTAGTACTCTAGTCCCTGTAGCTATTCATCATCCGCTCTCTCTCTCAACGCGACCTCTGACGCGTCGCGTATGGGACGCGTTTCTCTCGATCAAGGCGATACTGGTAGACAGCTGATCAGACCGATCGAAGAGTTCTCAGCTCGCAATGCTGTACTGCCCCTACAAAAAAGTACAGTCAACCCCTCGACATCGATCCGCCCATTTACCAGATAGATAGGCGTCCTTCGACAACGTCCCGGCGGTGGTCTGAAGGATGACTTGAGATCGATTGTCCTCCTCATCTTCCCTGGCAAGATCGACCCATCTCTGCTACCACCCTATCTCACCTCGCATCAACAACTACCGTCAAGATGGATAGCAGCAGCGAACCAGAACCCGAAGACAGCTTCGCCACACCCAACCCTAAGACTACCCGCCGAGATCTTCCGGGCTATGGTTTTAAACAACCTAAACCGTTGTCTACGCATACGAACCAGTTGAACGGATGGATCATGACGGAGAAACCTACGGCGGGCCCTACGCCGCCTACTACGGGTCGTTCGAAGTTGAATCAGCTGCATTTTAGTCCGCAGAAGGGGTTTAGGAGTAGTCGGAAGTCGGGTGGAGGAGGGGGTGGGAGCGGGGGTGGGAGTGGGGGAAAGGGAGCGACGGCGATCACGGACAAGGACCCGAATACAGGAGCTTGGAAGTTGGGTAGGACAGAATATACGATCCAACGGAATAGCCCATCCTTCCAGCGTGGGAGAGGCAAGACGAAAGATGTCGGCGAGCTCAAGACGAGGCTGAATATGCATACGGAAGCGACGACTCCGGTTGGGACGACTCGACAACCGATCACCCCGCCAGACGAGTCCGAGTTGGACGGGATGTTCAGTTTACGAAGAGATAAAGGAAAGGGGAAGGCTACTTTGAGCCAGGTGGTTCGCGGGGATCGGGATTTAGGTGCGGGTCTGGGTTCGACTGAGGGAGAGGGTGAGGGTGAGCAAGAAGGTCGATTTGGAAGTAGGGATAGGCATGAGATCGGAAACGGAGGTGGAGGTGGGGGGTTTCCGGAGGACGTGGCGGATAGTCAGGATGATGACGAGGCGGATCAGAATGGGAATGCGGTCGTGGAAGAAGAAGAACAAGACGAGGACATATTCAGGCCCAAAAGGTCTAGGCGTAATCCCATCCCTACATCTGATCACCCAATCCCAATCCCGATCCCGTTGATGGATGAGATGCAAGAATCGATCTTGTTCCTCGGACACAGGAATGCCACCCCCTCAGCTTCAACCTCGACCTCGAAAGCGAAACCAAACAGGAGACCCAGTCTCGGCTCGATATCGGGTTCTGCCTCCAAGCCGGCAAGGACCAGCCAGGGACCGACCGTACAGACCAAGTTGTCTGAGTTCCTCAAACCTCGAGATCCTCCGGTGGACTCGGCTCGACCGAGGCCGAAACGAGTGGCGGGTAAGAAGAAGGAGGCTGAAACGGAAGCCGAGATGGAAGAGCCTGCAGCGGAAATCGGTATTCAAGCGGTGACCGATGACGCCGCAAGGGCATCGAGCTCGAATTCAAAGAAGAAGAAGACGGCGAGACGAAGCACTATCATGGAAGATCAACAGGGAGCTAGACGGGTCTTGTTGAACGTGGAATCGCAGGATATCGTGCCGGATTCGCAGACGCTGGATACCGAATTGTGGAACAGGTTACCTCTCGATATGAACGCGGAACCGGACGCAATTATGACTTCGAGTCGGGAAGCAGACCCTCCACGGGATCCGAGATCAGATACGGGGGAAGACCTTGATCATCCCATCGAGGTGTTTGATGAAAGCATGGTTCCCCAAGCCAGACCAGCCATCCTCGAGTTAAGGGTTCCCGAGCCGACGGTACAGACAGAGACACCGCATGAACCTTCATCAGACTCATCCTTGAGGGGCGAGAGCGACGATGAGTTGCATTCGCTGGCTTACCGAGAACATCTTCGACAGGAGGCCTCCAAGAGGCAGATCAACCGGACTAGTGGGACCGCGCAGGACGATGAGAGTTATCGGCCGCTCGGGTATGTCAGGGCTCCGATGAGAGGGAGGAGAGTACCAATCGGGGCTGGGATGAGGGCGAAGAGTGGGCTGCGAGCGATGGTCATGCATGAGGATGATGATGAGGACGAGGTCGCGGAGCATTCCGGAACCAGTGGCAAGAAGCAACGAGCGTTACGGTCGACGAGATCGAAATCTAGAGCGAAGTCGACCGAACATCGCCTTACCAACGGATCCCGTCGATTGGATGAGGAGGACGCGGACACTGATACGGAACAACCCGTACAGAGCGTTGAGACAAGTGAATCGGATCTCGCCGATGCTGCAAGGGCCGCTACGGAAAAGGCTCGTCTGAGTCGGACAACGTCAGGCGGTTCAAGTCATACCAGTGTCACCCAAGGATTAGATGCTAGTAGTGATCTCACACCATTGCCGTCCGAGTACGAGGAGGAAGGTCCCGATATCCTGGAAGTCGAATTACCTGAAGAATTGCGCTTTTCGCCAGATCATCACAACGTTCGGGCTATTGCAGATGATGACGAAGAAGTTACTCCGAGAAGACCGACCAGGCGCATGGTCAGGATCGAGAGCCATGAAGAACATGCGCCGAGGGATGCCACGGAGGACGATCTGGATGCCGGCGAGATCGGCGAGGTGACGGTCATACCTGAAACGGCGCGAATGTCGGGAATATACCCAACGGTGGACGATCTCGAGATGGCGTTCGGTAGCGCACCACGTAACGCGGACGAGACGATGCCAGCTACCTTTGATATGGACGTGGATGACGATGTGTTCGCCGAGGACATCCCTGCTGATGTCGGTGTGTCAACCATCCCTCAGTCCTGGGCGCATGAAATGCAGCCTAGTCTTCTAGGTCGGATTGTGGGTTCCATCGGAAATCGACCAGAAACTGTCGCTCCTGCGGATGATGGCCCTCCCAGTTTGAGCGGCATGCCTCACGAGGCTCGATCGACGACACCGGTTCCTTCCAACGGTTAGTCTTGACGAAGCTCTTGGATTTCTCCTGTAAATGAGTTGGCTAAATAACAAGTCTCGCTTTGTCCTGCGGTTAAAACAGAGCGTTCTGCAGATCTTCGCACGCCACCTAGACAACCCAGCGTGCGCTCTCAGCGGGAGCCTACAACACCTTCCACGCCTTATCGTCCAGTTGCCAAAGCGGTACAAGCACTGAGAACTCCACATCGTGAACCTCTTCGTGATATAGGATTCACCGTCCCTATTCTCGGTCAACCTCGCACACCCATCGGACCCTCTTCTACTAGGAAATTTATAAACCGATCGCCGCAATCACCTGTCACACCCAGCAAGATTACCCCGGCTCGAGCCTCCCTACAGAGTCCGAGGTCAGCGGTTCGCAGCCCTGCAGCTAAACACGAGGAATGGGTCGACAACGCCGAAACTTTGGCGACTTGGTCTCCCGCCAAGTACGAATCTTTTTACAGCCTGCAACCTCCGCTCGCTGGCGGGACTTCTCTTCGACAAGCTTTTGAAGAGACCCTTCGCAAGGAACCAGCGATCATGCCTCTTATACGACCAAACTCATCCCCCCAAAAGTCTGCCAGCGATGATCCTGTACTTGGCAACGAACCATCATCCGATTCTGCACTACGCTCAGACGACACCGAGGCTAGAAACAGCCTGCGATCGGACGGGTCCGCTGGTCACAAACGAAAACTGGCGGGCAGTGAAGATGGTACAGTGAGTTTGAGCTCGTCTCATCCGACCGCTTCACCCAGAGATTGACCGGCTTCTTGTAGATTCCGGGAACATTTCAAAACAGCGACCCGAGTTTCCATCTTTTGCAATCCGTCCCGCACCCTGGACCTTCCAAAAAGCGTGCGAAATTGTCTGAACAGGATGTACACGAAAAGACAAAGGTCAGTCGATGACCGCGCTTCTGCTATGCCTCCTGTCTCGATCGGATCACTGAGACATGTGTTCTCGTCGCAGAGCCGCTTGATAGACCCGGAAACGACCCCTAAGCCAGCCGGTCGCGCTACTCAAGCCGTCGGACGAACGCCAGTGCTGGACCTACAAAATCCTATGGCTGTCGAGGAGGATGCCACGCCACGCTCCAAGAAGAAGCATACGAGCCCGAAACTCTTCGAATCGGTGGCGAATGCGTGGTGGGGCGTCGAGCAGGACCAGGAAGACGATCCATCAGGAGCTCCACAGGGACCGTCGAAGCCTTCAAAGACCAAAAAGCACAGTGATGGAAAGGAGCAGACTTCGTTGCAAGCTTTCGGCTATTCGAGGCAGCGCAAGAAAAGAGAACCTGAACGCACTTTGCTGAAATACGACTGCGACTTCGAGGATGAGGAAAACCTCGACCTGGATATGGCCGAGATGGATGAACCGGGAAGGCTCGTCGATGAGGGTGCGGTCGTTGCTGCCGCAGAGGATGAGGGACGATTAAGCCATGTGCCTCGACCGCCTGTGGACCCAAGATTGCGAGGACAGGGCAGAAGGCTGGCGCAGGAAAAGCTGGACAAGGAAGAAGCCGAGGAAAGAGATAGGCGTCGAGCTGTGCCACTGTTGTCTGAACCCAGACCGAGCATCGAGCCTATTCAGGCTGAGCCGCGCTCGCACCCGCACGAAGCGCGAATCTATAGCATGGAAGATCTCGAGGCCATGGAAGGCGATCCCGAGGTGGTGCCAAGCTCTCAGTACGGCGAGAATCTGTCGCCACTTCGAAGCCTCAGCTCGTCTGGGAAAAGGAGTCTGGACGATGGATCGAGTTTCAGAACGATGGAACCACCAGGCGAGGAGACGCAAATGTGGTGGAAGGCGATGAACGACATGAGTCGTGATTGAAACGTGCACGAGGTGTTGAAGGAGCGGCGGCCTGTACGTTGACGACAATGACGAACACTGTATCTAGCGCTTTGTATAATGATAGGCGGAACCGCCCTCCCTGGATTGTCGGTATAACGATCAGTCAGCGAAAGCTGACAACGATAGTGTCACCATTGGACTGTAATGGCTTTGACCACCTGTCGGAAGCATATCCATTTAGAGTTTGAGGCCGGTGATCTTTTCGGCTCCGGCCGGATGAGTGATCGGTCATCAGCTATCGATCCATGAATTTGCGTCTGAGCTCTAATGTATACGATATACGCATCGACCCCCTCTACAGTACGGGCCGAGTAACGATACCAGAACATATCAATCCATTAGCTCATTCCAATTACGACCGGATCGAGCAAATTTACCGCCTGTCGGATCGTGAGTGATTCCTATGAGCCCTGGGATTTCAGACTGTAAATTTTGATCTCTCCTCCCACAGTTACAAACAGGCCTCCTAGAGAACAAAGGAAGAAGTTACATTGCTACAAACCGGCCTCTCTATTATGGACGACGACTGGCTTGAAGAAGGACCCTCAGTCCCAGCAGGAGGAGCCGGGGACCCGATGGTCGACCAGAACTGGGAACGCATAACCACGAAATACGCCGACGTCGGGTACCGGGAAGGGATCTCCGAGGGCAAGCTCTCTTCCCTGCAAGAAGGTTTCGATCAGTCGTTCAAGACCTCAGTACCGCCCGTGAGGAGGCTAGGGAGATTGAGAGGAGCTGCGGCGGCTCTGCTTGCCTATACGACTGGGTCCAAATCGACATCAACGTCGCCAGACGAAGCGTTGGTGGAGAAAGTACGAGCGCTGATCTCCGACCTCGGTCGAATAAAGCCCTCAGATATACTTGCCATCGACCAGGAAGCTCTGGACCACGCCAAGGAGCATGTAGGGGACGAGCACGAGGATCTACCACGGGAAAAGAAGGTGCTGGACGACCTTGTCGACGCTTTCGACGTCATGGCAGGGCAAAAGGTGGATGGCGTGGATGTCGCTGGGGAAAAGGTGCAGCGAGAGGACGAGCTGTTGACTTTGCTGGAGCAGAGATTCGATGTGCTGCAACGGTCGGCGGGGTTGTAAAGACTAGGCTGGAAGAGCAGGATAACGCGCAAGGCGGATCCTCATACGTAACAACCGTTGAGTGGGCGATGTTTTATTATAAGCTACACTGTGACGAGACCTTGTACAACACGACATGTATGCAACTCGTCCTTGTACAGACGATATCTACGATTACGCTCTCACTACCGTCGCGAGGCGTCTTGATGGCTGACGATGCCAAGCGCTATGCTATGCGTTACGTGCTATGCTACACATCGGCGACCCTCCTCTCTTGAGCTCCGAGCTTGACCCGAAGCCAGGTCCAAAAGTCCTTGCCGACCGAGTAATACAGGAACCCGAATGCCGCCCCGGAAAGATGGGCGACGTGGTCGAATACCCTGATCGTAGCGATCAAGGCAGGAAGAGCACTCCGTCAGCTCACGTTCGTCCTGCTCAGGCTTATGAACATGATACTCACCTCCAACCTCTGATCAACCCGAGGACGTCGACCGCGACCATCCCTGCCACCCCATACCCAATTTGAATCGGCACAAAGGGGAGGAATATCAGACTGACGCTAGCCTCGGGGAAAGCCAGGCTGGTCAAGGTCAACGTCGCATAGATAGCCCCACTCGCCCCTAGGGAAGGCAAGACGGCGGAATGCGCAGCGAGGGCCGAGGCGGTAGACACTCTTGCCGTGTTCGAGAGGTCCCGGAGCAAGCGAGGGAGACGGACGAGGACGGTATTCAGGTGAGAGGTCAATGAGGAGACTAGACCGGCAGCGAGGAAGAAGGCGAGGAAATGTGGGGTCGTCGTTGATGTCCCCAGATATGGACCGAAATCGAAGCCGAACCAAGAATCGGACTTGTTGTTGATCGCATCGATATCCCTTGCGTTCGGGCGGGAGAGGAACTGATAAGCGGCCGATCCGAAAGAGTAGAGTGCGATCGAGTTGAAAGCGTAGTGAGGGAGAGACTGGTGGCTGAAAACGCTAGTGGCCAGGGTGATCACTCGGTGGTTGGCACCGACCGGCCAGTGCATAAAGTACCGCCTCATGAAAGGTTCGAAGCGGGGTATCCGCCATGCGAGAAAGACGAGGCCGTTGAATCCGATGATCCCGAGACAGGCGAGTTGAGCGGGAGGAGTGTGTAGGTATGTCTCGGACAGGCTGATGTAGACGCGGGTGATGGGTACTTTGAGAGAATCTGGCCAGTCCCGGATGTTCTTGACGAGGCCGTTCAGGCTGTTTTGTAGTTTCTGCAATTTTCAGGCTCAAGATATCAGCCTGTGTATGGAGAACGGTCGGGAGGGCTCGACATATCACTCACCTTGGCCGTACTTATCGCCTTGGCCCGTTTGATTTCTTCGTCCGTTGGCAGATCGCTACCTCTTCGCCACCATGAGCCTTGACCGAGCTTTTCCGACCATTCATTCGTGTCGGCGTTGGTATAGAGAGCTGCTGCGATATACGCCGAGCCCGCTAACGTTGTTGCAAACTGCAAGCAGGAGGATGAGGAATCAGAAGCGGAACAGGTTCAGGACGGTGTGTGACCGACAATTATGGGCTTCCAAATCGACCTCTTAGGCACGCCTCCCCCGAATCCCTGTGCAGCGAACGCTTCTGGGCTGTCGATAGGGATCCTCTTAACCTCGATCCGTCCTAGTGGCACCCGCGGTCGAAATGACGGCCGCGTCGAAGTAAACGTCCGGCTTGAGCATGGAGTCGAGGGGAATCGCCGTGAGCATGCCCCGATCGATCTGCCAATGGGCATGAAGCTGAAGGACATGGGTGAATAGACGGTAGTATCTACGGTGCAGCTCTACAAGCTTTATGGGTCGAGGTTGTTGAGCAAGAACAGTGAAAGCAGCGCATGTCTGCATGTCTGAGGCCGGGAGGAGAGGTGGAGGTCGAACGAAAGCTTCGTCATTTCTCGGGACGAGCGATCGGCGGCGACAAGCTCGACAAGCGCTTCGACGGCGGCGCGTTTCCATGGTCGGTCGACTCAAACACCATAATACTAGCTGCCCACAGCCAAGGTAGGATAGAGGATAGGCGCCAGCTCCATGCGTACAATGATAATTTCGGGTCAGAAACCGGCAATCCAGCTGGATTGATGTTGATATCCGACGCCGCCACCATTCCTCGGTGGCCCCCACGATCAGGAGTCGAACGAAAGGGTACATATCGAGCGCGCCCATCGATCCTAATCGTCACCTGTACTTGTTTTCCAGTTGGCGAAGGTGATGGTCTTTGAAAAGAAAGGTTCGCGCCGATGACTTTCAAGATGTTTCACTGGAGCTGTCACGACGAGACACAGGCTTGGCGATCTCGAGGAGTCATACGGTATAGGCACGTATCGTCTCGTTTTGAAAGATGCAGGAAATCAGACTGGACCTTTGCGAGAGCAGAGATCTGGCACCGCGCTGACTAGCCGCTACTTCCCACAAATCGCAACATTATCATCATGACACGCTCGTGGCATACTTCCCTCGCGCGAACCGCACATTCACTTGGTCTCCGGTATCGTCACGGTTCGCTTCAGACCTGTATGATTTGATCAGCACAGCACAGCGTTCTAAGAGACTGTATGACGTTCATCAGATTCTCCCTCAGATTTTCGAGACCGATGAACTCATCGATCAGCAAGCTAAATCTGCGCTGCCCGTCGAACATTCCATCGAAGCATGAAACAGATCTTTTGGAACTCCCAACGCTATGTGGGCTGCCAGAGCCACTATCTCGTTGAGATGCACTGAGTCTGAAGTTGTTTCTCACTACAAACACACTCTACAAGCAGTCCATGCTGGACAGAGCGAAAATACCACCGATAGGTTGTAAACCCGCCTGTGTCTGAGTTCATATCCGTCAGATCGCTCCCTCCAGCCAATTGCGGCGCAAGCGGTGTCATGCGCCGGAGAAAGTCAGAATGAACACACTCGAGAAGGAGACCGGTGATCATTGCAGGCTGAATGATATCAACCAGAAAGTTTCCGCAAAACTGTACGTTCGCTTGAACGCGCTTGCGATCGTGCGGACAAGGCTGAGTGGAAGTCATCCGTTCGACAGGATCTTTACGGTCATCAGCCCGGGATACTTAGCTATCGCTAATAAATATCTACAGGAGGCAAACCAGAATGAGGTGCTCCCCATGTCCTTGTGGAAAAAAGCATGAATCGAGGAACCAAAGATCGCGATGGTCGACGGAGATCGAAGATGAAAACAGGACAGAAAAAAAAGGGCGAAAAAAGGCGAAAAAACATGGCAAAAAGACTTTCGACGCAAGCTGGATTTGAACCAACGCATGCAATGCATAAGTGATAACTTAGAATCGAAGTTCTAATCACTCCCCTTAGACCGCTCGGGCATTGCGCCATGAATGATAGCGTTTTAGTGTATTAATTTATATCCGCAGACAATACTGCGCGCAAAATATGCTTCCGAGGGCATATCGCATCCGGCGCGCGCAATTCGAATTTCAGCGATTCAAGCACATCGTGATCGGTTGGTCTTCCACCTGCAGCTGAATGACCTTACCACTGCCAGACCGATCATTGCGATCAGTGCAGACTACATAGCTACAGATCCGCTGCAGTGGTACCAACGTAATCTCTACGTACAGACATCAGCATGGCATCCTCGGCTTTCCAGTTGCTCTCCATGGGCGGAGCCAGCTTCAACAAGCAGAAATATAAAAAAGATCTCGACCTGTTCAGCGGCAAGGTGAGTTCAGTCGCCTGGCATCAGGATGACATCGAGGATACATCGCTGATCTTGGCATGGTGGCGTTCAAAACTCCCTAGCAAAACAAGAGCAAGAAGCAGAAGAAGGAGGCCGACATCTCGGCCAACTCTGGCCATCTTCCTGCTGGACTCGACTTTTTCGGTAGTTCGGCCGCTGCCGGACCTAGCTCGACAAAGATCAAGACGGAAAAGGCGAGCAAGGTCAAGGTGGAAGAGGACTCTGACGAAGACCCAGACTCGAACTCGGACGAGGAAGATATCCCTTCTATTGCCCCTCCTCCGCAAAAGATCAACCTCTCTGGCCCGGAACCTCTACCTAGATCCTTCGCTTCTTTCGACGAACTCGTTCCTTCGTCCCATTCGGTTCTGCTGCGTAACCTTCGAAAAGACGGAGTTACACAGCTTTGGGGTGTTCAGGGTGCGGTCTCGGGTGCGATGATGGCAAAGGAACAGCGGGATGTCCTCGTCATCGCTCCCACCGGATCGGGAAAGACCTTGTCTTATCTCCTACCACTCGCTCTCAAGCTCGACCAACCCTCTCGGATAGCCTTCAATGCGCACAAGAAGGCCGAGACGAAAGATGCTGGGGAACAAGGGATCCGCTCGATCGTCCTCGTTCCTACGCACGAGCTCGCCCTCCAGATCTATGGCGAGGTGCAAAAGCTTCTGCAAGGGAACACTTGGAGGACGCTCTTGCTCGAGAAATCGACCGAGATGGCGATCGCCACGTCTGGACAGGCGGGTCAGTTGGGGATCGACGTGCTCGTAGCTACGCCGGAACGGTTGCATGCGATGATCGAGGCTGGCAAGGTGGACATGAAAGGGTGAGTTGGGTCAGCAATCAGTATCATCGCCTTGTCCTGATGAAGCGAGAATGGAGCTAACTTCATCTCGATCTCGTGTCTGCCGAGCAGAACCCGGTACCTGATCTTGGACGAAGCCGATCGTCTCATCGGACCCGATTTCTTACCTCAGGTCGAGCCTATCATCGACGGGCATACGCACGCCAGGGCGCAGAAGGTCATGCTCAGTGCTACAATGGAAGCTGGACCCGAGGCGCTTGCGAGGACGTGGCTCAAAGACGATGGGGTCAGAATAGTCGTCGGGTTAAAGTAGGTTATGTGCGGGTTCAGGGTCTTGCGATGCTCGTGAGACTGACGAGCTCCATGTCGTGTGGATTAGGGACGCACCGAGTACGACCGTAACACAGCACCTCCAATTCTGCGGTAGCGAGATGGGCAAACTGCTCGCACTCCGCAACGATATTGCCGCAGGGAAACTCCCCGCACCGGTCCTCATCTTTGTGCAATCCATTGAGCGTGCAAACGAGCTCTACCAGGAGCTGGTCATGGACGGTATGCGGGTTGGGGCCGTTCATGGAGAGAAGAGCAAGGCGGAGAGGGAAAAGACCGTCAGGGAGTTTAGGGAGGGTAAATTATGGATGCTCGTTGTCACCGAGTTGATGGCACGGGGACTTGATTTCAAGGGGATCGAGGTCGTTGTCAATTATGGTGAGTGCGGGTGTGTCGTGTGATCTCGATCGTGTCGAAATTGAGCTAAAGCGAAGGATGCGGCCGGGAAACAGATTTCCCTCAGACTGTAGGGTCGTACGTACACCGAATCGGTCGAGCCGGTCGGGCGGGCAGAACAGGATCTGCTATCACCTATTTCACCCTGGAAGACGGGCCGTACCTGAGGACGTACGTCGAAGAATAGTCATTGAGCAGCCTCGGCTCTTTCTGCATGACACACAGGCTGACTAGCAGTATCGTCTTCTTCTATTCAGCATCGCTAACGTGATGAAATCCTCCGGATGCAAGGTCGAACCCTGGATGCTCGAACTCCCCAAGCCGAGTAAAAATTTGAAAAAGGAGCGTAGAAGAAAACCCGTCGAGAGGAAGGATATCGGTGGGGCTGGAAAGAATCTCGCACGGAAGGACGCCAAGAATCGAAGGTCAGTTGGCGAATGTCTCGACGGATGAGAGAGTAAAAATGACATGATGCTGATATCGGCGGATTATTGTGGTCGTCACAGGGCCATGATCGAAGCGTCTATGAAGCGAAAGTTGAAGAGCGGCGGCAAGATGGCTGCAGGCGGTGCTTCGTCAGAGGGAGGAGCAGGGGCAGCCGAGGTGGATCTCAGCGAGTGATATATCTGTCCTAGGTTGTATCAGGAGCCTGTCACATTGAGATCATCCGCAATGCAGTACTTCCGCACTCATCAATGCACCGTCTTCGCTAGACCCTGAAGCCGTCCGTTTACTATCATAGAGGATAGGCGTGGTCGATCTCACACTGACTCGAGGAGATGAATCATTCCAAGGATGACATGAACGTGAGGAGTTACTTTCCGTCTTTCATGACTTTCACCGAAACACGGCGTACCCTCCACTCGGGTTTGGCTTTGAGCGGGACATCCGTCGTGTCCCGCTGATCAACCTCAAACTTTTCAGGCAGGTCTCTGGCCCATTGATCGATGTCTGAAGCGTTGTTGAGGGGAAGGTGTTCCTGAATCGGCATGCTGATCTTGAGTGCGAATTTGGTGGAACCTGGCAAAGGAGGTAGACGGTGGGGCACTCCAGATGGATACTTCTTCACGCAACCAATGCCGGGCCGATCGGCTTGCCGAACGCAAGAACAGACTTCCCACCAAAGCTACACTAAAAACTGTGTCAGGTGAGTCGTCAGCAGTCGTAGCTTTGCCATAGCCATACTTATAATTCCTGAGACCTGAGAAACATAGGCCCTTGATCTACGCCTTGGTCACAAATTTCCAGGATAGGGGTATTGGAAAGGTTCTCATGGTGGCAGAAAGCTTCTTCCATCAGGATGCTGGATTCGACGAGGATGAGCTGCTCAAGACCGTCGGTATTGAGCTTTTCTGCTTCGGTGTCATGTACGAGGTGTGTAGCTGTGTAGACTACCACCACTCACTCGTCCCATCCGAGTGAGAATCAGAGGTGGAAATAAGTGTGGCCAGGCCAGTACCAGTGTGGCATGCCCGCGTCAGACTCTGTATTGATCGATCAACATCTCATTCATCCTTGATCCTTGATTTCCTTGCACCTTGTCCTTCAAGCGATAAATATGTACCGTTATCTAATATCTCAAACCACTCCTCTCGATAACTATTGACCGGTACCGCCATACGATAGCACGACAGTCTTGCATCAACAACTGGCTTTAAGACCCGGAATATCCTCATTTGCCGATGATCCCGATGACGAATATCTAGAACGATCAATAATGAGCTGGATGGCATATCATTGACGATATGTCACAAACATACCGAATGTCCTTGAGGGCATCTCGTACGAATAGTACTGTACCTCATCTTATCAAGGACGTCGAAACCGTCGAACGACCTCGGTCGATCCCGACCCGCCCACCACCGTTACCTCATCCTGCAGGTCATTCGTCAGCGACGACAAACTCTGGTTCTTCAGCCTCGCAAGTCCGGAGTTTGGGTGTTGATCACCCTGAATATGTCCCGCCTCTGTTGGCTGGGATAAGAGTCCATCTCCTTCCGACTAAACTGGATGCGGCCTTGCCAGAGTATAGCAGAAAAGTGGTCACACTCGGTGGAAAACTCGTACCGCTTCCAACAGCGATGGCGTCAGTAACCGGGGAGAAGCCGATACACCAGGAGAAGACAACGTTTCCCCTGGATTATCCTCATGTGGTCTTGACCGCTCTCAAGGGGAGACCGAGGCTTTCTAGGTTATTGATTGGGAATCTGGTGGATGACCTGGATGTGGTGGATATCGTCTGGATCGACGAAGTCTGGAAGACGGCTCAGGATTGGGTATGGGGTCGGCCCATCTCTGTAGGGCTAGGAGCCGACATGCAGGATCACGAAGCTCCAACCAATGACGAAGGCATCACTGAGAGCCAGATGAATACTAGTACCGATACCGGGTTCGCCCAATTACAAAGCTCGTCCTTCCCCCTACCCGAACTTCCAGACCGTCATCCTTTCCGCATCCCGAATACCTCGGCGACAATCTTGGAAAGGATACGGAATCGGGACAGTCTGGCAGTATGCGAAGCTTCGGATGTGGCTATCTGTCTAAAGGAGACATTGGGTCGTGATTCGGTAAAGATGGAGTTTGAGCTGGAGGAAGAACGTCTGGATCTCGGTATGGGGGCGGCGGGAAAGAGGAAACGAGATAGTGTGGATGGCGATGAGGAAAAGAATATGGGGATCGAAAAGAAAATCAAGAGGGAAGCAAGCACGATGGCATCTGCGAATGACCGCGAGGATGCGGGCAAACGACGGCCGGATGTTCAGAGCTTGACAAGAGGGTTCTCAACGCAAGCGTTGGACTTGAGATCAGGAGTTCCTGGTTACCTCGCCCATCTTCAAAATGAGGATTCGATTAAGACGGAGTCAATTCTTAACTTGAACCCTCCTCAACGTGCTGTGATCACCTCAAATTCCGACGCCAACGATACGGAAACACAACCACCCGAGTTTGATCAGAAACCCAGTAAAGAGTACATGCGGATGGGGAAAAAGGTTTCGATCCACGTGAATCATCCCAAACAGGACAAACAGATCCTCGCAAAATCCAAAGAAGAACAAGTGGTCGAAAAGCCTGAAATTATCGATGGGGTCGAGACGCTGCGGCCCCTACCGTACGATGTTGAGCTGGAAGAAATCCCCAGTCTGGCTATTCGGAGGTGTTCGCCATTGATTTGCGTGAATGACGATATTGTGAGTGGTCTCAGGTGTGCCACTAGTGACAATCAGCTGTGATGTTGCTGATTACGAACTTGAACGAGAAGATCAATGCGATTAGGCCGATCTACCTGAAAAGAGAATTCGATGCGCCGGCAGAGAAGAACGCTAACACCCTTAGCTATAAAAGGAGCATGAGCGCAAGTCGACTTGTACTACTGCCTATATCGTGTTTGGATCCTTATCGAATTATGCATTTGACAGATTCTCAAAGGTGGTTCCGATCCGGACTGGTCTTTCATAGCATGGATATTGAGCATATCCGAAATTTGGCGTGTTTCCTTACAGCGGTACCTAGGCGGCTGAAGTCGGGCGCGGAAGCACTCAAGCTTTCGGGTTGTGGAAGCAAGGTGGCCGACAGGGTAAGCTACCAGAATATAGATGCGACATCGGTCCGATCATCTCATGCTTCATGTCCAACGCAGATCACGGAATATCTAGAAACTGGCCGGATCGAGGAGTCGGATAATATCCTCACAGATCCGCGATTCCGGACACTACGGGAGTTCTCTTCGGTTTTCACTATCGGAACGAGTACTGCCGTCGAGCTTTACGACACGCACGGATGTCGGTCTTTATCAGACGTGGCCGACTACTACGCTGAGAAAGAAGGACAAGAGTGGGACTCTGGGGTCGTCGGTGAGGGTGTCCCTCTGGCAAAGCGCAAAGTTCGGTATGGTACCGATGGGGTCTTGGGAGGACGGGGTGGAACTTATAGGTGGAAGCGAAAGACCAGGGATGCCGTGAGGAGGCGCCAGGAGGGAATGATGTCTAAAGCCGAGATATGCAGGGAATGGATGTTGATACAAGACGAATTGGATGAGAGGCAAGTCACTTCTGCTGCTTCCTCGCTATTTTTTTAACCGATGTTAACCAAAACTTGGCGGACACAACAGGATTCCACGAGCAGAGGTACAAGAGATAGCTCGATGCGTTCAGACTCACCTAGATGCGATCCTGCCTGGCTGTCACTGCACACTTACCGGAGGCTATCGACGCGGTAAACTTGAATCGGGCGATATCGACTTGATCATCTGTCCGCCTGCTCCTGGTCTCGATTCGGGACTTTTGAAAAGCCTACGCGATCGGATGACCGCCGCAGGTATAATCACACATATCCTTCGTGAGTGCGCTCGGAAGACTTTCGTTCTCGGAAGCTGACGAATGCACTCACGCTATCTAGAATTGACCATGGCGGTCGACCTGGAAAGGCAAACTCATAATAACGCAAGAGGCAACAATTTCGACGGACTAGACAAAGCATTCGTCATTTTCAAGCTGCCGTCCAATCATACTCGACGGCCACGTTTACATCGAAGAGTTGATCTGATAGTCGCGCCTTATCATAGGTACTCTTTGGCAGTCCTGGGATGGTCTGGAAGTATGATTTTCGAGCGAGATCTTCGGCAAGTCAGATCGATATGAGCGTATCGTCCCCCGGCAACTAGCTAATCTGGCACTTATGTTCATCGCAGGCGACATGCAGAAGACGCATTGGGTCTTAAGTTCGATTCTGGGAGCTTGCATGTCAGGCAGACTGGAGAAGAACTCTACGCTAGGACTGAAAGGGATGTGTTTCGGCTGCTGCGACTCGACTGGGTTCCACCCGAGTTTCGAAACGCGGATGGCTAAGCGCGCGAGCGTGTTTCAGTCCCGCGCTAGGCCTCCTTTATCTCGATGTCATCCTCATGCGTTTCAGAGATATCCAGGCCTTTATAAACAGCAAGAAGTCGGCTATTGGTCAGTAAGACCATGATGTAGTTGGTCGCCACGCTTGGACAGACCCCCTCCTGTTTCCATCCCTCAAATACCACCCGCCACCGATTCACACGCAATGAGTGGAGAAAAGGCTGACCCCGAAGACAAAGACTCGCTTCTTCCGCTCCACCGTCCCGCCGGGTATCGAAGGGTACTTTCCCTGCACCGTGCTTGGCTATGCGAATGTTGGAACTCCGGTCAATGGGATGATACATATCGACAGATCTACGCCCGGGGTATTGCATGGAAGTTGTCCGGCCCAAAAAAGGCGGTTGCATTTTCTTCTTGGATGGTCTTGTCGATATTCGTGGGTTCTCTTATATCGGACAACCTCCCGTTCGTCACCATCACAACCTCGGATGGAACGATTATCACTGTAAGCGCTGGAAATACCTGTTTTGACGGCAAACAGGCGTCTGCGCAGTGAGTAAGAGCGCGCGGTGACGCAAGGTGGGAAGGGAAGTTGACGACCTATGAGATATAGTTGCACCATCACACCACCGTGGCAAGAGATGTCGTCCGCAACAATGCAAGGACAAGACTTCCCGACGTCCGGAAAGTATCTTGGCATCGTCATATCTGCGCATCTGGCAGGTGAGTTTCGCTGTGATTACAGATTAACAATAATCGTATCATTTGCTCATATGCATCGATCAGTATGGGCCATCATCGGAGTTCTGGTCTTCATCCGAGTACTCTTCCGTAGCCCCTACTGGACAATGAATAACGAACAGAGAGTGGCAAAGAAACTCAAATACATCCGGGATCCCGTCGTCCCGTCCTTGGTTGCGATGTTGATCACGGGCGCTTTGGCGGTAATCGATATCACTTACGTCAAAATCATTGATGGCGTAACACTGAAATACGCACAGTAAGATTATCTGTATGTTCCCGAACTTCGATTAGATTGTGGCTGACCCTCGAAATGCTAATTTCATCCTACAGAGCGGTTCCTTATGCGGCGATAGGAATGGCCATCTGGTTTGCGATGCAGTGGTATATCGTAAGAACGCAAGACAAACTGTGGCAGGCTCGTGAGTGATCATATCGCTTGGCGCAAAGGAAAAGCCTGAAACCGATTACTTTGCATCGTCAACAACAGATGGGGGAGAATTCCACGAGAAGGCCATCGACCTAGAGGACGCATGATGATAATTGCATTTCAGCGTTGTGAAAGGATGTCGGAATTCGGAGATGCACGTGAGGGATCTCAATGCCATGATATACACCACGGTTGATAGGCAGAAGGCTTGAGATTGTCCAGCTTCATGATTCTACTGCATCGACAAAGTAAATTTGCGCTCCGCACTCCAAGACCGGATAGGTTCAACGATACGGAGATTTGCTGGTATATACTCGGCATGACCATCGCCTCGTTCTCACCTCTTCCACTCACACGTTGCAGGGCACAAGCAAGAGCCTGCAGGACTCTGTGATGACTGCCAGCGAAGTCAGACGCGACGATGGGATCGTAAATAACCTACAGGCTAGTCTTTAGCGTTACAACTTTGCTCTATACCGTTTCCAACCCCTCGCTGCCAGCGTCATCAAAGCGCCCCATAGCCCCACTGGGGGTATCAACCAATAAACCGTCTTCTTCCACCCCGCACTCCGGCTTTTGATCTTGTTGACCCATACGTCCAGCTGTTTCTCGAGTTCGGGTTTCGTACCGGAATTGTCAACTACGTAGTCGGCGTATTTCAACTTGCCAGAGAGAGGCATCTGGCTACGTATCCGTGCTTGGGCTTGGGAGGAGGTTAGGCGGGATTCGTTCGGGTTCGGGGAAGGGCGGTCTTGAAGACGGGCGAGTTGAAGGGATTCGTTGCTGGAAAAGGCGGTAGGCATTGTATTAGTGGAAATGAGGTGCAGTCTGGAAGACTAGAAGAGGTACTCACACATAGACTACGATAATCTCTCCGACCCATTTGTACAGTCCCGCCTCGATCAAAAGGGGTACGTCCAAGATGCACGCCCAGTGTCCCTGCATCCAGCATCGCATCACCTCCCAAGCCATGGCTTTCCGTACAGCGGGATGTACGATCCCGTTGAGAACTTTCCTCTCCTTCTCATCATTGAAAACGATATCGCTGATGGCCTTACGGTCGAGCTGTACGCCGTCGTCTTGAAGGACCCGTTTGCCAAAGTGTTTGATGATGGCGTGGTAGCCCGCGGTCCCTGGTTCGATCACCGCTCGAGCGAGGTAGTCGGCGTCGATAATAGGAAGACCATGATGGTTGTGCAGGTAGGATGATACCGTAGATTTGCCTGCGAATTGAACACAAGGTGTAAGGTGAGCTGCGAGATAGGGTATGTGTCGGTGTTCCGCTCACCAGAAGCAATACCGCCTGTCAGACCGATGACTGCGATACAGAGCGTCAGAGAGGTCGCAAGCAGCAAGGACCCTCGACTATCCACTCACCCAACATGTCGAGCGACTTCCAGTCAAATATGTTTGGAAATCAGCTATGAGAATGACAATATTAGGGGGTTTCAATATCGGCCTATCATCTATCATCTCGTCTTTTGGCTTCGCGCGATTGATTAGGTAAGCAAGATGTAAAACACGTGAAACCCCCGTGGAATTTTCATCATCTTTCAACTCATGTATCGCATCATCTTGCAAAATGCATAAAATACGGACATTCGACAATAAAATGTCCGTATTTCGATGGACTTCACGCAGTTTCTATGTCCGTAGAATGACTTAGCCAGAATCGAGACACTTGTACAACTGATCGACCTCCAAGTGCTTCGAACAAGGTCGTTGCTGTCTTTGCTATCGCTTCGTTACGTCTTCAGATCGTCGATAGAAATGGTTAGAACTTCCAGGAGGCAGCTAGTGCTTCGTCGGCTTCGTCAGAATGTCAGAAGGGTGCTGTTTGTATACATGATACAGCAATTCCTGGTCCTTCAGGCCGAACAACAAGCAAGGACATCAGTTCTTCCGCCAGAACGCTGCGTACACCACTTTAATCTACAGCACGCTCGGGACCGCTTGATGGTACTTACGTCCGCTGTTTCCACGAGCATCACCATGCTGCGAGACGCAGAGTCGATGCGGTACCTGGTCGAGTTCAGGCCGTCACGTTTCCTGAGGCCGAGGCGCCACGAATTGCTTAACTACTACGTTCATGAGATGAACGACAGATGGTTCAGACAAACGGTCAGTTTGATTTAGCTTCGAGTGCGCTGGGAGAATCGAATACGTAGTACCTGATATTCGATCGGTTGTAGATGCGAATGAATCGGCAGTCTTTCAACAGCCTCGTCGGTCGGCTCCTCGACGATCCTGTATTTCATAGCGGTTCTCTACATCAGCAAGCACCGGTTTCCTTCCAGTTAATGGTGACGCTCAAACGTCTCGGAATGCATGGCAATGGAGTCAGCGTGGGCCAGATGGCGTCCTACTTCAGTATAGCTGGTGAGCATGGCGGATCTCCCTTGAAGCTCGATGGTGCTGAGGGTTCGCCGCAACAACTCAGAGGGAACGGTTGAGTTGTGGACCTATAGGTGTCTGTTAGCGATCAACAGATGCTTAGGGGACTTGGTCAAATGGCCTACGAGCGCTGAACGAAGACGTATCGCTCACCGTATCGGATCCCGCTCGGCCTTCCCGGACTGCGTAGGGTTCATGGACGGGACATCGATACCCCTCGAGTACAAGCCCGGTCGGCCGGACTTCCGGGACTTTTGGTATGTCAGCTCTATGTCGTATCTTCTCGATCCTTCCATCTGACTGACCCCGTCTTGTTCCGTTAATTCGCCTTGAGACAGGAATTACAAGGGGTTCTACTCCCTACAGCTTCTCGCCGTGTGCGATGATCGACGTCGGTTCCTATACACCCTTCTTGGGCTGCCGGGAGGAGCGCATGATAGCAGGATGTACGGGTTTTCGTCTATATCAGCAAACCCAGCCAACTTCTTCAGTACCGGCCAGTGGCTAATGGCTGACTCAGCCTTCCCACAATCTGACTACGTGGTCTCGCCGTATAAGCGTCGACGTAGGGCCGACCTCGCTGCCGACAACCAGCGTTTCAACCGGAAATTATCGAGTCAGCGTGTAGCAATCGAGCACGCGTTCGGCCTGCTAAAGATGCGCTTCATGTCGCTAAGGGGGCTGAGGAATGAGATCACTTCTCAGCTCGACCTAGAGCGATCCCTGAACTGGATACGAACAGCATGCCTGCTGCATAACTTCCTCCTCGACTCGGACGACGACTTCTTCTCGGGGTACGACATGCGTGAACTGAACGAGCGGTTTGAGGAGGAGGCCCGAATCGTTCAGGATGAGCGCGATGTCTTCGTCGAGGAGGAGACAGTCGAAGCGCAGGCTGCCGGAGAAGTGAATCCCGACATCAAACGGCGGTTTATCAAGCAGTTCGCTGAATCCCGAAATTACGAGCCAGCATACGCTTCTCTTAGTGATGACGACGAGGCATAAATCGATAGCTTGACATGTTTGACGCCCGACTTGTCGGCAGCGCTTGTAAAGTATACAGACCAATATCAGCACAATAAGTAATGACCACGACCCGAGAAGCCTTGACCTATTAATCCTCGGGCATACCAGCGATCCTCTTAGCTTCCTTGGGTTCAACTCCCGCCTCCCTCAACCTCGCGAACATTTCGATCTGCCTCATCTTCTTCGTATGCTCCCTGGCAAGCTCCTCATCATCACCCTTCTTGCGGTCCATCTCTCTCCTCAGCTCTCGATCCCTCTTCTCCTCCTCCCACTTCTGTTCATCGAGACGCATAGCTCTCTCCCTGACTTGCGCCTCTTGCTTCGCAGACTCCAACAACGCCTCCTTGTACGCCTTGTCTACCTCCGCTCCCGCTGCCTGATTCCTGCTAGTCTCTGCAATCGCCTCCGCGATCTTCGCCATCGCATCATCTCCAGCATCCGTCATATCCTTGCCCTTGCGTTTTCCTTTGCCTCGAGATCCTGGAGTGTCAGGGATAGTTCGGCTGGCGACGGTGTTGGACGAGCTGGAGGACTCCAAGGTGCGGTTGACGGGGGCTAGGATGGAGACGCGGGGGGAGATCGCTCTCCCGCCAAGATCGTAATCGTCGTTGTCCATCATTTCTCTGTACTCGGGATCGTTCTCGTCGTGTTCAACGGAAGTGAAGGCGTTGGCAATATCTTCGAAGCGGCGGGGGGTGGGGGTATGAGGTGGCAACGAGGAACTCGGAGCTCGAGCCGGAGTACCGGCTTGCGACTCATCAAGTTCTCGGACCGGGGTATCTTGTTGTTGGCGACCGTCGACACCGAGTTGATCCTCGAGAGAACGAGTGTCGCTCTTGTGGGAGTCGAGGATCAGGGAAGGTCGAGATCCGACTCGAGAACCGAAGACAGGCAGGAGGGTCTCGTAATGGGGGTTTTTCGTGCGGAATTTAGCGGCGAATCCAGCGTTCTCTTCGCCTTCGAGGCTACCGTTTCCTGTCTTGTAAAGATCTTGATGTGCCCGTGTCCAGCTCGAGTGAATACGGGCGATCTGAAGGCCAAAGGATGGGTAAGTTGACCTCGCCAGGATACGCGATCGTGTGAGCAAATTCACCTTCTGGATCAACGGCTTGGTATCCGTCCTGTTATGCTCGATACCAGCATCGAGCATACCTTTGTATATCCCTCTCGCCACCTCGTTCCTCCCTGCCTCAGACTTTCCCTTGTAGACCTCCCAGTTCTGTCCGTCTGCGAGCCACGAGACGATGTAGTCCTCGGCAGTCGTTCCGTCCGGGGCTTTCAGAGCGTCATATCTCTCGTATTTGGTCTTTTGGGTATCGGTGAGTTGAGGATCGATGGGAATATGTTTGGGACGTTTGTTTGCTGGGGTAGATGGGGTGGTAGCTGACGCCTTCCTCTTGTTTGCAGGAGTAGGTCGTAAAGGAAGGTTGGGCGGGGGAGGCATCAGGGTCTGAGATCGGGTACGGCCTAAGGCTCGATTGGAAGGGCCGGCTTCGCTGGTGTAACTGGTGGTAGTGCTATTGACAGAAGATTCCCTGTAGGACTCAGATCCAGAGTAACCAGAGTCCGAAGGAGTCGAAGTCGTCGAACTCGTCGAGGTCGCCCGGGTGCTTGCCTGTGTGAGGCGAAATGGCGGGAAGTTCATCTTTTTGTGCTCCGGAAGAGGCATATTTGGACCCCCTCATCAAACACGAATATCTCAACAACCACTCACTCGAGTCATGATAAATAGATGATTCTGGTATCTAAAGCGTCCTGAGCATCTTTTCGTGGTAACTTGAAGAGTTGGAGAGGTCAGTGTCAGGTGTAGACGAGATTGTAAAACGAGGTTGTTTAGATGATTGGGGTCTAGAGGCCGTTCATCTTCGAGGTCATCTTATCATCTTTCGCGTGCGGGGACCCCGCATTTTGGAGCCTGACATTTAAAATAGAAAAGTTGACGGAAAAGATGATAGGCCGATATTGAAACCCCCTATTAATATGTCAGCTCATAGCTTGGTGTTAGCTAGTATCGAGAATGGTAAAGCGACCAAGTACGTACGGAGTAGTCCGGGGATCGGGAGGTGGAGGTCGCTGGTTGATCGACGTCGACCCCCTCTCTCAAAGATTATGAACCTTTAGATCTACTACTACTCTATGTTCCTGCAATTCCTAGCTACTAGCTGTCCGTTATCTACCTTATAAGAAACCGAAGTGCTCTTGAAGTGCTCTGCATCAATCTTGCGGGTATAGACTCGACCTCTTCCGGACTTCGAGGACACCTATCACAGGGACATTCATTCTCGCCGAGGACAATTGTGTATCTAGCCAGAAAGAAGATCTAAAGCTCGACGTTATGATGGGCAAGACAGGCAGTATCTGAGACCTAGGAGTACCTCAACGTCCCTGAAGGAGAAATGATGACGACTATGGGAAGAATGTTCCCGGTCCTGCTCGCAACCTGGGTCTGCTGCTTTCAGGTTGCGGCAGCGCAGATCTTGGGAGACTCGGATTCGAGCCAGTTGAATGTCGTATGTCCATCGTCTCATCGATAAACTACAGCATGACAATCTGATATCCTGTTTTAATCCATGACTGTAGCTCTTCTTGGTGGAAGCTATCGCCATCTTCTTCGTGGCCATTGCGGTAGGTACCATAGTCCCATCCAGGTCGTGAACACCGTGATTGCCATACTGATACCTCGTATATGTGATTCCCAGATCTTCTTCTTCTGGAACCGATTGCTGGGGATCGTAGTAGGGTTTGCTATCAGGCTGTTCATGTGGAAGAGCTCAAAGGTTCACGTTAGCATCGGTAAGCCCGACCGATATAATCGCAGATCCGCAAGTTAAACGCTAAAGCGAAATCTTACTACTTGTTGCTCAACCTGTACGATCAGTCTCGCTCCAGATCTCACCGCTTGCTGGCAGGATCTTGTTCAAGGATGTCCGATATCATTCGACTAACATGTCGGCTAGGATCCTTCAGGGGCACATTACATGGCGGTTTTGGAAGTGGTATGTCCGCAAAGAAGGCACATCAGGTGAGTCGAGCTATACTATACGAAATCATATCTCGTTAAGCCACTGTGAAACTAATCTTACGGTGAACCTTGGTCCCTAATGCGCAATCGTAGATCGCCTTTCATCCCGGTGCTTGGTACACTTGGAGGGTCTCGAATGGTTCTTATACAACCGGTCCCCCGCCTTTGACGCCATCGTGGACAGGATGAAAGCTGCCAATGAGGGAAAGACGGCACAATCGCAGGAAACGAAGCACAAGGACGCGTCTTCTTCTTCTTCGAGTGATGATGTTCCTACGGGAACACGGTCTGAAGGTGGTGAGGACGATCCGATCGAGAAGGGCAACGGGGCCGAGCAACTTCCGCCAGGTCCGTCTAAGCCCGTCTCATAATGCGTTGCCCTGTGGTTTCGAGCTGATAAGAAAATCTTGCACTTCGCACGACTAGAGCGCTTGGCTAGGCCACTCTCGCCTCCGATACCCAACGTCGGTATCCTTCGAGGAAGACTCAGCAGATGGACGACCAAGAAGCACCAGGAACCATGGCAATGGCAACGTGATTTGTTGCCGGTCGACATCGAGATCGCTACAGGGGCCGTCGTGCTCGGGAACGATGCTACGCCGATCGTCACCATCGCCGAATTCAAGAAGGGACATGGATCTTTGGAGACGACCGAGGTGAATTGCCGTCTTTCTGTTTTGATTGGTCAGAGTGATGCCGGCTTACAAGATGATGATGATATGGCAGAGTCGCAGCATCTTGGATGTCTTTAAGAGTGTAGCGTCTTTCAGCTTCACTGGCGTCAAGGTCATCGTGAGGACCAACCCAGATTATACCGGTGCCCTGCTTGATCATGGTCGACGAGCTTACGAGGAATTGACCAAGAACAAGTAAGTGACATGACTCAAAGCTCGAACTATGCGGGAACGAGTCGATACTGATCTGGTCCATCAACCAGACCGTCGATCTTGGAACAGATGCAGCATACTTTCTTGCGTCGAGCGGACTTTATGCACCTGGCTGAAGAGTTCGAGTGGCTTTCGAACCAGTTCTTTGCGAAACCTCCGACATATGCGTCCGCTTACTATGGCACGGACAAGCAATGGAAAGGTTTAGCACGGTATAGAAACGATATCGAGGCAGATATCGGACCTTCCGACCCGCAGTTGGAATATGCCAAAGTGACGACTGTTTTGGAGGCACGCAAAGTCGATCTGGTGTACTACTCGGATGTTGCAGGTAAGGTTTGTTGTGGACGTTCTTATTGCGATACATACTCAGCATTGCTTCACCTCAATGCACAGGTATCGTTCCTAATCCGGACGATCATACCGATCCTACATCTCGCGCCAGCAAAGCCGCCAATCCTCAAGTCTACGACGTCGGAAATGGTGACCTTCCCCCGGAGTGGGGTCTTGAATTTGTGGTGCACGAGATGAGGATGGTGTACGGTCCTTGGCACGATAGGCAACGGTGAATATGTTCGACGCCGATGGGGAAACGTGATCTTGGCTGATCAATCGATATGCGCAAAGTGACGCTTTCACCAAGGCCTTTACCCCTGCCATCTTTTATCAATCCACAAAGACCGATCGTTTGAAACCGGGAGATTATCGAATGCATACGGAGATGAGAGTGCACATCGAACTCGTCGGGCATACCACGATAAGGGTTCCGACTCGCGAAAGCAGCAAGGTAAGTAAACCGGATATTCAATATGATTGGTACTGCAAAGCTGAGTAGGAATGGACGTGATAATGATAGGACTGGGATTATGACAAGCACGGAAGTAAACCTAGAAACCAGCAGCGTAAATACGGTTGGATGGATATCGACGTGGGTCCGAAATCGACGATTCGATACGTCATGCCTTTGGTGGCGTCTCAGGCAGGCTTCGATGCCCTGATGGAGATGGAATTTCATGGCATGAGCGCGTCCTCCAGCATCAACTATGCCAACTTTATGCGCACCAAAGTCGTCAAGGTGAGTCTCATCGGTGCGCGCAGCGCATCATGAACACTACGGGCTAAGCCGAGGTCGTTCTGCTTGTCAAGGTCCGGGCATCGATGCCAACCCCTTTGGAATGGAACGCTCGGCGGGATTGGACGTTTGATATCGATCTTCAGGACGCCAGAATATCTCTTCTCCGCGATCACATCACTTTAATAACGGATCTCGCAAAAGATTGGAGCTCTGGTGCCACTGGCGATTTTCATCACTTCATCCCCTGCGATTACCAATTCCAGATCACTCTAACCGATTATATTCTGAAGCTGTACGTGAACGACTTCAACATTGTGGATTCGCCTAACAAGAGCGAGGCCAATTGTGAGCGACATGTCTGGCAAGTGTGGAATCCTTCGACATTGCTGACTTGTCCCCTGCCACAGGTCTACTGGAGGTTCGAGGAGCTCGGACCTATGCCGAAGTCGAAGTACCGCTGATCAGGTTTCGGCCCGAGTCATCAACCATACCGTTCAGTGTGCAAGGCTCGGACCTCGCTCTCCTGATGCATATGCCGGAATGGCACACGCACAGCACCTTTGGCAATCAGAACACAGCGCAATTTGCAAAAGTCGGTAAAATACGACTGAGAGGGTCTTACCTGTATTATGCGGAACCCACGCCCGAACATGTGGAATGTATTACGCTGTTCATCTATGTGAGCATGACTCTTGGTACGACGCATCGAGCCAAATGCTTATTACCAGATTCACAGCTCGACGACGTCGCCTTCAGAATTATTGGATGGGTAATCCGACGCCTTATGCTCATCAAGGATAACTATGCTGGATCCTTCATGAATTTTCAGACAACGCAAGATTTCCATAACGAGTTCGCCAAGTCGCCAAGGAGCTGGGGAGACAAGACTGTCGAACGTTATCGGCCCGGCAAGGTGACAGAGCGCTCGTGAACCTAGGCTCAAATATCCGCTCAGCTTTAGCTGACGCAACCTCGATCTTTATCCCAGTCTGACATATTCGAGGTCAACCTTGAGCTCGAAATTACGAACGGTACCGCATTGTTGCCACGAGAACTATATGACTGCGTCGAAGCGACGGTATTACCGGTACCGAAACTAGAGGTCCATCTGCGTTCCCACGAGGCGTTCATGGGTGAGTCTCCCGCGATGATTACAGAGGACTTTGTGCTCAATCGCATTCAAACAGAACTCGTCGTCAATGCCCGGCCAACAACAATCTTCCATAGTTCAGACTCGACGGTCTGTTTCGCCGAACATGGAACTGCAGCTCCCAAAAATGGAAAATCACTATATCTTGGAGGTAGGTCACATTCAACGATTGCCATCGCCTGTCAAATCTAACATGATCTTTTCTGCCACGCAACAGGCCTGTCTATCCGCGCGGATCGCTTGTTCGGACTGCCTCCCAAAACACCTACATATCTATGCCTGTGGGATTTCTTCATCCCGCAGATAGGTGGTCACTGCGATGCTACCTTGATCGAGTGCATACAGACTGGCGTATCCAACTTCAATCTCGGCTTGGGCGATCATGCTAATGCGCCGTTAGAGTTGTACAATCCACCTTTGGATCGAGATGGTGCGTTTCGGCAAGTGCACAGTCCTAGTCCAGAGGCGGTACTGACGGTTCTCCTCGTATTCGTCTCTAGTCACAATCTTCAAGGTCGTGCTTCCAAGGGTAGATGTCACCGCATGGGCCTCGACCAATGCGATCAACTTGCGCCTCAGAAACCTGGCGTATGACACGAATGACAGAGCGACACTCCAGTTTTCTTCTATGCAGAGCTTGACCATCGAGGAGTTGGAATTGTCCCTCTATCAACAGCAGGCGAACTCGATGGACAAGTCAAAGTATTTTCGACTGGCTTCAGCAAGCTTCGGTCTCAATCTCGACACTTTCAAAGCTCCACGTGGCTGGCAGGAACAAGCTGTCTCACAGCAATCTTTCATGCGCCAGCAAGATGCTGTTACGCGGCGAACGGTGCCGATGTATAGCACGACATCGCCCGATGATGGATCCTACCATGTGGGGCCGCTATTCCTACCTCGGCCTTTTCCGTCTGAGGAGATCGATTCTTCGTCTTCGGAAAGTAGTTGGGAGAGCGAGATATCCATGACCTCTAGCACCGATCCATCCCTGGTGGACGATACTACAGAGTGAGTTTAGGGTTCCTCTTGGTCTTCTCGTGTGTTTTTAAGTCCTGTGTCCCGACAGCGATGATTCGGAAAGCGCGTTCCCTATCAAACCGTTCACGAGATCGACGCTCGCCGCAGCATCTCAAGGCTTCTCCTCGGAGGATTCAGTATCGTCACATCGGAATCGTAGAACACGGCTGCCGATCGGTCTCGCGCCTAGATCTTCAGGTAAGCCATCGAGCCTAACTCGTGAGCTCTGAATATCCTTACACGATTGGGTGTGATTTCGTGTCTCAGAGTACGATCGTCGCCTAGCCAAGGTGGTGGAAATCTGTACCTTAAACGAAGAGATAGGAGAACGAGCTTTTGCAACGGTCAACAAGCCTTCTAGCGGGTCCCTTGGGAGGACCCCTGTCAAGAATCATCCAGCGTCGATGCCCGAAGTGGACGAGAGCATGTCGACGCTGTCCGAGCTTGCCTCTCAAGTCCGATCATACTCCACGACCAACATCATGTTTCCCAAGGCAGTCAAGGTTTTTATCACCCCTGAAGCCGTCAAGGTTCTATCAACATTCAAAGACGCCTTCCGCCCTGGGGATTCTGTACAAAATGTCAACGATTACGAACGCTGGCTGGACAGGGCCATTGTGGACCGTTGGTCCTGGCTCAAGTCACGTAACGCCCCTCTCACGAACAGTTCATCCGTCCTAACGCTATCAACACCCAACATGATCATATCGAGCGCAAGCGCGAGCGAAACCCATACGCCTCTATTGGGTGTCAATACGGGAGAAGGGTCAGATTTCGACGTGGTAGCGACCGAAATTCGGATAATCGAGCCTTCCTTTGCGAAGTCCACCATTAGAGACACGTTGGACGGTATGACGGTCGATGTCGCCACAACGACCAAGATAGCTTGGACGGACCTGTCGCTGAACATGGACGTCCAAGACTCGACATCTCATAGTCCATCGAAGAATATTGCGATGGAAAAGGGCGATCTTTTAGCTCTTGTTTGTGGGACCACCCGACTGAACCTACTGGACTCACAACGAGGCAATACTACGGCAGCCGACTGCGACAACGTCAATCTCGTCATTGCAACCAATGTGACACCTGCTGTTCTTTCGCTCGCTCGTCGTTGGCAGTCCGCAACCCAAAAGCTGTCCACCCCGAATCAGGACCATAGCATCGACCGAGCCGATCATCTGGATTACACCTGGCGTATTATTCAAGCTGCCGAGCAGCAAGGTATAACCACAGAACCGTCATTCCTGGGCCAAACTGGACCTTTGCTGAGACCTCCTGATACGCTGAATATCGGTGTTGTCCCGCCGATATCGATCTTGAGCCTACGAGAGGACATCGGTTGGCGTATTCTCAGTCAATTGCGATATTATGCGCGACGGCTGGCAACTAACGGAACCTTGGAAACGTCACAAGAGGCCGAACCGCCTCCAGCAACGCCTGAAGAGTTACAATCCGACATCTATGGGCACTTCGCCGAATGGAGGGAATGGGATGTCCCTCAATATGATTGGATCGATCTTCACTGCCTGCAAACTCCCCGTCAAGTCACACAATCAAAACTCTCCAGGCCGGATATCGCGTTCGACTCTTACACTATAAACGATCGGAAAATCAACGTGTCTCTCCGAAAGCTTCAGGCATCCCTCTTTGACGTGACTGCTCTCGAAGGCCAGCAATTGGGAATCATGAGCTCAATTGGCCTGACCTGCTCTGTTTGGAACGCTCAAACGACCGATCGAGCCGTACGCGTGCAGACCGTCAATTTCGCGGCCACCACATTAGATCTCGGCGTCCATGTGGATCTCGTTCAGTACCTACTGCCAGTATACAGCTCATACGAGAGGGTCTTCGATCAGGTTACACCTCTTGCCAAGACACCTGCGAAGGGCCCATCCGAGGCGGATCCTGATGTGCGTCGGTGCTTAATCCTTGGCATAGGCAAGATGGGTCTTTCAGTCAACGCAGAGCCGCTTCAGTTCGCTTTCGATATCTGGGACACTCACGTAGTCTACAGTATGTGCAGCAATTCTGAAGGAGCAGGGGTATCCGACCGAAAATCTGCAACAAGGGATGCCCTGAACCTAATCGTGCAGAGGTCAAGGATTTCCGTACTGCATATGGATGGCTCTGACCGGAATCAAGTTTCCAGCTTGCCCCGTATTTTCTCGCTCACACTGGAAGGCGGACAGGCTGCTTTCTTCCCAAAACTCACCAAGCCAGGAAACCGGGCGGAACCGAAGCCCTCTGCCTCCGTTCTCGTCCAATCTGTCAGTTTGGAGACAGCTTACGATCCTCGCAATACTCAAGTCATAATCGAGACTTGGAAGGCTAGACGCTTTTCGTAAGTAGATAATCGCTTCGATCGATCGTTGGCTTATGATCGACTGATCTCGACGGTTTAAAGTGAACTCGATCGTGTCGTCCGAAAGATTCTAAAGAAATTCGCGCCGAACGTTGACGCTCGTCCGCCGAGATCCAGCAAAGACCCGGATGCTCCGACTCCCGGGGAGATGGTGGTCAGCATCTCCTTGCTGAAAGCGCGACTACAGGCTTCCGATACCGTCATAGCATTCTGGATTTGCGAACACTCCACCATACAGGTCTCTCGAAATATCCAGGTTTTACGAGCCGATTCCGCGCAAAAGATCGACGGTGCATTACACCTTGGATCTCAGTCAATAGGCTTTTGCAAGACTTCGGAAATGGATGAATCTACTCTCAAATCGAATATGCCGGATGTCATGATGAGGCTGCCGGCTATTAAGGCGCGCGGGGGACTTGTCATGACATCGAGCGATGTGTCGGTGAAAGGCAGCATCGCCATCGAACGCTTCATTGGCACATTCAAGCCTTCCGTGCTGGAGAAGCTTTTGTCGGTATTCAAGGCTGCGGAACAGGATATCCAGACACTCGTTTCGATTGGCCAGTCATTGCAAGATGTCCCGAAGAGAACTTCATCTCCGTCAGACGGCATCCAGACTCGATCTCGCGCTATCCGCTACGACATCGGCGTACGAAGTCAAGGCTTATGCGTGTCTCTCCAAGCGACACAAGTCTTGTCGACTCTGACAATCCAGACTGGAGCCATCAGTGGAGATCTGGCCAGTGATGGCGCATCGTCGGATCCGATGTGGAACGCGAACGTGACTTCCCTCTTGCTATCGCTAGGTCATCAGTCCACCCGAGGCGCACCTCGCTCCGACGTCTCAGCAACCCAATCTGCGTCGATGCAATTCAGCTTGCAAATCTCGCAAAACCCGGAAGAGCAAGTCCGCGACGAGTCTGGCACCGTAGCCGTCACACCGACCACCGTAGATGTCCTCCTAGCTAATGTTCATGCGACATTGCAAGTCTCCGCATTGAGCGAGATCTACGATCTCTTGGGCAGTTGGTCGACGGATCTTGGGGCCGTTAGAGCCCGCCGCAAAGAAGAATGGGAGAAGGTCATGAACAAGACGGAACAGTTGATGAAGACCGATCACACGCTCGATTCGCCTGAATTGGCAGAGGATTGGTTCATGCTCAAGCGTGTCATCAACGTCCGCCTCACAGGACTCGCCCTTGCGGTGCCGCTGACTCTGAACGCAATCCTTGATCCGCCAGCTGTCAGGTCCGCAGCCTTGCTGTTCACAGTTGCGGCTGTGGAAGTCTCAAATCAGAAGGGCGACTCTGGTAAAGTGGAAGTCATCGACGTGCTTTTACAGTTTGTAGACAGGCAAGTTCGACTCTAGTCTAGTCTAAATATCCTCATTGCCTCAGCCTTACCGTCGCTTTCCCGCAGCTTCGATACGACCGACGCGGCACAGTACGACGGCTTGCATCACTCGACTCGGAACCGAATGCACTTGCCCCATACCCTGATGGAAGTGCGAATGGAAAAGGACGAGGGCAGACTGGTGCTTGCAAACAGCACTTTCAAAGGTTTCGAGCTGCGCTTGGATTCGAACATCGTCAAGCATGCGTTCATGCTGCAGAGCGTTTACGAAACAGGAAAGCTGCAGATCGAGCAGCTCGCTCAAGAGTATCCCTTGGAAGGTGCGGTACCGGGACAGCCTCGTGTTCACGAAGAAGGACATCAACGGAAGCAAGGACGTTGGCCCTTCGACCTGCAATTCGCGTTCAACTTTTACAGCGGCTCTGTCATCCTGTATCAGACGAGCGAACCACACGACGCGAACCCTGTACGCGATCGGAGGCGGGGCAGTCAAGCGGCGACTGCAGACAACATCAAACTACCAGGAATATCCCTCTGGTTGCGCGCAGAGGATCTCCGTCGCAAATCGGTCGCCCCTGCTGGACACAGCAAAATGGTGCAAATATTTATCGTCAGTGATGAAGACATTCTGCTTTGATAGTTAGAGCGGGACTGACTGACAAATCGTCTTCCGACGCAGGTCGTTCACGCTAGCGAGAATCTGCTCAAGCCCACTATCTTGCGCTTCATCGACGAGACACGCAAGGAAGCCTCGATCCAACAATTCCAGCGTCGACAACCTGCTGCGCCTCTGCGCGCGATTCCATCTGAACAAGCTCGTCAAGCTACTTCAAAGACCGATGCGAACGCGACAGCAGATGTTCCATCCACTTTCGAAGACCGACTACCCGAGATTCGTTGGGAATTCGCTCTGCGTATCGATCAATCCCGAATGAGGTTGACTTGCATGCCTGATTCCCCTGTCCTGGCGGGTCTCGCTTGGCAGAGCGGTGGTATTACCGCGCAATACTGCCCATCTCGCAGGCGACTTGTTGGAACTATCGCGGTGAGCGGTGTGTCATTCGATATACGTCACGAGTGGCTCAAGGACCAGGAGTGCGTGGCCGGCCGAGTTACCAATATGACCGGATCAATGACCTGGGAAAAGGAGACAGCGACCAGACCAGCAACCCTTAGCGTGGTCATAGAGACCGAGATGTCGGCAGAGATGAAGTTGGCGCGGATTCAGGATTTGCTCTGCTTCAAAGCAGTCTGGGTCGACAGTCTCGCACCCGTGCCGCCGAGTATCGACGCCAAGACGGAGTCTGAGCGTATCAGGCCTATTCCCACCATTTGTGCGCCGCCACTGATCGAGCCTACCTCGGCGAGACACCTGATACTGTTCAGGATTCGCCGTATCGAGCTCAAGGCCGACATTAATGTCAGTCAGATATGCTTCGCGGTGGAACCGCTTGCTATACGAATGACCAAGACCGCAAAAGAGGAGCGTATTGGCGGTGAGATCGGGCGCCTGATTATCACCGCCAATGGTATCATCACCGGGAGCGTCCATGGCGATCGTATCGTTCTCGCGGCCAAGCGATATCCTCGCGGTCTCATCGCACAAAAGGCTGCTCTGCTACACCTCAGCATCGAGACTGGCTTGCTGCAAGCCGAAATACAGCACGAAAGTCAGCCTTTTGGTTACCTACAGTGAGTTCCTTGCACATCTATCTCTGGCTCTTATGTGACTCATCTTTGCTCGTGACAGGATCGCACCGACAACCATGTCACTGCATGACGACTGGTCTGATATGGACGATCGGGGCATCACTCCGGATGCTAGTCTCAACCTCTCCTTCAAAGTTGACGTAGGCGATATCGATGGCTTTGCAGCGATCTTGGCCTTGCCCGCCGTCTTCGAATCTTTCGAAAGGGTCGAGAGCACTTGGCAGCATCAAGTCGACAATGCAAAATCCGAATCTTTGGCCTACCGCGACTATTTGGAAGCCAAGCCTGACGATGCATTTGCGGCGGTGGCGGCAACAATGCAAAAGTCGGCCCAGAGCAAACGCACAGACAATGACTGCCGCGTCAACATGAAGATCGTTCGAACCATGACCTTGCGCGCCAACAGGACCCGCATCGGGATCTACATGTCATCGCTGTCAGAAACCGAGCTCTATCGACTGAGATTTGACAGTCTCTCGACGACCGTTCAGAGGGAATCTGGCTTCAATGGCGATCCGTTGCGTACGCTCAAGGCCGTCCTCGAAGGTATAAAGCTGTACCGCCATGTCGTGAAGCCTCCCTTATACCAACAGGGCAAGGACCCTCTGCCGCTGTCGGAGTGGCATCGCAAGGTCGATAAATCACCGAAACCGATGAAAGTCATCACGTTGCCGACGACTGTAAGATGCTCGAGTTGATCGATCCCAAGAGCGCCCGTAGCTAACGCGAACTGGCACCTTGACAGACCATCACGATGGAGTCCGTAGAAGACATCGTCCGCAAAACACTGCAACACGACTTTGCGCTCGACTATGGAGACGCCCGCTTGGAGGTAGACTTTCAACTCGGGGTGTACAAGGAGATTTGGGATATTTTCGAAACGTTCAAACAGCTCTGGGCTAGGAGAAGAGCTTTACACCCGGAAGAGGATAAACCTGTTGCTGATGACAATGCAGATACATGCGGCTTGGTCATGGTGCCTGGCAATGTCAAGGCTAGGACCCCTCAGATGAGTATCCTAGGTGACACGGCTCAAGACCTTCTCGGACGATACGCCGACAAGTATCTTGCCGAAAGTCCTCACGTCACGCACCATATCATCATCCAGTTCTTGGAACCTGGGATGAATCTGTGAGTACAGACGGATTCTCATCACGACCGGACGAAACCTGACCGTACGCAATCACTTTCCTAGCCTTTTGAAAATTTACGACAATCTGCTTGATCTGAAGCAATAATGAACGGTCGCGGCACCCTCCTCCGACCTTACCTGACGACGTGACGATAAAAGACCCACGACGACGTGTGAATCAACAATGTATAGACGGCGTTCAACAGTTGTATCTGAGATATGTTTTGTGACCATTTCTTGCGCACTATCACTATTTGAGTTTACAATCACGCCGTCTGAACTACATATTTGGAAATCGTCGAATGACACAATGTTTATTGAATACAAGGTAAGCGCGAACCGAGAACGCCTAGACTAGCACACTCTCTCCCATATCCTTCTTGATGTCCTCCACACGCGCCTGAACGCCGACGAAATACTCGAGCGCCCGACCCGCGTGCTTTTCATCCTCTTCGCTCTGCTTGACGATATTGTTCTTCTCCTCGAGGGCCGCTCGGAATCGTTCTCTTAGATCCCACGAAGCCAGTCTGACCACCTTTCTAGCCTCGCGCTGCATCCTGGCCGATTGCAAGTCGATGTACGTGGCAGAGCCAGCGTCGCCGACCAGCATCGCTGCTTCGCCAGATTCGAGCATGGCCTGGATGTGGCGACCGACGTTGCGAGGGATGGCGGTCGGCAAGTCTTGAACGACGTACCAGGCGAGACCGAGCACGACGGCACCGGCGACCGGTGCTGCCCAACGTCTGGCAGCTTGGTCCCCGAGGATCTCGCTGACGGAGACGACCGATTCGAGCGCATGACGCAGTCCCAAAGCCTTGCCACCAAAGATCCCGACGGCACCGGCTGCGATCGAGGCGACACCGAGGATGGTGATCTCCCCGTTTGTCCCATCGTCCGACGCCTTGCCACCGGTCAAGGTCGATTTTGCGGCAAGTACGTAGTGATTCAAGTCGAACACGTCGGCCAGCGAGACGGTAGCGAGTTCCGACCGGCCGACGAGATTGAGACCGACAGCGTTGATCTGCGACGCGCTCCTCCGTGGCATCGGCCTGCTCGCGTTTGAAGCACCCGCCGCGGTCCCGGCAAACATGGCCAGAGGGTTGAAGACGCGTTTAGATCGCTCGACGTCGCTCGGCAGATGACGATCGCCGAGCTCGACGACCGTGGAGATACTGTTTGAAGTGATCTTCCGGGTCTCGTCTTCGAGCTGCATCACCGCCGCCTCGACGCTCTTCAGAAGAGCTTTCCTGACTTCGATGGCGTAGTCCCATACGCCGAGGAAGCCAGGGTAAGGAGGCAAGGAAACGTGGCTTCCCACAGCGGTCTGACCACGTCCGACCGCCGCCAAAGCTTGGGTCAGGTTGTTCTTGACCACCCTAGCGACCTGTCCACTGACAGCTTCTTCTTCCTCCCCGAGAGCCTCTTCTAGGCCGACACTACCCTTGAGCATGGCTTCGAGCCCAGGTCTGACCCTCTCCATCTCCAACCTCGCCTTGTCCCTAGCCTCTTCGGCGACGATCGAGTTGGCGCTCGCCAAGAGCCCTACATCAGCCAAAAGGTGGCACAGGTAATTCTCGGCCGGCCCGAGCTTGCTCTTGGCCCGGTTGATGAGGACGAAACTCCTCAAGCTGGATTCGAGCTTGCGGAAAGCGGCGTCCAGCTCGGTAGCCTTTTCGTCCAGAGACTCGCCTTGCACCCCTTCGGAACAGCGGAGAGCGACCTGGGCGCTATCGACGAAATGGACGAGTTCGTCCCTCTCTTCCCAGGTCTTTGGGCTGAGCTGACGGATCTGTTCGAGCACGACGCGTTTACACTTTTCTTTATCCCTCACCTCGTCGAACCGGTTGACGACGATGAACATCCTCGCCTTTTCCTGCCCCGCACTGAGGATGAACTCTTTGGCGCTGAGCGTAAAGTGGTTGAATGCGGAGACGACAAAGATGATGACGTCGATCGTCGGGTTCCGAGTAAAGTTGGACGTGGTGGCGATGACGTCCCTGTTCAAGCCGGGCGCGTCGATCAGGCTGATATCCAGGATCCCGTTGTGCAAGATCGAAGGGTTCGCCAGGTTCTGATCGGGAGCGCGGAGGTAGATCTTGAGAGGGGGAGCTTCGGCTTCTTGTTCCGCCACGAGGTCGATCAGGTCTTGCAGCTTCCTCTCTTCGTACGTCAGTTCGTCTTCGGGGTCGTAATCCGCTTCCTTGCCCTTGACGATATGCACGCGTTCCCTCCCGCCACCACCGGGACCACCTCGACCGTCGCCACCGAGGAACTGATCCCCAAAGACCTCGACGAACCTGCCCGTCAAGGGTTGTTGATCCACCGGCAAGACCCCCGTCGGCCAACCTTCCTCATCGACCCCTCCACGCCTCAAGAGGGCGTTGACAAAAGTAGACTTCCCCGCGTTCAGATCGCCGGTGACGAGCACCCGAGAGTTGGTAGACATGACCCTAGCTTCGAGGTTCTTCAAGTGAGACAGGGAAGATTCTAAACGGGAGGAGAGTAATCGGGAGATGGAGCTCCGTTCGAGGGAAGACATTAAAGAGCCAGCTCGGTTCATCGTCATCGTGGATGTCGCGGTCTGCCCGTGACCAAGGGAGAGGTCTAGACGGAGGATGGAGAAATCGGTCATCTCCATCTCGTCCGGCAAAGACGTCCCCGTCGTGGCTGTTGTGGCCGATGTGGTGGTGGGGTTGTCCAGGACATTCGGAGCGAAAGTCACGCTCCTCTTCAACGATTTCCTCTGTACCACCGGATTAACCACCTTGTTCGTCCCCGATCCCGATCCTGATCCCGACCCCGACCCTGATGCTGCTTCACGAGACCCGTTCGACCCGGCCGATCGCTCGCGATCATGACCGGCTTCCACCTCGCTCAACGTAGCCGCGGATGTAGGCGAAGACAAAGTGACCTCCCTCGTACTGACAGGATCATCAGCGAAGGACATGGTCAACGTCCGATCACGCCTCGGTCTCCGTATCCCTTGTGCTATCCCTTGTGCTGTCCCCTGTGCTGTTCCCGTCCCTGTGCCCGGTGCTATAATCGATCCCGGGATGGACTCGGGCTCTTCATGCTCGTGGACGGCGAAAGAGGGATAACGGACCGCCCAGTCTTTCTCGTTAAAGTTTCGGAGGTCTGCTAGGAGGTAGGAAGAGGAGAGGATTGCTTTGTAGAGGCTGTTGTCATCGTATGGTATGTTAAATGTCGTCCGAGTGGGTTGTGTGGATGGGTGAGCATTAGGTGAGATTTAGAAGTTGTCAGAGAGGAAAAGTAGGTATAAGTGTTTTAAAAAAAAGAGACTCACCGATCCCGCTTCTCCTCGTACTCCCGGATCACATCCTCATTATCACCCGACACCCCTCTCCCCGTGTTCCGAACGTTGAGCACGGTATCTCCATTCCCATTTCTCGTTCCAATCCCAGCTCCAGCTCCTGATCGGGAGCCCGATCCAGAAGCGGTCGGTTGAGATTGTGGTGGGTAAGGAGCGGTCTGTGATCGGGTGAGGGAGGAAGGGAAGGGGAAGTGCGGTTTCTGAAGAGGCTGCATCTTTGCTAGATGGTATAGATGTTATAGGGAGGTTGTTGATATCGATGGTGGGGTTGTGGTGGAAAGGCGATCTGCCGATCTGACCTTACGGTAAGCACGACCGAGGTCTAGCTGAAGATGACGTTTTTTTTCTCTCTCTTTTCCCACTTTCAGGAAAGTGCGCGTCGAGGTTTCCAGATCGACGGGCGTGGTGTGCAGAGATCGTCGAATGTTGATTGTACAGGAGCGACAGCAGGCTAGTACAAATGCAAGTGAGTGATAAGATAGATGTGATCGAGACGATGACGACGATGACCCTTTGCCTCTCTGGCCTCTCCCTCTCTCTAGGTGAAAGGGTCGGTCGAGAGAGAAGGCGGGCGAATCCGCTCAATCGCGTCACATCCGCGGTGCATAATCCCATGTTCAAGGGCGGCAAATGCCATCGTTTCATATCAACAACACATACTTGCCTATCCTCATCATCACCTCTCCAAAACTCCTCCTCCCCAACCCCTCATCCATGCACTTCCACTGTTCCAAAACAATCTCCCTGGCAACCCGCAAGTCTTCGCAATAGTCGTCCTCGAACGCGTCTAGCAGGGACAAGACTTTCCCCCGGACGCTAGAGAGGCAAAAGGAGCCGCAGATGAGAAGAGGCCAGACGAGCATGACCACCTGGCGGAGGGCTGTGGCTTCGCTGCAGAGTTCGAGGACGTAGTCGATGGAGCTCGTTATACGAGGAGTGTTCACGGGCTGATCCAGGATCTGCGGTGTCATACGTGCGTTTTTAGGCTCAGCTACTCGATATCGCCCATCCCATACCCCCTCATTCCCTTGACACCGAAATAGCTCGACCCAGCCGACTCACCTCACCCAGAATATAAACACAACACATATACTTATATATATAATCCCCACAATCCACCCTCACATGCTGTGAAAGCGTACTCAACCCGTTGTGCCAGACGTCCAGTTCCAGCAAGAGCGACTCGGCCTGGCGACGCATAAAGGATTCTACCTTGTACATCCCCGCGTCCGAGGCGGGGGAGGTGAAGTCGATCCGGAGACGGCGTTTTTGGGCGTTGAGGGTGACTACCTGTCGAGGTCGAACGTCCGATAATGAGGCAAGGCGAGGCGAGGTGAGGTGAGGTGATGCCAAACAATGTGAGGCAAGGTTCGCATGAGCGGACTTGGATCCTCTCTTTCTATTCTCATGCTCCCCCTCCTGCCCCTCCTCCCGAAATCGGAACTAGCACCCCACGAAAACTCGGAACTCACCCTAGCGATAAAATCCACCATCCCCCTCGAGATCCCAAACGTCCGCTCGACGCTCTCCCACTCCCAAGAACGGGACGACGTCTCGATGCAAGAGTACCACCAGGGGTCGAACCTGTCCATCAGGACGGGTTCTTTTTGGGTTATGAAGCAGCCTACGAGCGGAAGTAGGGAGGAAGTTGATAAAGCGACGTCAGCATGTGCACAGACGGGACCAATTTCCAACGGATAAAGTGTGGGACGGGAAATCATCGGGCGAACCCCGACTCACTAAAGATATCGTGCGTAGTCAAGTTCTCCAACAAGAACCTCCTGGTGAAATTCGTGGGATCGCTGCTCAAGACGGCTTGAGGGCCGCCTCGTTTGGAGACGAGTCGGATGGCGTATTCGAAATTCTCGGACCAGTCTGATGCGGAGATGACGTCCCGCATCATGATGATCACGCAGGTCGCTAAGACCGTGTCGACTGCCACGAAGTGGAGTGAAGAGTGAGTGAGTTTCCTCGTTTCGGTGAGAAAAGCGGAAAAGGTAGTGAAAGGCGAATAAGAGGGAAAACGGGACTCACACTGATCAGACTCGTCTTCTTCTACCAAGACGATGTTCGCCAGAGCGGCCGTCTTGAATCGCTTCCCCACCTCTCTTAACCGATCCCTCACGTGCAAGTAGGCCGCTCGTCCACGATCGAGGTGAGGGTCTTCATCCTGCAACCTGTTCCTTTCCATATTCAGATCCCCGTTCGAATCGCCGTCCCGACCCTGGTTCTGACAACGACACCCACACCCTCGTCTCCGCTTTTCCCTCGCCGTCAACTCGTTCTCCAAATGCGCAATGCTCGTGCTCAACATGCTCATCCTGAGCGCCGCCGCCGCCGCCGAAGAAGTATCCAACAACCTCTGAGGCGTACACAGCGTGAGGATGGGGTTCTTGTGAGGACCGTTGTTCCCCATGGTGACGAGGATCCTGGAGGCGTGGTTGGCAAAGTGGTGAAACAGTTGCAAGGCTAGCGGGGAGGGAAAGGCGGATTGTAACGCTTGCGCCGGGTTTGGGAGGTGTGCCGAGGGGTTTGAAAGGTGGGAGACTGGACCGAGTTCGATTAGGGGTGGGTCGTGGTCCAGAGCGCTGGGACGAGACGAAACGAGACAACAAACGCACGATCAGCTTTTTCAGCTTCACCGCTGACGCTCCAAGCTTTTTCTTTCCCTCTCCCCGTGTACAGCGCCCGACTCACTTGATCAGACTCTCAACAGAGATCCCGTGTAAGAACCCATCAGAGACCTCATCCCCATACCCATATCCATATCCCTGCCCCTGACCCTGCCCTGGTTGCTGTCCGTACCCACACCCACATCCGTAACCCCTCTCCCCACCCCCCGCGGCCCCCTCCCCGTCGACTGCCTCACTAACAGCAGGGTGTTTCCCTTTCGTCATCCTCCTGTTCGCTAGGACCGAGTTGGAGAGGCTTGGGGTGGGGAGCGGGTCGGCTTGTTGTTGTTGTCGCTGATGATGTTCATAGGAGGAGGAGGAGGTGTTGGTTCGGGGGAGTGTCAGGTCGACCGGGGTTATCGGCATGTTTGTAGGTGTAACGATTGGGTTCAAGTTTGAGTTTGGATTTAAGGGAAAGTTGGAACTGGATTGAGTTGATAAGCGGGAAGAAGATGGCATGTCGATGCCTATCCCAGAGGAGAACAGCGGGTCCGGTGGGGTGGTGTTGTTGCTATTGAAGGATGAGATCTGGATGTCGAGAATACACACCACATATAGCGATAGACCGATAAATGCAAGAGTTATCAGCTTTGACCCTGGTACGAACGCTTCAACAGAAGACGAGTAGAAACCTATATATTAACTGGGCTTACAGGAAACATATCACCCTCTATACTGAAAGAAACCGAACGATCCCTCTCCCCGTCATTATTGTTTGCCAACGCGGGGATCGAAATCTCCCTCCAACCCTTGTCGACCTCGAGGTCCAAGTCTTTCGATTGCGATAACGGCAGTCTCAGAGGCGTAGGTATGGGTATAGGAGTAGCCGTACCAGAAATCGACGTTGAGGACTTGTTCCGGAACGATCCGATAGCTAACGACCCAGCTCGAGACTGAGGTTGGGAGGTCGACGCTGCCGAGTTCTTATCGTCGACACCGCGATTGTGGTTCTTCTTCTTCCGGCTCTTCCTCGGATGAGCGAGTTGTTCAGGATCAGGCCATTCACATTCCCTCCTATTCATCTGACACCTCAAACAGGTCGGGAGCGTCTCGTCGCATTTGACCTTGGCGGACCGACAAGTGAAACAACCTCGGGTCGAGCGGGTGTACCGAGTTCGGGTCCGTTGGCGTTTCACACCGGCATCGGAGGAGTTGATATGGGGGTCTGGTTTCGTGTCGGAGGGATCGTGAAGAATGTTTGGGGAGTTGCTGATGCTGATGGACGAGCGGTGAGAGCTAGCAGTATGGAGATGGGCTCGGGAGGGAGATTCGTTCGAGGTGGACGAGGAGGAGGCTTCGGGTCGGACGGGTGGGCCGGGAAAGTTCATGCTCGGCAACCCAGGCAAGTGTTGGTTTGGGAGCATGTTATGGGAGGGTGTTGATGTGTCACTATAGGTATAGATGTGAGATGGATGGGTCGAGATGTTGATGACTTGTCTGGCAAAAGCATGTCCCGCATCTGACCTTTTGCTATCTCGCCGACCCTCGGGCAAGGGATTGGATCGACTTGACTTAAAAACGAATAAGCCAAGGAGATGACCGAGATATGCGTTATGACTAGTCACGTCGGACATGACATGAGTACGGTTACGGCCAGACGATTCTATAAGGTAACCAGACGATACACATGTGCATATGCAGACACGGACAGGTCTACCGTGTCACTGTGATACATGACACTACGATCTATGATACGTATTGAACGAACAATCAAATATGAGTACCGCCTACCCACGTCCTAGCCCGAGCACGACCACCACGTCCGTAACCACGACCTCGACCCCGATTCCGACCTCGCTTGCGATGCAAATCCCCCATCCGTTCCCCTGGGCCGTCGAGCGTCAACGGGAGTGTTACTCTCTCGTGGCCAAGAACTGGATCGAGGCGGGACGGATCACTTTGACGGACGTATTGATGATCAGCGAGATGTTCAGGGGTTTCATGAGGTATTCCGCTGTAAGTAGTACTAGTACCTAGTACCATATTGCGTGAGGATTTCGTTCGATCTCCATGCTCGTCAGGCGATATCGATCAATACTACTATTGTTGTCTTGTCAGGAGCTGAGCAAACAATGACCATTCCACGCTCGACTTGACCAATCCCCATAACGACAATAACCTCGCACACATCCTTATAATGATGATGCGGAAACCCCTCGTCCCAATCTCGTCCTCAAGATCGGCCTGACAGTCGGTTTCTTAACCTCCCTTTCCGTCATCCCCGCACTCCGAGCGATCCGCCCTCGATTCTCCAGCCGGGTACTCGGGTACTTGCGTCTCCCTGTTAGGACGGGCATGACCTTGACAGGCGGGGTTTACGGTGCCTATTATGGTCTGGGTTTGCCCTTCCAACGGTACGGACGGCCGTTCACCGGAGAGGAGGTCAAGAGGCGAGTCCCTTCCTTTCCTTCAAGGTTGCGTTATGTTACCTCTCTTCTGCCTCCAATCACCAACTTATTAATACTTGTGTGTTTGCTCTGTACTGAATTCTATGTATATATCCTGAACGGGATTTGAAATTCGGGGGGGAAAAACACTCGATGCAGGTTGGAAGATGTTTGGGATGGGTTATCTGAAGAGGCTATCCGATTAGGTTGGAAGACGAAAGACGGTAATTGAGGGCCGGGGACGATCCGGATCGGAGCAAGGGTGGATGAGCATCAGTAGTAGTGGACCACGGTACATTACTATTCGTTTCGCTTCATTTCACAAACTACACGTCAAGCTATAAGTTGGAAGCTATAAGTTGTAAGGTATAGGTTTTAAGGTATAAGTTCCAAGTCATCGATAACTGTGTAAAATATATCGTCTTTCGCTCGCGCCCGACTCCTATTGGGTAAGTTCGAGGGGCTCGGAGGTACATATGGGATGAGATATCTCCTACGATGCACATGTAATACAAGCAAAAGATCGTCACTAAGATAAGACCACCGGCTGATGTTCCGTTGCGGAGCTCGTCGGTCTTGAGGTAGAACATACTGGAATGAGCTGCCATCCAATGACATACGGGATATCTGTTTCCATGTCCCCTTCGTTCTCCGTCTGCTTAGCCGTCCGCTTGCTGGTTGATGCGAAGACGACACTCGGTGCCACAGTCAAAGCGATGCGAACAGATCGGCTGTTCTTCTGTGGCATGCGCGTGTATCGCCACCTAATCCAAGGAGCGTGGGTTGGCAAGTCCACGTCGGTACGCTTCGTCCCGTATATTTTCGGAAACGCTAGACAGTCTGCAGGCCAACGCAAGCAAGTATAAAATCAGAGTGACCCAAATTCAAAGAACACAAAAACCGGCTACTCACCTGTCGATCTCATCGTCGCCGTATGTATATCCATACTGGCGGTACACATGATAGGAAACCGCCGCGAACCCCGCTGTCCCGCCGGAAAAGGTGGAAAGCGCACGCATAGGAAGGCGAAGGTAGGCGTTGCGAACGGGGTAGAGTCGAAGGACTGGGAAGGAGATTGCCAGGCCCACCGCCATACCGATCTGCCCCGTATTCAGACTCGAATCAGGCCATGTACCGGCTTTCGAACACGGAATCAAGAAGGATTCTCGTTTCGTTAACGATGCTCACGATCCAACCCTCGACACCTGAACGCAGACCTTCTTGCCACCTCTGCAGGTCGGCTCGGTCGACTTTACCCTCGGCGATCATCACTTCGGCCACCGCGCGCCTCAGCTCGAGGTCGCGATCCGTCGCAAAGACGGTACTCCAGAGGTATAGTCGCTGCGGGTCGGTTAGCGGCATGACAAGGGTTATAGATCTTGATAGTGGTGTTGGTTCAATGTGCAGGAGGGATTCGACATGCTCGAGCGCTCAAGGTGATAAAGTAGGATGCGATGTCAGGTCGGTGAGTTCGCGCCGAGGCAGTGACGTCGCGCCAAGAGGCCGAGCGCGACTTTCATCCTGCCGAAATCAAACCTTGATGGACCTCTGGGCTTTGTGTTTCTCATCACCTACCGGCTACTGACCATATAGAATTTGCTACATATATATTGATGACAGCATGACAGTGCTAATCTCCGTCGAGAGCCAGAGTGCTCATCGACAATCGTCTTGTAACGATGCGCAAGATGACTTCCGGTACTCAGGCCTCCAACCTCCAGATCCTGGCCTTCATCCTCAAAGACCTCAAAGGGTCCATCTCGAATCCCTTTACCCCTTACAACCTCAACTTCATCGGCCTCCTCCTAACCGAGTCCCTCTCCATGCTAGTGTTGTTGTCTGGATACAGAGCTTTTGCAGAAAGGGAAGGACAGATCATGTCGCACGTCCGTGAGTCCGCTGGCGCCCAGGCCGCAGAAAGCTTACTGACATGACCTAGCGCTTTCAATCTGCTACAATTCACCTTTATCGTCTCTGTTAATGCGAACCCTTTCGTTCCGATCACGTATAGCTTGCCTTTTAATCGCTATCGGAGCGACCCTAACGTTGGCGATTGCGTTCGTCCTGTGAGTGTCGCTCCGGCTCAACGAGTATAAAACGCATGCAGCCGTCAAGTTTCTAATTTCCTTTCTGTCCATCGCACTTTGTAGCTTCGTAGTCAATAAGTACCTACGCGATACCACCTCGGCGAAAAAGGTCGTATGGCCCGGGCTGGCCATTGCTACGTTTGTCCCGCTGAATATTGGGCTTCTTGGTCAGTGTCGAGCTGTAACACTCGTACGGTCGCCTTTGGGGACGTCCTGCTGATGTGTGTTTGTGCACGTCCTCCGTTGCATCAGTCGTCAATGCCATATTAACGAGGCACGTCCGCAAGACGACTTGTCACAGCGGAGAATTCTGCAAGTAAGCAGAGTCCTAGGTGATCGTTAGCGAGCGAAGTCTGACGATAGGGGTCTTTTCAGGCAAGCTCGGATAGCTAGCGGCTGTGGATGGGCTCTCGTTGCGATGGTGCGTGATCACATGTTCAGAGCAGAACAAGGCCTTGCTCAAGGCTACGTAGATGAACACGGCCAGCTCATAAAACCTTGCTCCAGGTCACACTCTTGCTATCGCTTTGGATCTTTGTGCTGCGGAACCCACCGCCATCCGTTACAGACGACGATTCGACAGATCTCGAGCGCACTCCGGTCAACACACACCGTCATTTATTGTTAAGGAACAACGACGATAGTGGAAAGCCATGATCTGGCATAGTCGTGAATATTTTGTTTAGTTTTAGTTTCAAGGTATCGGGAAATTGTGACATCATAATAGGGTCGATGTTCCGACGATCATGCGCTAGGCACGGTCGTCTGAGAGGTTCATGCGCGCCAAGAGGCCGAGCTCCAAGGAAGCGTCATCGGGACACCCCCCATTGCTCATATCTCAGTCTCACAATTCGCATACCCAAAAATACATAGAGGAGGGGTCCTACTACTCCGAGGTCATTATTTACCGCTGTACAAATATCGCAGGGCAAGGGAATCTTCTCGAACAAATAGGGGTTGGTTCAATGCCGAGATATCGCAGGGGATCACACAAATGTACAACATGGATCCCGACCCTTCCTTACAACCTCAACTTCGTAGGCCTCTGCATGATCCAGTTCGCCTCGGTCACGACCTGCATGCCAGCATACAGAGCTGTAAGATACGGGGACAAGGACATCATGTCAACGATTCGTAAGTTTGCAAAGCGCAAAGACGCTTGAAAGTAGAAAGTTGAGAACCCGTTCGTACGGTGAAATCCCATCGATTATGTTTGTTCTCATCGTGCTCGCTCGGCGCTCTTCTGCTGTCCGAAATCGTCGATTCAGCTTCTCTTACAATTGCTATCGAAGCAGCGTTTCTATGGGCAATCTCAGGAGGACTGTGAGTCCCGGTTATCTTCGTTCGGGACGAGGATGGCGGACAATGTGTGTCTCAACGTGTCCTCGCTCGCTGCCCGGCTTAGTTTCATCATCAACAACAAGATCAGGAACAGGACGCAGGAGAACAAGATCGCATTGCCTGGTCTGAGTGTCGCCCTAATCGGACCTCAGTGTATAGGGCTACTGAGTAAGAGAAGGGGACGGGTCGCAAGGTTCGCCCTGATGTACTTGTGCTAATCCGCCACATATTTCGATCATCCTTGATACGTTAGTCGGTAATCTCAAGCTGACGAGCGATATTCGCGAGACGTCCTGCTACAGCGGAGATTTCTGCTGGTGAGCGACGTCTCGATTGACGGTCCTGCACAACACCGAATGAGTCCGTGTTGATCAACCTTGCGCTGCGCTTCCAGGGATGCGAGAAGGGCTTCTGCATGGGGATGGGTGTTGCTGTTGCTGGTACGTCGAAACGGGAAAAGCGTTCAAGGCAAGGAGGAAGAGATCGATGCGAGCTTACGTATGCGACAACGGTTATTGACTTTTCGTGATTGCAGGTAGCTCTATTGCTCCTACTTTGGATGTCTGTCCTACTCTCAGCACCATTCATACGGATCGGTGGCACGACCAATCCCAACAGCGACGATGGTAATCAAGCTGAACAGCTGTTGGAGGACGATGACGAAGCTGGAAAAGCATCCATTCTGAGCTAGATCGTGTATGTTGTTGTAGAGGATGTTTCGCGCTATGCTGTTCGGTCTATCATGCGCCAGGCACGGTCATCTTCGGCAAGAGCTCGATGCGCCAAGAGGCCGAGTCGCTTGATCTCCCCGAGGACCCGTTGACCATATCCAAGGCTGCATTCCCTGGCTTGGGAGCGGATAAGTCTGCGTCTCACTATATGGTCAATGAAGGATGAACACGATGTTACTGCTGTCGCCCTCGAGACAATCAGACGTCGCGCCAAAACAGCAGCGTCACCTCACAAGCACAATTCGCGACTCGTCATGGATCATGCCATCGCTTACAACGTCCACGTCGTCCTTCTCTCATTCATCCAGCTCGTGTCGGTCGTGATGGCAGTGATGGGCTGGATAGCTATCGGTGAGGTGAATAGGGCTATGTCTGTCTTCCGTAAGTACAAGGCTGCAGCCAAAAATCAGCCGGATGAAGCGTCCGACATGTTGCGACTTGAGGCATCGGATCTGATACGATTGATTCGAATCCCACTGCTATGAAAGCTGTCGTTATCCTAGCCCTGTTGGGAACGGTGACATGGACAGCGGCCGTGTATATGTGAGCACTTTGGATTTCGCAGCGGTTACGAATGGCAAGCTGATCATGTCGTCTTGGCTGCGTGAATTGCTTCACCTCGCGATGCTCACGACCAGCACGATCATCAACTATACAGCTACCGCTCGACGGGAAGAAAAGGTTGTCGGCGCCGACTTGGCTATCAAGATCTTCACTCCTCTCTGGGTGCTGACTCTCAGTAAGTAGAAGTTCGAATCGAATCGATTCCTCGACCGTTGATCTGATTGCATCCGGACAGTCGGCACGGCAGTCCTGACCGACAGAATCAAGCGGACCTGGTGCAACTGGGGAAGATTCTGCAAGTGAGTAAATCGTTGCCTAGCGACCTCGTGACGAATCGTTGCGACTGATCAACGCAAACGTTATACTCGTTCTAGCGAGGCAGCGGCAACTCGAACCGCAGGCTGGATAGTGTTCGTACTAGTGAGTCGGCATAGTGCCTGCCCGACTGCCAAAGTCTAAGAGAACGGCACTGCATCGCAGATCACTCTGGAGATCCTGTTCATGCTATACGTTCGACGCTTCCCTGACTGGAACGCCCGTGCAATCGGGACTGGCGGGCACCATCTCATCGCTTCCGGAGACGAGGAGTCGAGTCCGGCTTATCGTGACGAGTCTGATAGGGACCGTTCCGGGGTCATCAGTAGTCCATCCAAGCATTTACGTGTTGGTCTCTGAGACTGTATTATGCGAGAAGACTGTAGGAACTCGTCGACATTGTCCACCTAACGTCGTCGTAGTCCGCATGATGCTGTACATGTTACACTATCAGCCGACACGCTTCCGGCTGGGATAACAGGTCGCCACGTCCTGTCTCGATGTTTCAAGGACTTGCAGCAGCTATACGGAAGAGGATAGTGTTGACAGGGCGCAGCCGAGTAGTATGTAACACCACGCACGCTATATATCATATGCGGTAACATGCTTCAGTCGCGATTGACCATCATCTGGGTTATCTAGCGATTTAGCCGTGGGTAGTCGATGACCTGTGTCTCAATGCTGCTGCTGTTCTCCCCAGAGATGTGCAAGTTGTCAATGGCTCGCATCAAGTTGCGTAATCCGAGACAGAATGCTCCCTGAGGAAGCCGCCGGCCAAGCGTTCGAGCTGTGTAGGCGTTGTAAGCGAGCGATATACGAGTATACGAGTATACGAGTATACGAGCACACGCGGACACGTGCGCTTGCGCGGCACAAGGAGAGGCGCGACGACGAAGGATTATCCATCAACCTCGATAGCGAAATATTGTAGAAGCGCACGTCCGGGGGGTATTGCTGTGCTGTTCTGATTGATCCTTTGTTCAGTCAGTCTGGTTCGATGAGGCATTGCTGCTCAGGTTGTTGACATCAGAAATGGAGAATCAAGCATATACCTGATTTGTGTTTCGCTTGCTTCTCGCAGATATCAGGGCTCCCTCAGCGTGCAGGATCGACTCCAGTCATGCCGCCTTGGTCACAACGAGACACTCGCGGAGGCGGATCAGATCTGAATGCAGAGGACTATATCGAGCTCCGGCGCACCGTCTCCAGTAGACTGTCATCCAGCCCAATGCCCACTCCTGATCCTGCACGGTCGCAGCCGGCAAGTCGCTGTTTTAGCTAAGGATGTTCGGATATCGGCATCGTTGTATCAACTAACCACATTTGCCTTACCTCCGGCCTTCAGTTCAACCTGTCTTACAGCCCAGCAAGTTGGAACATCGCGACATCACCCGCCGACAAGGAACCCGACGACTGGCTTCACAACCCAGATCCTCGCCGCGACCGCAGGATCGATCATGGGGGCACCATTTTTACCCTTCGCGGTCTGATCAACGGCGGGTGTATACTCGTCTTGGCTGTTGGATTGATTGCCTTGTTCGCTGGATGGCCCATCGCAGAATTCATGACGAGAGATGATAAGAGCAAGGGTAATACCAGCGGAGCCTACAATCTAGGCGGTATCAATGCCACCGGTCAGCGCGGGACGTTGCCAAGGGGCTTTGGATTGATAGACTCGGACACACCTCAAGAAGCCTATTTTCATACCAGCTTGGAAACGGGCGAGCAATGGGAGCTTGTCTTTAGTGACGAATTTGAGCGTGAAGGGCGTACGTTTTGGGAAGGGGATGACCCATTCTGGGAAGCCGAGAACTACCACTATTGGACGACGAACAACCTCGAGTGGTGAGTCAAACGTGACACACGATGATTGCTTAGAGGCGATAGCTGAAGATCGGATCAAAGGTACGACCCTCGGGCAGTTACTACCGAAGGGGGATCGCTCAAGATCACCCTCAGCCGGACTCCAAATCATGGTTTGAACTATACCGGCGGTCTCATCAATTCGTGGAACAAGTTTTGCTTCACAGGTGGCTACGTCGAAGGTACGACAGCCCGGAATGCGCCGGTATTCATGCACTCTTGACTCAACTGATGTTCCTGTCTGTAGCCAGCATCTCGTTGCCTGGAACTAGCGACGTATACGGGTGAGTCTATCATCCGAAACCTTACCGCGTTTAGCGACTCATGCCTTTCAATCCCCATTATTTGGCGATAGACTTTGGCCCGCTTTTTGGTTGATGGGAAACCTCGCTCGGCCTAGCTACGGTGGGACGACCGATGGCATGTGGCCTTACTCATACGACACCTGCGATATCGGTACATTGCCTAACCAAACACTTAACGGTAAGCTCCATTCGGCCGTTGCGCGCTTCAGCAAGGTCATTCTGAAACGCAACATCGCGTCTCGATACAGGCAAACCCGAGGTCGCGCTTACGTCAGGATCGCAATACGAGCCGTACCTAGGTAGTCTGTCGTACCTCATAGGACAGCGCTTCTCGGCGTGTACTTGCCCCGATGATCCCTCTCACCCGGGCCCAAAGAAGGCTGACGGAACGTGGAAAGCGAGATCCGCGCCGGAGCTGGATATCGTTGAAGCTCAGGTGAGATGCGCGGGAAGAGTCTGTCATCAGATCGTCCAATTGATGAGCTCTGTGTCCAGGTCGATCATACCGAGCGTCGAGGGCAAGTATCCCAGTCTGGTCAATTTGCTCCGTTCAATGCTGGATGGTATATGAATAACATCTCCGGTGTCGACTATGGTATCAACGATGACGAGGTTACCAAGTTCAATACGTTCAACGGAAACGCTTATCAACAGTCGACGTCTGGTTTGGCATATACGAATCAGGATTGCTAGTAAGAAATCCTCTGACGCCGCCGTACTTGAAGCCGCTTATGACTGAGAATTGATCGTGATTTCGAAACTCAGTACCGGTCCTAGAGGTACTGGATGCTTGTCTAAGTACGGCGCCGAATACGAAACGGGAGGGTAAGAGCAGGCGACTCAGGATCTCAGAGGCAGGGTGTACCATCAGGCTGATATTGGCCGCGTCTTGAACACAGAGAGGGCTACATTCGATGGGTCAACGACGGAGTAGAGTCATGGTGGATGACAGGCTCGGCTCTCCGTCCAGATCCGCAGACACTAGTCGGACAGAGACTCATACCGGAAGAGCCGATGTACCTCATCCTGAACCTAGGGATCAGTCCCAACTTTGGCGCCATCGACTATGAAGGCTTGGAAGAAATGTGGCCGGTCCACATGCTCGTCGATTATGTTCGAGTATATCAGGATCCCAAGAAGATCAACGTCGGATGCGACCCAGAAGGTTTCCCAACCACCAAATTCATCGCGGACAATCTCGTGGCATTCACGTTAGTATCATCCATGAACACTCGCGCCTCGCGGTTCAGTCTCTTTTTTCGTCACTCAGTTTGGAAACTGATCGACTTCCGGGAACGGAATAGAAACCCCAACATCTCGACTTACGATCAGATTCCGGACAAGATATACGGCTGGCCGAAGAACCGATTGATCGTGAGTAGTCGTCTCATACGCCACCCGAGCCTTCAAGCTGAAGAGGTCCATCCCACCAGGACGAATGTTGATCGTGACGAATCTGGCCTTTGCCCATAGTCATCACTGACCGATCAGGAGGACAAGTATATAGATCAGATCATGGCACAGGCACATCTACCAGCTCGAGAATGACAATTGACTTTGGTCCTAGATTCATGAGCCTCATACCAGATGTGCCTCATAGACAGCATTTTCATGTCCATACCTCATATACCATTTTACCATCAAACCATGCGAGTAGCGAGTAGCTGCTTCAGATAGGGTCCGCATCTCGCGATGATCATCAGCAGATCAGCAGCTCTCAACTCTCCACATCATCCAAGCTAGGTGAGACCGAGACGCTAGCGATATCGTGGTGTAGTTGTAGCCAATTCAAGCATAATATCTCAATTCCCCAGATCTGCGATGTCGACTGCCGGGGATGACGTCTCCGGTCGAGATTCCGACTCCGTTCAAGAACCCGCAGCTATCGGTCAGGCCGGACGATCGAGCGAGACCATAACGACTGCATCAAGCCCTATTGCTCCCAGGCGACGCAAGTTTTCTCGCAAGAGCAAGGATGGATGTCTGCCTTGCAAGTCCCGGAGGGTCAAATGTGGCGAAGAGAAGCCGTCTTGCAAGACATGCGTCCTAAGAAGAGGTCGAGTGAGTTGATCCAAGCTCTCTGCAATTTGGCGTGTACTACTAAAGATTAACATCCATAGTGCACTTATCCAGAAAGCGAAGCAAACTCCCCGAGCTTACACTCCCCCAACGTACAAGACATCGAAAGCCGAACCCAATCTCGGTTCGCGATAGCCCTCGCCGAATCTTTAAGATCGCTGAATCGATCTGTAGGAACAACGCCTGGCGATCCTTTCGCCGGCTTTGCCTTCGGTAACTCTTCCTCATCATCTCGATCAGCTCGATCAGGGTCGTCTTCTACCGGCCGGGACCACAACGGTCGAGGCCCAACCGGACGGGTAATACGAGATGGGATTACATTCAATCACCAGCCGCGGTTGATACTGGACGTCGGGCCTAGCAACCATAGCATACGGGGACCCAACCTCTTCGAAGATGACTCGCCGAACGGCAGCGTACGGAATTTCTGGCCCTATCCAGATACGTTGTGGCCCCCCCCGGCACCCTCCCTTCCCTTCTTGGATGCCGCAGACGCCCTCAAGCCGTTCTTCCCTCGAGACATGGACAGACTTCTGGTCCGCATCGCTCTCCATACGCGAAACTGAACCTCCCCGCTGACGAAGCTCGTACGATATCGACAGTTTCACCACTTTACGGACAACTTGTGTCAGGAGATGACGGCAGTCAGGGTCGACACTTGTCAGAATCCTTGGCTGACCCAATTTGCGATCTTGGCGACCTTGCTACCGCACGGCTTCTCGCCGGCTCACGACGCTTTTCGCAGTAGCCTGCTTGCGTTGGCTTCTAGCGATAGGAACTACAAGACGTCACGACCTGGATCGGAGTATCGTCAAATCGCACTGGACCTGCTGTACATGACCGTCAGTATCGGTGAGGCGGGACCGGGAACTATAGAAGGAGACATGATCATCGCGTCCAGTTTAGCCTTGACCTTGCGGGATGTGAGTTGATCTTGATCGTACAGGAGACGAGTCGTTCGACATGACAATCGTGCTGATACTTTGGAGACTCGCTTCGCGAAGAAATTCGCTGGCGACCAACGATGGGAAGAGGGTCTCCTGATTGGGACGAGCGTGATCCTCTCCGCGGGGGGACCTCTACGATTCATGGCCGCCAGACCCACGCCTCAGCGACGGTTCCTCATCGAGCAGCTCGTCTGTTTGGAAGTATGGGGTGAGTACTCGAGTCACACGAGCGAAATCCGATGGAGCGTTAATTGCGGACTCGATCTTCCAACGCGTAGCGTTCTCTTGCGTTCTACGACGACCCCTATTATGTGACGACCTTGGCGAGTGGTTCCTTGACGGTGCGGAGTACGGACTGCAGGATCAGGTCGAGATCGTCCATGGGATAGACAGGTAAGAAGCAGGCTGTCTGTCAGACGAGTCGCAGCAATCCAATTCTTACTTGTCGCCTATCCCTGAAGAGCTACAATGCTGCTAGGATGTCAGGTGAGCCGGCGATTTTCAGGTTCGCAGACCATCCGGCACTTAAGAGCACTCGACAGGCCGGCCATCTCTGGTTCGAGCACGTACGACTAAGACAGCTCGAGGCCACCGCGTGCGCATACCCGCAAGTCAAGGCCGCCATCGCAAACCAGGACTTGGTGTGGCGAGGGGACCTGTTCAATTTCAGCTGTAAGACGGCGGCTAACACGAATAAATGCCAGGTGAGACAATCTCGAGGGTTCAGAACACGAACTCAAGGCATCTGAGGCTTCACACGCTTCATCTCGTGTTCAAAACTACAGGCAGCCGATGCGTCGAACCCCATGGCATTTCGCGTCTCGATCGGCAATCGCGCCTTCACCTTGAGCATGGACATATGGATTTCGCAGATGCTGCAAGAACACCCGTCCGAAGAATGGGTCAAGCAGGTTTGCGCCGAAACGGTCGAGATGCTCGATCTGGCGATCGATCAAGGACACTCGCAAGGGTCAGTCCCAGTAGCATTTTCGACCCAGAGGAATCAGGAGACGAGAGGTTCTGATTATGCTCGCGTTCCTCACAGCCTACTCTTCGCAGTAAGGGCTGCAGCCGAAGTTGCAGTCGACCCAGACCTCAGACGGAAGGTCTCGGGACTGTACGACCGGGTCGCTCAATCTTACCGGTGCGAGACCGCCATAGCACAAAAGACGACGACGCGCATGTGGAAAATATTGGACGAGGGAACTGTAGATAGGGTCGGGACCGACTTTGCAGAATTCTTGCGTATGCAGGAGTGCTACGTCCCGGTATTTTAGGCTCGAGATGGAGAGGTGACTCGTTTTTACATGACGAACGACTGCTTATACTTTCGCTTGATGACGTTCCGCGGGAGGGGGGAGTTAAGAGCCTTAAACCACGCTTACTTTTGACCCTGATGGAAAACGACTATAGACGAAAGGAGCAACACCTCGTGCGAGAGATGGATCTGCAGCCCTTCTTGACGTTTCAATTAATGCGATATGAGAGCTTGATATTCGGATTAACGCGCGGTTCGAGCTTCTGTCTCGAGATTGGAACATGAGTCTGTTGTAGACGACCATCGCAGGCGAACCCCACGGTCTTGGCGCGCAGCTGGCCCCCTTCCTCGTCATCCTGTGAAAGGACTTGGATCCGGACGAGCTCAGATCTCCTGTACGGACTATGTAATGACATCCGCAAGGTAGAATCGTGATCGCTTCAACGGGCAATCAAAAGTCGTGTCGAGCATAGGAAAGACGTGATCGAGGACCCGCGCGGTGTCCCATGTCGCCATTCGACACCTCGAGGTCGGGCTTGGCATTTGCAGTGAAAAAGATCATGGCATGCGAGGCGAGACCGATCAACGATGCTGAACTTCCCCAAAAATCGGTCTTCGCTTTGACTACTTTTCTCCTGGACGTACACATCATTATTGAAAGCTATCCCCGCTGCTTCTGATGATGAAACCCGAGGTCTGTACTACTAGTATGCTCGAAATTGGCGCCGATCATATCGGACACGCTGCGTGCGCGCTTAACGACTAATTGCGACTAAACACCGCTCAAACGTCGTCCAGCCAGCGGGTGGCGTGATCTTGTGGAGACTCCACGATTCTCGAGTTGTCTCGCAAGATTTTTTTTCCAAGAACCTTCAGATGAAACCTGATGATCTCCGAATGATGGCATCATATTGCTGTTCCCATGTGACATTGCGTGATCGCCAAGGTGGCTGCGGCCATTGTCGTTCCTCGGTCGTCGTGCTCCGAGCACGACTTTTGGACTTTTTCGCCGTTCAAGTTCGAGTCCATCATACGTTCAACTGAGCAAGCGACGAGTGTATATACTCGGGTATCATGAACCGCTATCAATCTAGATGAATTTTGGCCAAGACGTCGTTATCAAGCGGACTCCTATCGCTCGGCGCATCTTATCTGATCTCAGTCTTTTAGACACTTCGAAACTTAAAACATGCCCAGTCCCACGGCCTCTATCGAGGACAAGTCGAACGGCGGACCGGATACCGAAGCCAAAGTAGCTCTCGACTACAACAATGAAGCTTCCATCAGTGAGTTTCCTCATACCCATACAAATCCACATATACCGCCTTCAAACCTCAAGAAGCTCATACGTCTTTCCATTAAACTCGCAGGTCCATACAATGAAGCCAGCGAGAACAAGCGTCAGATCGGGGTTGTCTCAGCTACATTCCTCATCTTCAATCGGATCATCGGGACCGGTATCTTTGCCACCCCATCAGCCATTCTCAGTCTATCAGGAAGTGTGGGGTTGGCCCTGTTCATCTGGGTCGCAGGAATGTTGATCGCTGCGGCAGGAATGATGGTGTATATGGAGTTTGGGACGGCCATTCCGAAGAACGGCGGAGAAAAAGTAAGTCTCCCATGGCTTCGCGCTTCTTTACTCTTTCATTGACCACTTGGATGTGATGCTGTAGAACTACCTGGAGTTCGTATACAGACGACCCAAGTTCCTGGCGACCGCAGTCTTCACCGGCTACGTCGTCCTGCTCGGTAAGTCTTGCCCTTTCTCTCTCGAGCCCATCACACCAATGTGCAGGTCTCCCGACTCACACTGCACTCTCTTTCCACCTTGTTCGCACCGTTATAGGCTGGGCTGGGTCCAACTCGGTCGTCTTCGGAGAATATATCCTACACGCCGCCCAAGTGCCCGTCGACCGCTGGAACCAACGAGCCGTTGGACTGGCTTGTATCACCTCGGCGTTTCTCATCCACGGCTGTGCCTTGAAATGGGGTTTACGATTGCAGAACCTCTTGGGTGTCATCAAGCTGGCTATTATCCTCATTATCGTCGTCGCCGGATGGGTGAGTCATACAACACAACTAGCTCATGAAACCGGGTTGGGTATTTACTAAACCCGTCGGTTCTTGAAATTCGCAGGCCGCACTCGGTGGAGCGCTCAAGGTCGACCCGCCCAACAACTTCTCTAACGCTTTCGAGGGAACAACCGGGAGCGCCTATGGGATCGTCACCTCGCTCTACAACGTGATCTGGTCCTACATCGGGTACAGCAACGCCAACTACGCCTTGTCCGAGACCAAGAACCCCGTCCGCACACTCAAGATCGCCGCGCCCCTCGCTCTGGGTTCTATCGCCGTCATGTACATGTTCGTCAACATCGCCTACTTCGCCGCGGTGCCCAAGGCGGAGATAATCAGTTCCGGTCGGATCCTCGCCGCTTCGTTCTTTAGGAACGTATTCGGTGAAAAGGCAGAGAGGGCGCTTAGTGTGTTCGTGGCGTTGTCGGCGTATGGAAACGTCCTCAGCGTGATCTTTTCGCAGGGTAGATGTATGTCGCCTCAGTTGTCAAAATCGCCTTCTTTTTACCTTGCTGACTCTACCTCAACTATGCCGCGCATCACATCATAGTGGTTCAGGAATTGGGCCGTGAAGGAATCCTGCCCTTCTCCCGGTTCTGGGCGAGCAACAAGCCGTTCAACGCCCCCTTGGCTGGGTTGTTCGAACACTGGGTCGTGTCGGTGATCATCATGCTGGCTCCTCCGCCTGGCGACGCTTACAGCTTCATCCTCAAGTGAGTCCTCTTAGCTGGTGCGAAAAGTATATAAGAAGACGCGCGCCCTGACACGAAGTCTCGATTTTCTCCCACACTGTAGCGTAATCTCCTACCCCCTCGCCATCGTCAACGCCTTTGTCGCGCTCGGTCTCGTCTACCTCTACTTCCATCGAGAAGAATACAGCTTCCACCCTCCCGTCCGAGCCACTTTGCCTATCGCCATATTCTTCTTCCTATCCAACATCTACCTCATCGTCGCTCCCTTCGTCCCGCCTTCAGAAGGACAGAACGTATACGAACACCTGCCGTACTACCTCCATTGCGTGGTAGGGTGGGGCATCATGTTCGCCGGGGCAGGGTACTGGGTCATCTGGGCGGTCATCATGCCCAAGATCGGCAAGTACGAGTTGGTCAGGGAGACGGTGATCGATGAGATCGACGGGTGGGAAGGGCACGTCTTCAAGCGGGTCCCGTTGAGACAACGAAAGGCTGGAAGTTCCCCCCAGGAGGATGGTTTCGAGATCTAGAGTAGACCGGGTCTATGTGAGGGTACTTTGGATCAGTCAGGTCGAGATGCTTATAATCTCAGTGAATATATGTACCTATGTATATGATGTATTTGTAGGGATACCAGGATATACCGTCAGCCCTTGCGTTTCCTTTCTCTTACACGGGTGAGACCGGTGCGCCTCATTGGCCGGCAACACATACCGCAAGTGAGACTCTGCATCTCGTCGTTTGATGTCTATGCTTGTCAGACCATTCCACCCTTTCCCATGTGCAAATGGTATGATTGACTAAGGGCATATCGTCTGGTGGCTGGTGGCAAGCAAGGTGTGCGCCTCGGGGTTTGACAGAGGTCCGAATGATTCGTCATCATCATCACCTCGACCCCGGATCCGAGCTCTTCACGTCGATCACATCCCATATCATCAACAGGCGAACCAGACCTCGGCCGAACTCTATCCCATGATCTACTGCACCTTTGACCGATCTCCATGCTCACCTCCATACCAAGATGAGACCGCCAGGTTTCCTCTCGATCGCTCTTCGACGGGCATCGAACGCTTCTCAATCGTCCGTTGAAGATGATTCTCAGCCGACCACACCAGGTCCCGCAACCGCAAGCAGATCTCCAGGTTTCGATCACCAAGGCGAGGTTGATACCGGACAGATCAGCCTGAATGTCGCTTCTTCGACCACAGCCGTGGTCGTATCGTCAACAAACCAATCAGTTCCCCCGAACCAGTTTGTTCTCAAAGAGCGACCAGACCTAGACCTAGAATCGAAATTAAAAGCAGTCGACCGGAAAGCGAAGGAGAGCGTCAAGGTGCATTACTTTCCCAAAGACAAGCCGGTGTATAGTTGTCGAAAATGTTTGGTTCCCATCGTACGTCCACGTCTCTAGCTCTATTCACATCGATACGATTTATGGACGTCTCAAACTTCTGATGATATCCCCATCGTTACCGTGTTCACCTTCAATGCTGCACAATCCGTCGGATCGCCTGTATGGATGATAGGCTCTGCAGGACGAACTCGTCTCCAAGGCCTTTTCCGGGCGAGACGGACGAGCCTAGTAAGCCCCCCCCCCGCTTTCTCTCCTTTTCCTGCTTCGACGTCATTCTCTTTCCCTACTCGTTCCCGCTGCCTAACTGGCATCATACTACACTTCACCGAGAATCGTACTGACAACTTGTTCTGTTCTTGGTTATGTGTGTGCGTGTGTTGAATCGGGGTTGGGGGGTTGGGGTGGTCAGTCTGATGCATTCGACGGTGAATACGAAATTAGGGAAAGTGGAGGAGAGGAGGTTATTGTCAGTCCCACAGTACAGTACACTACCCACATCAACCATACCCAGGAATCCGATACGTTCTTTTCCCCACACATATCCTCGATCTTCATCGCCCGTTGTGATTATAACCCGTTTCCACCCTCTGAACGGAAGAGAGATGGAAATCATGGGATGATCGATACTGACCTAATTAATCGCTCCATCTACCTACCTATCTCCTTCCCATACGTGTTCTATCCTATCATTTTCCACCTCCACCTACGACATCGAAATCGACAACTGGATTCGAATTCGAACACTCCTGAATACGACTCATGCTCATGTCACTGGGCACATCGCATCGCATGGCATGGCATCGCATCGCATCGCGGCACAACGCGACACGACCTGACCCGACCCGACACGACATATCATCAGGACCGGACTGCATACGGTAGCCGACCTCTTTTGTACGTCCTGCGACGCTTCGCTCGGCTGGACGTATTTGAAAGCTCAGGATCGGGACCAGGTGTATAAAGAGGGTGAGTCTTGAGTTGAGTGTAGGATGTGGGTTTTTTCCCCTCCCCTCGGGGTTCCTCTTTGTTGCCCTTTCCCTTTCCCTTCCCCTTTCGAGATTCAAAGTTTAAAACGAGAACGGAGAAGCGAGAAGCGAAGAAGGGAGAAGTGGACCGGTCGGCTCACGTGGTCGACGATATACTATTATCGATGGATCTCATCATCATCATCATCGTTATCATCATTACTACTATTAATATTGTTATGGTTATCGTTGACGCTGATGATGCTGATGCTGATGCTGATTTCGATATCCGTATCCAAAAAAATCTCGACGGCGATTACGGCGAGGTGATTAAATTATCATCAATAATATTATCGTAGGCAAGTACATCTTGGAAGCTTCCAAGACGGTCAAGGAGAACAATTGGGAGTTGGGCACGTGAGCGTGAGTCGTGAGGAGGCGTGAGGAGGACGGGAAAAAGGGGGATCGGGTTACGGATCAGACTGTATACATATTTGTAATGTAATGTAATGTAATGTAATGTAATGTAATGTAATGTAATGTGATGTAGCGGAACGGATTAGACTGTATATGGTATGTGATATTTAGGATGCTACGAAACGAGGCGGGTTCTTTGTCGTAAAAAGAGGAAGTCTTCCCTTGCTTCTTTTTCGGGGAGATAGTCTGAGTACTTGGGGGTCAATGCGTTTTGACCTACGGTATTAGGCTGCTAGGAAAGACGAGTGGTGCGTAAGAGCAGAGCAACGACGTTTCATCATCCTGGCCTGGCTCGCTTCATGGGCCGAGCAGGTGACGCGGACTCTGGCGAGTTGCGACGTTGACGACTTGTACGAGCAAGACGGGTGCCCTTCCCGAGCTCCTCGCCTGGTTGTGCCTCGATATCAGAAGCCAGAAGCCCACGATGATCGTCCATATAATAATCGACGATGATTGACCGGGTGCTGTGGTGTCCATACATTGCCGGATCGCTGACGATGTGACATGGCTGTGCTGCGTGGGGTGCCGACGCCGTTGACGTCATCGATCCGATCGTTTCGACCTCGATCTCACACAGGCCGCGAGTCGCCAAGATAATCCATTCATTCGACTTGGACTGGACTGGATCATATAGCAATCAGATCCTGTATCGACGACAACCTCTTCACCCTCACCATCTTCCTTCAGCATCAACGTATCGTGGCTCATAATCCCAGGGCCTCGACGGTTATCACCACACCGACCTATGCCTATAATCATGGACCTCCTCAACACCCTAGGCGTGTCCACTCACATCTCGTCAAAATGGACTTCAACACTCATATCCACAAGCCCCCTGACTATCCTGGCAATCACCTCCGCCCTCCTAGCTTCTTACCCAATCCTCAAACTCTTTTACGCCCTCTTCCTCTCGCATACGATCTACACCCACTTTCATCCTCTCCGCCGCCTACCCCGCATCAAAGAACGCCCGTCATTGTTATTAGGAGCCAACCAGGTTATTCTGGATTCTCCTCCGGGGCAAGCGGAGAGGAGATGGTTAGACACCCATGATACCACCGTCATCGTCTACCCCGGTTTTCTAGGCACGCATTCGGTCTACGTAGCGGATCCGACGGCTATTCATCATCTCTTCGGACCAGGACACGGGGCTTACGAAAAGTCGGAGATCCGACAGAGGATCCTCAGAGTTCTATTGGGGCAAGGGCTGGTGACGGCGACGTCCAAACAGGCGGTCAAGCAACGGAGGATTATTGTTCCGGCGCTCCAGACTAGGAATTTGGAGAGGCTTGCTCCGGTCTTTCAGGATGCTTGTGAGGGGATGGTCGGGGTTGTAAAGGAAAACCTTCTTGCGGCCCAAAATCAAAAGGAAGCTGAGGGGACCGGCAGGAAGCCTATGATCACTGGTGGAAATCAGCATGAGGACAAGGGAGATAAGGGGGAGATGACGGTACTCGATCTGGGGGATGTCCTTTGGGCGTGTTCGTTGGATATCATAGGGAAAGCTGGGTTTGGGTATGATTTCCATGCGGTTCAGAGCGCTAGGAGGCGGGTTTCTACCACTGGCACCACCGACACCATCAACACCGGTCACACCAACTCCAACTCTAACAGCAACTCCGTTCTCGACGAAAAGAACCTCTCTACTTATACGGCCAACAACGCGACCAACACGACGACCGTGATCCCCCCTCAAAACCGCCTAGCCCGAGCGTTCGACGATGCCATGGAAGCCACCCTGAAACCCTCTACCTTCGATCGACTGGTCACACTCGTCGCAGCCGTCCTTTTCCCGGTGTTTACCATGTTACCGATCACGAAAGCTAATAGGGAATGCGTCAAAGCCCGCAAGTTGATGGACCACGTAGCCGGGGGGATCCTTGATCAACGGTTAGATGCCGTGGAAGAGGCCGGGTTGAAGGAAAAGGCGGATTTCGAAGGCGATCAGAAGGACCTGCTCGGGGTTCTCGTTAGGGCGAACAGGGCCACGGACCTCAAACCCGATCAGAGACTCACTAGGCCGGAATTATTGGGACAGTTGACGACGTTCTTGGTGGCCGGGCATGAGACTACGGCAGCGGCCGCGGCTTGGTTGTTGTACTACCTCTCTCTTTACCCGGATATCCAAGCTAGGGTTTACGAGGAGGTGAAAGAGTTGGACAGAAAGGTCGCCAGTGAAGGCGAGGGGAGGGAGGGGGGCAGGCCGACGTGGAGGGAGATGGCGGAATTGCCCCTGTTGAGGGCTTGTTTCTTCGAAGCGTCCAGGTTGCAACCGAGTTTACCGGTCACTCATCGGGATGCGGTCGAGGATGACGTGATCCCGTTGTCGAGACGTGAGTTTTCGGTTACCCGGGGGGTTGGGATTCTGTTGTCGAGTGGTTTGTCGATCGTGCAGGTTGCTGACTTGATCCTGTTTTTGTTTCTTCCTTTCTTTGTTTGGATCCGGTTTTTGGGTTCTTGGGATGATACGTTCCGCCACGCTATTAGCCCTCCGAGCGAGCGATAATGGAGAGCCGATCGAATCGATGTTCGTGCCCAAGGGAACCGTCTTGACCATCGGTGAGTGGTGACGCAGAGCTCGCGGTCGTGTGTCTTTCTTTTAGCTGACAGGACCTCCGGGTTGGACCTTGACTCGTCTTGTTTTGTAGGAATCGCTGCTATCAACCGATCGACCGATATCTGGGGAGCCGATGCCAACGAGTTCAAGTGGGTCTTTTCAGATTTCCCCGTATCCAGTTGTGAAAAGGATGTTGAGCTGACGATCGCCACGTGCGAAACCTTTTGCGCTCCGCTGCAGACCCGACCGATGGTTCGACCTCGAGGCCGACAAGCACGCCCCGCCTCTCAAGACCTGGTCGTTCATGATGGGCCCGAGGACTTGCCCCGGATGGCGGTACGCTCAGGTTCAGGTCATGTGGTGAGTGGTCTCGCGTAGTCAGTACCATCGCGCGGTCGGCTGATACAGAGGTTGTTCGGGCTGGTCAGCATCATCTCCTCGATGCTCCGAGAGTTTGAACTGCATTACGCCGGTCTCGAACTGCAGGCGCAGATGGTCAGTCCCGAACGGTCTCTTACGGTTACTAACGGCTCACGCAAACTGACGTCGCACCTATTTCCCCTCGTCAACTTCGCGCTCGTTGGCAGGCCAAGATCATCGCCGGTCGACCTATCGTCAAGGACCAAGCGGACGTCGGGTCGCAATTGCCTATCGGGCTGACCTTCCGAAACAAGGACAAGTCCGGATAGGGCGGAAAACGAGATCTGAAGCAGTCTTTGGAACCTGTGGGGGGATCTCTATAGACGATCACATCTCGCTCGCTCGACAGAGTCTGGATTCCGGTTTTCTCTCAGTCTCTTTTTGACCAATATCAACTAAGTTAGATGGGTAGACCCTGTTTGGAAATACCGTTTCGGTAGTTTTACGTGTTTGATGGTCTGGGATCTTTCTAAATGTCGTTCTGCTGGGTTAGAGAAATTATGATATGACAAGCTATACAAGTGCGACCGGCTTCAGCGAGCAAGCTTATGCAAATGTTTACTGATGGGTTATTCTTTCTGGGTGGTTGTCGAGTGAGAGAGCATGACGTCCATGTCATCGGCAACGGCTCTGTGAATGTCTAGCATACACACCAGGATATACAGGACACCACCAGTTTTGTCAGACCTGCAACCAGGTCGTTGGACCCCGGACCAATGACCTTACAAGTCGAGAGATCTTGCTCGCTGTGCGAAAAAGAAGAAGCAGGGGGCTGAAATGATGCTGGGAGCAAGTTTTGGAGAGGTCCGGTATCGGCGAAACGCGGGTAGCGAAGAATCTGTGACGTGCAACAACATCATCACCGTTGTGCACATAGTAGCATATAGGCGGTAAAGGCCTAGGCTCGGGCTCTCGTGTCATCTTCGTCTTCTCCGATCATCTAGATTACTCGAACTATATCAGAACCATCACCGCCCCTGCATATACTACTACACTGTATCATCACCTCCTTCGGCGCCATACACCAGACCACAGACAAACGACGACGAGGACGACGATCATTGATTATGGCACCCCCACCCGCCCTCTCTTACTCGACCCACGCCTACCTCACGATCACCCTCAAACCGAACACCCCGCTCTTCGATAACCCTCAAACGTTGGGCACACCCGATTCGCCCTCTCCCTCGCTGGTCAAATCTCTACCTGTGCCTTTGGTGTACGTAAGCCAGGTAGGGGAACTGGTCGATTCGCACATCTACCAGGTGGACGCTAGTAAGGAGGTCTTTAAGGAGGTGAAGGAGCAGGTTCTGGAGAGTCTGAGGGAACTGAAGGGCGAGGGAGTTTTGAAGGTGGATGTGATGGAGGAGCCGAAGATGAGGATCAAGAGGGGTGGGGAGGAGTTATGAGTCGGAGGAAGTGAGAGGCCGAGGAGACATTACAGCAGGGTCAGGCGAGCTTACTACTGTAGGGGGGTCGGGAGCCAGAGGTCGAAGGACGAAATCAAAGCGATCCTTTTTGTCAACCGAGGAACACGATCGAATATGCGACATCCTTATTGATGTTGACGATCTCTCCTTCCTCGTCTACATCATATCATGGTGTCACGAGTCTGTTAATGCTAGTTTACTTCTTATCAGTCGACCTGCGATCCTGCGACCTGCTCGACGACGATACAAGTACCCTTCTTGACTTTCGGCTTTACCCGAAAAAGGTCGAGAAGAGGGTCGAGTCAAGAAACTTTTCATATTCATCTCGATGATACATCGACTCCCTGAGACTATCAGCTATCGTTGTTCATACTGGCTACTGGCTATCCCTAGATCCGCAACGTCCTAGCTCCAACCTACTTGCCCCACTCACGCTGCTCCCGATCTATAAACCAACCCGAATTAAAGGACGAACGGACAGGGAAAATGTCCTGGCTCTTATCTCCCACTTTGGAATCTCTCTTTTCCCGTTCCTCCTCCTCATCTTCTTCTTCAGTACCTACCCTCCTCTCGCCCGAACGCTCACGCTCAGTTGAATCGGAAGGAGATGCGCCGTTGACCCCGTTTGAACGGGAGTATGGGGTACCGGACTTGCCAGGCGGGTGGCCTGGATTCGATCTCAAGGTCAAAGATCTCACCGCGAAATCCCTTATGGATACGGCAAACGGAGTCGAGGTGGGGGAAGTGGACGAAGTGGATGCACAGGAAAGGTCTTCAGATCCACAGAGGGAAAGTCTCAGGGACAGGGATATCAGGGTAACACGGCTCGTCATTCATCCGATCAAGGTAAGTCATCAACACCAATCATCCTCTCACACCACACCGCATATAATCTCCCGTCTTTCTTCTCCTTTCGCTCATAGAAAATATAAGAAGCAGCTGATTTGATTCATTCTGTTCGACACGAAATTCCCCTGTTCATCTCAACTTCTCCAACTTTTGCCCTATATGTTTGCTTTTTCGGCTCGTGCATAGAGTTGTCGCGGGATCTCCGTGCGATCGAGTATACTCACGCCGCAAGGTCTCCAGGTGAGCTTCTCTAGCCTCTGTTTCAGTCCTCTTGATCTTCATCTGCTTGTCCATAATATAACAGAGCTAACCGTATGGCAATGGCCGGCATGAACCTTTTTTTATCTCGGATTTTGATCAGTATGACCGGCAATGGGCCATCAGGAATCGAGCGACTGGGCAGTTGGTCACCGCGAGGGAACAGCCTAGGGTGACTACATTCTTTCCATTTTTACACACTCGTATGCAGAAGAAAAGCAAAGCTGATCGATACTCTTGGTGCGACCTAATCCGCCTAAATATCTATGGAACGGTGAATAGATGGTCTTGATCCGCTGTTCGATCGACGAAAAGAGCAACGAGCTGCGAGTCTCGTTCCCCGTAGATTCTGGGCTGGAGGGTTTTGTTGTTGGTCTTCGGACGGAGTTGGAGGAGATGGGTTCTTGGGAAAGGCGAGTGTCAACGGCGTTTCAATCGCTTTCACATCGCGAGCTAACGACTATCACCCCTCCTTGTGCATATCGAAATACATAGGATACCTTCCAGTATCATGCACGGCCATACACTCCCCCCCGCTTTCCTTCCGCCCGCTCTTCATTCCCCTGCGGTGTCCCCCTCGGAACAGATCTCCCGGTTCTTGGGGATCGACGTTCAGCTGGTCCAGGTCTCGCCTTTCAAGTCGGACGAGCGCGTGTGCGACCCCCCGCCCGGTGAGGGTGAAAAGGCAGAGTGGGAGGAACAGGCGCAGGTAAACAGGGGCAAGAATGAGGTGGTCACGGGGTTTGCGGATGGGTATCCGTTGTTGATCGCCAACGAGGGTGAGTCCTCAGCCTCGGACTTGGCCAGATATGTGTCGTCAAGCGTATTGACCTGGCTCGCTCTTGTCTTTGTTTTGGCACGCTACAGCCTCGTATCGAGCGGTAACAGCGTCGATCCGGGATTCGGCATCCGACGACCCCCCTTCTGGGTTGTCCAACCTCGGTCCGACGTTTGATAAAGCTCGATGGCGAGAACGGTCGTTTGATTACCACAGGTTTCGAGCGAACATCATCGTCGGGAGCGGGCAGGATCTGCCTCTGGAGATGCAGGATTCGCCCGCGGAGAACAAGAACACTCCGACCGAACCCAAGTCGTCCAAGGGCAACGCCCCACCATCGGCCTGGGAGGAAGATACGTGGCGCAAACTCGAATTCTCATCCAGCTCCGGTAGCTCGGCCCGCAAAGGTACCCTGATCTGCACTTCCCGTTGCGGACGATGTCAACTCCCGAACGTCTGCCCAGACACGGCCGAACCGGACAAGGTCGTCCCGTTCAAGGTGATCTCCAAGTATCGACGAGTGGATCCCGCCGTGAGTATCAGCGCAAGTGCGATTTGCGTTTTCAGATGGAAGGCTTGGCCGCAAACTGATCGCCCGACGTCACTTCGCGTTTCATAGCAAAAATATACCCCTATCTTTGGTGTCAACGCCATGTCCGGCGATCGGTCTGGTAGCCTAGAGATTCATGTCGGAGATTGGGTGAGGGTGGTCACTCGGAATTCGTGGGGGTCGTTACCTGTCTCGAGCGGGTACAAGCGCGGGGCTTGATTTCGCCTGAAAGGAGGATAGTAATTTTTGGGTTGCGATATCATGGCTTCTCCTTTCTAATTTCTGAGCATATATCCGTTGTACATCGGACCACTTTGTGATCTTTGGTCCAGACAACAATTATTGGAACGAGGAATCTCCCGTAATCTGGTCCAGCTCCGTACGCAGACCTGACGTCGCCCGAGATGCTTATTTCCAAGCCGGAACAAATTATGACGATATCCAATAAACTTTGGTCCGGATTTCCGAGTCAGAGCCGAATCTTGAGGATATCTAGTTTCAAGCCTTTCGAACACTTGCAACTAGATCTGACTCTCAGAGCTCGTCCCGGATGGGGTGTAACAAGATACAAATTCATAATATCGCTTATAATCCAGGATGAACGACCCAGACGATTCCAAAAAGCTCAAGCAGCTCGGCCCAGAGATAACGTTCGGAGACGACAGCCTGAACCCTTCGGTAGTAGACCTACCCTATGCCTACGACCAAGATCGCAACAAATCTACTCGGAGCACGGCAAACGATGTCTACAGCTCTAGTGGTGGGATCGAGATGACCTCGTTCCGTCGGCCGTCGGCAGCCGCCGCCTCGGAACGAGAACGCTTCAGGAGGTTCTCTCAACTCAGCTCGAGTGGAGCCAGGCCCGAGGTGGAATCGCAACAGACGCCGTCTATACGGGAATCCATTTCTAGGATAGAAGAGGAGCCTACCGGAGCTGATGCTATAGATAGGGGTACTGTCGATGGCGGTTTCGGTTGGGTTATCGTGGCCTGTAGGTCAGGAGAATCGCACTCTGCGATCATCGGTTGTCAGCTCATGTCAAGATCTTGCAGGCACCTTCACCATCGCTTTCCACTTTCTGGGATTCTTGTTCAGTTGGGGTGTGATCCAATCGGCCCTCCTCGAACAGGGTCTGGCTAGCACCAGGCTGCTCAGTATAATCGGTGGAGTCGCAACCTTTTGGAATGCAGCTGGATGTTTCCCCGTAAGTTCAGCCTGTTGTTGAGCTCCATTGTAGTCATGACCTGTCTTCTGAAACCGTCTTTCTAAACTTTTTTTGCAGGCCGAACGCCTCGTCAGACGTTTCGGCAGACGGGCAATAGGCTTGACAGGCGTCTCGATGCACGCATTCGCCTGCATCGTCTCGAGCTTTTGTCCGCGCAGCTACGCGGGGTTGCTCATCCTGCAAGGGTTGATTCAGGGATTCGCCTGCGCCATGCAGTTCATGGTCAGTACCTTGTAGGCCTCGAGTGCGGATCAAATAGATTATAGCTGAAAGACGGATCTTTGTAGACGGTCTACCCGTTGCCGGCAACGTGGTTCTTGCGGAAACGAGGGATTGCCATCGGGATTACATGTACGCTCTGTCTGCTGGAAATCGCAACTGAATTGCTGATTTCGACGAAATTTACGGTTATAGCCTGCGGTGGTGGCTTAGGAGGTGCCGCATGGTCCGTGGTGAGTTGTCAACCATGTCTTGCCGCGATTGAACAAAGCTGAAATCATACTCGTCTTTTCGCAAGATCGTCGAAAAGGTCATTCAGAAGTATGGGCTGCCTTGGGCGTTCCGAGTCATGGGTGAGCATCGTCCCGCGCCCACAATTATCGTTCCCCATCGCTCATGAACAATGCATCTAGGTCTGAGCTTGCTGGTGGCGGGACTCGTAAGTGATCTCGCGACCGAACCTTATCCAATACAGGCTGACCACGATTTATCGTGTAGCCCGCTGCATGGATTCTGCGAGATGGACCGATTCGATATCAACGTCAACCTCATCAGACTGTGAACGAGCCCAGCTTGTTACGCTCGAGACCGTTTCAATGGTTTATGGGCGCTTGTTTGGTGGTTTCGTACCCGTTCTTCATTCCCGCCTTTGTGAGTGATTAGCTGTGGTAAGAATTATGTGCAGACAGATTGACACGCCGTTGGCCTTCTAGTTTATCCCACAGTACAGTGAGTGGGAAGAAGAAAATTCGCCGACTTCGTTCGTGAAACGGAGAGCTGAGGTGCACGACCTTTTCTACAGCCGTTTCTGTCGGATATGGCTCTGGCACAGGTGCCCTGTTCGGAGCTGTCTACAACTTGGCTTCGGGAGCTGGACGTATCGGGTTCGGGGTACTGGCGGATCTGGTTGTTGGCGTGAGTCACAAGTGGCCGCTTTCATTGCGAATCTATTGATCAGACTAAACGGACGACCTGGTGACATACAGAGCCTTACCGCTTGGATAATCGCCTTGTTCTGCATCGCGCTCAGCACACTGACGATCTGGCCGTTTGCCACCGCTCAGGGAGCCATCGTGATGTAAGTCTGCGAATCCGCTTGCCCTTGCCTCATGTCCACACAAGTTGATGCTCGTTCTATCAACATCACGCGCTGCCAGCTTCACCATCATCGTCGGGATGGGCTCGGGCGGCTTCTTTTCGTTGCAAGGATCGATCGTCGGCCAACTCGTCGGTTCTCACCGGATCGACAAGGCCATCGGCATCATCGAGCTGATCGAAAGCGTCGGGTTCTTCGCTGGTCCCGTCACTGCCGGTCTGTTACTAGACGCCTTTGGTGGTCCTGAAGCGGGGCCTGCTGCGTATCGACCTGCGATGGTGAGTGACGAGTCGAGCCGTAGGATTAACAAACGATTGTTCAACTATGACACAATTCTATAGTGGCTCGTTGGGGGAACGTCTGCGCTGGCCGTAGTGATGGCCATCAGGATGCGATGGTTGTACGATCCCAAAGTTTTTGTCAAGGCGTAGTCGCGCCCTACATTCATTATCCTCACATGCAAATGCACATTTTTCTACTTCTATGTGTTGGGTATACAATCAGGCCTCGTTTCGACGACACCTATGCCTGCGCTTTCAAGTCCTTGATATGCTGATTGATAAACTCCTGCTTGTCCAAGACGTCCGAGCTGACGTGCTTTGCCCCACCGATCTTGCCGAGACATTTCTAGCAACGGTGCCAACACCGTTAGCCCTGACAAGACACTTCTCACCATCTAGCCTCGTCCACTCACCTCGCTCCCGCACAAGCAATCAAAGGGAACTCCCATATCCCACTCGGTACTCGGGTAAAAGAACGTCAACGTCTCTCCCTTCTTGATCCCCTTGCTGAGCGTCTTGAGTTTCCAGGAAGAAGGGAAATCGGCAGGCTGACGAGGCGTGGACCGAGCGGGTCGTTCGGTCAGGTCGAAAAAGACGTTGGGTTCGCAAGAATGGTTGACTGCAAGTTCAAAACCAGATAAATTATGTCGCATCGATGTCGGGGCTTGATAGGGGTCGTTCAGGCCGGTCAAGCACTCACTAAAGAGTAGATCCGAATTGAGCTCGAAATGATCATCCGCTCCCGACCCATATTGTACGCTCGAGTACGCTTTAACTCCGGAAGTCAGATTCCTCAATTGGCAGATGGTAGAGTGGGGTGCAATGTCCTGGTCGACGGCAAAGTATAAATCGTTCGTCAGGTAGCCGTCACTCGTGATGATTGATGCGCCAGGACTGACCTGCTCGGCGACGAGATAACTCGAATACGTATCCTCGCCGTCGTCCCCCTGCCCCTTCTCGAGTACGACCTTGAGCAAGCCTGGATGAGTGGGTCTGTAGCTAGAAGCCAACTCTGGGGTAGGCTTCTTGTACGGGGTATAAGTGTCGGCCGGCGACGTGCTGGTGCGGTCGGATCCGAGTGCGATGGTCATCGTGATGCAGTGCCTAACTCGTCGTCTATAACTGTAGATTTATTGGGACGTTGGTAACAATGAAGCGTTTCGAACCAAATTCATAAATGGTGTACTGGTGCTAAAGTACAGAAGTTACACCTTGCAACCTCGACACATTCCCCGGTCGAATGACGACCCCTATTCCCCTTTCATCCGGCGGGCGGCCCCTTTCACCCACAGAAGCACCCGCTCTCGGCCGCAAGAGTCCGGCAATCGTCACACGTCATCCATACCCGGAAGGAAGCCCGGAGGTTGAATACCGCTAGACCCCCGAGGTTTACCAGATCAACATGCCTCCATCGACAAAGACCTCGGACCCGGTCATGTAGCTAGAATGCTCCGAGAGCAACAACAAGACGGGAGGAGCTTGTTCCTTGGGTTGCGAGTACTAGATTGAACACGCGGTCGGAGGGTCAGCTCGCAGTTCTCAGGTCGAGCATCTTCAAGGCGAACGCGAAAAACCTACCCTTCGGAGCGGGACGCTGTCCTCGTGGAACTTGCGGACAGCAGGAGCGTGCACACCAGACTGTTCAGTCTCGACGTACCCGGGGCTGACGATGTTGACCCGGATGCCATGGCTGCAGGGCGAGTCGACACATTTGGCGAATCGACTGTCAGCTGGCGACGTCTTGTGCGGTGTCTACCAATATGCGGAACTCACGGAGCCCATTCAGCGGCCAAGTTCTTGGCCAAGCTGGAGACGGCCGCCTTGGACGAGTTGTAAAAGACCTACAACGATAACACCCAGCACATCAGTTTCAGACCGCTCTATCGCGTCAAGTTTTCCTTGCGGGAGATTGACGAAACTCACATGTCGCAAAGGCTCGTTCAAGGCGGACTGGTTGTAGATCTGCGAGCTCATCGACGAGATGACGACGATCGATCCTGTACGACGTTGCCGGGGAAAATGACAATGACAATGACGAGGAAGGACGTGCAAAAGGAAGGAGTCAGCTTATCTCGTCTTATCTTCGTTCCGTCTGTTAACACGAGTGATATCCCGGAACTCACCCTCGGTAAACTTGGTCTTGACCCAATACTTGGCTGCGGCCTGGGCGATGTAAAACACGCCGAGGACGTTGGTCCTGTCTGCGAGCAGTAAGCAGGGTTAAAGCAGACGTCCGGTAGGTCCATAGGACGATGATGATGATGATGATGATGATGATGATGATGATGATGATGATGATGATGATGATGATGATGATGATGATGATGATGATGATGACGATGACGACGAGAGGTATGTTGAAGACATTAGCCGCGACTCGGAGACTTGGGGAATCTGGGGGAATTAGGGCTTACACATGACTACCCCCCCCCCCCCCCAGGATCATTCCAGTAAAGCCCAAGTCGAGTCGATGCGATGGGGTTGGGTTGATGAGAATAAGGCGTAAACGAACCACACCGATACGAAGAGAGAAGAGAGAAGAGAGAACAGAGAAGAGGAGAGATCTCATATCAGTGAGCCATAACAGGATCGTATACGGTATCCGGACCATATGGGGACAAGGCAAGGGAGAAAGAGAGGCAAGGGGGGAAAGGAAGCTCACAGTCGAACTCTTCCCCTCCTACTTCCAGGGCGTCCTTGACGATGGCTACTCCGGCGTTCTGTGAGACGCATTTGTTCAGTTTATTGTTAGGTCCCAAGCCCCAGCGAGGACAAGAGGAAGAGGAAGGAAGGAAGAAGAGTTGCCGGGGCGAGGGGAGGGGATACGGCGGGTGATGGGTTGATGGATATTGCGAGAGAAGAAGAGAGACAGAGAGAGAAAGTCGTAGAGGAGGAGGACGAGGGCCGAAGGGAACGGGAAAGAACAACAGTATGATAGCAACGTCTCGTCAACATCAAAATCAAACCCCACAGCCCAGCAGGCTTTATCAGCGTATACCGCGACTCACAGCGACGACCCCATGCAACCCCCCCTCTTTACCGAACCCTTGTACGACCTCCTCAAAAGCCTCCCCGACCCTCTTCTGGTCGGTAACATCACACTGTACAGCGAAAAACCTTTGCCGGGGGAACTCTTTTTCTAACCCCTGAGCGACTTGGGGGGCGGAGGAGGAAGAACGGTAGAGGATGGAGACGTTTCCGCCGGCTTGGGCGATGGATCGGGTGAGGGCTAGGCCGATCCCGCGGTTTCCGCCGGTGACGATGAAGTTCTATGAAAGGTTCGTCGAGTACGGGGTTGGTGTGGAAGATGGCACAGTATGTTGTGATCAGTATGGAGTATCGTGTTTTCGATCAGAATGGGAATGCCAGGAGGTGGACGAGGTGACTCGTAGCTCGTTGCCGATATGATACGGTACGCGGGGGACATACCTTGTTCTTGAAATCGATAGTGAAGACCATGTTTGTCGGTGCCGATGAGCTGTTGTCGTTGCTGTTGTGAGTATGTATATTCGGACTGCTTGGATAGCTTCCAAAGCTCGAGAGTGACAGGTCGATCTGTACACCCTCTCAGACATATATATATACCCTCTGTCCCCTGAACTCTGTTGCTGTCGGCGATGACCGTGCTCGTCCCTTTGTATGACCCCACCGCCTACACGATCACCCCAAAGCCACCCATCACCTACCTCGAAGCCAACGAGCGTACGCCGTCTATCTCCCCCCTCTCGTTGAATCGACTTTGATGACGGGCCCCTTGTCTTGTTTACGTATCATATCATACCTCCCTTTCCGAGAATACACAAAGGGGGACAGTCGACGGACGACATCGAATCGACGATAATCGCGTACAGAAGGGTTCGCGGACCGTATCCCGGTGGGGCATTTCATCGTGCGCACATACTACTGTACTACTGTAGAGCAGCACGAAGGGATCGAGCTGAAGGAGGTCGAAAGGAATGAAGGTCGAGGCAGAAAAGGACCTCCTTTAGACTCCCCGACCTTCCTTTGGTTTGTGGAGTCGAAAGCTAATCCTCGACTTACGGTTCGGCGCGGGATCGACAATGACGAGGTGGTGGAGGTGGGATGTAGGAAGGATCTGCATCTTTGCATCGTTGATCTTTGATTATTCTATCGTATATCGTATTCCAACTTCGTCTCGTTACTCGATACTTGAAGGAAACCGTGGCATATCGAGATACATTACCACCAAGACGAAGAAGAAGACGAAGAAGAAGAAGAGGAAGAAGCCAAAGTAACCCCTAACCCCAAACATCCATTCGGATTACTATATGTCATCATGTAGCCTGTAGCCTGTATCCTGTATCCTGTATCCGTGCGTTCTGTACGTCCGTGCGGCGATACTCTATAGTACTACGCTACTACACTACACATGATCCTTTCGGGTCCTGGTCTCTAGTCCGGTCTGTGCTGTGGGTCGAATCACGGCGCGGAGTCGCATATCACCCGTTGCCAGTTGCCAGTTGCCAGTTGCCAGTTGCCAATCGCCGATCACACCCCACACCTCGACGTTTTCCTCCAATCCAAAGGCTCGTGTCTCAAAACCGAAACCTCCTGCTACAGTATGTGCGAGACCCTACAGTACTCGATCGCCCGATTAAGATGGCTCTCGAGTTGATCTGTCACCCCAGTCCTCTCGTCAATCTCCCATCGGGATCTCTTGCGCTCTTCCTCTCTCAACGCTCGACGCTCGACGTTCCAACGATCGCTGCTAAGCTTACGTCTCTCATCCCTCATCTCCATCTCCATCTCTCATCTACATCTCCATCGCTCAATCGGGGGACACCATTCGGATCTCGATCAATTCTGTTCGAGAGAGATGCATTCTGATAGTAATATTCGAATATTATAACATGACAGGCTTGAATCCGTGAGAGGCGTACATCCTCCCGCCTTATGTCTTCCGTCTGAGCGCCCAATTAGCATGGGCCGCTCTGATCGTCTGATCGTTTGGTCGTCTGGTCGTCCGATCGTTCAATCGTCTGGTCGTCCTATCATCTAAATCCACCGTCTACGGTCCGCCGACCGACAACCTCAGCCCTTTCCCGCCAACCTCATCCCGCATCCCGCCAACCTCATCCCTTTCCCCCATCCCCCGTCCCGCTGCCCCCACAGATCGAGATCATACCGAACCGATCCCACCGAGGCGACAATCCTACTTGGTACTCTCATCCTCCGCGCTCGACCTGGAAGTACCCAAAGGCTGATCCTGTTTGTCCTGAGAGTATTGGGGGTTGGCGGGTGAACGGACGGTGAAGTCTTTGCCGGACTGTTTGGTCGTTTTTCGGTGTTGTTGAGGAAGGATGGAGGAGGTGAGGGATGGAGGTGGTGGGGTTTTTCGGATGGGGTTTGTTGGGTGGGGTTTGTTGTTGATGGAGTTTGTTGGTAATTGGTGAGGGGATGGAGGAGGATGGAGGATGGAGAAGCGAGAGGAAGGAGATGAAGAGGAAGATGTAGATGGAGAGGTGAAGGAAGATGAACGGGCACATCAAAAGACAGGAAATAGTCAGCTTCGCTCAGTCTACTCGACCGCACATGCATAGAAGCGACGAGATCTCAAGAGGACCAAGGGGGAAAAACGCTCCGACTGACCTCCTTCTCCACCCCCTCAGCGGCCTCTTCCGGCCCTTTACTGGTATCGTACGCGGAATCGCTCTTCGCTACATCGTCGATCCCCGCGCCCAAGCTCCCCGATTCGTCGGAATACAACTCCATCTTGCCCTTGTCGCTGGCCAGCCGAGTGGGGGTTGTCGAGAACGCTCTAACCCTCGTCGCCTGCATTTGTCGCGGTTGTTGGAATGAGGATTGTTGGCGAATAGAAGAAGAGATACGGGAAGACATGCTCGGTCGCACGGGGAACGAGGCGAGTTCGATGTTCAAGGTGGACCCGGCGGAAGGTTGTCGGACCAACGGGGTTCGACAGAGGGTCTTGAAGGTCCGGACGAAGGATGTCATGGTGTTACGAGTTGCGTGGGTATTGTGTGTGTGTGTAATGTGGGTGTATCGTTTGTATGTCGTCGTTGTCGTCAGATGCTGTTGAAGGATCTGAAGGATCGATCCTCAAACTTGACCCACAGTAGTACAGTCTCGAGGTCCAGCCTACCAACGAGGGCGAGAACGGTGAGGTCAGACTGTTCGCCACCCCCAAAGTGACGTCACCGAGCGATAAAACGTCATCACTCCCCAAAAGTGGAAACAGACATCCTGCAAATACTCTGATGTCCGTTATTCACCTTCTTCCCGGCCGAACGAGGAATAACCGGCCGGGAGTTCCCGCGGCCGCATTTCCTAAATTGCTTCCGTGGACCAGATCGCTGAAACGATCCTCTCTCGGTTAGCGGTTAGCCGGTTATGACGGGCGTAAGGTGCGATTCACGGGGTTTCACCTTTCGAAAGTCGGGGTCGAGTCAGCTGTTTGTGCAAAGAGATCCCGTCTCCTTGCTGCTTGCTAGTATCCTGGGTCTGGATCACTTGCGAAGTGGGAAACCGTGGGCCTTGGGTGTTATTCGGGGCAGTTACCGAGAGAGGGTTGTTGGAGTATATATAACAAGTCTGGAGTAGGTTATCTTTGTGGGCGAAAGTATACATCGAATTCCGACCTCGACTTCGTATACGATTCTCGTAACCCGAAACATCACACGCTGCATTTCGATCCCCGTAACCCCTAACCCCTAAGAGGCCCTCGAACATCATGTCCGAACAAGAACTCCAAGCTTACCGAGCCGAAGTAGAAGCCGTCAAAGAATGGTGGAAGGTGAGTCTCTCGTCCCCCTTTTTCCCATACCCTTGTCTTTACCCGCAACCTCCTCTCCCTACCCTTAAACTAACTAACTTATCCACCCCCACTCCCACCCCCATTCCCCTTCTTTCCCTTTCACTCTCATCTCGAACTCTTTCCACATCATATCGATATCGTATTTTATCGTAGCACCCCCGTTTCTCCAGAGTCAAACGGACCTACACCGCAGAAGAGGTCGTCAACAAGCGCGGTACCCTCCCTATCGCTTACCCGTCGAACGCGATGGCCAAGAAGATGTGGGCGCTTTTGGAGAGTAAAGCGAGGGGGGAAGGTGGGGGGTGTAGTATGACTTATGGCGCGTGAGTCCCGAGTTCAGGCGAGGTGGGGGTTGGGAGTGTTCGGGTATATATGGGAGGATCGGTGAAAGTGGAGAAGATGTCATGTCGAGGATTCGAAGTAGGCTGACCTGACCTGACCTGGTGATTCTCCCCTACATTCGTATGGTTTCGTTACATATTCCAGCCTCGACCCCGTCCAACTCACCCAGATGGCCAAGTACCTAGAGACAGTCTACGTATCAGGCTGGCAATCATCCTCGACCGCCTCTTCTTCCCTAGAACCCGGCCCGGATCTCGCCGATTACCCTTCGAATACCGTCCCCCTGAAGGTGGCGCAGCTGTTCACGGCGCAGTTGTTCCATGATCGGAAACAACGGTTTACTAGGTTGACTACACCCAAGGATAAGAGGGAGGGGTTGGGGAAGCCGGTTGATTATTTGAGACCTATTGTTGCGGATGCTGATACCGTGAGTCTTGAGTCGATTTGCCCTGCTCGTCCTCGTCCTCGTATGGGCCGCGAGGCGATGAAGAATGCTTGGTCGGCTGACGAAAGTGATTTTGTGTACGATTGGACTTGCAGGGCCATGGTGGACTGACGGCTGTCATGAAGTTGGCCAAGATGATGGTGGAAGCCGGAGCAGCTGGGATCCACATCGAAGATCAAGCACGTGAGTAGGCCCATCTCTCTTTTCAGGTCCGGAAGGCCATGGAGCTAAAAGGGTTTGGCGTCGTCTTCGCCGCCGCAGCTGGTACGAAGAAATGCGGCCACATGGCCGGTAAAGTCCTCGTCCCCATCTCCGAACACATCAACCGTCTCGTCGCCATCCGATTACAATACGACATTATGGGGGTCAACAACCTCGTCATCGCCCGAACGGACTCTGAGGCGGCGACGTTGATCACGTCCAACGTCGACGAGAGGGACCACGCGTTCATCCTCGGGACCACCAACGCCGAGTTGAAACCGTTGGTCTCGATCATGCACGCGGCCGAGTCCAAGGGGCATTCTGGGGATCAACTCCAGGCTCTCGAGGACGAATGGCTCAAACAAGCCCGGTTGGAGCTTTACCCACAGACCTTGGCCCGGGCGCTCAAATCCCGAGGCGTCTCCACGCAAGACGTCCAGCGCTTCACCGACAAAGTCTCCGGGACGGCGCATGCGAGCCGTGAAGAGTCTCTCCGGGTTGCCAAAGAAGAGTTTGGGTTGAAGCAGGAACCGTATTGGAACTGGGACGCTCCGAGGACGAGGGAAGGGTTTTATCGATACCAGGGGGGTACCAAGTGTGCCATCAACCGAGCGATCGAGTTTGCGCCGTTTGCCGGTAGGTCCTATCTCTCTCTTTCACCACGCTGAAACGTCCTCTCGTCGGAAATATGACACTGATCGTGCCCTGTTGGATAGACCTCTTGTGGATGGAGACCAAATCGCCCATCTACGCTCAAGCCAAAGAGTTTGCCGACGGCGTCCACGCCAAACGACCCGGTCATTGGTTGGCATACAACCTCTCGCCTTCATTCAACTGGAGGGCTGCCGGGCTGAACGACCAGGATATGAAGGAATACGTCTGGAAGTTGGGCGCGCTCGGGTTCATGTGAGTTTCGGCCTACTTGGCTGAAATCCGGGCTATGACTGCGGGACACTGACGATCTGATGATCTCGCTCGACAGTTGGCAATTCATCACCCTCGCCGGACTCCACACCAACGCCCTGATCTCGAACCGGTTCGCCAAAGCCTTCGCCGTCGACGGCATGAAGGCCTACACGACGATGATCCAAGAACAAGAGATCGCCGACGGGTGCGAGGTCGTCAAACACCAAGCCTGGTCCGGAGCCGAGTATGCCGACGCCATGCTCATGACCGCAACCGGTGGGATCAGCAGTACCAGCGCGATGGGTGGCGGAGGGTCGACAGAGACGCAGTTTAGTGGGATCAACCTGAGCAAGCTTTGATCCGGTGGTATGATGCAGGAAATAGAATGGATGGAATTGCCGTTGTATAGATAATCAAGCACGGAAACAGTGAAGAGTCGTTTGGCATAAAGATGCAATGTCGTGATATGATATGTATTATGAGTCGAAAGGGTATATTGCTCTTGAGAACCGTTCCTGTCCTGCCCGTTTAAGGGTCGCCGTGCCGGTCCACTCTACTTTGCTATCGGCAGCCCTTTCCTGCGTTTGGAAATCACATCACCGAATGACGATCAGCTTCCCGCCGCACACATAAACACAAACACACCAAACCCGGCCCGGTACGCTTTAGAATTATCAGACTCACCTTCGAAACAACCTCCCCAACTCGTCCGCTAGACCTCCATCAACGCCTTCTCCCACCTGGACGTCGAAATCGATCCTGATGAAGCTCTCCTTCAATTCTCCTGCTTTATAGACGAGTACGCTGGGGAGGACGTCTGGGTCGGACCGCGATTGCGGTTGCGATTGCGTTGCTCCGTCTCTTGCATCGTCATCGTGATCATCACCATCATGATCGTCTTCCCGTTCCTCCGGTATCGTAGAGGGCTGAGATTGAGATTCGGGTAACAAGGAAAAGGACAACGAAGTCGCTCTGGCTTTGAGGAAAGAGACCATCGGATTCGACGGGTTGGACGAGGAGAGGTCGACGAACGCTTGGATGAAGGGTTGACACCGTGGAAGGTCCTATGATACCGCATATCAAGTCAAGTCAAATCAGTCATCGCATTTTTTACAAGAAAAACCAAGTTTTCTATCTGATCGACTGAATCAACGGGAAGAGAGGAGAAGCTCACTCACCGGCTCGTAAAGCAAGACCGCCGTCCATCCAGACCCTTCGACGGCTTTCAAGAACCCCTCGGGCCCGACCTCTCTCAGTCGATTTTTCTCTAGCTTCCAATCGTCGTTCGTCTCGTCCTGTCCATCCCTGTCCTCGGTACTATGATTCAGACCATCGTGGTTTCGTTGTTGTTGCTGCTTCATCTCCTGTAACCGCCGTTCTCTCCATTGCCGTCTGAACGCCTGATCATCGTCCTCGTCGTCGCCCTCGCCCTCGTGCTGACCATCGTCGATGTCCTTTTCCTTCCCATCCCCATCAAGGACCTTCCCATTCAGCCTCTCCCTCTGTTCCTCCGCCCGATCCTGATACTCCTCATCATGCGTCTGAGCTTGAAAGCTCTTGCTCTCCAGATATCGATTCCGTTCGTCGATAGTCAACTTCTGAAGGTCGAGGTCGGTTTCCGTTTGCCTTTGAGCGTCCGCCTTGATCCCTTTGACGCCGGTTTGTGGGCCTGCTTGGGGAGGTTGAGGGTGGTCGGCCATGGCAGACGTAGTGCTATGGAGGATACGAGTGAGGTACTCGGATTGAATAAAGGATAGTCGAATGGTTTAGGCAGTCGAAGTCGATGTAGATGATCAAACAAAGCTCTGAATGTCGCGATTCCTCTTTCGGATCAGACCGAGGTCGAGCGCTTTTGCTATGTTCATCATCGTAACTACAACCATGCACCACGACCAGACCTCTCTGATTATAGATCAAAGTCTCTTGAGGACGTCTCGTCTTGGACAGAGAATCCTATCAAATTTCAGCTGTACAAGTGCGACTTGATCGAAAGTCCATCGCGACCCTAGCCATCTACGAGCAGGATGCCGCCTCTTTCCAGTAAGTTCAACTCCGGACTTTCAGCTGGAATTTCATGCTCAAAGCACATCGCATGGATCACCCTCAGTGTATTGCCTCTGGCTGATGCCATCTCCTACCGACCACGAACGTCTCTCCGTGCAGATCAAGAAGCTCGCAGACCGGTCACCTGCAGACGATCCATCACCGGTCTTTGACCCGCACGTTACCTTTCTCTCGGGGTTGTCCTTGGAGACGGACGTAGAGGTGCTGAAACGTTATGTCAAGCGAGGTCTCAAGGCCTGGTGGAACGAAAGCGAGGGTTCTTTCGGGGACGGCCAGGGCAAGTCGGGTTCATCGCAGCTGAACTCGTACTTGAACTTGAACTTGGACTTGGAAAAACCGATCAACGGCGGGTCGTTTTATACCGCCATGATCTACCCCGTCGCACAAGAACCCACAAAACCCAGCTCATCGGACGAACACCAACCTCATACTCCATCTCCATCTACCCCATTCGACCGCCTGCTGACCGGCCGGACGACCCTCCAGAACCTCCTCTCCCGCTATTACCCTCCTCAACCTGAAGGCTATGAACCAAAACCATATTTCCCTCACCTTTCCTTGCAATACTCTTCGTTACCCAAATCAGACTTAGAGCCCATCACCCGTCAATTTATCGTCGAAGAAGAGCGAGAATCGACCTTGGCGAGCAAGGTAGAGCTGGATAGATGTGCTCTGGTGCGGCTTGATGGGGAGGTGCGGGAATGGGAGGTCGTGGCGGTTTACGAGCTGGATGGGGAAGAGATACAGTACGAGTAGTCGGATAGGAGCTATACTGTAGGAGCCCTTCTGAGGTCGTGAGAGGTTCAGAGGATGTCGTCATGCTACACTACCCGGGAGTGTAGACGAACGATCGTCCCGGCGCATACTCGGGCGGGCCATACTAGCAGAATGCCAAGAAGCCAAGCGGATCACATACTTACAGATATGCGGCGCCTGCCTCTGCCTCGTATGCTCGTATGTTAGCTTCGAAGTCCCGTTAGCCAAACGACGTTACGACGTACGACGTCTATACGAGCGAAACCTTATTCGAGCGACTGAAGATATGCCCTTTACGCGCGAAGCGCGCACTTCGAAAATGGAGGACGGTCGTCGAATGGCCGTTGGACGCTCGTATGAAGGTGGCGAGATCGTAAGACGTACGTTGGATGAAATGGAATGACTCGAGCGAGCCAGGACGCAGGATTCTCGGTCGTCTCTCGTTCCATATATATGTACACCAGCTGGATGCGAACCGTCACAGACGAGGAATCAGGGAACGAACTCGCCTCCAACTGGTAACACAGCACACAAACAGCGAATCATCTGAATACAACCCCTGATCCTGCTTATCATAGCTCACATCGATCTGCCGATCATCAATCGGAATGATCCCTATCCACTTGACCTCCAACCGGAATGAATCTCATACACGGTCGGAGCTCGACCAGTCGATCCCGCTCACACCGATGGGTGGACCCAAGCCGACTCTTGCCGGCCGGGCTCCGTCCGAGTTGACACTCGATCAACACGAGACCGTCACTCGCCTCGCCAGGCAACTCACCGCGCATTCCTTAGAGACTCCCCTCTGTGCTAGCCCAGGACATGACGATCCTCGACAAGTCGACTCCCGTGATAGCCTCGACAGCCTGGACTTGTTCGAAGCGAAAAAGGATAGCAAGCTCGACCCGTTCTCGCCCAACTTTGACGCGATGGGTTGGGCGAGACGGATCATGGACATTTACCGCAGAGACGCCGAGAACAACCCTCTACGCTCCGTCGGCGTGTCGTTCAAGAATCTGAGCGTATTCGGTTACGGGAGCGATTCAGAGTATCAACCCACCGTCGCCAATATCGTCTTGTCGTTAGCGAGTCAGGTCAGACAGCTCGTCAGCTCCAACAAGCGCAAAGTGTCCATCCTCAACAACTTTGACGGGTTACTTGAGGCGGGCGAGATGTTGGTCGTTCTCGGACCGCCAGGAAGGTGGGCAAGATTCTCGCCAGACAGCCTTACCGCCGATCGGAGCTAACAGAGCTGACGTATGGTGGCAATTCACAGCGGCTGTTCCACGTTTCTGAAGACCCTTGCTGGAGAGATGAACGGGATCTACAGATCGGAAGAATCGATGCTCAATTACCAAGGTCCGTCTTCCCTCTTGTCTAAGACCATTTCCCTCAGCCTGTGCTTATCTGTCTCGTGATTCGATTATACGCTAGGTATCACGCCGGAGATCATGCATCAAGCCTACAGGTACGTCGCCGTCTCAGACTGACAGGACAGTCCTGCCCCCCCAGCATTGACGTTGATTCGTTCGCCGTACCTTCCGTAGGGGAGAAGCGATCTACTGCGCCGAGGTCGAGTCCAACTTTGCCACGTTGACCGTCGGTGACACACTACAGTTCGCCGCCGAGAGTCGATGCGTAAGGAGGATATGGCCTCAAAACGCTCAGAAACGATGTTTTGCTGATGGATACGACTTCGATCAGCCAAAGAACCCGCCAGGCGGGGTCAGCCGGAAGGAATTCGCCTTACACATGCGGAACGTGGTTATGGCCTTGCTCGGTATCATCCACACGGTCAATACCAAGGTTGGTTCCGATGTCGTCCGTGCGTGCACTTCTCGGCCATTGATGGTAACCGACAAGAGGCTAATTTAAATCGACTCAATGTGATCAGGAGGCGTCTCCGGCGGAGAGTGAGTTGTGAAACGCAAAACCTTTGCGAGTAGATTCGATAACTGACTATCTGTCTGGTGGCAGACGGAAACGGGTCTCGATCGCCGAAGTTCTGTTGGCCGACTCGCCACTGCAGTGCTGGGACAACAGTACTCGAGGACTTGACAGCGCCACTGCCGTAGAATTTTGCAACACCCTGAGGATGTCGTCGGACCTAGCCAACGTTACTGCCGTTGTCGCCATATATCAAGCACCGCAGAGCGCTTACGATGTAAGTATCACTCAACCCCGCGATGAGTCACACCGTACTGATCAGAGAGCACGATAGATGTTCGACAAGGTCTCTGTCCTTTACGAATCTGAACAAATCTTTTTCGGAAGGACCAATGAAGCCAAGAGATATTTCGAAAAGATGGGGTACGAATGCAAACCAGGGCAGTCCACACCGGATTTCCTGACGTCCTTGACGAACGCATCCGAGAGGATCACACGAGCTGGCTTCGAGGGCAAGGTGCCCAAGAACCCCTCCGAGTTTGTTCGATACTGGAAGCAGAGTTCGGAATACTCCCAGCTGCTTTCTGATATCGACGCTTACAACGCCCGTCACCCGATTGGTGGCGGTACTAGCGACGCCTTTTCGACATCGCGCCGGGCGCAACAAGCTGATGGCAAGTGAGTGTGCGCAGCGACAGTCTGAAACGCGCTTTTGCATTTAAGACTGAAACACGCGCGTCGCGGTAGACGCCGCAATTCTCCTTACACTCTGACATACACGCAGCAGGTCAAGCTCTGCTTACGTCGCAGTTTTTGGCGGATCGCAGCCGAACCGGCCCAGCCAGTGTTCGAATTGAGCGCCAATGTTGTCATGTCTCTAGCCTTTTCCAGCGTTTTCTACAACCTTTCCGACGTGCGTTGTACATGGGCGCCTGATAGGCAAGACATCAGTCGAAGCTCATCACATCCGCGTCTTTTGTAGGACACTGCTAGCTTTCAGCAGCGAGCCGGAGTAATCTTTCTCGCGATGCTTCTAGCCGCCTTCGCGTCGGCCCTAGAAGTACGGCGTTTTGACCCTGATCCACGTTCTCGAGAGACGCTAACTACTCGCTTGCAGATCATGGTCCTGTACGAACAACGACCCATCGTTGAAAAGCACGCTCGCTATGCTTTTATACACCCTTCCGCGGAGGCATGGGCGTCCCTGATCAGCAGCCTTCCCTACAAGGTCGTCAATGCGACGTTGACCAGTCTCGTCTATTACTTTATGGCCAATCTTAACCGACAACCCGGAAACTTCTTCTTCTTTCTCTTCCTGGCTTTTCTCCTGACGATGGCCATGAGCTTGTTTTTCAGAGCGGTGTCGGCTCTGTCTCGGTCGATGATTCAGGCCATGGTGCCTGCAGGTCTGCTGATTGTGGCAATGATTACCTTTTCTGGTGAGTAAGCGCAATCCCCGACAGTCTCGAGGTGGCCCAGCGAAACCCACCTTCTATGAAACAGGTTTTGTGATCCCCTACGACGATATGCGCGGGTGGTCCAAGTGGATGTGAGCTTCCCGATGAATTGCGCCATCACAACATGAGGCTGACCGATCTTGTTCAATGCAGTATCTGGCTGGATCCCTTTTAGTAGGTTCAGATCGAGATCCATCCCATCTGAACTAGCTCTGAAGCCTTTCGTCTACTCCAGCTATGCATTCGAAGCCCTCTTGATCAACGAATTCTCAGGGCGGTACTTCCCTTGTTCCGACATCGTCCCATCGGGTCCCGGCTATCCCGATTCCACGTCAGAATTTGCGACGTGTTCGACGCAAGGGTCGGTCCCTGGGAGGCCCTTAGTTTTCGGCGACGACTTCATCAGGGTCACATACAATTACCAGACGGGAAACAAATGGAGGCAAGTCGAGCGGGGACTAGCCATCCGCGCAAAGTATTAAAGTCGACGCTTTTCGCTTCAGAAACGTTGGCATCTTGTTTGCTTTCAACTTCGGATTGCTGGTGATCTATATGATCGCTGCCGAACTCGTGACCGCCAAGAAGAGCAAAGGTGAAGTCCTGGTCTGGCCTCGATCACGATCCAAGGACGCGATGGACACCCGGAACGGCGACATTGAGCACGCGTCCAAAGAGATGCCAGTTCGGGCTGATGACCTGACCAACCACCGGTCTGATGCCCTGGCAAGCCTCCCTAAGCAGGCGGTTTTTTCATGGTCCAACATATGCTACGATATCAAGATCAAGGGAAACGAACGTCGAATCCTTGATCATGTCGATGGGTGGGTCAAACCGGGGCAACTTACAGCCTTGATGGGCGTGAGTGGAGCGGGCAAAACAACCTTGCTCGATCTGTTGGCCACCAGGATCACCATGGGAGTGGTAACGGGTGAGACGCTCGTGGACGGCCGGCCGATCGATGCCTCGTTTCAGCGCAAGACCGGATATGTTCAACAGCAAGTGAGTCGTTCCGTAAGGATCAGATAACCCAGGACAGACTGACGTCGACTATTGGCAACTTCTAGGACCTACACCTTCCTTCCAGCACAGTGCGCGAAGCTCTGGCTTTCAGTGCTCTACTCCGTCAGCCGGCTTCGGTCTCGTGTGAGGCGAAACTTGCTCATGTCGAAGAGGTCTTGGAATTGCTCGAGATGAGCGCATACGCTGACGCGGTAGTGGGCGTCCCTGGAGAAGGTTTGTAGCCTAGTACAAGGCTATCGAGAGCACTGTCACTGATATTCGGCGGCACAGGACTCAACGTCGAACAGCGCAAACGCCTTACGATAGGTGTCGAGCTGGCAGCTAAGCCAGACCTTCTGCTGTTCCTTGATGAACCGACGTCGGGTACGAATGAACAATCGACGAGAGCTCATATGGAGCGTGCACGCTGATATGCAATCTTGATTAGGTTTGGACTCGCAGACCAGTTGGTCGATATGTTCTCTCTTGGTAAAATTGAGCCAAAGCGGACAGGCGATCTTGTGTACCGTTAGTATCGAGCCTCTCTAAGTGATCTCAACGACAACCGAACTGATCAATCTTTTGTTTGGCCCGCGTGTGCAGATTCATCAACCCAGCGCGCAGCTATTCGAGCGTTTCGATAGACTATTGTTCCTTGCCAAGGGAGGTCGCACCGTCTACTTCGGGGAAGTTGGAAAGGGCAGCAGGACGCTGGTCGACTACTTTGTGCGCAACGGAGCCAAACCTTGCCCGGAAGATGCCAATCCTGCCGAATGGATGTTGCAAGCCATAGGAGCCGCGCCAGGACACAAGACCGACGTCGATTGGCCTCGGGTATGGCAAGACAGCGAGGAGAAACGAGAGGTCAAACGGGAACTCGAGGTCATGAGAAGCGTACCTCTCAAAGAGGTCGTCAGCGGGCAGTCTGTCGAGGATGACGCTTCCCGAGGCGAATTCGCGTCGACGTACCGAACGCAGTTTATCGAAGTCACCAAGCGCGTCGCACAATTTTACTGGAGGAACCCGACCTATATCTATTCCAAGCTCATCTTGGTCATTGGTACAGTGAGCTTTGACGTGCTTGGTACGAAATGCAAACATGACGTCTTTGGCTGAAGTTCAACGGATTCCGTCGCCACCAGGGTCTGTTTATCGGTCTATGCTTTTTCAAAACCGAGACGACCAGCCGGCAAGAGCTCTTGAACAAGATCTTGAGCATTTTCGTCCTCTACTCTAGTGAGCAACGGTCTATTCGCGACAGATCCTACTTGTTGGGTAACCTGACGCGTCCAAATACCATATCCCCGTGCAAACTAGTCTTTGGCCAGATCGTCGAACAGATCCTCCCCGAATTCGTCTCGCAACGGGCGCTTTACGAGGTTCGCGAACGTCCGAGCAAGACTTACGCTTGGCCCGTCTTCCTTGCCGCCAACATCCTGATCGAGAGCGTCTTCAATTTGATCACCGCCATCCCCCTCTTTATCGTCTGGTATTATCCGGTCGGGCTGAATGAGAACGGAAGCGCCAGCGGAACGACGCATGAGCGAGGAGGACTGATGCTGCTCTTCATCGTCCAATTCATGGTGTTTTCCGGGACCTTTGGGTACTTGATGATTGCCGCAGTCGATCTGCCCGAGATCGCGGGCGCGATCATGAACCTGCTTTTCGTCATGTCTCTGGTGTTTTGCGGGTATGTGAATTTTGTCTTACACATCTCTCGTATACCCCATGCTCATCGATCTGACATTCTCTTCCAATCGATGCGTTATAGCGTACTCGCGCCCCCATCTACCCTTCCCGGTTTCTGGAAATTCATGTACCGCGTTTCGCCGTTCACTTACCTAGCCGAAGGGATGCTCGTCACGGGTTTGTCTCAGGTCTCCGTCACCTGCTCCGATCGAGAGATCGTCCGGATCACCGCCCCTCCCGGTCAGACGTGTGTTGGCTACCTTGCGGACTATATCTCTACCGCTGGAGGCTACCTCGTCTCGAGTTCGACCTCTCCATCTGAGGAATGCCTTTTCTGCCCTCTGAGCACGTCGGACGACTTCTTGTCGACATACGGCATGTCGTATACCAACCGATGGAGGGACTTTGGAATCGTATTCGCTTACATCGGGTTCAACATCGTCGCCACATTTGCGCTTTATAAATGGTTCCGGGTGGTGAGTAGAGGTCGGCACGACTAAGCGACTAATGACTATAGTCATGACTTTAGTCAGTAATCTGTAATATGACTGACTACTGACTATGGGTTATTCATGTGTGACTACAACGACTGACTAGTTCCGACTAGTCAGTTGAAAATGTCAGGCTCTAATTTACATGTCAGCTTGTGTTTCAGATCGTCAAACTACAGAATAGGAGGAATTTTCTAACACCTGACTGACTATGAGTGACTATATTCCCTTAGTCACATCAAATGACTGAATAATCATAGTCACTTACTGACTATTGACTGACTACTGACTATGCTTATGGGTGAAAAAGTGACTACTGACTAGTCAAAATGACTAGTCATGCCGACCTCTAGTGGTGAGTATGGCGCCTCCGTACTTGGCTTTGTCGTGCCTTCCTGAGCTGATCGGTATCGACGTGTCTTCATTATCTCGCCATCAGCCTCGGAGAAAGAACTAGAGGTCCGACAAAGCCTACTCATGCGGCGAAAAGACCGCTGTTGTGTTGTGCCGCGCAGTCCGCGATAGACGAGAGATTGGCCGATATTAGTGACTTCTTTCCTATCAGAGCCGAAGTTGTCTTCCCCGATAGCATCGTAACGATCGCGGGTTGGATCTTTTCCCGTGCCCGCAACTCTTTCCCTTCTCCATCACGACTACACCACACCTTCACGCCGGGATATCCCCTGCCGGTATCCAAACTCTGCCAATCTCTTGTAACTATGTACTGATTCGCATCTGATCTGAGCATCAGCGCAGCTGCTCCATCTCCTCTGGTGTATACATCGTCATCTTCAGTCCCTCTGTCCTACGCTTCGACAGCATCTTCCAAGCTGCCGTTCTTGAGGATCAACCCGGATAGCAGATCGTCATCGCGGTGTCTATGATCTTCGCTTCCGTAGGGTCCAGTACCTTTCGTTCTAGCGAGGGAGAGAAGTTTGTCCGACGGACGCGGTACACCTTAAGCCATTTCGATGCGCTCTCGTTAATTATACCTGGAATTCCGAGATAGAATGCCGCAGTTCAAACCACACACACACGCAGACCAAGATCTTCTTGAGCATGCTCAACGTCACGTCGATAACAAAGGACATATGCGGTGTCTGAGTCCCACTATCCGTTGATGGGCATCAGGACCGAGCGACGACGACCATGTTTCATGATCCTTTGTCTCGTGACCACTCTGACCGACGCAAGCTCGGCCTCGCCCTGACAACAAGTGCTAACCATCACACCGGGTTGTCAACCCCGTAGCCTCGAAGCCTCGGGCTCGACTGGCGCCCGTAGAAATGACGTTGACCGATGGAACAATGTGAGTACTCTGTATGCACCACATGGCCGAGAATGATGTCAAAGTGGCGAGGCACGGCTCGTTGACTGCGATGATTGATGAAGCAGAGATAATGGCAGAGATAGGAGATATAAATCACTGCGACCTCGGTGAACGTCGATAGGTATCTGTATTGCATCGGTCATCCTTCCCAAGCTCCGAACTGAAACCGGGGTGGCCTGCCGGGGGAGGAGGAAGAACAAGGTCGACGTTCGGTATGGATTCGTGATTCCTGATCTCGAAGGCAGGGGCAAATGGCGTGATCCACCAGCTCGGATCTGACCGAAGCGAATGAAAACGCCATCCTTCGATTGTCTTGGCGAATTGCGACCGCGTGATCGTTTGATGAAGATCGACAGCCGCGGATCGTTTTCTGGCTGCCCCGCCGCCATGCCGGTGACTCTCGGTGAATTATACGTTCGCTCGCCGAACCCTCCGATCAGACCGGGGAAACCATTCTCGCTGAGCTTGCCGCCTTTTTGATGGGAAAAGTACCGCACCAGCTCGCAGCCACGCGCGGAAGTCACGTGGAGCAAGTCGCTTGAAATAGCAAACAGGTACCCATGTGATCGCAGATCCACCTGCGCTTCTTGGGGATCATGTGGCGACTTTTTTTTCTCGATGATGGAGTCGAGGGGAGGTGTCTCGTATGGGCTCGACCTTGTGGGTGGAGATTGTCGATTGGACGAGGCATGCGAGGCAACTGCTGGATCTCGCAATCGCCCCGTCGCAATCGCCTTCGTCGCCATTTGTCCGTCGTATCGTGTGACTTGCTCTCGGATATCTCGGGCCATACTCGCTCCACCCGCCATCGCTCCGTTCCCCTATAACTCGAAGACGTTCGTCCGCCCCCCATCCCATCCCCTCCCCACACTTTCGACGTTCGTGTTTGCAGGAAACAACGACTCTTCGACCTCTAATCGACTACCTTCGTCGGCTCTCATAATCGCCTCAAGGTCGACCTAGTCAAACCGAGTTTCTTCTCAAGTACACTCGCTCAAGGGAAAAGAAAAGAGGAACTTTCCTGCCCAACATGCCTATGGAAGAACCCATGGCCCAAGTGCCAGCGCCCGTGATGGCCGAAAAAGCAGGCCGCGAGGACCTGCCGACTTACCCTCACGATGCCATCACGGAGAAAAAGTCTATGGAAAAGGTTGATCACCATGCCCAGGAGGCCGAGGTGAGGGAACACTACTACGACCCCCTCAGTGAGTTGCACCGTCGAGTTGTTCGAATCTGTGCCTCGTGTTCCACGATTGTTGACGCTGGACTTGTGGGACGTGTTCACGTTATGCAGACCCGAACGATGTCTACCCGACCGAAGAGGAGATCCATACGCTCCGAAGAGTACCCGACCGAGTCCCGTTCGCGAGTTATCTCGTCGCCTTTGTCGAATTGGGTGAACGATTCTCTTACTACGGTACCACCGTCGTCTTCACCGTACGTTTTCTCCGTCGACGTCAACCAGCTCTTGCCTCACTCATCCGCCTCTCTCGCGTGTTTTTTCTTCGGACGCCCGCAGAACTTTATCCAACGACCCCTCCCTCCAGGTTCCCGAACCGGAGCCGGTGGCCACGATGGCCAACCCGGTGCCCTCGGTATGGGACAAAAGGCCGCCTTCGGTCTGACCACCTTCAACACCTTTTGGATCTACTTGACTCCCTTGCTCGGAGCCTACTTGGCCGATCAGTACTTTGGAAGGTACAAGACTGTTCAGCTTGCCAACATCATCTGTCTGGTCGGCCACATCTTGCTTGTTATTTGCGCTATTCCTGGGATCATCAACAAGAAGTAGGTCACAGATGAGTTTGAGCGGCCTATGCTGTCGACTCGCCGGAATACTGATTGAATTGCTCTGTCCTGTTGCGCTACACAGCGGCATCGTCGGATTGTTCGCCGTCGCCATCGTCATCATGGGAGTCGGTACCGGAATGTTCAAGTCCAACGTCTCCCCCCTGATCGCCGAACAAGTTACCCGTCAACGAGCCGTCGTCGAAGAACGCAAGGGGACCAAGGTCCTCGTCGACCCCGCTCTCACCACGGCCAGGTTGTTCATGTACTTTTACCTGTTCATCAACATCGGATCCTTGGTCGGACAGATCGGCATGGTCTACGCCGAGAAATACGTCGGGTTCTGGTTGTCCTACTTGCTGCCGACCATCGTCTTCCTCATCTGCCCGGCCATCTTGATCTTTGGAAAGAAGTACTACGTCCTTCGACCTCCCGCGGGCAGTGTCTAGTGAGTCCCGCCACCTCGTTATACAGACCAGTCCTAGTGAGATCGTCCGCTTACCATGATTCGAAATTGCACCACAGCCCCTCTGCCTTCCGAGTCATTCGAGCTGCCAACAAGGGTACCTTTTCTTTGAACCCCAAGAAGATGTTCGGACCTCGAAACTGGGACAATGCCAAGCCGTCCATGCAGGCCGGTGGGGTTCCCGGATGGATGAACTTTGACGACGAGTGGGTTGACGAGGTCAAGCGAGCCCTGTCTGCTTGCAAGGTGTGAGTAGGGTTGTGGTTGATCCGGTTCTCGTATTTCCGAGCTGACTTTTGGACGTCTTGCCACTCGTATAGCTTCCTGTTCTACCCCGTCTACTGGCTCGCCTACAACCAGATGACCGGAAACTTGACCTCGCAAGCCGCCGTCATGGAACTCAACCACGTTCCCAACGATATCATCAACAACATCAACCCCATCTCGCTCATTGTACGTTTCGCGCTCGGTACGATACAACGCCTCTGAGCTGACCCAAGTCCCCATAATGTCTCGTCGCAGATCTTCATTCCCATCTTCGACCTGTTCATCTACCCCTTCTTCCGAAAGCACGGTATTCGATTCACTCCCATCAGGAGGATCACTGCCGGTTTCGCTTGTGCCGCTTTGGCCATGATCTGGGCCACCATCACCCAGCTGTACATCTACCGAATGAGCCCCTGTGGATACTCTGCCAACACTTGTGCCACCGAGGACGGTATCGTGAGTGCCCAGCGCGACTCCTTGACATCTGGAGATTAAATTTGCTGATCGTGCCGGATCGTTTCATCTTTAGACCATCCCCGCCCCCATCAACGTCTGGTCGCAGATCGGTGCCTACGCCCTGATCGGTTTCTCTGAAATCTTCGCTTCGATCACCATCCTCGAATACGCCTACACCAAGGCTCCCCGTAACATGAGGTCCATCGTCCAGGCCTTGTCCCTCTTGACCAACGCCGTATCCGCTGCTATCGGAGAGGCCCTCGTCCCGCTCAGTGACGACCCCAACCTCGTCTGGAACTACATGACCTGTACCATCTTGGCCTCGCTCGGTGGTATCGCCTTCTTCTTCACTTTCCGAGAGTTGGACCGACAGGAAGAGACCCTCAACGAGCTTCCAGAGGGTCACGTCTGGCCCAAGGGCAGGCCTGTCGAGACCGAAGAGGAGGAGGTCAGGCATGCCTAGGTCGGGTCCGGCCTGGGTTTCGGCTGAGGACGCTCGAGAAGAAGAAGAAGTGTTTTCCGCAGCCGCGCGTCGTGGCATAGGGAAAGAAAAGGAGACTCATATAGGTATAATCGCAAGGATAGGGGGCAGAGCTCTCCTGTCCGATACATATTGTTCTCTCGCTGCTTGCCAGGTGTACGCATTGTATAAAGTCGTGTATAGAATTGAACTTATCATGATATAGGTTCACTTGATATTTGGTTTCCGGGGGGGCCCGTGTGGCCCAGGTTGTCTCGTGGTGGCCCTGCTGGTCACATCGTGCGTGAGTTGAAGTTGCTCGCGCGACTTGCTGTTCGAGCCTTCGCTTCGACGATGATTTCATTACTCGAACGTATCCTGCGAACGCTGATGCTAGAGTCATGATGCACGTTTCACTGAAATCAAACAAGTGGCCTTCCGATACCCGGTCAAGGTCAGACCGGTAACGACGCGCGTTTCTCGGCACAGGCGTCGCATTATCAATCACCTTTCATATCCATCCCGCGATCTGGCGCTCTCTCTCGAAACGACGATTTGAGCTGGTTGACAAGCATCTTCCTCGTCCGTCTCGGGCCCTGGTCTGCAGCAGTGGAACACAGAGTATGAGGTTTCAGGGCTTCCGTTGATCCGTTGCTTAACGTGGTCGATGATGCGTGTCCCATTGCTTGGTCATGACCGATCAAGTGATTGCTAATCCGGAAGTTGATTGAACATCTATTTCCGACGGCTGGCTGCTGGCTGACCGCGCAACCTTCTCCCAGCTCATTCGCAAAGGCCGTGCCCGTGCCCACACTCCGGGACATTGACGATGGGATGGATATATAAATACAGGAGGTCATGGTTCGATGTGGTCTGATCTGTAATCTCCAGGAACTCGATATTCAATCACCTCACGCATCAGCCTAAACATCTGGATTGACACTACCGCTCTTGACCCGTCATGTCCGACTCGACCGTCTACCTCAGTGAGCACCGGTGTCACCACTCAATCCGTTCATACAGCTCGCTGACTACTAAGCCTTCGTTCAGTCACCGGAGCCGCTCGTGGGATCGGTTTCGAACTCGTCAAGCTCTACTCTGCCGACCCTTCCAACGTCATCATCGCCGGCGTGCGTGATACCACCAGCCCGACCGCCCTGTTGGAAGTAGCCAAATCTTCTCAGGCCAAGATCCACGTGGTCAAGATCGTCGCTGGGGACGAGGAGGGGAACAAGGCCGCGGCCAAGGAGGTCGAGGGGTTGGTAGGAAGGGTGGACGTGCTGTGGGCCAATGCCGGTGAGTTGTTACTTTCCGCTGGAGGGGGAAATGTCTGGTTCAGAGACGTCTTTCTCTGGTTGTCCTCCTGGCGTATGAGGATGCTGACTGTTGTTTTGTCTAGGTATCTCCGACACCCCGAAACCCGTCCTCCAGATCAACCACGGGGACATGCAGCGACACTGGGAGACCAACACCCTCGGACCTCTCTACCTGTTCCAATCCTTCTACCCTCTCCTCCTCAAATCGACCAAGGCGGAGAAGAAGTTTATCATCACCAGCACCCTTGCTGGGTCTTTGACCGCTGCGGTACCGTTCCCCATTACCGCTTATGGGTCGTCCAAGGCGGCCATCAACTTTGTCGGGATTCATATTCACCAGGAACATGCGGAAAAGGACAAGGTCGCCGTGGTCATGGTTCATCCTGGTGAGTGGTCGACGAGCTTCTTCCTCCCTTCTGTGGACAGTTGTTGAGAAACTCGTTGATCCTGATCACTTCCGGAAACGTTTTGACAGGCATGGTCTCCACCGACATGGGCAACGTCGGTATCGAATCCTTCGGCGGGCACGAAAAGGTCGCCTCGTTCGGAGTCACCATCCTCACCCCCGTCCAATCTGCGACCTACGTCAAAGAGGTCGCCGACAAGGCTACCATCGAGAGCCACGGGGGCAAGTTCTTCAACTATGACGGAGAGGGTCTTCCTTGGTAGACGAACCGACGACGAGGCTGTTTTCGACTGGGAGAGTGGGGCTCAGGTCTTTCCTTGTTAGATACAACATCCCGGTCGTCGTAGAGGTTCCTCGAGCGGGCTTGCTTCGTGTTCCATGACTTACTTGTATGGCGTCCTGTCCTTGATCTGCTTCTATGATCATCTTTGATACCCCGGCTAAATCGCATTCGCTCAAGGATTACGGGACGGAGCCCGAATCAGTCGAGCTCAGGGCTTTTCTCGTCCACTCACTCGCTCAGATATGATATGGGTTTCCGGAGCAGACGGTGGTCGCTCGTCGAGGAACCATATCATTCATATGATCGTATGTACTGTACTACGAGCTACGGGAGCCGATCCCCTATCATGCTTTCTTAACTCTTTGACCAGATGATGAAAAGTTGAGAGACAGAATCTATTCATGCGAAAATCGCGCTATTATAGCTTGGACAATAATACGTATCCTCTATGACCCTAGAGGAACGACATGTACAGTAGCATGTAGTCCGTTCAAAGACACCCTTCTGGCTGTTACGAATTCCTAATTGTCCAGCTTTCGACGCGATCCGAGACTGGCCGACCAACTCACCCTCATATCGCCGGCTTGCCTCTGCAGGTGGTTCACAGCTCTGTCTGCTCTCAAGATGACCGACCTTGCTTCTTCCGTTGCAAAATTCCAGACTGATACTCGGCTGTGCGCTATAAACCCGCCTGGTAGATCTGCTGGACTGAGATCTGGTAACGACCTACCATGGAGTCTACCTAAAGGTGGCCAGTAGTGTAGGGTCCTCTGCGACGAAACGTCGGCTAGTGCCACCGATCTCCCAGAGCACAAAGGGGCTCGGGTGAGCTGTAGACGACCTTGGAGCACGCTTTTGAAACCCGACCGCGACTCTTCGAGACGTGCTCAGCGTAAGGCGGCCTTTCTCCATACATCTGCAAACATGACTACCTCTGACATCAAGGCTTGAAAGCTTGGCTTGAGCAAGCGCTCTTCCCGATACCTTGTCCAGATACGAAATACAAGTGTGTATACCCATAGACCGTCAACTTGCAACTTGCAACAAGCGACCAACGACCCCTGACCCGTTCCGTCACCGGTTTCGAGCCCAGATCTCTCGCAAGACCATGGGTTTACTTGTAGGCTCGACGTGTGACCTCAGAATGCAAGCTTGGTTATCACACATTCGGGGCTAGGGTCGTCATGTCTATCTCATTGATCATCCCCTCTGACCTAGTAGCTAGTAGAGTGACTCGAACTGGTGACGTTACTTTCGCGCGGAATCGAATTCCTCAAACTTTGAACGAGCCGTGACCTCGAGGAAGAAAGATGGATACTTGCGACTGACTACATTGACTCTCACCCCACAGTACCCCAAACTACTCTTACATCAAAGCTAGAGATAACGAGAATAGACTTACCGATGTCTAACCCGGCTCCGGATCTGTATTACCCCAACCCACCACGCCCAGGTCGATCGTCCATCTCGCTCAGACGTGGGTCTAATTCGAACGAGATCTCCCCGCTCCTCAAGCACAACCATCATCATCATCAGCATCACCCTCGACGTGGAGATACGGAGGAAGAGGACGATTATGACGAGGAGGAGGAAGAGGAGGAAGAGATAGATCAGACGTTCTGGGGAGCTTTCAGGGCGTTATCGGCGAATGCGGCTCCGTTGACGATAGGGTTCTTGTTGGAAGCTTGTTTCCCGCTCGTCTCGACGTTGATCGCCGGGTGAGTCTTAGTCCCCAGTCGTGCAGGGTCCAGGTCTCTCTCTCTTTTCGGTGTGACTTTGCGAACATTCAGCCTGAATGGGTTATGGATACGAACCTGGCTAAATCCGGATGTTTCGTTTCTTCGTACGCTACAGCCGACTGGGACCGAACGAACTGGCCACCGTCGGACAAGGCATACAGATCATGGGAGTTACGACGACTGTCCTCATCCTCTCCTCTACCGCAGCGCAGACTACGCTCTCAGCCCCGCTCTTTACCCTCAAGCACAATAACACCACTTCTAAATCAAAATCGAAATCTCCTTCTTCTTCTACCTCACAATCTCACTCTCATACTCACTCGGGCAAGAAAGAAATAGGAATAATAGCTCAACGAGGCTTCATACTCGCACACCTATGTGTTCTCCCGATGCTCGTGGTTTGGTGGTTCATAAGACCTATCATGATCGCGCTCGGACAGCCGGAGAGCTTGGCGGTGGGGTTGCAAGGGTTTTTGAGGTGGATGATGTTATATGTGCCCGGGTATGGTGAGTCACACGTATATATATATAACCTCGGATTGTCACAAGTTTCTGTGTCTCTCTTTCGCTATTTGAAAATCGACTCTCGAGGGGACGCTAAGCAGGATCATCTCGCTTGTTTTTCTTTTTCGACGAGGCAGCCCTGATGGAAACCTCCAAAGCGTTCCTCCAAGCTCAATCGATCTTCCACCCTCCGACGTTTATCGTCGCCGCTATCCTCCCGCTCCACACAGCTCTGGCTTATTATCTCGTCCACCGCACGTCGCTGAGAGAGAATGGAGTGGCTATATCAGTGGCCATGTCGTATACCTTGATTGGGGTGTTGTTAGTAGGCTGGATAGCGAGGACGGAGGCGAGGGAGTGTTGGGGAGGGTGGAGTAGGAGGTGTTTGGAGGGGTGGAGGGCGTATTTGGGGATCCTCGTACCGAGCGCGATGGTGAGTCGGAGCGCTTTAAGATCTTCCCGCCTTCATTCTTCTTTTGACGGAAAGCGACTGTTAGGAAACGGGAGTCGAGGCTGATACGGTTGATTTCCTTGTCTTAACCCTGCTCATATGGGATTCGCCAGATGTTCGGCTCGGAATGGTGGAGTTTCGAGATTGTCAGCTTGATGGCGGGAAGGTTGGGTGAGACGAGCATCGCGGCCCAGGCCGCCATCACTTCCAGTAAGCTCAGGTGTTCGGCTCGCCAGATCGACTTTTCCGACCCTGTGCTGACCTTTCACACGTGCCCGACCTCGCAGTGGACATCTTTCTCGCCATGATCCCCTACGCGGCCGGTCTCGCTTCCACCGTCCGTCTGGGTCAGCTACTCGGACACAACACCCCCGAGGCGGTGAGAGCTGCCAAGGTGACCGTGAGGGCGGCCTATGTGTTTGCGATCCTCGTCACGGCGTTTTTGGCCACTGGTCTGTTGGTCGGCAGGTTCTGGCTCGCGGGGCTATACGTCAAGGGCGAGGGCAGGAGCGAGGACGAGGTCAGGGGGTTGATCGCTAGCGTGCTCATCCCGATCGCTACGTGAGTCCCGGTTCAGAGTCGTGTGTCGGTATGGCGTGCTGATGGAAAGTTTCCCTTTGACCGACAGATATCAAGTTTCCGATGCCGTAAGTCGAGGTTGTCAGAAGACCTTGGTAAAGTTGCGACTGACTCTCGGCGATTCGCCTCGCCCTTTACAGGTCGCCAGCATCGGCTCGTCCATCTTGCGATCGATAGCACTTCAGAACCTCCAAGCCGCCATCATCACGGGCTCTTACTACGTCCTCGGCCTGCCCCTCGGTTACTACCTCGCCTATCGTCAAAACTGGGGCCTGGTCGGGCTGTGGACAGGGACCTCGGTCGGTCTCTTTTGGGTGGGCGCTTTTGGGGTCATCTTTTACTGCGTACGTGTGGACTGGACCGAGGAGATGAGGAGGGCGGTGTGGCGCAGTCGTGGGAGTGGGTTCGCGATGGTCGAAGAGGACGACGACGAGGATGACGAAGAGGAAGATGAAGAGAATGCGAGCGAGAGGGATTATGGGACCATGCGGATATGAAGGGGATCGTCCGCACAGGGCGTTGTAGTATATCGATCATCATCATTATATACCTTGTTTTCAGGAACTCACAGCTAGTCAGACTTTGTACATGGACTGGCTTCCTTGTCGGCATGTTTCGCACAGACTCGCCAGGGGTTGTCCTGTTACAGGACAGCGTCTTATGTACACATGCGAGCCAAACCTACACCCGGGACGAGCCTACAAGCCAGCCTCTGACCCGCCCATCATTGCTTCGCCCGCCTGTCGGGACCTGCCCGCTTCCACTTCCAAGTCCCGCAGCCATCGCTTGGCTTCGTCTTTGAGTAGCTTCCTACGTTTCTTGACGTGCGGAGCGAGCTCGTCGAATTGGCGAACGTACTCCTGCTTGACCTCGTCCGCGATCCCGTCTGCCTGCTGTTTGCCCATTTCCAAGCGCGGCTTGCGCAAGACCTTCTCGCCAAGCTCTGTTCGAAAAGCGGTGGCGCAGGACCTCCCGATTCCCTTGACGGGGTGGCTAAACAACCCGAACATTCCTGCAGCCGGCTGTACGGCCAGGTTGATGGACGCCCGAGCGAGTCCCTTTGTGAAACCGAGCGCTCCCTGTGAGGAATCGAAACGTTGGTACAGCAAGCCGGGCATTGGAGATTGAGGACACTCACTTCTGCCTGGGCGCTTCGAATGGGTTCTCGGACCAGTCCCGTGACGCCATCATACATTCCAAACGCGAACCCCTTGCCAGCAGCGACGAATCCGCTACCGACACCGGTAATCTTGGTTCGAGGTCGTCTTTCCTTTGTACCGTAGAGAGAGGGCAGCGTTTCGAGACCTGTGACGATGTCAAATGAGTCGGCGATTACCCTTGACAGGGCCGTGCACGAGGCTCACCTTCCGTCAGACCCATCAGAGTCGTAGCCAACGCTTTCGGGAGTGCCGTCGTCATGAGCATCAAGCCCCTGTCCGGTCGTAGGCTGAAGATGCGAAAGAAGCCTTCACCGCTGTGCGACAAAAGGACACGCTTCAGCGGAATGCGTGCGAATTGGGAGCAAAGGTGGCAACGAACAATTCGGTAACGCAATTGAGCATGGCAATGGCTCCCCCAGAGATCGGATCCGTCGCTGGCATTTGAAGGGCGTACTCGCTCGGGCCTGTCAGCCCGTTTCGTCGTCAGCTTGCATATCAGTCTTCGGTTCGCAGGTGGTACTGTTGACTCACGCCAGGGTATCAGAGCTCGCTCTTTGATCTTGCCCGAACGAACGAGGGCCTCGGCAGCCAACGCACTCAACCGTAGGGCGTACTTTTCCGACCACCAGACCGCCACTCGATCGGGATCGATGTCGCAGCTGTAGTCGCGTTAGTTTCGTCAGTCTTTATCGTCTGGCGTGCCATCTCAGCAGGCCACGACTTGCCGCATGTGAAGCAACGGCAGGTGCGCGTGGAAAGAGTCTGCAAAGTTGCGAGCTCCGTCCTGCAAAGGCAACGAAAGTTGACGCGGTGTTTGAGAAACAAACCCACGTTCATACTCGCCTCGTTGCGGATGGCAGAACCGACTTCGACCGCCGCTCGTTTGGCTTCGGGAGAGATGGCGTACTGTATCGCTTGCGCCAATTTGACGGATGTTAAGGTTTTGAATGGGATCCTGGATTGTAACGTCGTCAGTCGAAATCAAGGAGAAGTCGAGCCGACAAGGACCTACGGTTCTGGCCCAGCGCCTCGTTTGGCTATCATTGCGCCCCTACGAACAGATCGATCAGTATGTGGGCTGCCGAGGTTGCCCGGATTCGATTGACTTGCCAGAAGGGCTGATCACCGAAGAACGGTACTGCCGGTCGAGAATGACGACGATCAGCTGCAAAGCTTTCGCTTCGGTTTTAAGAGTGCAATCACTTGCCCACAACGACGGGAAGTCCATTCTTCAAGGCGATCGCTGTGGTCCCAGCTCCCCCGTGAATGACGACTGCGGAGACTCTACCATCGGCAAAGAGCCAGTCGTGAGGGCAGTCACCTGGATACGATGGCAAAGAGCGAGTTCCAGTCGTGTCTCGCTTGCATTCCATGTGCTGGCGACTTACCTAGCAGAAACACGTCGTCGGGAACGTCTGATCCTCCGATCTTGCTCCACCCTGCCGACAACAGAGCTCGCACTCCCGAAAACTTGATCGCGTCGAGCAGTAGGCCTGTGTGAGACGAGCGTTTGCGATCTCAGCCACGGCGCCTCGCTTTACTGTAGGTCTCGCTTCGGACACTCACAAGTCAACGCCGTCGGGTCTTCCACGACGATCGATCCGAACCCGATGTAGACCGGAGGCGGTCCATCGGCCAGGAATTTGGCCAGGTCGGGTTTCGGCTGATACCCGGCACTCTCGAGAAAGAGGAAACCGGTAATATCGATGTTTTGCATCCAATCCCTCGGCTTGGGGATGAGCTCGGACGTCCAACAATAGATGTACGGGACTTTGAGTCGATCGACGGCTGAAGCTCCGGACGCCAACGAAACGGACTCCAAACCCAGTCGTTTCTTTCGGAATCGGTTGATCGTCGAACCGAGCCTAGAGACATAAAGGAGCGGGGGCCAGTATCAGCACTTTGCCTCACAAACAGCAAAGAGGGCCGAGTGGGAAATTGTACTCACCCTTGCCAAGTCAAAGCGGACGCCAAGGCAAACGTCAAGTAGTTGGTGAGCGCTGAAGGCGTATCGCTTTGCTCGATGGCAACGAGCGGATGGGAGAAGGCTGTCGTAGCCGACCATGGCATGGCTGCGACGTTCCACACAGGCGAAAGTACATCAGGGTGAGCGGACGTCGTCGATTCGCGTCCGATTCGCCGACTCACTGAACGACATGGTCAACGGGATCCCCAAAGCTTCAGCCGTATGTATGTGAGCAAACGCCGGAGGATTGCTTATGATCGCCTCGGCTGCGAACGACGCCCCGGTCTGTGGACAGGGCATGAATGTCGATCGGTAGAACTTTTTCATCATCTGTGCGGCGGGCATGTCAACCGAAAGCACACATTCGAGAACTAGGTGTGGCTCGGCTGACCTCTTTGATCATTGCTTGTTTGCGACCGATATCACCGTTCGTGAGTGAGGAGATGCCCGGAATCAAGCCGGGGTCTGCGACGGCGGAAGAGGGGGAGGTCGTCCGCTTCGAATCGGAAACGGGTATACAGTGGGCGGGACTCACTCTTGACCATATACGCCATCAGCTCCTGAGGATCTCCTCCGATCCCATAGAACTCGAGTTGCTCCTCAAGAGCCCTTCCATCTCGGCTCGTCCTACCCTCGAGGTGCACCTTTTGATCGAGTACGAATTTCTCGAACGTATCGTGTGTGGCTATCCGTACGCGGTGCCCGTAGTCCTTAATCAACGTCAGGGCGGCAGCGAGGTACGGCTGGACGTCTCCCCGGGATCCGACGATGAATATGACAATGTTGAGGATGGGTACGCGGAGAGGTCGAGCTGGGTCGATCCCGTATTCCTTGACGGCGACCGCATAGTCGGGTGGGAGGTCGGGGAGCTTCTTGTGCGAGTTTCTACGCCGAGTCGATTGTCAACTGTGTTCAAGCGGATTCTTTCACGCCGTCATCGAAATCTCACATGATGACGCTGATCCTCCCGTCCTTTCGCATACTCGCCCGCGACGACATCCCCGGCCCAGAGGCCTCGAATATCGTCTCATCTGTGGTGTGTACGAGGTCGTTCCAAGAGAGTATGTGAGCTCGCGGACGAAGACCATCGACCGCAGCGGGCCCCGTAGGCTCACCTCGAACAGGACGTCCATCGAGACCAGTCACCACGTCCGTCTCCTCGTCGCCATCGCCTGTCTGGCTATTCGCCTCGGCGTCGAATTGGCTATCGAGGTCGGCATTTGTATCTTCAACCTCGACTGATGAGTAGCGTGGTGGTGGTGGGCTTCGTAGAGATGCAGGAGCCGGTCGTAAAGGCATGATGAAGCGCTCGACGTGTGTTTAGGGCTCGGACGTGCGAGATCGTTCGACGATCGGCGAGTGTAGTCATCGTCCCTTGCTTGACCCTTCAGAGAAATCCACAGAGGACATTGGTAGATGTATATCCGACCGCATGCTGTGCAAATCGTGGGTTGCTCGATCTAAAGTGATGACTCCCGGGTCCTCCGCGCATCTCCGTCGGACTTGTTCGTGATCTCGTGATGTCTTCATGTCAGGGTCCGTTCCGGAGTGCTCAGTCGCAGGACTCGCTTCTCATATCATTCTCTCGTTTGCTAAGGCAATGATGTCTATCGACGAAAGGCGAGACTATCCATCTGATATGCAAAGTCAAGGTTGATTCATGGTTCGCGACGAACAAGACGGGGAACGACCGGGAAACAAGACCGGGAAACAAGACCGGGAAACATACCGGGAGACCAGACCGGGCTGCCATATCGGCATCACGTGATCTTGTGAATTGCTTCCTCTGGACCGTTTGTGTATCACCTGTCGAGTTTAAAGGGGTTGTTGGCGAGGTGTATGACATTGCCGGTTCAGAACATGCTTAATTGATCAGCTTTGGGCAGCAACATAGCAAACATGGCAGCACCACCTCCTTTCTACGACACGGCCATTGGTCGACAAATGTACAATGACGCCACAGGGCCCAAGATCCGACCTGGCGGTTGGCCCATGGTGTTTGAGGTGAGTTGCCGTCTGTCTTTACGCTGTTCTATTGAGACTGACATGCATGGCAGTTCATCCATGTTGTCCTCCTTGACAATCCACCACCTCTTTGTCGAACCTGTTGGATTCATCACCCGGTAACTGAGGACGATTACCGACATCGGGTCAGGGGTTATAGGGTGATCCGACCCCCGGGTATGAAACACACTTTTGAGAACCGCTCATCCCAGCGCTCCCAGGGTTGTACCAATGGATAGAGGCACCTTTGGACAGTAGAAATGAACTATCCAATCTGTAGTTGGACCCTTGTTGTGACTGGTACGGGTCAAAAACACGTCAAATGACCTCGAAAGTCAAAAAAAAAAGTTAAAGTTCCCAAAAAATGAAATTGTCTGAAAGTTCCAGAACACTATCCCGTTTGGTTGGACCATTTTGAAGGTGAAATGACTTAGAAATCACGCTGGGCAGGTTCTGGGTGAGGTTGTTGACGGGACTTGAGCATATCCATAGGAGGTCTGTCCCGCGCGCGGGTGGCCACGTCATCAGGCTGTCTCGCGCGGGGGGGGCAGCAAAAAGTAAACAAACAGCCTGTCACCGCGCGTGCAAGTCACCCTTCGTCCATCAACCTATTCCCATCACTGAGGTCATCTGTTCCTTATCCAGTTGTCATGTACATGCTATTCAGTCAACAAGTTCATTCTAATCATTACATGTGTATCCCCCAAACAGCAGAGTTGTTTGACCAAGTGGTTGTCATTCCTGTCACGCGCGGGGCATCTGAATGACAAAGTAAACAAAATCAGCTCAGCAGTCACCGCAGACACCGCAGACACCGCAGACACCCGTCACTCACCAGACCCGAGTGATGTGATGAGCAGGGTACAAGTTCTCATAGTGGTTGTTACTGAGATAGAGCCAGAGGCACTTGGTATGCTCTGGCTGACCATGGTGTCTCCAGAACAGACCCCCGTCCACCCGTCTCTTCAGGACTGAGATTCTGACCTTGTAACACGCGCAGATGGCCCTGATCTCTGGCTCATCACCCCACTCACCCGGCTGGCCCATTCTCTGCCAGTACTCCCTGAATGCTGCTGCCTGTCCTTCTTCTCCATATTCTATGAAGGGGAGGTAGTCCTCATAGTGCACACGTATCCACTCAACAGCCTCCTCCCTGACCTTGGCTGCGGTGTACCCCTGCCCGAGACCAAAGGCCACAGCTCCAAACATACAGTTGCCGTCCTTTGCAGTGTGACTTGTATGGTATGCCGGGGGGTTGGAACCTCTGATCAGACTGACTTGATCTGAGTAGATGGGTGTGTGAGGAGGATGGGATGGTGATGGAGCAGGTCTCTTGGGTGTCGTCCTGACTGCCAGTAGTTTTGCCTTTTTAGCGAGAAAGTTCTGACGCGCGGCAATCAACTTGGCACGCTCGGGTGTGATCCTATTGACAGGAGGTGGTGGGGGAACCAGGGGAAGACCTTCAATGGGGGGAAGACCAAGTAGATGTCCTGGTACTTGTCCCGTAGCAATGAGGTTGGCAAACCAGATGTAGGAGTTGCCAGCATTGAGGTTGTGCTTGCACGTCCACTCGGCACACCTCATCCGGAATGGTCCCCAGCCGTAAATATTGTACCCGTGTTGAGGGTTCACCTGACAAGGGATGTCACCTTTGGGATGGTGCTTTCTCAATGCTGTGACCAGATCCTTGGTACCTTCATCTCCAGTGTAGATCCTGTTGAGTTGTACCAGGATTTGGGAGATGAGCACGTCGGGGACGTTGGTCGGGATGGGCTGGTTGTGATGAGTTCCCGCGCGTGCTTCATCCAGCTGGGGGATGTCTGAATTTCCCTGTTCCCCTTCAGCACCTTTGCCTCTCCACCATGCAGCCTTGTCACTGGCTTTGGTGACCTTGTACCTCCCTGCATTCCACCCAAAAGAAGCCAGCACGTCTGCGGTGACTTGTTTTTTAGGGGTTAGGGGTTAGGGGTTAGGGGTTAGGGTTAGGGGTTAGGGGTTAGGGGTTAGGGGTTAGGGGTTAGGGGTTAGGGGTTAGGGGTTAGGGTTAGGGGTTGGTTGTGACCATCATATTGACCTTGGGAGCAGTGCCACCCCGAGTTGGGTTGGTCCAGAACCCTATCTCGGTCAATGGACTGTTGTGCATCCACACCTGTGCAGCACTCAGGGTAGCCGCGGGCACCGTGACTTCTATCCTGAATCCTCCAATCTCTTCCTCCGGGACTTGGGACAGCATCTGCACCATGTTGGCAGATGCCTTGTACCGTGCCTTGACACCATAGAGTGTCTTCAAGACCTCTCCCTGCAGTCGGCTGTTGAATGACTTGATGACATGGCCAGCCGGGGATAGATTTGACCTTGTACGTGGTGTCATGCAGACGACAGTGGTCTGCACCGAGCCAAAGTCTCTGGCAGCTGGAGAATAGCATTGGGTAGTGCTTGGTACCACCGGCAGCACTTGTCCAGGTCTGAAGGGGATAATGTAGGTGCTGGTATGTCACGCCAATGTCCCACTCGTGGGTTCCACGTCCGGATTACCGTTGTCCTGCCGGTTCATAGTGTCCCAGGTTTGCAACCGGAGTGGGAGCTTCTGACCATAGGCCTTTTACCTGATGGTAGGGCAGCCAGCTTTGATGAGTACAGGATGCTAGGATGGTGGTGGGATGTAGGCACTCCCGTAACTGGACACCCAGGGGTTCTTGGCTGGGTTGATGGTACGCGTCTTCTTGAGTTCCGTGAAGAAGGCATCCTTGTACTTGGGGTCTATCGAGAGCTGGTAGCATGACTCTGCCAGTAAGAGCCACTCTGAGAACTCGTGGGTTCTGTCCCCTGGCTGTGTCCTCTTGATCCTCGGTGCATGGGATGACAGCCTGACGAGAGCGAGCGGGTTGGAGAACTGCTTGAGGTAGAACCGAGGTGACATGCAGATCTCCATCTTGTCCACGTCCATGTCACCTGGCTTGAAGCTGTTCATCACAGTGGTCCTGAAGCCATCTGTACACTGTGTCATGGGCATGAACATGTTCATATTGGGAATGACAAAGGGTGTCACCGGTGCATCCTCCTACGCGTGCATGTCAAGTCAGTCACTCGTGACATCAACCACTCGGTCACCACAACAGCACTCACCTCTACCGGTCCATCTCTGTCACTCTCCTCATCACTGTCAACCAGATGATCACTGCTGCTATCACTACTGACATCAGGGGCATCTCTGACTGCCGGGACATGCTGTGATCATGGCTAGGTCAGCCATGCTACGTGACGTGACAACCACCCGGGGTCACTCACCCTCTGTACCACAATCAAGTCTCGGTCACTTAGGGGTGTCTCCGGTCTAGTGAAGGTAGCCTTTGCTCGCTTTGACTTGGGCTTCTTCTTGGGAGCAGCCTTCTTCTTGGTTGCTCGTGGTCTGGACTTCTTGACAGCAGGGGTCTTTGCAGCACGTCTCGGAGGTGGGGCATTCTTGTTCAGAGTGTCTCTGCCGTTACGTAGTACAACCATTACTAGGGACACATCTGCCATCAATCACAGCACCACCCGTCATGTACACACTGTCACACTCACTTGATAATGTAGCCTAATGTTTGGTTGATCAGTTGTTGTTGCTGAGCCGAGGCTGTTTGTGTTGTGTTGTGTGACAAGGGTTTGTTGATACGTGTCTATTACGCGTGTAGACGTGTCTTGAGCGCCCAGTTGCCCGCCCACTTGGGTGCCCATCAAGTGGGCGGGCATAGTGGGCGCGCTTGGATGACGTGGCACACTCCCGCGCGTGACAGAGGGGTCACTACTGTCTTGCTCAAATCTCATGGTGCAATGATTCTGAGAGTACCACTGTCATGATAGAGACCATTCTGGCCTAGTTGTTTGTTTCCCCATCTGATTTGGTCCAGTTGTTCAGGAGATACACGGGTTAGGGGTTAGGGGTTAGGGGTGTTATTGATGTATCTAAGTGCATGGAAAGGTCCTAGTTACATTGGAGACGTTTCTACAGAACGGCATACAGTTGGCAACTCAATACTTTAAGCCATCAGACAAGCACAATCATCACCAGAGGTTCAGATAGTACTAATCTAGTTGACAAAGTATCTGGTCCTAGCCTTGACCAGCTGCAGAGAGATGGACCTGCACATGAAACTGTAAGTCCCAGCGCTCATCACCTTCTGCCATTCCTCAAACACCTTCACAGTCTCCTCTTCCTGTGCACCACCAATACTGAACACCAAAGGCCTGAACTTGCCATTGACCTTGCCAGCATACTTGAGCCTCTTGGCTTTGGCAGCGATCTCCAACACTTTCTGCAATTCCTCCTTCTTATCCCCGTCCCAATGGAAACGCCTCGCCTCCTGAGCAGACAAGCTGACAACTGTGACGTCAAACTCCTGAGGACTCATTCCACTCCACCTGCTACCTTCAAACCTGAAGTCCGTCCTCTGTGGCCTGTTAGGCACATTGGGTTCCAAGCTCACAGTCCCAAAGGCACCACTGCTGACCAATGCCTCACATATGATCCTCTTCAGGATCTCATGCCTGGCCACTCTGTATCTCCCTCTCTTCTCGCACACATCGTCATGTCCCAGGCCGTTGAATTGTCCACAGTGAGGGCAATTAACTTTGGATCCAGAACAC